AGGAAGGAATCTAATAGGCACTCCAACCAACCAATCTAATACACAATATGTGAGTTCACTGCTATCAAAATTTATTTAATAGCAAGGGGTAGCATTGTCAAAGGTTCCGCAAAGCTTTGAGAGCTAGGGAAGAAGCTTTGATCAATCAATTTGAATCATTCTAAGGATTCGGTATATTCCTTTGATCAAGGTAGATTCAGCACTATTGGTGCTTTAGTTGTATTGATATGGGTATATCAAGAATTGGGTGGTTTTTAAATCAAAGTAAATTAAAACCAAAACACACAGACCCCTACAGAGGGCTAGAACTATGTGCTGGCACAACCACACAGCGTGATTTGCCCTTAAGATCAATGATTGATCCTAAGTTCGAAGAATACCCGACAGCTGGATATAACTTCTCGCAGTCACAAGGAGCAGAATACAATGTTCCTATACTCACAAGTGCCGGGCCCGAATGGCTGCTAGCGAAGAGGTTTCAGTCTGGCGGGAGTGTGTCTTTCCTTTTTACAGATTAGCACTGCAACGTCATCCCAAAATCACTTGTATTCCAGATACATCGGATTGCTATTTATACATACAGGATATCGAGTCACACAGTACAATTAATTTAATAAAATAAACATTTGGAACTGCAAGGAAATTTCTACAATAGGTCAGAGATCATTTAATTTGAATCTACACATCCTTATTTGGTCCATAATGGTTCCAAGATTCTAGTATATCTCCAAGCATAGGTAGGTACTTCAATATTCATTTAATTTAATTGCTTTGGAGAATGACTTGAATGGTGTTCAGCTGTCATTGCTGTTCAACACTTCGTTTGATCATTTGTCACCTCATCCGGAGGCAAATCAGCTCTCCTTGATTCTAATCCTATCTGATTCATCTGGATTAAACTAATTGCTTCTCTCTTTCATTAGACACCCATTGTGCCTATACTCTATCAAGGGAGTTATGCATAGTATTCATTTAATTGTATTCTTCAATATTTTCTATGTCAGGACTCTTTGACATTCATTTGATATGTCTTCGGAGCCTCGCAGTACTTCGATTGTTCTTCTAGTCATTTTCCTCAACCATGCAACCTGATTGGTCTATTAGACTAAATCACAGTCTTTTAGATTAATGCATGATCTTGTTCTAGAAGGAGTATTTGACAATTCCTGAGTTCTAGAAAGTCATTTTGAGTCAATCCTCAGCTCATGGTCACTTGAGTAAGTTCTTCCAAACTCCTGCCAGTGTAAGGTCCAATAAGAATACCCTTGGTATGTCATACATGAATGGTCATCCTTTGGATGTAGTCCGAGTCTGGTATAATCCTGCTTGACAAACAGGTAGACTTTTATCCGAAGGTAGTATTGGGAATGGGTAAACTAACCAACTTGTGGTAGTATGGGTATATGGTTCCTTCAACTATTAGACTGATTCAGTATTGACTTTGACTGTCAATCTGGGCCTCAATTACAGTCCTCTTGATACGAGTCTATGCGTGAAAGTGTCACAATTCACAGCATAGACGTCTAGCCAAAATTTAGGCGTGTCAGCAGTCCGTTTGATCTTGAACCTTGATAAATAACAGAAAACAACAATGTAAATTACAAGCTGAATATATAAGCTATGTCCCAAAATTCTGCAAGTCATTTGTTTACTCCAACAATCCTCTTTATGTATGCAGTATAAGAAGACCATCATAAGGTTGAGGTTAGAATTGTTTTACAACTAGGCCACAAAACCAGTTTATACAGACTGGTAAATCTGGAGCATATCCCACATACATGAACATTATCTCACACTACATGCTTCAAATAATAGAGTTGATTGTAAGATGAACCTATCAAATTTAATTCATGATTTTTTCCATTAGCTGGAATATTTGTAGAAATTTTTTTCAAGGCATAATTTATCTGTTCAAGTATACATATTTTTTTGTTACTCAGAGGTGGTTTGCTGACAGTGTGCAAATGTTACATAAGCTGAGCAACTGTATAAACAGTCTTACACTTATCAATTATTTCTGCAATACTTTGAAAGGTCTCAAAGCAATGGCAAAAGGTACATTATCTGTAAGTATGGGCTGGTAAGCAACAATCTCATGCAATAAATGCATGTTGCAACAAGGCAGGAAGCGGGAGGCAGGAAGTCCAAATACGCCAAGGAGCGACAGTGGCAGAGTGAAGAGGCACAGAAACAAGCACAAAACACAGATGAAAGAAATAATGATCTTGGACAACAGTGGGATAGCGTCAGAGGCCAATCACACCAGTAATCAAAAGGGAATCTAGTTGCTCAATGACCAAGTTAGATAGGTAGTATCTAAAAGGATACAAGTACTTGCCTAGTTGCCCAATGACCAAGAGGTTGAGATGGGGAACTAGGATCTGTCTACTGTCCTTTATATACTACTCTTGTCTAATGAGTAAGTGATTATAAATAACAATGTGATATAGAACAAGAGTGAGGAATCAATATATACAAGTAATAATGAGTCAATAATGAATCATAATGAACTAATTGATGAATAAGGATGAGTTGTATGGAAGCGTATGGAAACAAATGGAACTAGTGGGATGATTGTGTAATAAAGTACAATAAACATGTGAAAAGAGATTGATGGGAACACACCGCTGATGGCGCATCAAAGGGTGAATCATGAGACTTCATGACAATGCACTTCAAGTAGTCTTGATAGACTATTTGAATACTTGCTCAGCTAGACAGCACTATCATTGACTCTAAAGTTATTATAGAGTCCTGGATTGGCAGAATTTCCAATCATTTGCAAAACATTTCTTTTTTTTCTGCATTTCCTTTTTTCAGTTTTGTTTGGAGCTAAAAACAAGAATAGACCTGGACAGTGAATATAAACTGGACCATAGAATAGTGTAAATGGACATTGTCCTTGCACTAGTCTGATTTTAAGCTTTCATTTATTGTTCTCCCCTAGAGCAAATCTATCTGCATAGCCTGTATGCTATAGAGTAATAATATTAGCTGAACAATACATCATCTGCAAAACCTGGATGTTCACAAGAGCAAGGGTACTAGCTGGAGAGTGCTGTCCAGTGCTGTCAGCTGCTTTTGAGCTCTTAGCCAACCATGGCTTTGTACAACAAATGTTGTTATAACAAGCCCAATGATTATATTACAATTTGTTCTTACAAGAAGTTCTAAGAAGTACAGTGACGCGCAAATCAAATCCACACCCCCCGATTTGGAAGGCCTTATGTCACCAGCCCAGAACCGTAAATCTGTGTAAATCTGTTGTTCCTCTGCTCAGAATATTGAATCTTGAGGGTTCAAACAGCTTATATTGCCACAAGTAAGTCTTTATAGTAGAATCAACATGCTTTACAGGATATAGCATACAAAAATGTTCACAAAAACAGTTTAATCACAAAATTTCCAAATTGGGGGGTGTGGATTTGATTTGCGTGTCACTGTAAGCTTGTGTGATTATAAATACATCTAATATTACAAGTCTGTACTGAATGCTGAGACCCAGAATATCTGAAACCTGTTGCTGGGATTGCCAAAGCTCCAGCAACTTGGTCAGTTAGGACCTAGGGGTGTGGGGGCTTGCCCCCACCATTAATCTACTTAACTTACTAAGGCTGCTACAGTTAGCCATCAATAAATAATGAAATTGGTGCACAATAAAATGTAATTATAGTATGTGACTCGATATATTCCATACTATGAATGAGTTTGGTGCAGCTGGAGTGTGCAGGTGAGTTTTTGTTCTTTTAGCACTCATGGATTCAATTCCTTATCTCATTATAATTAACAGTCCTTATTACTGATCCAAATGAAGCATGAACTGTTGTTATTACAGCTGCATAATTATTAAGAGCACTTCTTATAACAAGTCATTTATATATTATCTATCAACAGTCTTCTTTGTACAATATCATTGACTGGGGCTCAATAATGCTCTTTAGCAGCCAAAGTAAGGAGAGTAAAAATATTAGGTGCTTCAAGCTGCACTAGCCAACAATACAGGTCTTGGAGATGAAAAGTTGAAGTTCTTTGAAATGAAGAGATAATATTTATGATTTGTAAGAATATTACTCTACTAAATGACATAGGGAATTCTGTACTTACATGCAATATTGAGAAAGAGTCAACAAAAATAAAAAATACAGTGAAACACCACATGTCATGCCGAAGTCATGGCTGATGCTGATCCCTGCCAGTCCGTGACAGTCACTGGTCACAACTAGATGCCACAGTGGATGCCTTAATGGCAGTTCATTTGAACTGCCATGGCTTTTGCATGTCGTAGGCGGGAGGGTCGAGGTTCATTTTTGATTTTTGATTTCTTAAATACTATCGGACCGAGAATTGATAAACCGTGATCAGACCGAGAATTTTACAATTTGATCAGCCACGTAGCAAGTTACATAAACAACAGAATGTATTATTAGGAACTAATCTGACACCTGATGACTGTCCCTATGGCAAAGCGGAAATGCTCCCCTTCTGTGAATAATGTTGGTCCTGATTCTCCCCTAGGCTTTTTAGGTTCAAACCCCTGTGCTGGCAAACATAAGTAATAATACTAATGTAATATATTGAGAAATTTCGGTGCATTTTAATATCGGAAGATCTGTATTTGAAGTGACTGCTGCTCCTGCTCCGTCCCGGAATCTTCTCCTGATTCTTCGTCTGTACTTGGTTCATTATTTTCTTCGAAGGCAGCAGTTTTGAGAAGCCCAAGACCAAGATTTTTGCACTTATTTCTACATTCATGCATATCACAGAATTTCTGGATACCTTCTAACCCATGATCACCAACTCCACTTTGACTAAATAAAAATGGTGAGGCATCATAGCTTACTGAATATATGAGCTTACCCTGCTAGAGTATGAGTCATAACATCAAAAAGAATGTGGTCCCCACTGCCACCAACAACTGTTTCAACCCGAGTAGCTGGATACAGGTGTATCAGATTGCTAGCAGTTTGAATCAAAGGCTGAGTATAAAACTTACTTTGCAAATCAGCAAACACCAGAGTCTTGTATGTCCAATGGTATGCAAAGTGTACAAAAGTCATTAAAGTATCCCCGAGTTTGCTATTGTGCAAAGGATGCTGCATAGTTCCTGACCATTTTGTTGTGACTGATGCCCGAGGCCGCATTGGTTCCAGTAACCAGGTAATGAACTTTTTTTGGGAATCAATACCACTATAAACAATGTCACTGACTCTAGAGGCAGGTGAAGGAACACCTTCCTTCCCAGGGCTTTCCAGGGCAATCCAAAAGTCAGTTACTTTCAAATCTTGTGTATAGGTTTATGTAAGTTAGCTTTTTAATAGTATAACTTTAGCCTAACTCACCTGTAGAAAGATTCATCTGATTTGTTTTTTGCCTGATCTATAAATGCTGCAAGAAGTCGGCAGAGTTGGCAAAGTTGGATTGCTTCATTCTCAATTTCAGAGTGGTTTTCCATTACTGAAACCAGCTCATCACCATTCCCAATATTCCAAAACCTTTTTGCAGCCCATTCTTTTCCATCAATGATAATCTATATAAGTAAGTTTGTGAGCAAAAGTAGTGGGGTATATAGCCATAGCAAATATTTACCTTGTAAACTTTTTTTGTTGCTCCAATGTCGAACTCTTCATCACAGAGATAACCTGGGATAGTATTATCTATCTCAGGATATGCAATTAAATCAGCTTGTCTCTGATCATCAAAGGAAATCTTTGCAAATAATAGGTCGATTTTTGTACTGCCTGAAGGCACTTGGGGTATCCAAGTTGATTTAAGTAATGCAGGAACAGCTAGTCAAAAATCAAAAACTGTTAATCACCGATAATATGGTACATACAGGATTTTTTTTGCTGGGAGCTAAGAGTTGTAACAAGAGTAGCAAGTTTTCTCTTTTTCTGGAGATCTTTTGGATTTTTCATCCAATCTGGGGCCTGGGTTCCAGTTGATTCCTCAAACTACACTGTGATATTAAAAAAGAAAAGTTCAAGGTAGATAGTGCTCACATCATCCACATTGATATAACCTTCAAGATAGATAAATGGGCTTTTGGGGGGTCTTGTCACTGTAGGGCATCTTTTGTTTTTATCACCAGGAAGATTGCTATCATTGGCATCATAGAAATAGCCAATAGTCTGAAGTTCACTCCCAGGCCGGGGGGTAATATTACCATAAAATCGGGTGTCAATGTGCTCACTGTATGATCCAAATATACTGGTCAGCTTATTGAAGACACCAGACAAAATTCAATACTAACAGAGTCAAACTTTCAGTCGATTTTTTGTCCCAAACAAGATTCCAATGTGCCAGCATTTCATTCATGCACTCTAACAATCAAGCTGCAGTTCAGATATACAGAAATGAGTGCAAAGATATCATACCTCGGAATAAATCATTCTCCGGAAAATTTCCACTGGCAACTCCAATTTTCTTCCACACCTCAGTCCCTCTGGGAGATATAGGTGCAAGATATAGCTTGATAATTCGGCCACCATATGCCCCTGCTGAATGGGCAGTTGTACTAGAGGTATTTGTAGAAGCTGCAGCCTTTCCAGTAGGAAGTATCCGATGAGCCATTGCAGAACTCCTTGCCAACTGTTTCTGTGTCTGCAGGTCCCTACTAGATGACAATAGCTCAGTTGCAGGGGGGTCTTTTGTATGACTATTGACTGATAAGTTCAGTGTTTGATCAATGAAATATTGTGATGAATGGCACTTGAAGCTATAAATACCTTTTCACTCACAAGCACCACAGAGTTTTACCCCTGCAGGCATAAACATAACAATAGCACCACATCCTTCACAGACAGGAGCAGCCTGTAAAGAAAAATATGAAGCTGGCATAAGTGATTTATAGGGATAGGCTGGATTTATACAGACAGCATCTCTCTTCACTTCTTCAGGATCCACCAAAGCTGAAAGGTGAAGAGAGCGAGCACAAAGGCCTTCATAATCCTTGTAAGCAAATGCTCGTTTACAGCTAAAGGTAGGCTTCTCAGGATCGAAGCAGATAGTGTAGTCGGTAGAAGAGGTAGTCATAACTGAGAATAAGTATCTCGAAGCTCGGAATGAAGGTATATATATATTCAGAGTAGCATTATGATTATCATCATGCTAAATAGCATCACCACAACAGCCATGATGATTGTGGCGATAGGCATGGTGATGGTGATGCCTAATATTTTTGACACATATATACCATCTGGAAAAAATCGGCAAAATCACAACTTTCACATACCCTCTTTCCTTGCTGCTGTTATATCATGCCTAACTCCTCAGGAGTTAATGGACACCAAAATGGGACTCGTAAGATGCTTGCACAATACATATTTCTGGTATAAGACTGGTGTATTATCTTTCTAGGCCCAGCAGATGTTTGGCTCCAGGAAATTCTGCAACAATATGCACATCGCAATCTGTCTTTGAAGCAAAGACTCCAGTATCTTCAGGAGAAGGAGGGATACAAAATCAGGTATGAACATATATTTCAACAACTATTACCTATAGCTGACTCACTTGAATTCATTGCAGTATGACAACTTTGAAAAAACTTAATCGTCAATTTCAAATACCAACAGTCAATAAACCTCCACCACTTCCAGTTGCAACTACTTCTGTTACAAAAGCTGTTTCTGCTGATATTGCTGCACAAAATGGACCTTCAACCATTCAGCAAAATCTTAGACTTGAACATAATATTTTTATACCTCGGCAAGTTTTGGTGCATATAAAGACTATTGTTAGTACTGATTCTACTTATGATTTAGTGATACTGTACAGTCTATCATGAGAGACAATTTTCCACATGGAGCAGAAACTCGATTTCCAGGGAAAAGGATACCTAGACCCCGGGGTTTGCTTCACTTAGGTGATGGAGTTTTTCAAGAAGTCCATGATGATGGTCATGAAAAAATGAACTGGAAAGCTCTTCGCATGGGTTCTGCAAGCATAGGCATTTATGGATTACGGGACCATTCATCTGGTAAAATTCTTTTTGAGATTGTAGTACCTAATGCTCGGTGCTCTAGCACAGTCAGACACATTTATTTGGACTTTGTTGAAAAATATGGCAGTGAGTAAATTATATGATTTTTATTTCATCCACTTGGTACTTACTTCAAGCCACCACTTTATCTTTATAGTGATATGCCAGCAGCTTACAGTTGATGGAGGAAGTGAAACAGGAGAAATGTATGCTTGTCATACAGCCCTCCGGTTAGTCCCTATATCTGTATTTGGTAAACATGCTAAACAGTGATAATATAGTGAAAAATATGCAGCTGATTTAGAGAGACCTGCCTTTGTGGCTCTCCCAAGTACATTGAATATTGTGATTGAGGGATCCTGGGGCCACTGGCTTAAATTCAAAGGAAAAACCATTCGGTCAGCAATTGAACTTGGTAAGGAGCAGGGGTACTTTCAGCCTGGCAGTGACCTTCATCTGTAAGTTTCAACTTCTTACTTTCAGATTATTATCTCACACTAAGATTAGCAATCTCTTCAACTGGATCTGGCCAAAAATAGTTCAACTTGGTGTCAATGAGTTTGTCCACTATTGGAACAATCACAAAACTCGGACACAACAGGCAGCCAATATACCATCTGGGGTTGCTCCAAATGTTATATTTGATTTTCTGTCATAAAGTACGCAGCCCCTATCATTTTCCCTTTCTCACTGTCTCAACACCTTTACTTGTACAATACATCATCCCACTGCTGTCAATCTCCATCGATTACTGATCTATCTATTACTGATCCACCTGACCCACCTTCTCTTTCTATCGGCTTCCGCCTCCTTCCTTGCCCCTGAACTGTACAGTATTACATCATTGTTTCTCGCAGACTAGATTATGTATATATAGCCAACCCTCCACAGCCTGGTCCCTTATCTTGACCTCTCTGTCATTATCTGGGACCAGGTATGTGCTTACTTATTATTACCTATGACTACGATACTCAATATATCTCTGTCATTATCTGGGACCAGTTCGCCTCCGCTCCGCTTAGTTGCTCCGCCTCACTGACCTGCTTAGTCGCTCCACCTCACTGCCTGGCTTAGTCACCCCGCTTCCTGCTCCGCTAGTCACTCCGCCTCTGCCGCTTCGTGACATTAGGTCAAGATCCATTACTGCACTGACAGCCTACCGATAAGGTTGTCCTTGCAGGATCCGTAGACACCACGTCTTCCCCAGTCCCGCCCAATTCTGAAACACCTGCTGCCAGTATAGACTGCTCCGCACTCCCGCACGCACTTGACCCCAGAGACCAAGCTCACACCCACAACAACAACGATAGTTGGCGTGATTGCCAGTCTCAACCTTGCCCCAATGCCCTTTCCAACTCCATCCGAGAGCCACTCACTGTGAGCAATATAACCTTCCTGCCAATTCCCCAGCCCCGATTGCCTACTCCCATCATGTCGACTCCTGTCCCGCCTACCCCAAATACCTCCGCTGAGGATCTCATGGCTCAGCTCATCAGACAAGTAGCCAGCCTTGCTACAGCCATGGAGGAACACTCATCCTCCAAGTCAAGCATGAACAAACCCGAGGTCTTCAAGGGTAAAGATGGTGCTGAAGCTCGTCGCTTCATGGCTCAGTTCCAAAATTGGGCGTCAGAACAACCGGATCTCGCCAAGAGCCAAGTTAAACTTATCAAGTCCGCCCTGGGCTTCTTCACAGAAAGTGCTGGAGATTGGGCAACTCCCCATCTGTTACACTTCAGTGCAGAGAATCCCCCTTTCGGAGGAAATTGGAATACGTTCTTGAAGGAATTTAGCCAGCGGTTTGAACCAATGGACCCAGGTATGGAAGCCCGTAGCGAGATCAAGAACCTCAGACAAAGTAAAGGGCAGACAGTTGCAGAATTTGCCCAGAAGTTCAAGGATATCGGAGATCGGACTGAAATGTCTGATATTGATTTACGGGAACGCTTCTTCACTGCCTTACTTCCGGAGATCCGACAACACCTTATCATCGTAAATATCACCCAAGGAATTGCTCCGACTTTGAAAGAGGCAATCAAATGAGCCATATCGGTGGATGTCTACCTGCATGATCCCACCATAACCGGCCGAAACACCGGACACGCTCCCGCACACACCGCTCACATTACCCCTGCCGACCCTCACGCCATGGACATTGATGCTACTCACACCAGCACTGGGAATAGCAGGGAGGCCTTCCTTGCCCGTATGCGCGGACGATGTTTTGGTTGTGGAGCTCAAGGCCATGTTAAGCAGAATTGCCCACACAAGGAGACTACCTGCCGATACTGTGGACACCGAGGACATCTAGAATCCGTCTGTCAGGACAAGTTCATGGGACTTGGTCGCAACCGTGGCCGACGCCAGCAGCCTCGCCGTCAGCAGATCTCAGCCACGGCGGCACCATTTACCTTATTCCCAAACAAATCAGTTCAGATTGCCGCCTCAATCCCAACACCTGTCGCTGGACCTGCTATACCGAGCCCCGCTAATCAGGACTTCTCCACCCAAATTGGACAAATAAGGGAATTGTTGGACCGTGCTAATGCCATGTCTCCTCTGTCCTTTGGTTTTCAGCAGGGTTTTTAAAGAGGGTACCCACTCCGGCTGCACCGAGAGTACCCCATAATCAGTTTACTATGTTCGCTACCTCTTTGTATGACTTGCTCCCATCATGTACAATATCATCTATCTGGGAATTAAATTCCAGCTCCCCACATTTCCGAATTCATGCGAAACTAAGAGGAAGGAACCGTAGTATAACAACCGCAGCCATGGTAGACTGTGGAGCTACCGCCCTGTTTTTAAACCAAGACTTCGCCACCAGAAATCACGTAACCTGCGCACCCCTCCATAAACCAATCGATGTATTCAATATTGATGGTACACCTAACCGAGCCGGGCGAATCACCCACTTTGCACGCTTAGCACTCACAGTGGATAACCAGGAGCGATGGATGGATTTCCTGATCACAAACTTAGGAGGAGAGGATATTATTCTCGGACTCCCCTGGTTACGGAAGGTAAATCCAGAGATTGACTGGGAGAAGGGACGACTTTCAGTAAAACCACCCCGGGTACATATAAAGGAAGTGGAAGATGAGCAGACTTCACGCCCTCACCTAGTGGCGTCTACTACCGATAGTCCAATCCAGGAACTCCTGAACGAAGGATCCCAACGTGAACCCAATCACACTGAGGCAGACCTAGAGGAGAATGAAATCATAACAGCAACAGAAGAATCCCCAATACACCGAATACGAGCCAATCACAAAACGCGTCGGGCATGGGTGAAAGCGGGGATAATGAAAGAACAAACAGAGGAAGTATGGTGCTCAGCAGGGTTCACTTATTCTCAACAACTAGCAGAGGAGGCTAACCGCGATAAACCCATTAAAACCTTTGAGGAGATGGTCCCTGAGCAGTACCGAGACTTCAAGAAGGTTTTCTCCGACTCTGCCTCTGAGCAATTACCTGCCCATCAGCCCTGGGATCACGCTATCGATCTTGTACCCGGAGCACCAGCAACCATGCGGACAAAGATTTACCCAATGTCCTTGAACGAGCAGGAGGAACTCGACCGCTTTCTAGAAGAAAACCTACGGAAAGGCTACATCGTTCCCTCAAAGTCACCCATCTCATCTCCAGTCTTCTTTGTGAAGAAGAAGGATGGGAAACTCCGTTTCGTACAGGACTACCGGAAACTGAATGAGTATACTGTGAAGAACCGATACCCTCTCCCATTAGTTGCTGATATCATTAGCCGGCTTCAGGGAGCGTGATATTTCACCAAGTTTGACGCTCGCTGGGGCTACAATAATGTGCAGATTAAGAAGGGGCATGAATGGAAAGGCGCATTTGCAACAACTCGGGGCTTGTTCGAGCCTAAGGTTATGTTCTTCGGTCTCACGAATTCCCCTGCCACATTCCAAGCACTTATGAATGCGATATTTGCTGATCTCATTGCAGCTGGCAAGGTGGCAGTCTACCTAGACAACATCCTCATATTCAGTAACGACCTCAAGGAACACCAACAAGTGGTACGGGAAGTATCAATGCGACTAGAAAAGCACGACCTCTATTTGCGCCCAGAGAAGTGTGAATTTGAACAGCAACAGATCGAATACCTTGGACTTATCATTTCAGAAGGGGAGGTGAGAATGGATCCAGTCAAAGTAGCGGCTGTTCGTGACTGGCCAGTCCCTACCAACCTCCGGGAACTGCGAGGATTTTTGGGGTTTGCAAACTTCTACCGGCGCTTTATCCGAAATTTTGCAAGAATAGCTCGACCTTTGAACAACCTAACCAAGAAGGATACCAGCTTTAACTGGACTGGTATGCAACAGGAGGCATTTGACACCCTTCGAGAGGCCTTCATCTCCGCACCAATCCTTGCTCTATGGGTGCCAGACTGGCCCACTCGAATTGAGGTAGACGCATCAGGCTTTGCTACGGGAGGCGCCCTCATGCAGAAGCAAGACGATGGTCAGTGGCACCCGGTAGCCTTCAGATCGGCATCCATGCAGCCAGCAGAACGGAACTATGAAATATACGATCGGGAGATGCTTGCCATCATTGAAGCATTGAAGGACTTCCACAATCATTCGACATTATCACCGACCACTCCAACCTCGAATTCTGGCGCACAGCACAAGACCTCACCCGTCGACAAGCCCGATGGGCCCTCTATCTATCACGGTTTGATTTTCATATGATCCACTGTCCTGGCCGAGTAAACACCCAAGCTGATGCTCTCTCTCGTATGGCAGTACATCATGTATCAGATAGCGATGACAATCAGCAACAGACCGTCCTTAAACCTGGCCACTTCACCAAAATCGCCGCTTCAATCCTACGGAACCCCCTAGAGTGTCATGAAGTATGTAGCCCCTATCATTTTCCTTTTCTCACCGTCTCGACGCCCTTACTTGTACGATTACATCACTGTCAAATCCCATCGATTACTGACCCACCTGATCCCCATCATCGATTACTGATCCACCTGTTACCCTTCTCCTTCTACTGGCTTCCGCCACCTTCCTTGTTCCTAAACTGTACAGTATTACATCGTCATTTCTCGCAGATCGGATTATGTATATAAAGCCAACCCCTCACAGCCTGGTCCCTCATCTTGACCTCTCTGTCATTATCTGGGACCAGGTATGTGCTTACTTATTGTTACCTATGACTACGATACTCAATACATCTCTGTCATTATCTGGGACCAGTTTGCCTCCGCTCTGCTTAGTCGCTCCGCCTCACCGCCTTGCTTAGTCGCTCCGCCTCATCGCCTTGCTTAGTCACTCCGCTTCCCTGCTCCGCTAGTCACTCCGCCTCTGCCGCTTCGTGACATAGAGGATCATATTCGGAAAGCCTCAGAACGGGACGCACAAGTACTGGAAGGTCTGGAAACAGTCAAGAAGCATGGGTTACAATGCTTGGCCAATGGGATAGCTGAATGGGAGGAGGACAACGGGTTGGTCTACTACCGGGGCCGGGTACATGTACCAGCAGACGACAATCTATGCACCAAGGTACTCCGTCAATGCCATGATCATCCAATTGCTGGACATCCCGGATTACATGGGACACTTGACCTGGTCAGCACCCACTTCTGGTGGCCAACACTGCGTTCTTTTGTGGAGAAATACGTTGAGGGATGCGAGATTTGCGCTCGCAAGAAGATACAATGGCACCCACGAGCTGTAACTCAACCACTGGATGTACCATCCGGCCTCTGGGAAGAGGTAGGGGTCGACCTGATAACACAATTGCCTAACTCCCAGGGATACGACGCAGTCTTGGTCTGTACAGACCTGTATGGAAAACAAATCCATGCTATTCCTTGCACCAGCTCCATTACAGCCGAAGGTGTCGCCGATATCTATTACCGAGAAATCTTCCGTCTCCATGGTCTTCCCCTCCACTTCAAATCCGACCGCGGACCTCAGTTTGCAGCTAAACTCATGCAATCCCTCCTCGCTAGACTGGGAATTAAATCAGATCTAACCTCCGGATATCGTCCTCAGTCCAATGGCCAAACTGAACGCGCAAATCAGGAAGTGGAAAAATACATTTGCCTCTACGTGGGACGACGACAAGATGACTGGGCAGAACACCTCCCCATGGCGGAGTTTGTGATTAATTCGCAGACTCACTCGGCCCTAGGCATGTCCCCATTCGAGTTAACCTACGGATACCTTCCCCTGTTCAATATCCCGGTTGGTCAACGCAGCGGCATTCCAGCGGTGGATGACCGCATACAGATTCTCCGAGAAGCGCGACAGGATGCTGGAGCTGCCTTACATCTAGGAAAGAAGCAACAAAAGGAGGGATACGAACGTGGGAAGCGAAAAGCGCATCAATTCAAAGTTGGGGACCCAGTCTGGCTAAGTGCGGAGGACATTAACCTGCAGCTATCCAGCGAAAAGCTAGGAGACCGACAGCTAGGACCTTACCGCATTCTGGAGAAAGTCGGACCTCTGGATTACCGCCTTGACCTTCCCCTGTCACTAGACCGCCTTCATCCTGTCTTCCATGTCGACAAACTATATCCATGGAAAGGTAACCCCATCAATGGTGAAATACCAACACCACCAGAGCCGGTATACTTAGAAGATGAAGATGAACCGGAATATGAAGTGGAGGAGATCTTGGACAGTCGGGTACGATGGAAGAAGTTGGAATATCTAGTAAAATGGAAAGGTTACGATGCAGGACACAATTCTTGGGAACCCGCACCCAACCTCAGCCGGGCACCAAAAATTGTTCGGGCCTTTCACAAAAAACATCTGACAGCGGCAAAACCTTGACCATCGAGGGCAATGGTCATAAGGAGGGGGGTAATGTCATAAAGTACGCAGCCCCTATCATTTTCCCTTTCTCAACATCTCGACGCCTTTACTTGTACAATACATCATCCCACTGCTGTCAATCTCCATCGATTACTGATCTATCTATTACTGATCCACCTGACCCACCTTCTCTTTCTATCGGCTTCTGCCTCCTTCCTTGCCCCTGAACTGTACAGTATTACATCGTTGTTTCTCGCAGACTAGATTATGTATATATAGCCAACCCTCCACAGCCTGGTCCCTTATCTTGACCTCTCTGTCATTATCTGGGACCAGGTATGTGCTTACTTATTATTACCTATGACTACGATACTCAATATATCTCTGTCATTATCTGGGACCAGTTCGCCTCCGCTCCGCTTAGTGGCTCCGCCTCACTGACCTGCTTAGTCGCTCCGCCTCACTGCCTGGCTTAGTCACCCCGCTTCCTGCTCCGCTAGTCACTCCGCCTCTGCCGCTTCGTGACATTTTCCACAGAACTATGGACTCATCAACTGTGGAATCACAATTGATCTTGAAGATATTTCTGCTCTATGGGAAACTATTCCCCAATCACGGAATGAATGTTATCAATGGGTTCCTGATGAGTTCAATCAGGTTGCCGAAGAAGCATATGTTCAACTTGGATCACCTCAACTATCTCATAGCAATGGCTGGTAGTTATTCATTGATATGTTACATATATTGACTCAAGAGTAGAAGTACAGGTTATAATTATACCCTTCTGTTGGAGACTTACTAAGTTTACATGGTCACATGTGGAATTGACCTCTGCCGAATGGCAATTACTTCCGAGACAAAAATCCTGATGTATGAAAATGAAGAACCAGCAAAAGTAGCCCAAAAGACAGTAACTGTGAAACTATGGAATATGGTATGTCGCAGTGCCTTACTGGTAACCTACACTTCTTCTTATGATATTATATGTGGCTACAGGAGGGTGTCAACCCAATTATTCTTCCGACATATACACAAGACTATCCATATTTCTCTATCAAAGCCTGCTCTTCATTTATATATGAATTCCTCGGAAGCCCTGCTGATAATCAAGCCATTGTCTCAACATATGATCCCTTCAGTTCGCAGTGGCAGGTTCATACAGTAACAACAGTGCAAAGAATTTATCCAGCAGCACACCTTCTGCTCTACACACTTCTTCCCTCTGGCTTTCATGGCCCTCACCGATATATTTCAGCCTATCCTGGTTTAGAAGCTGACATTTAACTATATGGTCTATGCTCTACAGCTTTGAGTCTTACATATCCACATCCTATTCGTCAGTCTTCATTCTCCGATTCAGCAGGCTCAGAAACAACTTCGGTGAATCCACGGGACTTAGAACTGTTGTTTATGGGGCTAGGACCAACTCTAGTGAACTCAGAAACGAGGCCAAAAACAAGTTCAGGCCAAATTTTGGCAGGGTTAGATAAAGCTTCAGTGGATTTCGAACCTTCATTCTACAGTTCAACCACCTCAGAAGAAACAAACTTTGGACTGTCCACAGAGTCAGGAAAAGATTTCAAAGATTTGGAACTAATGTTGATGGATCCAGGACCAACTTTCTTTGGATGGCTTTCCTCAGGACCAATGTCGATGGGTTCAGAACTACTGCCGATGGGTTCAGGAATGTTGACTAGTCCAGAATCAATGTTGATGGGTTCAGGACCAATGTCAGCTAGTCCTGAATCTATTGACATTGGTTTTGAACTACTGTCGATGGGTTTAGGAATGTCGACTAGTCCAGAACCATTGTCAATGGGCTCAGGACTACTGTAGATGGGTTCAGGAATGTTGGCTAGTCCAGAACCATTGTCGATGGGTTTAGAACTACTATCAATGGTTCCAGAACCAATGTCGATAGGTTCAGGACTACTGTCAATGGGTTCAGGAATGCCGACTGGTCCAGAACTAATGTCAACAGGTACAGAACCGGCTTCAATAGATTTTGGACTGGTGATATCAGGATCAAACTCAACTACAGTCTCTCTACGCCAATGGCCCACTGGCTATAGTTTTGGGGAAATTGTATCTGGTTTAGAAAGGCTGAATGCACTACATTCTGCTGTACCAAAAGTCGATTTGAAGTCAGCCTTCATTACCAGCTTTCCTGATGCACACAAGTATGTTCCATCTACAGTCCAGAATCATTGCCATCTGCTACAAAAAGCAGTAAAAAGGGGCCTGATTAATGTAGGGTGGGTAGGGATGTGGACTGAATTTGTTAAGCATATGAATCAGCTTCTTACTTCAGAGCAGAGTACTTATCACTATATAAATATGACTATGGGATAAATAGAAGTTTACATCATTCTTCTAATCAAAAGTTATGGTTTTCTTTTTGAGATTGATATGCATTTAATATCCCAGATTCTTTACTTTATAGCTTGTTATGTTTCATAATCCAAATTTCCTTTTCCAGCTCCCCAGTTAGATTCTCCAAATGCTAATCTATCCTGGGCATCAAGTTCTGCAAATGAGTCTCCAACTTTTTTTGAAAAAGCAAATGTCAGGTTGAGGTTTTGTGTACCACCTGTTACTGTGGTTCCATGGACATGGCTGGGATCAAATTGTAGTGCGAGTGTCCGTCGTATGTCCAAAAGAGTAGTATTGCTCAATAAGTTGTAAACTGGGGGCCTGTCCCGTACATCTGTAGCAAATATATAGGAACTATTGATATGTATCATCGTGCGTGAGGCTGCGACGTGTATGTGAAACCTCAAATTGTAAGTAAGTAGCATGTAAGTAATTTAGAGAACAATAAGAAGTGAAAGTGATCGAAGGAAACAAAGGAAAGTATCAGTCGTAACCTGAATAGCGACGTTGCGTATGATGGCGGGCTTGACGTCTAGTCCGTCTGCTCCCTCTACATCTCCCCCTCACTTGAATTTCGAGCGCCCTCGCTCGAACCGGCGTCGAACGAAAACCTAATCATCGACTGCCTCGCTGTCCATACTATCCAATGCCTCTTTGTCCAAAAACTCCGTAATCTTAATTCGTTTCGTTGACCTCGAATGGTAGGGAATAATGCGAAATGCTGCATATCGAAGACGAGAGATGGCGCCCGTAAGTTCTGCTAAGCGATAGTTTCCTCCGCGAGTACGTTTGACGATGACCATGGGGCCGAAATAACGAGGGAGTGCCTTCTTGGAGATGCCAGTTTCGATACGTTTATTGAGAATTAAGACGAGGTCGCCTGCCTTGAATTTGTAGTCCCTGATAACATTCTTGTGGTAACGGCGGAAGGCTTCGACTGATTTAGAACGACTCTGTACCACCTTGTCATGGATTTGAGCTAAATCCACTTCTCGCCGTTCGAGTTGCTGGGCTCTGAGTCCAATAAGGTCTGCATCTGAGAGCTTCGAGGTGATTTCGGGTAAAAGGAATGTGGCTTGGGTGATGTCGAAAGGCAGAAGTGGCTCAACGCCGTGTGATGCATAGTAAGGGGAGTAACCAATATCCCGTCGGACTGTGATACGGTCGGCCCAGAAAACATATGGCGTAACCCTTGTCCACTGTCGGATGTCACTACCACAGGCCTTGACAATTCCATCGCGAATGTAACGATGTGAGACCTCAACAGCTCCGTTTGCTTGAGAGTTGTAGGCAGCGATGCGGATATGAGTGATGTGGTACCGTTCCCGAAGCCAATCCAAGGCTGCTACAATCGAGGGTCCATTATCGGTTGTGATTTCCTCGAGTCCTCCCCATCGACACAGAATCTCCTCAAAGATGAACTGTCCTAACGTCTTCCCATTCTCCTTCTTCAGCATTCTCCATTCCGGCCAGCGAGATAGCGAACAGCGACCTTGAACAATGAACTTGAAGCCTTGGACCATGGGCATATACATGACGTCGATGTGAGCTTTACGAAAGAGGGTGGCTGGGATAGAGATGGAGGGTGGGATGACAACTTTTTCGGTTGAGCGAACTTGACATTCATGGCATGTCTTCAGGAACCAGTGAAGATCGTCGTCAAGGCTAGGCCACCAGAAACGATCTGCTAGTGTACGTCGTGTTGAATAAAAACCTTTGTGCCCTAAGTCGTCGTGAGCTTGTTGTAGGAGGGAAAGTCGATCAGGAAGGGGAAGAATGACAAGTTGATGTCGGCCAGAGTGTTCTCGTCGCCATAGACGATTTGCTTTGACAAAATATCGCGAGGCTCGTTGAATGAATTGCTTGAGTTGCAGTGTGGAAAGCGAGGATGGCGTTGTGAAGGTTGTGAGGTAGTCCTGTATCGTACGAAGCTCGTTGTCACGTCGTTGGGCTACTTGACTATAAGGGATCGTCACATCGTCAGATGCTACCCCTTGTGCAGCCAGGCAGAACGCCGAAGACGTTCCAGTGCCTCGATACTCGACTATACCACCAAACTTGTCCTCCTTGTCCCAAGCTCCTGCTATCCATACACCAGCACTCAGAATTTCATCTACCCATTCCTCAGCAGCTCCCTCTAGTTCATCTCCTTCATCGACTGTTCTTCGTCGCCTTGAAATCCCATCCGGACCCACGAATTCCTTCCCAGGTATGTGTTTGAGGTCGAAGTCGAAAAGTTGTATGGCGGCTATCCAACGGTTGACGGCTGCGTTCGGATGCATATCAGGATTGTTGATCATGCCTTTGACATACGAGGCATCCATTTCGACAATGAGTTTTTGGACCCCGATGAGGTATACCTTCATCGCGTGAAAGGCTCGAAAAAGACCGTAGAGTTCGATTTTTGCCTGTGAGTAGCGAGCTTCACGTTCGTTCCAGGCTATAGACCAGAAACGAGAGGGTCGTCGTCTACCATCCTTGTTGTCTTGTGAGAGAATGATACCACAGGCAATGTATGAGGAGTCGACAGCCAAGATGACGGGAAGAGGAGAAAGGTAGTCGATAGTGACCAAGGCATCACATTTCGAAACAACCTCCTTGATGGTGCTCATAGCCTGTTGGTGTTCTGGTAGCCAAACGAATGTTGCATCCTTCTTCGTCAGATTCACAAGCGAGCGAGTGATCCTTGCAAAGTCCCGGATCCAAACCCGAAGCACTCCTGCAGTCCCAAGGAACCCTCTGACTTCGGTAACAGACTCGCAAGCTGGCCATGACTGGATTTTCACAATCTTGCTGTTGTCGGGGAGTCGACCTTCGTAGGTACAGACCGTTCCTACAATTTTGAGCTCCGGGACTGCGACCTTGAGTTTCTTTGCAGAAACGGTAACGCCTGCGTGTTTGAGTCGATGAAGGATGCGGTTGAGGTCGGTGGCATGCTCCCAAATGAAACGACGAATACCCGGGTTTTCCTCCAGCACCTCGTATCCTCCCGCTGGCTTCTCATATCGAGTTCTTGGTCCCAGAACCGGTAAGTGGTCCACAAAATTCGGAGAGATCTCAGTCTCATCCTGCAGCAGAAATGCGACGTGTCCGTGGAAGACTGGGATGGATCCAGTCCACCCTTGGGGGATGCGAGCTAGGCGGAACGTTCCAATGGGGGTATCAAAGGTTGTGGGGTCTCTCGAATCCTCGTGAAGTGTCCCGTGGTCGAAACCTGCGATAACATCTATTCCCGAATAGATGCCACGACCGCCACATTGCTCGAGGAAGAGATGGAGGATGGGAGGTTGTCCTGAGTCGCGCACCGTGATTGCGTTAAGTTTCTTGAGGTTGTGGACAATGCGCAAGCCACCATCTGACTTCGCTACCACAAACCACTGCGAACGGTACGAACTATTTGAAGGTTCGTACAGTCCCGATGCAACCTTCTCCCGGACAAGCTGGATGACCTTATCGCGAATTCCCGGAGGTATTGGTAGTGTCTTCTCGGCCCATGGTGTATGTGCGATTGTTGGGATTTTCAGGGGAGGGAAGTAGTCTTCGCGAAATCGTCCTTTCTCTGTTTCGTCCCAAGCTATTCCCAACTTGTTCTTCTTCAATACGTCTGCCATTAGTAGACGTTCTTCAGGCCAGAGAAATTTGTTCGTTAACACACCCAGTCCGTCTAATCGATCCTCCGTTAGGCGAACACCAGGCGTAAATTGTGTTGGGTTGGGAGAGAGCGTTGGGAGGGAAAGAAGGGGATTTTCAGGGAACCTTCGGATCACTTTGGCGTAGTCAGGCATAACGGTCGGGATGGGTTGAACCCTTTGCGCGACACGCTTGTAGGCGAGGACATGGCGGGTTGGGTGAAGTGAGTAAGTGAAGTCGAAGAAGAGCGTGGCAAGAGAGGAAGAACTGCCTGCCGGTTCCGGACCGGTTGATTTCCCATACCTTGGCTTCTTCCAAACACGTTCCCCCGTGTCCAAACCCGTTGTGAACGATGTATTAGGACCAACCCTCGGCTTGGTGTGGATGACTCGTGGAGCATCGCGGCCTAGTGGGTCGTGAATAGTGACAGTGACTGCCTCGTTGGTCTCCACCTTCGCTAACTGGACCAGCTTTTGCCATGGTCGACCCAGCAGAACTCGAAAAGGACCTGAGGGGACTATAAACGCATGCGCCCATGTCCGTAACCCATCCACCATAATTTCGAGGTACTCGGCGCATCCCTCTAGTGGTGCAGTGCTTCCATCCGCAGTCCGCATCATCATCTCCTGCTCCCGATTGACTTCAAACCCCAGTTCTTCCCATACATCCTTCCTTACCAACACAATCTCAGAACCCTCATCCAACAACGCAAGCTCCTTCTTCCCCCCAAACAATTCGACTTCAATCTCTCGTAACGGTGTCGCAAATTCAATCTTGAGGGGCTCGCTCGTTGCAATATTGGTTTGGGCATCCGGCGTCTCCTTGGTTTTTGGAATGCGTTGGACTTTTGCATAGTCTAGCCATTCCTTGCGTAGGTCTCCGCTGAGTGAGACAAGATCTCGCACTGTCACGTCAGGAACAACAACATCAAGGATTCGTTTGAACATCTTGTTCACAGCAAGTGGATCTTCTGCTTTGGATTCGTATGTGAAGGCTGGCTGGTTTCCAGACATGGTGAGTCGTCCTGGCAGATTGACCTGCGCATCAGAAGGCTGATGAGTCCCCCTCACTTTAGATTGGTCTTCGATATCCTCCTCGCGTTGCTTTCGTTTACCTGCCGAACGAGTCACTGCCATCCCCGCATTCTCCTCGAGTCGTTCCAACTCTAACGACTCCATCCAAGTGTCTCCACCATCTATATTCTCACTGTCTTCATCATCCTCGCTGTCCTCACTATCCTCCAATGCATCCACATCAATAATCTCCACTGTCTGCTTTCAGACCTTCGATGAACTCGCTTCTACCTCTTCCTCACTTTCTGCCTCCACCGTTACCGCTCCCATAACGGCTTGGCGCTCTAAAAACCCGGCGCGGCCAAAACATCGCGGTTGATTGTGCCTTTGATACCTATAGTGGGATCGGCTGGGATTCGACAACGTGCTTGTGGATGGTTATCAGGCCAGCAGAACCAACGACCAATTTGGGCAACACGATTTGCTCTTAGGTACTCAGAAAGGTGGTTGCAGTCACGGATGAGGTGGTTCTCCTTGCAAAAGAAGCAGAGGATGTCCGTCGGAAGTGGTCCGGAGGCTTGTCTCTGTGGCTGACTTCCTCGTCGATAGCTATTTCCATTCGTTGGGATTGAGTTTGGATACGTCGCCGGGTTTGTGGGTGGATTTGGGTAAGGTGTCATCTGGATGGCAGGAATAGCGGCTGTCTGGGCTGTCTGGGGAATCGGAGGGAGTGCTGCGATGGCACTGGCTACGATAGGCGAAATAGCGACGAGCTTAGCATAGACACCGGCGTAGCTAACATCATGGACATGCAATGCTCGGAGCTGCTTCGCAAGGTCCTCGATGTTGTCTGTTTGTGGTTTTTCAATCACCTTCGTGCGTACCTCCTGCTTCACGGTCTTCTTCCTTGGCTTCTGATGTACTGTCTCATCCTCGGAGCTAGCACTCGATTCACTTCCATCCTCACTGTCACTTCCGCTCGAGGACTCAAAGGCAACAACCTTACTCTTCTTCTTCTTCTTTGGCTTCGTAAACATCTTTGCAATCGGGTCATCGGATTCCATGCCCAGGACATCGTCGCTGAAGACTTCTCGACCCATCTTGAGGGCTAGCTCCATGTCAGGTACTGTAGTCCTGTCAAATGTAGAGTCTTTGAGCTCAATACGTCCCAGGATTTCCTTTCGATCTAGCTTGTGTATACCGTACCAAAAGTAACGATTAATTTCGTCGGTTGTCACCTTCTTGTCGTTCTTCAACAACCTCGACATGATTCGAAACTGGCGGTAGTATTCAATGAGGTCAGCTTCTTCTTCAATTCGTTTCTGTGCATAACTCTCAGCAAGCTTCAACAGGCCTTTTACTGTATACCGATGACCTTTCTTGGCACCTGGGTAAGCATCGAACAATTCCGTTTTCATCTTCGCCCAGTCTCGTTCCTCATAGCCATCCAAGGTCTTCCAGTAACTCTTTGTCATCCCATCAACATACTTCAAGATGCTGCGGACTTTCTCGTCGTCGGTTAGCTCCTGGGTGACAGCATGTCCTTCAAACTCCTCGAGAAAGTCTCGTAACTGCGAGCTATTTCCCTTGAATTTGTCCGGGGCTCGCGTCGAACCTGGGGCTGGCATGAATGCCGGACCTTTTGTGGCTGCGCGAGGAGGTGGAGTCGACATGAATGGAATGTGGGTAGGTACAATAGGTGGTGGCGATGGTGATAAAGATGACAGAGATGATACAGAGGAGGGTGTGGTCACCAGAGGGGTGAACTCGCTTGTAAGTGCTTCGTTCGGTGTGTCTGCAACAGGCTGTCTGACGTCTGCCTCTTTGTCAGATCTATTGGCTTCGTGATGTGTCACCTCCGCTGGGAACTGGAACTGACGCCTCCCTGTGTTTAGAAACTGTCGGTGGGACGTCGACGGAACACTGTCTCGTGCAGGCAGTGTTCGGACTGGGACTGGTATGCCGGATGGCTTTGAACGTGTCGGCGGAATTGTGCTCAAACTCGGGTGGGCTCCAGATGTAGTGCGAGTGTCCGTCGTATGTCCAAAAGAGTAGTATTGCTCAATAAGTTGTAAACTGGGGGCCTGTCCCGTACATCTGTAGCAAATATATAGGAACTATTGATACGTATCATCGTGCGTGAGGCTGCGACGTGTATGTGAAACCTCAAATTGTAAGTAAGTAGCATGTAAGTAATTTAGAGAACAATAAGAAGTGAAAGTGATCGAAGGAAACAAAGGAAAGTATCAGTCGTAACCTGAATAGCGACGTTGCGTATGATGGCGGGCTTGACGTCTAGTCTGTCTGCTCCCTCTACAAAATGCAAATATGGTTCCAACTGCACCAACAACCACCACAAGCAGATTCGCATTGACAAAATTTGCTCCACCATAAGCAGGAATATTGATATTTTGTCTAGCTGTTTTTGTGTCTTGCTGACTGCGCCCAACATTAAGGTTGAATGCAAATGGTGCATAGCAAGGGTCAGTATGAGCATGCCTATTGATACATGAGAACAAAGACAAATTATATCTGATAAAACATACGCTGAATAACCACTGATCATATAGAGCTCTGGGGGAGCCCTGTTTACATTAGGATAAATCATGTGTCTTTCACCAATTTGTAGGTGAAAACCTTTCCCTATGTTATACATTAGTCATTTAGACTATATGATATGAGATAAAACATACCAGGTGCTACATACTGAGTAGCCATATGGGGAATGTTGCAGTTACTGAGTATTTCTACCATTGGTGCAGTTACTTCAGCAGGCATAGTGGACAAAGCCATTGACCAAAAGATGCCAGATGCGGCAATAGCATCCTCGTCATGCAACTGCTTGGATTCATCAGATAATTTCCGATAATAGCTAGTACCATAACCAACTTTCCGCATGCTGGCAGGTATATGACGTGCACCCATGGTAAGTCCAACCTGTGCCATAATGCCTGGGTGTGTAGGCTCATAGAATATTTTAATTACAAGAATAATTCAGATTAAAGGAATAAATTGGCTTACTCTTTGATTCCTACGGTAATAACAACCAAATTCAATAACCTCTGCAAGCCAGCTATAGAAGGCCTTGCTGTCAGCAGTTGGAGGTGTCATGCCCACCCCCCGGATTACCACAAGCTTGATAGATTTGAAGATGAATTTGGAGTGGTCTTACAAAAATTGTATCAGTAAATCATAATTTATGATGATACTGAAATAATACCTCCAGTATAGAACAAAACTGATTCAGTTTCAAGAACAATTCTGAAGCCATGAGCCTCATCAACAATAGCTCCAGAACATCCCAGTGGTACAGCAGAATCATACATCTGTGTATGAAGAGGGAATGGTGCTTTGCAGAAATCCCTCTGCACTAAATTCAGTATGGTACCACAAGGCAATTTAAAGGAGGATTCTCCCTGAATGATAGCAGAAGCAAGAGTATAGGATTTATGATTGATACCAAGATGAAGGATCTGTATCATCGGAATAATCAATATCTGGAAAAAAATATGAAAAGGAAACTTTAATACAAGGCGCCGCTTTTCCTGATGAGTAGCTTGATCATTCAGATCCTTTGACTGAATAAATCGGAGGTAGGTATTCTGTACTACATGGATAGCTTTGGGGTTATTTTCGAGTGAAACTGATTTAAGCTGCCGAAAAAAGTTGTTCCACTAAGTAAATAATGAGATTAGCAGCAGGTACTATGAAAAGCTTATAGCAGGCTTGCATTGAGAACTCCCTGATATTCTACAGCTCTAGCATATACCTCCAGTGTTGGATGAGTTTCTTGATACAATGCTTCGGGTGTCAGGGTTTCGATGGTGGACAAATTTTGTACTATCCACTCGATTTCTGTCCCAAATTTTATCAGGTAACTGAGGGAGATAGTGACTAGAGCTGACAAACTTTTATTACTCTTCTTCGCCCGCTTGGGTGGTTGATGCATGCCTGGAAAGCAATATAGTGCAGGTTATCCTCGAAGATGGAGTGATAAAGTTTTTTGTCCACATGACTTATTAATTCTCGGTCCGATCACGGTTTATCAATTCTCGGTCCGATAGTATTTAAGAAATCAAAAATCAAAAAGGAACCTCGACCCTCCCGCCTATGTACTCCATTTTGCGTCCCATGTGAGAGCTTGGTAAGATCATGTACACCGTGTAACCGTGCCAAAGCCACAAGGTGTCTAAGTGCGGAAGATGAGTGGGACAGTAGTGAAGTTATTAACAACACCGCCGTTATGCCGTTAGTCCCCGGAGATCGAGAGTATAGAGGGAGGAGCTAAGTAACAGCCAAGTCGGAGCGGCGGTAACGCCGGTGACGAGGAGTGAACCAGAGAACGTCGAAGTTCTAAGGTTATAGTAGAGAGTACTTCAAGGCGATGAGCCTGAAGACTTAGAGGAGCACAGAGTTAAGGAGGGAATCTAAGTTGATAATTAAACTGAGGAACTACAGTAGCGTACAGGCAGTATTTATATCTACGGAACGGCGCAGCGGTGCGGAGCGCCAGACTAACTACTAGGAGCTATACGAGTAGTACCTGCAGGGTAGAGTAAAAGACAATAAGGAGAGACTAGAACGAAAGGGTATGTGTAGTGAGAAAGAACAATAAGAAGAGATTACAATAATGAGTGGATCTTCGGAGTACCGAGCGGCGGAATGGAGGCCCGAGGCATGGGCTTGACAGAGCTTTGCATCACCGACTCTGAAAGAGGAGGTCCTTGTAGGTAGCGATCGGTAATCTGGCAGGAAATTTTCTTTTTTGGATGTATTAAAATCGGGTCTGTAGATCAGAATGCAAAGCTGTAGAAACACAGCTTTAGTTATATCAAGGGTGTGTTTTTGGGGGGTAAAATGCATTGGCATGACTAGGCATGACTCCATTCATTTGGCCAGCATGAACTAAGTTTGAGATTAAATGTTGCTGTAAAGCAGTATTAAGAGTCATATTATGAGTTTTTCAAGAATATATGATCATGTAAAACAAGATTTGACTTACTGCAAGTCATTGATGACCGAGTAATATTTTGAATAGAATTTTGCTGCCATAAGATATGTAATGGAGTATGGCTGTGCAGAGAAACATGTATGTTGAGTCAGTGCAACTGATGTAATGAGTCATTTTGAGTCTTTGAAGGAAAGAGTAATATCACTAATATATCTTGAAATATCCAATATGCAGGTTTGTTGAAAGTCATTTTTTACTGCACTCAATTCACAGTTGATATTGTCATTCAATGTCTTGAGTCAATCTGTGATATTGATAGGGGGAGTATATATAGCTTCATCAGAGTGTAATCTATTGTACAATAATGTCTTCAGTCATAGTTTAGAGGCAAGCTCTGCTCATGATGTATCACTATCCCCAGAGCTGTTTCTGTAGTCGTTGGGACTTCTCAAAGAAAATGCAGTTGTGGCTCTGGTTTTAAAAAGGATCTGGACATTGGTTTATGGTTAATGGTATAAATCAGTTTCCAGTTCTTCATTTGTTTGCATTGGAGTAACACATACTCAGAGTCTATTTTGGTATCAGCAACATCCAGCATTTTTGTTAGGTCACTCATTTTATCCAAGACAGACTTGTTGCCACATCTGCAAAACCTGTATTTTGGCTAAGGGTCTGAAAGCAGTTGAGAGCATTTCCCAGCAGTGAAAGCACTCAGAGCAACCTGCTCTCAGTGCTTTCAGTACTGGGATTGGCTGGGATCTGCTCTCAGCCCTTAGCCAAATATCCATGTTTTGCAGATGCCAAGAGACAGGAGTGTTACAAAAAGTTCCATTCTACAGTGTCTTCATGCAGAAATTTGTTGCAGGTTCTGGAGATTCTGTCATTATCACCTTTTATCAATGATATATCCCTATATTGTATGCCTAAGGCAGTAAAGAATATTGACAAGTTTAATGTTCAATGTATTTTCCCTGATTGAGAATGTACAGTACTGCTTTAGCAAGTATTTGGGATTTGGGTTTGAATCACTTGTTTGTAGGACAAGCTCACAGTGGGTATGTCAGAGTATGCACAAGATTGATTTCAGTCTTTGTCATTTTTATTCTGGTGAGATTGTTATATTGAATAATTTACACAATATATAACTATCAATTAAGATGAAAATGGTACAATTCACAATGCATTGTTGAAGCTGAAGCTGGCAATAAATAGTCCATGTCTTTCATTTTTGCATATATTTTATCTGAGGTGTTAAGTCAACTTAATCTCAGTTGGTGGTGTGGCAGCTGTGGGTACCTGTTAAGTCAAGTTAATCTACTGCAATTAATCTATATGAATATACTTCAAGTTTACCTCAGTTAGCAACTGAGGGAGTTGAGTACTCTAAACAGTGTGATCTATGTAGAACTGCATAATATCAAGTAATAACACTGTCTCTCAGTTATGTGGGTCCCCAAGTGGGATCACAGCTATATCAGTATGTACAGAGTATGTTCCAACATGACAAAGTTACAAATAGCCTTTGATAATCCTGCATTCCACTATGCTGCACTCTGTTTCTTTAGTTACTATGGCCACAAAGGATCAGCGGTGCAATGGCCTGCAATTGCATGTATAAGACCTAGTCCTCTATCATTTGGTGTGACAAAATTCAGGGACATGGGCCACTAGCACAGATCTTGGTTAGTATTACATAACACCACAGATGTATCAAGGACTCTGCCAAGTCCATGCCTCGGTGCCCCGCTCTGCCGCTTGGTGTTCCGAGATCTACTGTTGATTGTAATCTCATCCTTATTGTTCTTTCTTGCTACACATTCCCTTTCTATTAGGCTCTCCCTTCGCTCCTCATTGTTGGCAACACCGCCACTCCAGCTTGGCTGCTTCTGGCTCTCTTCCTTCTTTACTCTCAATCTCTGGGGACTAGCGGTGTAACGGCGGTGTTGTTAATAACTTCACTACTGTCCCACTCAACCTCCTGCTCTTAGACACCTTGTGGCCTCTGGCATGGCTTCACAGTGTACATGATCTTAACAGACTCCAAAACCATGACAATTACCCTTAATACAATTTGATTCCTAATTAATCAAAATTTGTCCTTTAGCATTGATTATAGTGAGCTTATCTTAATATACTATACTTTGATTCTAGATACTTAAATTTGAGACATTGTAAAATAAGAAAGAGTCACAAGCAAAACTTGATGTTTTGTATCAAGGACTCCAAGATCACTGTATACATTATACCACTAGAATATATCTTACAAAATGACTTTTCTTTCTGTACTTCTTTCTCAACCTATCAATTGTCCATTTTACAAGCTCAAAATGTTGAACCCTTTCAGAGTCGGGGATTGCCGCATTTGCGGCGCTAAAGGATGATTAAAGGGAAAAATGGTGGCTCGAGATGAAGGACGAGTGACGAGTCATCACAATGTCATGTGATCGGGCGATGGACACACTAGTCGCACACCACTATGCTATGTACATAGTCGCTCATCTAGTGACAATGTTCACCTCTGAAAGGACCATTTGCATAACTCTTTGTTACTCGCTCTTCGCTCTACCTGACAATGTCCACCTTCGATTGCGGTTGGCTGTGGTCACTGCGGCGTCATTTCCCTAATCACATTCGATTTTTTTTCTACCGATCTATGGTCCACATGTTTGGACAGAGGTTGGGATGGAGCTCAGTCTTTCAACTTCCATTTGGTCTCTATGTGAAACTTAGTCGGACACCTAACGAAGCTTCTGCGATGGAATATGTGCGCACGAGGACCACGATCCCTGTTCCTGCTATATTGGACTGCGTAGAGATCACCAACTGGACGCTCAATGGCTCAAACCGCAGAATATTTCAAATTCTGCAAATTTTCGGTCGTACTGAGCCTTTCCATCGTTGGCTGATAGTGATGCAAGCTTCACCTGGAAAACCTCTTCAGGGCCCAGAAGGCTCAAGGCTCGCTGTAGCTTCAAATGAGCAGCTGCAAAATGTACGGGATGGCCTGACTGACTGGGTTAATCAATTGCGCACCCTCTCGCCACCACATCCCCAAAGAGTTTCGGGTTTTCTCGGTGGTGGTATCTATAGCTTCCGCATTGACGAGGCATTCAGACCTGTCGGTCCATTCCTTACCCCCGCCGAATTCCACTCACAAGTTTATTGTACCGCGTACCCCGATTTTCCGGATGAGGCAGACGAAAACCTCAAACGCCTTATAGCGGAGCGACCTTCCAAGGAATATAAAATTGTTTTCACTCATGGGGATATTCTTCCGCATAACATACTGGCTGATGAAGACTTTCGCTTGACAGGCCTAGTCGATTGGGAGTGTGCGGGGTGGATGCCGGATTACTGGGAAAAGGCTATGTCGTTAAGGGCAGCTTGGATTCGGGTGGTACCTTGGAGCGAGATTGTGAAGGATAGCTTCCCAGTGTATCATGATGATATGATTTTGGAGCAAAGGATTCAGATTTGCTATACGCCGTAAAGATTGAGTGAAAGGACCATTATTATACTCATACTCCGATACCTTTCTTTACAAAGAATCTCTCTTATTACTTGTAACGTTCAATCTCTTCAGCAAGTACATAGGATTCAATGACATTATTCATGCATATGCACAGTACATAGTAATCCATCAACGTCAACGTTGATCCTCACTGTCATAGCTAACAACTTCAACTCGTTCCATGACATTGGTATACTCTTCTCATAATCATATCTTCACGAAGACTTCACTTTTCAACGCAACTCTAAATGCTGATCATGGACCAATGTTGCCCAGTCAGCGAGCAAACTGGCTATGGTCAATCTGGCTTCATTTCCCTATTAGATTGCGTCTATCCTTTTACCAAACTATGATCACTTTATTTGGACGAAAGCAAGAAGTGAGCTCAATTTATCGGCTTCCTTTTGGATTTTGCGTCAAGCTTAGCCGGACTCCGATCGAGGCCCCCGCCATGGAATACGTGCGCAACAGAACCACGATACCTGTTCCTGTCGTACTGGACTCTTTTGACACTACTTGACTCGGTCCCGGCAGATTGTCACGTATTAATACACCCGAAAACCTGCGCTTGCGAAGTCGCACAGAGCCTTATAGCCGCTGGCTTATAGTAATGCGCACGCTTCCTGGCAAGCCTTTCAGTGAATGGGAAGGCCCAAAGCTGGGTAACGCTCCGAAAGAGCAGTTACAAAATTTACAAGATGGCTTGGCTGACTGGGTTAACCAGCTGCGTGCTTTAGCACCTCCGGATCCGCATAGAGTCTCCGGCTTCCTTGGCGGAGGTGTCGAAAGCTTCCGCATCAACGATTCATTCACTCCCGTAGGCCCTTTTCGCAATCCAGCAGAATTCCACGGGCAGATTTTCTGTAAAGCGTATCCAGACTATCCAGAGCCAGGAGATGAAAGGCTCAAACGTCTCATAGCGGAAAGGCCACATAAAGACTATAAATTATGTTTCACTCATGGGGACATTCTGCCGTTCAATATTCTCGCCGACGACGAGCTTCGTTTGACAGGCCTCATCGATTGGGAATGCGCTGGATGGATGCCTGAATATTGGGAAAAGGCGGCGTCGCTCCGCTCTGCGTGGATCCGTGCTGAACCCTGGAGCAAGATCATCCGTGACGGTTTTCCTGAATACGAAGATGATATGATTCTTGAAAAACGGATTCAACTGTGGTTTCAGCCTTGATTGTTATTATGTCTAACGCCTCATTTTTTGTCACTGTATCTAGTGGGTCATCGAAGCCTTTTCGCTATTGATCATGAGAAGGGTCACCTTGAGCTTTTTCGAATGGGGCTCATATCTTCGACAGTACATTGACTACAGTGTAAGCCACAGACAGAAATTATCGAAAGGCAATTCCATCGAACAGAAGACCGAAAGAAATTAGCCACTGTAGAATTGACATGTTGGGTGTATAAGGAATCCGAAATGCTAACCACGACCACCTGGTCCTACCAGCCAGCTTGGCGAATAATGTTCTCCGTTTCAGTCACCGCTCTTCCCTTATACCTCCTCTGATTTGATACATTTTGTTCGATTCGCACCAAACCTGATAGTTACACGTCGCGAATATTAATGACAGTAGATATAAATATATCGAAAGAACCTCGAAGAACCCAGTTACACCGACAACGACAGAGAGTGGGTGGAAGAGTAAACGGTAAGGATAGACACGGGCCCTTCCTTGTCTCGTCATAAGAATCGATTCGATTCAGCTTTGAATCCTTTCGAAAGCCGGAGAGTGACGATGTTTCCTGAAAGACTCGAGAACTATAAAAGAAAGTTCAAGCCGATTAGTAGGAAGATCTCTAATGACACGAAGGATTGCCCTCCAACTTACCCCGTTGCCAACAAACACCTCCGCCTTCTCTGCAATCGCCATATCCACTGCCATAGCCACATGCTTTTGAGCCTGGTCCATCTCAAGTTCGCCCCCATGCCTGACATCCTCCCACCCGTCCTTTTTCAGCGAATCCCGTAAGGAATTCAGCCACCATCCCCACCCATTCGAAAGCAGATAAATACGCTTTAAACCCGGGTTGTCTAGCCGGACCTGATGTAAACGAGCGACGATTTCTGGTATCTCCGGAAGACAATGAGTAAGGTAGTACGGTGTAAGGATGGCATGATCTTCCGAGGTCCTGGATGTTGTTGGTATTGCTGATGATGTTGAATTCCGTGATGAGAGTGCAGTAGATAAAGGAGGAGAATGAGCAGCAGGAACAGATGAGTGGAACTTGTGTTCTCGCAGATAGGCGTCTGCATCAAACCGATCCGGAAGTTCGTCATACTGGTTAACACCCATGTATTCGTCGTCCCAACCGACGAGGCGATGACAATGCCGAGAATAGTCCCCACGTCTGAGATGTACTGCAACAAGACCGGAGAGAACACCGGCATTTGAATGGGAATATGATGGTGGCGAGGGATAAAGATCGTTTAGGTCATCCGGTTGAAGGATGGCAAAATTACGAGCGACCACGGAAAGGACGAGGGGAGACCATGCAAAATTTGCAAGGATAGGTGATTCGAGTAGGGAGGAAAAGATGGGAAGGATTCGTTTTGTACCAAAAAGTCTGTACGAAGAGAAGGTCAGCAGGATATTACAAATCTTATAAATGGTATACTAACTCTCTGTCAAAGAGTGTGCGCCCAGCCGAATCAATGACAACACAGGGCTCGTCCTCTACTTTCTTCAGTTCATCCAAGAACCACGACACAATTGCGTTTGCGTCTTTTCCAAGACTAGCATCTATTGGTGCCTCCTTGGTATTCACCATAATTCTCTCTTCCGACCGACAGACAGTGTTGAAAAATTCCAAACTGACAGCACGGTGGGTGATACTGCCGTCGGGAACAGGTCCACCCGCAGAGGGACCAGAAATGAAGGCGTTCATAGGTATACGCGATGGACGGAGAGCAAAGTCATATAGGGTGTAAGGAAGTGGTGATTGAGACCATACATGGTCCTCAAAAACATAGGACCGGTGAGATTGCTGTGCGACGTAGGCCATGACAAAACTAAGGAAATATCAGCGTGTGAGATACTCGAGAAAAGGTGAAACAACGAACCTCTCCTGAAGTACGTTATTCAATCCGTGACCCCATAGAGCACCGTCGAACCAGAGATATTTCCTCCTATGTATTCTTTCCGTGACACCGTCTCTGCCAATTTTCTCGTTTACTGCCTCCCTGATCCTATGTTGCGGCAAACTTCTCTCATACGCCCTGACATCTTGGTACGTCGAAGGCACTCCCGAAGACAATATACCCACGACCAACAAAAAAAGCGTCGCAGAAATGATGAAAACCAGTCTCCGCAGCGTCAGCGTATGCTGTACAAACGATACCACGGAGAAGATGGTTAGCGAAAATCTACGTTTGTGAAGAACACTCTTCCGCCTTCGATGAGAAGGCGAAGGTAAGCCGTAATTTTCTTCGTCATTAGTAGGGTGTAATTCGTAACTGTATTCTTCAGGTCGAATTCTCTGGTAGTCGTCCAGCCGACGGATGATTGACGTGAAAAGGCTCCATGTCTTCATAGGGCACAAAGTAGTGGTTTATTCTAAAAGCCGATTTGTAAGGAAGATAAGAGGAAGAGAATCAGAGTGGTAGAGAGATGAAGATGACAAGTCGGTTGTTGCTGTCGGTGAAAACTGGAAATCTTTTCGTTGCAAGCAATGGTCGGTGGTGAAAAGGGGAATGTAGTTCGGTTATTAAGTGTGCTTCGAGTAGAAAGATTTATATGCAAGTTAAGGTGTCTGAGAGAGTTTCTGGCTGGTGCTGTGGTCCGCAGTAAAGGGTCGGGCCGCTATTATTGGTTCTCTCAATCAACGAACACCGAGCCTCACCGAGCTCGGAGGTTGAAGAATCGATGATTATAGGGCTTAATCTTGAGCTTGGGGCTCGACGCACGGTCAGACTGATATTGTGAGTGTCTCTTTCAAAATTTTCCAATGCATAGAACATCACAGGGTGAGCAATGTTTATCAGAATAGATCGTTTACTGTCAGAACCTGACCTTGAACATAACTTCAATACATAAGGGTCCCAATCTTGACAAATGCCCACCGCGTTACGATCAATACATCCGTATTTCGCTGCCTACCATGGCCATAACACTGTTCAAGCGGTAACAATTCTCATAGAGGCAATAACGAAGTAGGCGGATTCGGGTCATGGAAACTTAAATGAAAAGAGGTGGGTAGACCATTGCAGGAATACAGGAATTGATGTCTCTCAATGTCGTAGCTAATGCGTGGTACACAAAAACGAAGGGAGCTCTCGCCGGATCCTCAGGTCAGGCCCAGATACAGATTCTCAATTCTGAGCTATTTCCCAACAGTTCCCAACCCCCATATCACATCTGGACGCAAAGAGCTGAAGATCACATTCCCCGTCCTCCTACTGCATGTAGCCTTTTCTTATCGAAGAGTCAGGTCCCTAGAGTTGAGACCATTCGTAGCACTCTCGCTGAAGTGGCAGGCCTTACTTGGAGAACTCTACCGAAGGAAGAGCAAACGTTCTAGTATGCCAAAGCCGAGGTTGCGCTTCCACAAGCGCAAGTTTCTCCGGCTTTCTCCAGTATACTCATGATGCACTCCCTTGGTTGTCCAAAGCAAGCCATGCAGATGAAACAATACCGTTCTGTACGACTACCGTGTACTATTTTGTGAGCTATTCGAGCACTTGCCCGTTTAAGCACTCCTACAACGTATCGTGATTTTTGTGAGTGCAATACTCCTCCCAGGTTGTGTGCCTCCGGGAACATCCTTAAGGGCAGTGTAATCGATACTCAATCCAACGATACGCCACTCAAAACCACAGGCCCCGACACCAGAGACTTAGTACACAATCTTCGCCTAAGAGATATTCTGTAGTAGGAAAATAATCATCACGTTCACGCTGACGTTGGAGCTAAATAACAATCATTGAGAGGGGGTTGTAGAATAATAAGCATTAGAATCTAGATTATTAACACACTGCTCCCTGTACCTCCAACATCGACACAAACCCCCGCACAGCATCCTCTTCGGGATCACTGTCAAGTGCATCGCATATCAAGCGAGCAGACTGACATGGGACGAATTGTGATAAAGCAACGCATCCTACCAAACGTTTCATCTTCGCCTCACCACGTCTTCGTCCTTCATGACGACTTCGGCGATGTCTGTGTTTGTGCTGGCGCTGGCAGCTGTGGCGGAGGTACCACAAATCCCATCCCAGGAGGCGGGGGAGGCGGAGGCGGAATATTCGCATCCAGTGCTTTCGGGTTCCCTCGTATCGTGTCAATCATCTCCCAAATATTACTCGGAGCCTGCGCAGCCATGACATCCTGCTCATGCTTCAACAAGCTCTCCAAATAATCCTTGTTTTTCGCAATATGCGCTTGTTCTTCAAGATATTGTTGTTGCGCTTCTTTGCGTTTTTGCTCGAGGTAAGTCAGTGGTGCGTTTCGTGTTGACCGAGACTAAGGGCGAAGGAGTTGGGAGGTAAGATTTGAATTCGGGATGGAGGATTAGCGAAAGATGTAATATCGGGTACTCACAGAAACACCGAAGAAGCCTCCGAAGGAATTGCTGGTTGATCCTTTGTTCTGCTTCCAGTTCTCGATGTGCTTCTGTTTGCCTTCGGCTTCCCGCTTGGCGTACTCGAGGGGGATGTTCTTGCCGTTGTAGGCGGTCAATATGGGCCGGACATCAGCAGGTTTGTAGATGGCGATCGCTAAAGCGTGTGAATTGAGTCTTGTAGACGAGGATAGGCCAATATACGAAGGAACATACATTCTAAAAATGGGATCATCGCAACAAGCCCATTGTCCTTAGGGTCACCTTTCCAACCAGGGATTATCACAGCGTTTTCGGGATGCGTGACAGCATGTTCGGGATGTGTATCGAGTAGGATAACTTTGGACAGGTCTCGATTTAGATAAGATAAATCCTGTAAAATACAAGGATCAGGGAAATATACGGTATAGGGTTCAAGTCACACACCTTGACAACTTCTCCGTTCTGAGATCGAGTATGTTCCCGGAAAAGACGATGTTCGATGTAAAAGTTATAACGGTCAAGTTTATCCAATATGGGCATCGCGGTCTGATCAATGGCAAGTCAGTACAACAACGACAATAGAGACTCCAACTCGACTCACATAAGAATACTGCGTCGTGAAAACCACAACCTCATAAAATTGGGAGATATAAGCCAAGAAATAATCCACTCCAGGTCGTTTGGCCGTCCTCCAACCGTGTTGGCGCTATGGAATCTAGCGTAAAACGACGAACCCAAAATGAACTTGCGAAAGCACGTACGTCCCAGGTAGACGTTACCAATAAGTCGTCAACAGATATTAAGAGAGTGTAAGGTTTTGATGATGGAGGATACTGTGCTGCTGTGCGTGGTGGTAATAACTCGGTCATGACTGGATCGCTAAAATACTGACAAATGGAATTGAGAGTCAATGAACCAAAAAGAAGATATTACACACAGAAAACATCCCCGAGTATCGGTTTTTTGTTCGTTCCCATCGACCTGCTGGCGCATTTTCCAGAGTCTGTGAAATGATTTAACAAAGGGTTCAAGACATGTAACATCAACGAGCACACCAATTTCTTCTCCTGAAGCTCCTCTTGCTCCCATTCACGTCCCATGTAGGCAACATGTAGACCAAATCCCAGAGTGAACAACCCAAAAGCTATTCTTGCGAATGCCCGTCGTTGGCGGTCTGCAGAGGACAAATTATCTCGAGAAGATGCTCCTGTACGTTGTTCAGTGGGATCTGGGGGTGAAAAGTCCAGACTAGGAACACTTGAACGTGTCAAGACTGGTTGTTCGATTTGTTCTGATTCCTTGTCGGAGTTTTGTGCTGGTGGTGGTGGAGGCGGGGAAGACGATACTGAGCCCGCAGACTTGGGAGGCTTTTGAGCCATACATCGTGTCGACTGAACGAGTACACGACGGCTCACGGACCTGGAGACCACGAAGAACATGACGGAAGGGAAGAAGTTTTCGCTCCGGGATTCTCGGTTAGGCTTCGGTCCGGAGGTTTCTCTTGACTTTCATTACGGCGTCCCCACTGGGCTCATTCACCACTCGTTTTTCAGGCGTAATACAACTTGCAAACCCTTGTTACCAGGAATCATCAGGAAATAGTTCAAACTTAGGCTCCCTTTCTAGGATCTATTCGACTATCAGTTCAATATGCACATCTTTGTTCTGCACTTAACATTCCTGTCTTTCGTAAGGGATAGTTGGGCGAAGGATCAACGCACGGAACTTGAAGCATGTATGTACACATGCAAAGCAGGGTGGGTGTGTTTGCTCCCTTTTCTATCCTTCATCAGGTACCGCCAGAGGTTCGGTCCCGATATACTGATGTTAGACTCAACGCTCCCTTTTTTTCAGTTTTTTTCGCCAGTATGTGGTATTGAATGAGGTAAATGCTTCTTGAGTTCATATATATTCCTCTCACCTGACAGCTGATCAAGGTGTCAATGACCAATTCCTAGTCCCTAGTGGTTCCTCGTGTCACTGAAACTAAATTCTTGACTTCTTGGGCGGTCACGTATTGCCTCAAAGGAAGGGGGAAATCGCCAAGTTTTTTTACCGTCGTTCCCAGAAGAACTCCACCTACGTCGTAAATTCCATGTTTGGTTGAGCTCAGGTTGAGCTACTAAGCATCACGATCCATTGACAGCTTTGACTCGACTGGTCATAGAGATCAGACTGTAAGGAATCATCCGGAACCGCTCATAGAAACCTAGAGCTAATCTGGAGGCTTCTCGAATTGTTGTTCAATAGGTTCGGATTCGTTCTCCCTACATTTCTGTGCGCTGGTTCAGGGGTCAACCAAAACCTGGTTTTTTTTCGATACCCGTATCCCTGTCCTCGCGGTTTTCTGAGACCATTTCCGAAAACCCCCGAGTCGCTGGTACAGGAACAAATCAACAATCGACACCTGTCTTTGGAGATACAGTATACCTCTTGACTTCTATGTCGCAATGAAATGAGGCTGCGTAGTCGGGTGCAGTAGTCATTGATTTTTTCTTTTCTTTTCTGACTGCTAAATCATGTCAATCTTGGGTATTTTCCCGCTCCACTGAATGCATAATGTATGTTACGTGCTGTTCAGGTATTCCCTTGTCCCCTAAAGTGTTACTGAGTTCACTTCCATACGCATTTCTATACACTCATATTTCCTCATTTTTTCCTGTGGCAATAGATACAGCGTCTCACGGATTCCACTTCGACCGCCTGCTCAAATTCGAAATTGTTTCAGAACCGATGCTCAAGCGTGCACCAACGAATCACAATTTTATCTCCCTGTTGGGCCTGTTCCAGTGTCCGCGTCTGACATTTGTGCGGCGTTTTCTGACATATCTTTGGGGAGCAGAGCCCTGACCTCATTGCTAAAATTTGGGTATAAAAGCTTAGTCGAAAAGTAAGAGTTGAAGCATCGAATTTCCCTCCAGATTTTCAGATACAGATACAGTCTAAGCTCTCAAGTAAAGATGTTCTCTCGCCTCTCCACCGTTGCTTTCTACGCCTTGTCCGCGCTTGCTATCCTTGCTGCCGCCACCCCGGGAGGTCAACCCACCACCACCACCGTCCCAGTCACCACCACGATTACGGTCACTGCGGTAAGCGATTGGCGATTAGTCCTCTTTTCGTTGCTGATCACTTATCATGATGCTGAACCACCACCACTATAGCCCGGGACTACTGCGACCGAACCCGCCAGTAGTTGCAGCACTGGTGAGCTCCAATGCTGCGACAGCACTGAGGAGGTAGGATCAAATATCCCTTGCAACACCCAACGAAGCATTTTGCTGACGTCTCCTTGTTTGACCTACTCACAGGCTAGTTCCGCTGCTGGTTCCCTTCTCCTCGGTCTCATTGGAGTCGTTCTTCAAGATGTCAACGTTTTGCTTGGTGTCACCTGCTCCCCCATCACCGTCATCGGTGTTGGAAACAGTGGCTGCTCTGCTCAGGCCGTCTGCTGCGAGGATAATGCTTGGGTAAGCTATCTTGGGATTTTCTACTACTTCGTATGAACTCTTAGTCGATCTCTCAGGGTGGATTGGTCTCTATCGGATGTGTCCCTGTCACTCTTTGAATCGAAGGCGGGAATGCTCATAAACGGAATACTCAAAAGCGGAATGGAGAAGGTTACAGGTTACGTAGACATGAATGATTTTACGAACAATTACCTTTGTACTCAAATTCGCTGCGTATCTCGAGGTTTGGTAGCGTTTGAAACTTGGTCCGGTTTTGCATGAATATCAAGTTCGAAATTTTACTGTTCAATTGAACACATCAAACAGCCATAATTGAGATACGAAGACTCAGAGAAATCGGACCATATATTGGACAGATATAAAGCCACATAAACTAAGTATGTGTAGTATACAGCGAAGTAAGGGTTTCTTGGCTTGTCGTGCTGCCTTTGCGCGTGTGTCCTTCCTTATGCTTGACAGGACACCTGATGGGGCATGAATGGAGGATTCCCGATTCGCACTGACTTTCTATCATGACTGCATGTCACCGGAGTCAATTCCTGGCATCTAAATACGACATTCCCAGACGAACATCATACATACGTCGCGTTTTCTTGTGCCACTGTGTGGTCGAGTATGATTAAAATTCAATTGACATCGGCAGCGTCAATTCCTCGCCGTGTCATGATCATGCATGTACGTTCTTTCTCATTTTCCTGGTCAATGTTTTGTGCCACCTCTAGGACGGTCTTTGATTCTTGTTGTTGAGAAGTCATATTACCAAGTCGCAATATTATTATGTATTTTCCAAATTTCCGTCGCTCAAATGCTCTCTCCGAAGTTCTCTGACAGGAACAATCGCACCCTACCCTTCCTTTTTTCCAGAATAGAATTCTGCTGCATCAACACCTATCAACCCAAGAATTATCCTGACCTATCGTTTTTCTGCCCCCTGACAGGCGAGTTATATCAATCTTGACTTCTTCAAATTTCCTCCTCCGCTGAATGAGGATTTCATCTTACGTTGCTCTTCAGTCGCATCCTTGCGGTACACTCAAGCGTCATTGCTTCAGTGACTGTCTTTCACTGAGGTTAGCCCACCATCTACCCATCTTCCTTTGCTGTTCCCTATGACAATAGACCTGGCATCTTTTTCGTAGCCCCTATTCTTCCTGATTTTAATCTTTGCTCTTCGAAGCTCTACGAAACTTTATTGCAAGAGTAAAGGAACGATCATCGCCTGTATCTCCCTATACCCTAAGGCTCCCATTGCTTATTTGCTGCAATACAAGAAGGTCTTGTCCCTCTGACGTAGTGATCGTTGTTTTTTTGTTTCTGTTTTGAACGGGTACTAAGTAGTAAGTACTAGTAAGTCCTGGTAAGTCTTGTCAATTTTGACATTTTCCATCTCCGCTGAATGAAGAATTCGACTTGAAGCATCCACGTTACGTTGTTCCAGGATGCTCCCCGGATTCTTCATATTGTGTGTCCTCGAAAGTGTCACCGCGTCATTAGGCTTGCCTTGAAGCTTTTGATTGGTGGTCCATCATTGACTGCTTATGGTAAAATTTTCGACGTTGGTTCCTATCTCTTCCTGTTTCTCTGGGACTCTCCCTGACTCTCCTCGGATTTTCCTGTGGCAATAAATGAGGCTTCTCACGGTTTCCACTTCAACCGTGAACAAAGTACTGCTCGAACTCGAGTTTTTTTTTGCGATCCGATGCTCATCGATGAACAACTGTCATTTCTTCTGTCAAGTGCGTCCCGTGTGTGTCCCAGTGCGCGCGTTGGATGATCTATTCTGACATTCTCGCGGAGTTTTCCGACATTTCCCTACGCGAAGAACTCTGACTTTATGTCCACAAAATTCAGGTATAAAAGCCGGGTCGAAAAGTTAAGTTAGAACATCGAACAGCCCTTCGAGATCCTCAGACAGTCAGACACATTCTACTCTCAGCTCTTCAAGTAAAAATGTTCTCTCGCATCTCCGTCGTTGCTTTCTACGCCTTGTTCGCGTTCACAATCCTTGCTGCCGCCATCCCGGGAGGAAAGCCCACCACTACCACCCCGCCGGTCACCACCACGGTCACTGTCACCGCGGTAAGCACGCAACCAGTCGTCTCTGCTTCGCTAGTCGTTCGCGCTGACGATAACCTATCTCTTTCTTTCTCTCTCTCATATAGCCTGGGACTACTACGACCGAACCCGCTAGTAGCTGCTCCACTGGCTCGCTTCAATGTTGCGACAGCACTGAGACGGTAAGATCAAATTTCTTCTGCAGCACCCAACAAGGTACTTCGCTGACGTCTCCTTGTATAACCCAATGGCAGGCTGGTTCCTCTGCTGGTTCCCTCCTCCTTGGTCTCCTTGGAATCGTCGTCGAGGACCTTAGCGTCTTACTTGGTCTTGGTTGCTCCCCCATCACCGTCATTGGCCTTGGGAACAGCGGCTGCTCTGCTCAGGCTGTCTGCTGCGAGGATAATGCTGTTGTAAGCTGTTTTCTACTTATCTGCTAAGTATGGGCTCTCAGTCGATTTCCTTACTAGGGCGGATTGATCTCGATTGGTTGCATTCCTGTCGTCCTCTAGGTCAACAACAGAATGCAAACGAGATAGCCAACTTGAAAGTCGGCGCAATATATAAAGGAAATCAAGGGATACGTGAAAAACGAACAATTTTTTTACGACCAATCACCTATTTTCTCTCTTTGTCTCGAAGCTTCTTTAGTGTTCGATGTTTGGTCTCTGGTTATACACGCTCCAATTACGATTTTTTTCTATCCTTCTGGTACTTTGATTTGTTACGGGCTTTTCTTTTTCTCCTTTTCCATAAACTCGAAAACCCTACGTAGTGCTTTGTATTTCTTTCGGAGAAGGTGTTGCTGTTTATTGTAGTCGTGTTTGTCACATTCAATAAGCCTTTGGGGTTGAATATTTCAAGTGACAAGCTCCGCTCCCGCCCGTACATGTCAATCAATCATTGAAGGACTTGCTCTGATAGACTGACCCCAAACCTCATACAATACTTTTCGATAACGGATGCTCAAAAGAAACAATCATTACAAGGTCGCATGAAGTCGCTATACTACGCGTACTATACAATATTAGGTGAGACGACAAAACTTGTGGCTATTGCTACACATTATTGACAATATATCTAGTATCCATACTAGTAGTACGTACAGCTTCTGGTTCACTTCCCAGCCGAATCACCGCCTTCATTAAACCCTTATTATATGCTATCGTCGCTCTGGTGCGCCGTCTTTCCCAAATGAGCGCTCAGACTCTACAGCAGCGACGTTCCGCTCAGCCTCTCTCGTATCATACAGAGCCGACGACGTCGTAGTATTAAACACTAGATCCGATATCGACTTCTTAGGTTGATTATGAGGACTAGACGGAGAGGGATCGCTCCCGAGTCCAGATCCCAAACTTGTGGTATCAGTTATTGGATTTGAGGCGTCTGAGCTCGACGCTGTATCGGAGGTGTTGGGGGTGTTGGGGGTGTTAGGAGTGCTAGCTGTTTGGTATAACGCAGTGAGATTCCCCGGGTCCAGCACGATATTCGCGATAGAGGTTGGCGGAAGGGGTTTGTGCGGAAGAAATGGGTCGGGAGGAGAGATGGGTTCAAGCTCAGGTTCAAATTCTGAAGAGGATGAGGAAGATTTCTTCTTATCGCCAGATGTGTAGCGGAACCTGAAAGACCTGAAGTGCATGAGACGAGTTCGATTGTTCGATTTACTTTCGATTCTGTATGTGATAAGGGTAGACGTCAGTATTCGTATGTAGGATTTCCGTACATGAATACTGAGACTCACGGATACGAAGAGGTTCAAAGAAACGTGTATGAGTGTATGGGACGAAAAGACGGGGATGATGCTTCGCAAAGCTGAAGAAAGGAGCTTTATATGGCTCCCCGTCTACGGCTCCCGGACAAGGTGTCAAGTTGCTGTGCACTGGTATCCAGAAGAGCACATGTACAAAGATCGTAAAACACAATTGAGAGGCTAAATCAATAAGGCCGCCTCTGGCCGTGTGCCGATTACATGGGCAAGTTAGTAGGACTTTGTAAGTGATGCGTCCGAAGCTGAGAAAGGTAGATATCTTTAAAAGTGAGGACAAATTTTGGCCTTGTGTGGGGAGTTCGTGATTAGATGTTTACTGGAACGGAGCTGGAAAGGTCACTGATACTAGATGATTACGGGTGACCATTACTATTGAACACTGATGGATTTGCAGTTGACACAGCTTCGGTAAGACGGTAAGACGGCAAGACGGTAGCATCATCGGTGGGAAGGCTAAAAGAAGCATTGGTGACGAAAATCCCTTGAAAGCTTGAAGTGCGAGGCTTCATTGTGCTCGGCAAAGCCTGGAGCAGCGATCTCTCCACGGATGGCAACCTTTCCCTGATGAATGAATGTGACTTTAGATTTGTATCCCTTAAAGAGTAGGACACACGCACCTACTATCAATGCAATTGATATCCCGTCCACGGTACCTTTACCATGAAACGACTTCCTTCACTCATTTCTCTGAATGCTGCCAGCCCCTTGGAATTCAGAGGCGCAAGGATTCGAAAAGATTTCCGGCTGCCTAAGCAACGAGAGACAGTCGAGTCTTTGGAGCTGAGGGAGAAAATCTTGCAAATTTACTGAGTTCATTCAGCCTTGATTGCATCAAACAGTAAAGTTGGAAAGGCATTAAGATGAGGGATTCAGGGAAATAAAATAGGTTGAGATGAAGTATCACGATGCCAGCATCGTCCGATTATTTGAGAATGAGAGTATTTTCGAAGCAAGTCACAGCTTCAGCGTGGGAAGCTGTGCGCCATCTATGGACTTCTCGGTCACGCTCACATCGCGAGGCTCAACGCCCTTCAACGCCTCCAACGTTCTACAAAGCTGTTCCCGAAACGCAGCTTTGCCCCTACGTTTCACAAATCATACCAATTGCTGTTCATCTACCGACCAATCATCAACCAATCAAATAGCGCGAATGTAATTGGAAAAGAAAACGTCGGACCTCAGATCCTGATTTGGTTTAGCTCTTTGTACAAGGGCAGTGGATTTGAAATAATTACTCGCATTCCTGTGGGGGGAGTGATAGGGAGTGATTTCCCCTTGGCATATCCCCGTCCATCTGGGGAGGTATGGGGAAGTAGGAGGAGAAAATGGAGCGCTCAAAAGTCCCAAGACCGTTACAGGACGGCATCGCAGGTCATTACGGCGCTGTGGTGAACTTCATAGAGGATTTTTAGACCCAAGGAAGCGGTTTGATTCCGTTCGAGGTATAGATCATAAACCATTACAAAAGTCTTCACCGACGGCTCCTGCCTCAGGAACAATACAGCTGCTGCATGCGCTGGACTGGGTATTTACATTGGTCCTAATCACCACCTGAACCTGTCAGCACGAATCCTGGGACCTCAGCGAAACAACCGCGCCGAACTCTATGCCATCCTCGTCACCATCCAACGGACCTCGGCGCATCGTCAACTCGAAATCTACACTGATTCATCCTACGCCATTCAGTCCATTGTGTACAATGCTCCGGAAAATGCCCAGTGCGGCTGGGACTGTCCTAATGGAGACTTGCTCAACACCCTCTCTCAGTGGATCTCTGCCCGGACCGCAACCATCGTATTTACTCATGTTTGCGCCCACAGGGGCATCATTCAAAACGAACTTGCGGACCAACTGGCAAAAGCTGGGGCCTGTCTACCTTTACCCCATGAAGGTTCAGAACTCGACTTTATCTCTTGTCCAATTCCCTCACCCCACCTTCCCCAATTACTGTCGAATATCCCAAAGGTCTCCACCTCTCTTCCAGACCCTCGCTCCCTTGCGCCTCCTCCTCAACTGGTCCACACCCCTTCAGCTGTTTGTCACCGTGGTCGCACCCACCGTCGTGAACTGGAAGATACTAACCTGTCCCGCCTCCAATCGGCAGCAGCGGCAGGCGGCGCTGCCTTCTGGAAGTTCTACAAGTCCTTGAGTAACTTGGATAAACCCTTGCCAAGGGTTACACTCGAACAACTCACCAACTGCTTTATCCCTCGCATGAATCCTCCTGACCCTCGCACCACTTCCTTTGACCCACAGATACTTCAACAAGAAACCAACCGTGCTAATGCAATCCCGGACCCATCGCCCCCTTCTGCTTTCCCCTCTTTCAACTCTGTTATATGTGAAAATGACATCGCTACAATAAAAAGCTATCTCAAACGCACAACTCACTCAGACTCCACTGGCGCCGACCTAATCACATACTCAATCATTCAAGACATCGACAATGATCGCCTTGCCTCATTCTTTGACCGTGCCTTCCAACTCAAAGAATTTCCTACATCGTGGCTTGTGTCACTCATAGTAGCTATACCCAAACCAGGGAAGGATTCTGTAGACCCCAACAACTACCGAGCAGTTGCCTTGGAAAGCTGCATCCTCAAATTTGCCTCTCTCCTGCTACATCTCAAACTTAGCCAGGCTCTGGAAGAAGCTCACATTCTCCCGGCATCTCAAAACGGGTTTAGGGCTGGTTATCGTACTAACAACAATGTCTTCATCCTACGCACACTGATCGAAAAAGCAAAATCCTTAGGTGATCCCCTGTATGTCGCCTTTGTGGACATCTCAAACGCTTTCCCCTCAATGAACCAGAGCAGCTTATGGAACAAGCTCGCTGATCATCAGCTCACCGGCAAATACTTTGACTGGCTCCGTTCCCTCTACAGCCAGATGACATATGTGATCACCCACAACGGGGACATCTCCGATCGCTTCCAGGCCATGTGTGGGGTGCTGATGGGTGACCCTTCCTCTCCCACACTGTGGAACATCTTCCTCTCAACGTTCAACCTTGTTCATGACCCCAATGACCTCGACCTGCTAGGGATTGTGATATCCCATCTCGAACACGCTGACGATATCGCCCTGATCTCACGCTCTGCACACGGCCTACAGTCCCATTTGAGAGGCTTCGAGCTCTACTGTCACTCCAACAACCTCACCATCAGCGCTGGCAAATCCTGGGTTATGGTCTTCGGCCGCCTGCCTTCACCTCTGCCCATTCTCTTCCTGGGTGGTGAAGCCCTGTCGTTCCGTGACTCGGTACGCTACGTCGGTGCTCATCTCCAATCCACACACCGTCATCTACTCGCGGCACACTACACGGTCAAGCGAGATTCCGCATTCACCGCCGCGGGTGGCATCGCGGGATGTGACCTTCTCATTGGACACCAACGGCTCGACCCTCCAATAGCCAAGCAACTCTACTCTGCTCTCGTGGACTGCCATCTCATCAATGGCTGCGAAATTGCAATCGACACTGACACTCACTTATTATCCATGCTCGAGCAAATTCAACTGCTCTTTCTCCGCCGCATGCTGGGTCTATCCCGTCGTTCCATTCTCGCACCTCTCTTCACAGAGACTGGCATTATGCCCATACGTACCCGTCGTGTCATTCTTGCCCTTCGCTACCTCATTTACCTCCTAAAACTCGGACCGGAGCACTACGCTCACCTTGCACTGCAGGAGAACTTCAACCTTCGAAACTCCGGCATGAAATGCTGGCTTTCAGATGTCGACTGGGCAATTCGCCATCTGCCTTCTTCCACTCTCTCCCTCCCCGCATCAGCACTACTATCCGAACCATCACTCCTCGCACTCATCAATTCCATCTCCAAGGAGTCCGACACCTATCTCCAGACCCAAGTAGACTCCAGCCATCGTCTGGCGTTACTCCACGGCCGTCTCGAACCGCAGAAAGAGGGCCCATCCAAATATGTTGCTCGGACGCTCCGCCATTACCTGATCCACGTCCGAAACCATTCCCACCGCCGTTCTCTCACCAGACTACTGTGTGGAGACATGGTTCCCCTCACTTTCCGGTCATCGCCAGCAAGAATTGATCCCTTGCTACCAACAGAGGTGCCCACAAAACAGTGCCGGTCATGTCAGTCACCTTTCCACCCAGAATCCCCTCAACATATCTTCCTCCAATGTGCAGTAGACCACACAATTGTTGGCCTACGGACTGCCTTTCTTGACGACATATCGCTCTCATTCCCTCTTCCTCGTAATCGCCTATTCTCAAACTCAGAAGCTCTCCACTATCTCAAACGCTTCATCTTCAATACGTCCTCCACCTCTCGTACTGCGCGCTTCATCCACGAGGCTGCCATGCACTGGTCATCTCTGCATCCCCCTCTCCCTCCTGCCGAACAGAACGATGACCACACCGCGAATGGAAGTGTGGGTGGCGACTCAACATAGCCGGATCCCGATTGTTCCTTCATCCCCTCTGCCCGCTTTTTTGTACATTCAATCTCGTACCCGTACTCTATTTATGAATACTCTATCTCATACACTCTCGTACTCGTATTCTTGCTTGGCCTTTTCTCGTGTCTCTCTTGTACTCGTACTCTTGCTTGTCCTCGTTTGCCACTCTCTCACTCGTGCGCGGTACGTCAGCAGTAGTCTACCTTCCCTCACTGCGGGTTGAGCTCGCTATTGTTGTCCTACCGTAACCGGCTGTTCCGAGACGGGACCCCGTCTTTCGAGACGGTGCCGTGTATTAATCTATCTATCTATCTATCCGATGGTCATTCAAACACATTTGCATAGCCCCTCCCCGACTTGACTCTTTGCATCTTTGAATCTGCTTCTTTCAATACATTGTATTGTCCGAGGGCAATCTGCCAGCCAATGAGCTGTTAGTACCTGTTTGTCCGAGTATCTTGTTCGCCACCAGATTTCTGGTAAGAACTAACGGAAACCAGGAGGGTATAAAGGCAAAGCAAACAATATCGAGTTTCATATCATCTTTCTCCATCTTTTTTATTTCGTTCTTACTTTGTTCTTTTACTTGCCCTTCTTATATATCTGCCTGCCTGTCGACTTACCTTTTGACAATGACGATGATGCGCTCTACTCTCACCGCCGCTCTCGCTGTCCTTCCAGTCGCTCTTGCAACAAGCTGGGATGTGTCTGTTGGCCCGAATGGGCAACTTATTTATTATCCTGAGTACGTCTTGGCCGAAGTAGGAGACACTATAAACATGATTTTGTACGTTGTTTTCTCCTTCCGCTTTCTTCCCGTTCAATGTTCTTTATCTGTCTTGTCATTGGTAACTGATACACCGCTCTAATCCAGTCACCCAAAGAACCATACAGTCACTCAGTGAGTTATCCAAAGCGCTTGTATTCTTTGACATAGAACACTGATCGTCTTCATAACTTCAGGTCAAGCTTTGATGCAGTACGTCGAACCTATGCTTCTCCCCTTCAAACTCGACTGCATAGATCACTCACGTTATTCAATCTTCGTCCTTTTACCCTTAGCCCTGCGTTCCCCTTGCTGGAGGTGTCAGCTCAGGATTGTAAGTTCTTCCATGCCGCGATTTTGATGATTTTGATCTAACTCGGCCGTTTTTTCAAAGCTTGCCTGTTGCCTCAGACAGTGATCCCGAACTGCCAAACTTTGTGATCACCGTGAACGACACGAACCCGATCTGGATTCATTGTGAACAAAAAGGGCATTGCGGAGCCGGTGAGTTCACATAATCCCTTAGCACGAAATTACTGGACATTCATTTTTAATTGTGGCTACTGTTATTTTTCCATAGGAATGGTATTCGCTGTCAACCCTCCAGACGCCTCCTCAAACCATTCGTTCGCTGCCTTCCAGGCGCTTGCTATCGAGCTTAACGGAACCCAGACTTCTGCACTCTCTGTCAGCACGCCCCCGCCTCAATCCTGGGCAACAGCAACAGCCACAGTATCTGATGCTTCATCTACCTGGGTGTCAACATACACTAGCTATTCGGGAACACCAGGTTCGTTCATTCGCCTCTTGAATGAATCCTGATGCTAGTACCAGGATTGGTTTTGTGATGTATCCGAAATTAACCTATTCATGTTATACAGAACCGACTTACGCTGCAGGTGGTCCGGTAACACATAACATCACCGTTGGAATCAATGGACAATTGGCGTTTGGACCAGCGAATATCAGCGCTGCGATTGGGGATATCGTGGAGTTTACGTTCCTAGCGAAGAATCATAGTGTCGTTCAGTCTAGTTTCCCGTGAGTTATCTTGTTGAGACTTCGTAGAGTGTAGGATCGTGTCTGTTCTCTTTGCTGACATCTCGTTCCACATGTAGTGAACCTTGCACTCCTCTCGTCGATGGTTTCAACTTGGGATTGTAGGTCAACATCACCCTCAAGTCCAGATCCATTTCTAATCCTTACTCTCCAGCCACCCAGTCGACGCCAACGTCACCGGACCTAGTTTCTCCATCACCATTAACAACGTGAGTCCTTCCCCCCATCCGGAGTCACAATATTTTCTAACGTACCATTCCACAAACCTAGACTTCCCCAATCTGGGGTTACTGCGCCCAAACCAACCCCGTCAGCCACTGCGGTTCCGGCATGGTCTTCTCTATCAACGCCGTCGAAACCGGTCCAAACAACTTTGCTGCCTTCCTCGCTCTCGCTGAAGCTACGCTCGCGAATTCCACTGTCAAAGATACGTCGGGTGCCACGGCGTCATCTGGCTCGAGTTCGCCTTCGAGTACCTCCGGTTCCAACGGAGCTTTATCCGTTGTGGGTGATGTGAATATGGGTGGGATAGGTATGGTACTGGCAACGGTGGCTGCTGTTATCGTTGGAATGCTCTGATTCTTGGTTGTTTTCCTTGGGGGTATGGGATTCTCTCTTGGTGCAAGCTGCTTAATTTATAATCATCCTATACCTGCTTTGATAATGGACTCTCGATTCACCGACTATTCTTGGGCTCAAATTTTTGAATCGTACATAGTCACTCGCTGTATTGTTCGTGAATCACGTTTGTAAATCTCATTCAGTCCTTCAGACTCTATGCATCCTAACCCGAACTTAAGCTTCCGAGGCATTGGAGGCAATTTCAAAACGCAACTTTCGTGTCTAAATCGGTACTGAGTACTGAAGGGGCTACACAAAGTGAAATATTTACAATGTCGACTCACCTCTTCTAGCCTCTTCTCCGACTTCACGAATGCTAGAGCAGCAGCGGTATCTCGCTAATGTGTTCCGCTGCCTTCATGCATAGAGTTTTAGTAGCATTATAGACTGTCGTCTGGAAGGATTCTGAAAAGTTGTACCCAACGAAGGCCGCTCTTGGCTCCGAAATGCTCCGAAAATCAACGAAGGCGTTCGGCGGTCCGGGATCGATCCGGGACTCCCGAAAAATATCGTCGCCACGACTTTCAGTAGCTTTCAGTTTCCCTTCCTCCTATCGTTTGCGCTCTGCAACACCTTTGCAACATTTTGGATACCTGGATGTGGTCAGTAGAGAATTATTTTCCTTAATGCTGTGCAGGCGTCGAAATTCTTCCATCGTCACGGTCATTGGAAACCCTCAGATCTTCACATGTCGCAACGATGATACAGGATGAATCGATAATCCCTGATCAGTGATTCGTTCAAGTTGTTTTCTTGAAGAGTCAAACGACTACGATCCTATCGCCGGTGCAGGTTTGGGCCGAAAAGGAAAGGAAACCGGAGTACTTCTACTTCCTGGCGGTCCATCAGGTGAGGTTATTGTTCCGTCAGTACCACCACCTTCTACATCGTTCTGCGCATCGCTCTGCAGATCACAAGGGAACTTATACAACGGAAGACAGTGAACCAGATAGATAAATCATCGTAAATACGATTTCTTGTACCTCAGTAACCCACAGCCAATTTTTGGGTTCTCTTGCACCTCTCAGTGTCATGTATAAGTTCGCCAAATCGGATATGCCTCGCTTTCCGTCGCCTGGAATTTCCTGGACCGTTATCGAACAACAAACTCCGTATACATATCCTTGCTACGTTTCAATGGCCCGCGGTTCTGAAACGGTGCCACGACTCATCACGACTTTGAGTACCGAGTATCAACTAGTATCGTTTTCTGTTCCCGAACTGCTTGGATCTGAGAATGTGATACGTACAAAATAACGGGTAATAGGTATCTATGTAGGGGCAGTGGGATGAGAAGTCACCCAGTGATCTAATTTCTGATGCAGCAACCAGGTTGAATGAGAAGCAGGGATATCGTTGCTTTATTTCGTCAATAATCTCCAGCACTTGAGTACGACGTATGTACTTAGGACTGTTTTGACTCTGACTCCCGCATTTGAATCTCAGTGTACATACAAGTGAAATTGCAATGATGCCAACAATCCCTTGACGTGGGATTGATCGGGATAAATTTCTTATTGAAGCGATATTCCGATGGTATAAAAAGGAATGGAAAATGAGCGATGCCCTTTGGACGCCGGTCGTACTTCCCCTCACCCATTCACACTTGCCATTCCTTCCGCTCAGTCGTTGAACGACTCCTGAATTCATCTCTGTTCACATCCTATCACCATCATGTTCACCTTATTAAATGTCTTTTTCGCACTCGCACTTTTCGCCGGATCTGTGTTTGCAGCCCCCATCAAGATACGGAGTGAAACCCATACCATCAACATGGTGAATAATTGTGGAACTGGAACGGTTTGTACAGAAAGACTATATTTTGGTATCCAGGAACTAATCTTACCTGGTCTAGCCTACGCTGGTACAGAATGGCGCCGTTTTGAACAGTGGAAATTCCTATACTGCTACGGGACCGTTCTCGGCTGGAATTGCGTGAGTTGCATTTGTTCTTTACCACTGGAGGTCCGTTAACCTCTTCAAATGAAATTCCAGATATCTTCAAACCGGTCAGTCGCAGGATTGAACGCTTACCATTTGATCTCTCATACGATCCGTGTTATCTAGGAGAATGTGGGCTCAACGGAGACGAGTGTACCACTGTTGAGATGACTTTAGTCAACCCGACAGCTCCCGGGGCAGGTTCCAGCACGGACATAACACTCATCGCACCGTGAGTATACGTATAAAGCACAGCTCGTGAGGTACTTCACTCACAATCTTGTTGTAATATGTAGGCATGCCTTCAACAAGGGTGTGGGCTTCAGGTAAATATACTTCACGACCAGTACCGTCGAACTTCTCCTAATCTTGGGATCTCTAGGTACTTCAATGGTTGCGACGGGCAAGGTCAAACTTGTGGGTACCTTCCGCATACGTTCTGTCCGATCTCTGACTCCTAGAAAGGTGCAACGGCGGACTGCACTGATGCTTTCCGAACCCCAACCGACTACTTTGCACAGACCCAATGCGAAGAAAATAATGTGAGTAGATTGTCAGTTTACTTGTGCAACGCTCACACATCCTTGCTGAAAGGTCGGCCTCACGATCACTTACTGTTAAGTGCGAACTGCTTCAAACGGATGTTTATCTCTCCTCCTTTCGGGTATACTGTTTGGGTCTTGGGTATCTTGTTGTACTCAGTCGAGATATAATATATCAATAAATCGAGACTATTTCAGCATATACCTACAACGATGTGAGTGCTTCCATAATATAGAATACATGTCGTAAGTTGTAAGCAAATACAAGGTGTGAATATACAAGTAGAGTTAGAGACGATTTAAACTACGAGTCCACTATTAGATGGCAAAGAAAGTGGCTTTTACCTTCCCGAGCCCTTCTGGTCGAGTCGTAGACCAGTTATCGACAAAATACATAGCATAAATGGGTGCAGGGAACTCGACATAGATGTAACGAGCGTCCCTATCATATGCAATAGCATGTGCATCTTTGCCCTTTGCGTATCCAGCACGCATCCAGTCCAGAAGAGATTGGAATTTAGCATCGATGTCCGAAGGCACATCGAACCAGTCTTCGGGCAAAGGACCGATTTTAAGGCCCTCAGGTCCTATTGGCATACTTGAACCCTCCTGGAGAGCCGCAGTTGGGCGTGTAGACCCATTGCCAATGCAAGCCAGAAGAGGAGAATCTCGCAAAGGGATGATGCTTTCCTGCTGAGTTTCCTCGTTCTTGGGAGCGTACGCGAGGTTCTTGAGCTGAACCATTCTCTGTTTCTGACATATGCCAGCAACTGTTTCCCGAAGGTTCACCGCACGACGGAGTAAGAGCTTCATTTCTTGCTTGTTATCTCGGGAAGACTCAAAAGCCGACATAATTCTGAAGTAGCCACACAGTGGAATATTCGTTAGTGACTGCGTAAACAAGGGAATTCGGGGAAGACTAACTGTGTGAAATCGGCTCGAAAGCCAGTTTGGACATCTTGAGGCAGCGCATAAAGCATTTGCTCGACAGCGTAGAGGTTTGCAGCAATGTTTGCAGAAATGTGGTCGATGGTGGGGTTAATACGAGCGAGGAGGCCCTTCAAAGCTTTTGACGCCTCGTACGCTTCTACCCCAAGACAGATCACTATGTCAAACGGGGATAATAGAGATAGCATAGATGGGCGAGGAGAAGGTTTCATTGAGTGTGAATGATAATTGTGTGAAGTCAGGTTATGAGGAGATATGCACCGTCCTGGGCTCTTTAAAAACACCTCAGAGTGAGGATTTCCCAACTTTCCCCAAGACGACAAGAAGAAAGCATCCTTTTCGAAGACAAAGGTTTTTCGTGATTGAACACAGAAAAAGTTTAATCCTCGGTATCCGCAAAGCTGGACATAATACCTACCCGCTCAAACCATTGAAAAGCATGGATACAAGTTACATGCACAGGAGGCCTTTGTTCATTGTGCAAAGTTGGTGCAACAGACAGAAGATGCAGTAATCAAATAGATATATCCAGTCGCCGTTACAAGGACACGTGTAGAGAAGTTCCGATGTGATGCAGATCCTTGTTGGTCTTCGTTGGTTTCAGTGTGGAATCCGTCGTCAACTCCTAGCAATCGTAAAGAATTTCTAGCCCTGAAGCCCGAGCACGATTGGAAGCTCTTTGTTCTGTTTCTGAAAAGAGCATGGAGTGGCGATAGAGTTCTGCCGCAAGCTGGCTGGATTCTGCAGATTCCATTCACTTCATCACCCTGAAGACGTCTCCGAGTCGAGTTGAGCCAGCGCAGGTAGGAGATTGAACGGAACAAAGCGTCTTGACCATATAAAGTACAAAGAGACTTGCAATGATTCAACCTTGACGGTGACACTGTATTCAATGATGAGTAGATATATTTCGCTTTACCCGAAAAGAATGGACTATGTGCGAAAAAAAACCCAAGACGTTATCTACATACTCACAGTACGCCCACAGCATCAAGAAAGAAGTTGCAGCAATGGATTACAAGAACTACCACCGAAAGCTGATTGAACCATTACACAACACAAGTCACCCTTGTGTGGACGTACAATTTCAACATACATTGTGCTCTATTGAGCCCGAATTGAACCGAGTCTTCTTTTAAGTACCACGACATGAGCGATTGAGTCGGATGTGAGAGTGAGACCAGATCAAGCTGGGCTGGTCTCCACTGTCAGCAGTCAACAAGATTCCTTACACTTCAGAGGTCAGGCAAGAACAAGGATAGATATCACTTTACCTACAAAAGAATCAGTATAGACTTTGGGTTCACTATAATCAGGTACTCAACTGGAACCGATCGTCTGCTTCATTGACATTTCGCGGAGAATCGAAACCCGGAGTGGATATTGCATTGCTCGGGTGATAAACTTCTGTCAGTGAGACTTCGAGTTCCGCCCTTTAGCAAAAAAAGGTGAGGACCCGCACCTGCTCACGCTGCCGCATCGGTCCCTTCCAGGTCCCTTTATTTCGAGAAAGCCGTTGAATGCCGGGTAAACGCCGAATAGGTTCGAACTGAAAGCTGAGAATACAATGAAAGTGAACCACAGTACAATTAACAAGCCAATACGGAAGGAGCGTGGATTCTCGATATTAAGAAATAAATGTTACAGATAGCAGAGCATTGAGATAGAAAGCAAAAGAGCATCGAAATATCAAGAAGATAAGGAGCGTACAGTAGAACATCGGGAACGTTAATGAAGAGACTTCGGTGATGGAATGGCAGGCTTTAGAAGTAGCATCATCGAAGCTGTCCAGAAGAGATGATAGACTGCTCGAAAGGGTGTGGCAAAGAATTCATCTTTCTGGACCGCTCGAGAGCGTAATTTCCACCATGGTAGCTTCCTAACGAGATCAAAAAATCGTGATGAGACTTCAGTCATAGTAGGACGGTTGGAGGGATCATCTGCGATCATATCATTGACAAGTGGTCTGAGAAATTCAAACCCATGCACTCCAGGTTTATAGGAATCGGAATCACCCTATGTTGGGATTTATTTGGGAAACTAACTCGTCATTCAGTGTTGGCACTCACATCGAGAAAAGAAGTCCGTATCATGGTGCCCAGAATGTAAACGTCAGTGGCAAAAGGATCGCACGGAATATCTGCATCTCCCTCTGGAGGGGTATAACCGCCCGATTTCAATGCATATTCTGATGGACGTGGCTGCGAAGGGTTGTACATTCGAGATTGTCCAAAGTCAATCAAAAAGTATGTAGGGGGACAGCGAGTACGAGAGTGGTGGAGTGCCCTTCCGCTCCAATTATGCCTTTTCTTTGGTTTGATGGGATGATACTGGCGAGTGAACATTGCATTAGCATCCATGCCCATGTTGTTCCTCGCGCAATCCCTAAAGAAATAAGTCAGAGACCGAATGTGTCCCATGATACGGTTACGCGCCTATGTGCCACATTATTATCGTGCATGTATTGCAAGCCCTGTAGATTGGAAGTCATTATTGGAAATTTTGGTAGAAGTAAAATACGCACTTGGATGATCTCTTGGAAAAACTGAACAGCTTCTCCGATTGTTCTGAACCGAGGATCCATGACCTTCCGCAACCATGGCATGACTATAATTTTTTCATCGTCATTTCCCGGGATCGGTAAGACTTCCAGAACGCGAATACAACGATTGCGAGGATTCGTGTTGTGTTCTTCGTTCGAGAAGAAACTGGCGATGTTTTCCTCACCGGTAGAACCCTTGACGCGTTTCATAGCAACCATGTAAGAATCCGAGATGCGAAGGGCATCCATGACATAGGGATGCTAGTGACAATGAGTAACTTTTCAATACATACAAAATCCATGACATTACAAGCATGCTTTGTCCGTCTTCAGAAAACAGTGGTTCAAGTATTCCATGCTTGTAGGAGGGTTTCCAACCAGGACGATATCTGGGCCGCATCATATAACCGTGCTCTTTCAGGTATTCGAAATGACCAATCCACCATAGTTCATTCTCATCGAGAGCATAAAGGTCCGATGAGCTAGAGGGAAACAACGGGGCTATGTTTCGGTCGTAATATTCAAAGTCGCCCATAGATTATAAACAACGTTGAAAGGTCAAAGAGAAACCAGAAGTTGGCAGTACAAAAGAGAGGATCGATAGATGTGACATTATAATATTCAACGTTGCACGTTCAACATGGTTCGGTTCAAATTAACTACTGGGTAACGTAAGCTGACACTGATGTAAATTGCCATTTCAGGACGTCCTTCAATGGTCAAGTACTTATAAGTTCTACGTTTGAGCTCGAGCCCCTCCCACTCCTACGACCTTCTCTCAAAGCGGTACTCAGGCTAGATACCGCATACCGACGTTCGCTTCTACCCTGAGTCACCTGGCACTCATATTATACACCCCATCTACATCTGCAAAACATGTATACTCACCAGAGCAAGGATACTAGCTGTAGAGCGCTCTCCAGCGACGAAAGCACCCAAAGCAAAAATCAAAGCCTGCTCTGGGTGCTTTCGCTGCTGGGAAGTGCTCCCAAGTGCTCTGAGCTGCTTTCGGCTATTTAGCCGAACATACAGGTTTTGCAGATGTACTTCAAGAGATTCTTCGACTTTCTTCGACTTATACTATGATGACTGGCATCGAGATTCCGATTATTACTGCTGTGTCAACAAAATTAGCGGCTGTCATCGAGTCCAATCGCACTTCGGTTTTAATCGAAGAGGCCAGAAAGATTTTGAATGATGAACGCATCATGAACTTGCTGAGTCTTCTCTATGAGTTGGATCCAAAACTGGCCGCAGAGAATAACAAGCGATACACAAGGTAAGATTCACGTAAACAGTCGAAGTTGACTTGATATATTATTAACTCTGGAAATCTAGAGCACGAGCTATTTGCAATAACCTGAACCTAATGAAAGGTTCTAAATACATTCTAATTCGATATATAAGTGCACGTAGCGCAGCCTCCCTTGCTTTAGAGTACCAAAACTCCGTAGCTGTAGGTGAAGAAATCAAATCTTTGGCACTTGGATTGACATACTCGTTCATCACAGGACAATACTTCGGATGCCAAGATCAAACAAGCACGGGAGAACGGGCTGCTCAAACGAGAGCAAATGGTGAGTGAAAACGACTTCATGATATTCCATTTTCGTCACTTAAGCTCTATACACTAGAAACACAGCAAGAAAACTAAGCAAATGAATACCGTGAGCACTAACTTCGTCCTCTAAATGACCTTGTATCCTCATATAAAATCGACAGGATTCCCTAAGACTGACTCCCCATTCCGCTCAGAGTCATCATTTTGCTATTGCCAATAACGTCAGCCGATTATTCTCTTTCATTCAATGTGAAATATGTTCAATCATTGCCAAAGACGCCTGAATATATCCTTCAAACTCCCGGTGGGGCTGCGTTTGCATATCCGCGAGTAAGCATCTAGTACACTGAAATGTTTAAAGAGGCTGATATCATAAAATCTGAAGGGCACTCCAGATAATCCTACGGTCTCCTGCCCAGTATGCATCTCTCTTCGAGTTTCCTCTGCACCGCGATCAATCGTTCCGTTCATTTTAGGTGGGTTCGAAACCCATACTTCCAGATGGTCTCAAATTTGGAACTCTCGCATACTACTATCAGGTGAGTCTTCGTATGGAAATAGATTCAAATGTTGAGCACCAACCACATGGCCATAGCCCGTTATGATCAGCTTAGTGAGTACTTTCGCCCGAGCAATCTGCCTTGTGATAACTAACATTGCTATTACTAAGAGTGCAAATTCTTCGACGGTATGCAAATTCCTACCAAACGTGCTACTAAATTTGATCATCCAAAAACTAGGGTCAAACAGAAGAGGATGGCCTTGTTCCGATTGTCGAAATTAGAGATCTGCCCAAGTCTTCTCAATGCGGTTCTGCTGAAGGCTTCCATCGTAGCCTTCATGTAAGATTTTTTTTGACTCAAGATTTGGTAAACAATATTAACACCGAATTTTGCTTTTGACAGAGGCAGAGATCCACAGACAGTGAAGAACTTGTCGAAGATGTCATCCGTAGTGGATTGCAAGACATCGCTGAAACAGTTCATTGTATCGGCACCTTCAGAACTGCAAACGGAAGCGACAGCGATGTTGCCAGCATAGCAACTACTTACCTGAGTTTTGATGGCGCTGATACTGAGGGAGGGAGCGTCTCTGACGAGTCCCTGCTCGATGATTTTTAAAGAATGTCTTCGTTCAGCCACTGTAACGTTCTTGCAATGACTATTCAAATGCTCACATCCTTTTTACTATTAAATTTCTGCTGTTTATTGCTAACTGTAAGCTCTCATACTGTCTTGATGTTAATTATTGCTCCTGTAGCTACTATAACGATATTGTCCTATTATTTAATTAATTTGATGAAAATCTTGATATTGCGATTTTTCGCTTTGATTTGCCTGCTTTAGGACAAGTATAGCTCGGCCTTGGCTATGAAGCGTCCCTTCCCGCATGCCCCTGATTTGTACCAGTAACGTTGTAGACGTGGCCATGAAGAGAAAGTGCCATGCGACGGACTAACGCAACTTGGTAAAGACAAATTTTCGACCATACTGAGAATGGACGGGATATTCGCGCTACTGATATTCGCAGGAACCGCAAAGATTATCCATAGGGGCGCGAATGAGCCTGTCGAAGGCCGGAGGACCTCCCGATTATTCACTGGGCTACGATTAAAACGGGTACATACAGGCTACATACATAAGTATCGGCGGAAGAGTTGAGCGAAATCCTAGCGAAATCATCGTGGTACTATCAGGTACCCACCAAAAAGCGGGAAGTTTGTGGGGATATACAGGGTCGACGCTGATCGAACCAATGAATTTGAAGTTTTGAACTGGTGCGTCCGTATTCAATGGTGATATTTCGCTTTGGCCGAAGAACGTGCCAGGCAAAGAACAAAGGCGTTGACAGCTCTACATAGGAGCGGGAGTTATAAGCTCCGGACGAAGAAGATGGTACCAGTACAAAGTAGTGACGGATGTAAGTATAGGCTAGACTATATGCAAGTGATACATAACTGTTTCCTGTTTTATCGAGTAGAGCCTGTTTCAGCCTGAAGGGCGAAGATCACCAAGGAAGAAACCTTGTACGACGACGGAAATTAAGTCGAGTCAAAGCGGTTCGCAGAACTTGTGATTCAGTAATTGGCTTCAGCGAGTACAAGGACATCTCTGTATACCAACCATTCAAGGGAAAGAGCTGAATGAACGGAAATTTTGTATTATTGACAGATCGGGGAGGTTGGGAGACTATGTAGGGAGTGTAGCAGAATTCAAAAACCGAAAGAAAGTAAGTGGAGACTTAAGCCCACGGAAAAAAGGTTTAACATCAAAAAGTGAAGCAGGAAGGCACTTGAGGGAACCGTTTAGAGAACGAGTGTGAATTCGGAATATTAGAATGGCATATTATACAGGCAGCAGAGCGTGTCTGGGTCCTCCAGTAGAAAGAAGCAAGAGAGAATTGAGATATCCCAACAACAGCAATTATGATACAGGCAGCAGAGCGTTTCTGGGTCCTCCAGTAGAAAGCAAGAGAGCATTGAGATATCCCAATAACAGCAAGTGGTCAAAAATTAGGAACGTCAATGAAGAGCCTTTGGTACAGGTATAGCGGGCTTTAACAGCAACATCATCGAGGCCGTCCAGAAAATATGGTAAAGGGCGCGAAATGGTGTTGTCAGAAACTCATCTTTCTGGACTGCGCGTGAGCGAAGCTTCCACCATCGTAACTTTCCGACAATAGTGGAGAACCGTGAGGCAACCTCATTCATCGTAGGACGGTTCGAAGGATCTTCTGCAATCATGTCATTTACGAGCGGTCTGAGAAATTCAAAACCATGAACTCCTGGTCTGGATCTATCGATGTCACCCTGTGTCACGAGTTATTTGGGAGATTGAGATTCTGATTCAACATCGGCACTCACATCGAGAAACGAGGTTCGTATCATGGTGCCCAAAATATAAACATCAGTGGCGAAAGGATCGCACGGAATATCTGCATCACCCTCCGGAGGAGTATAACCACCTGACCTCAATGCATATTCCAATCGACGTGGCTCCGAAGGGTCGTACATTTCAGATCGTCCGAAATCGATAAAGTAGTATCTGGGAGGACAACGGGTACGAGAGTGATGTAGAGCCCTTCCACTCCAATTATACCTCTTCTTCTGTTCAATGGGATGATACTGACGAGTGTACATTGAGTTAGCATCCATGCCCAAGTTGTTCCTTGCACAATCCCTGAAAAAAATTTCAGCGACCGAATGTTATTGATGAAATAGTCCACGCGCCTATGCGCCACATTATTCTCGTGCATATATTGCAAGCCCTGTAGGTCGATGATTATTACTGGAAACTTGGGATAGAAGCAAAAGACATACTTCAATCATCTCTTTGAAAAACTGAATCGCTTCCCCAATTGTCCGAAACCGAGGATCCATTACATTCCGCAACCAAGGCATGACCAAAATCTTTTCATCCTCATTTCCCGGGACAGGCAAGACTTCCAGTACGCGAATACAATGGTTGCGAGAATTTGTGTTGTGTTCTTTGTTTGAGAAGAAACTGGCGATGTTCTCCTCGCCAGTAGAAACGTTGACTTTCTTCATTGCGACCATGTAAGAATCCGAAATGCGAAGGGCATCCATGACATAGGGATGCTATTGACACTAAGTAAGAAGCTTCAATGTAAACAAAAGACGTGACGTTACAAGCATGTTTTGGCCGTCTTCAGAAGCTAGAGCTGCAAGTACTCCTGGTTTAAATGAGGGCTTCCATCCAGGACGATATCTGGGCCGCATCATATAACCGTGCTCTTTCAGGTATTCGAAATGACCAGACCACCATAATTCATTGTCATTGAGAGCACGACCGTCCACAGGGAAATTTGAAGGGCGCAGACGTTCTAATTCCCGTTCCAAGTCGCTCATGGCTTTGGGAAGAAACAAAAATTCGACAACCAGTGAAAAGTCATGATTCATTCAACCTGGTTCGGTTTGGGTTTACGCAATCAAACCAAGCCAAATAAATTGTTGTTCACTGCCGATTTAGGACTTCTTTGTTTCCTTTCAATCGTCGAGGACTTATAAATGCCATGCTCGAGTTTGCCAAAGAACACCAGTCTCCACTGTACGCAGAACTCAAGCTAGACCACAATCTTGTTGCTCATTTCCACACCGAGTCGTCCATTTCCCCCTTATCGAAACTTGCATTATGTTAACTGGTCTTGAGATTCCGATAATCGCTGCCCTGACTGGGAAAGCAGTATCCACTTTCAAGTTCAGTCGCACCTCTGTATTAATAGACCAAACCCGGGACATCTTGAATGACGACCACCTCACAAAATCACTCATTCTCCTTTACGAATTGGACCCACGACTGGCCGTAGAGAATGACAAGCGTCGCCAACAGTAAGCGTTACGACTGTCTGATATTGGCATAACACTGATTCGAAACTAGAGCGCAGAACACGTTCCACAAATTGGACCGAATGAAGGGGCGCAAATACATTCTAATCCGCCATATAAGTGCACGTAACGCAAAATCACTTGCTGCACAATACAGAAATGTAGTCAATGTAAGTTATAATACAATATCAGTCCTTGAACAGACTTCTAATTTGAACAGGACAACACCACGGAGGCTAAAATTCAACAAGCACGCGAGAAGGCCCGTATGCGAGAGCAAATAGTAAGTGATAATATCCTCGGAGTATACCGTTTTCGTAACGTAGCCTTTCTTTACACTAGACCCACAGCAAGGACATTACACAGAAAATCGTGAGCTTGGTCTTTTGCAGGTCTTTACATATTCATATACGATTGACAGAAAACCCGAGTTTCCGGTCAGGATCATGCTGTTGTCAGTCAATTTTCTTTTTTTCTTCCAATTGAGCTCAATTAGTCCCAAAGACTCAAACTCCCAAGTACATTATCCAAACTCCTGATATGGCTGCGTTTGCATATCCTCGAGTAAGCCTGCGGAGTATACAGTGCTGTTAAGGTTACTGACATCATGGACTCTGAAGGGCACTCCAGAAAATCCCACTATTTCCTGCCCAGTATGTAGTCTTCTTCTAGTTTCCTCATCTCGTTTAATCGTTGCAATCAATTTAGGTAGGCTCGAAACCCATACTGCCAGATGGTTTCAAATTCGGAACTCTCGCATACTACTATCATGTGAGTCCTCTTTATTTGAATACGTACACCAACATGATGGACCCCCATAGCCATCACACGTCGCAATGATCAGTTCAGTGAGTACTTGTGCTACTGATAATTCCATTCTCACTAAGAAGGATTGCTATTACAAAGGATGAAAGTTCTTCTGCGGTATGTCGATTCCTCCTAATAGCAATGGTGCTGCCATATCTGATGAACCCGAGAACAGACCCAAACAGAGGAAGATGACCTGGTTCCGGTGATTGAAATTAGAGATATGCCCAACTCTTCTCGAAGCGGTGTTGCTCAAGCATCCTCTCCGAGTCACGTAAGCTTTATTCTACTTGACAATTTGGCCACCGGTCTTAACATCAATTTTCATTTTTTGACAGAGACGGCAATCTATAAACAGAGAAGAACTTGTGGAAGATATCATCCGCGAAGAATTGCAAGACATCGCTGGCACCGCTCATTTCATTGGTACATTGAGAGCTGCGAACGGGAGTGACGGTGACGTCGCTAGTATTGCAACTACTTACTTGAGCTTCGATGACACGAACACTGAGAGCGGAAGTGATTTCGGCTCTGAGGCCGTTGATGATGATGTATAGATGATATTCTCATTCAGCCAGATAGGCCCTTGAGCACTCATATCTTAGGCTTTACGCTCCTTGTATCATTTATCATGTTTCTTTCTGTTTTTGCTCTCTATCATGCTATCGTGCTTTCTTGATGTTATCCATTGTTCCTGTAGCTAGTAACACTATTTATGTGCCTAACAAGGTTGTCCTGTGTATTTCATTGATCCTTTCTAACACGATCAATAATGTTCGCGATGCTCAGCTTTGGCTTGCCATTTCTGGAGTAAGTTAAATTCGACACCTCTTCCGACATTCTTCGCTGGTCTCAACAACGCCCAATGTGCTAGCATCGAGTTAGCGTTCTCAAAGGATAACCTAGAGCAGGAAGAAAATGTTGCAACATCTAGTAGTATAAAATCAGGTTGAAGGCGAACATCGAGGCCTATCATGATCAAAATCGTTCTAATGCGGGGACTTGAAAGAACTGGCAGCTTACTGCATTAAATGGGCTGTAAGAAGATGTGAGTACTGATGAGTGCCGTTAGTGGTAAAATCCAATCAACGTACAGACCTGACGATGGAAGCTTGACTACCAGATAAAGGTACAAGGGCATGTAAAGCATCGATGTAGTAAGCATAATGAAATATTCGCCTAGTAACTCGAACCGGTCTATTCTCATATTTCTCGCTTTGGCTAACAAATGAGGAACAAAGACATTATTTTCTTGGACAAACTCGTAAGATGACCGTTGGCATCACAGAGAAGCTGAGAACCGGTACTGTTTGCACAGGGGACCAAGGATAGGGATTCACGATGGGTACTGAAGGTGCAAACGACGGACAACGAAGCTAAATAAAAGAGTGAATAATATATCTCAGTGGTGGTAAAACACTGTAATGTATACCTAAATAAAAGAGTGAATAATATCTAGAAGAGAGTCAATAAACTAGGTATGAAAGTGCATTATGACGAGTACTCACATCTCAGTGGTGGTAAAACACTGAGATGTATTGGTATGTAAGCGAGCAACTAGTAGGATGCGAGGTAACGTAAAATGGAGCGGAGCGATATGTTCATGTACGGGTATGTAGCCTTGAGGGTCGGATAATGTTAACAGGTACAAGAGCGTCGACGGATGCAGATCAGACGGGTGCACAACAAAGACTAATTCTTCTTCCCTCGCGGAGACTTTGTTTCAGGAGAATGCAGGGAATAGCCAAGGAACAAGCCCAGCGGATTTCGAGTCAACTTACGGGAAATTCACTCTCGGTGTATGGACTTTAACGGGAATTTGTCGAAGTACGAGACTGTTCATCGATGGAAGCCTACAGAAGGATGAGGGATATTCAAAATTTATCGATAGATGGGCACCATATAGCCTGTAGGGTTGTCTCTTTACAAGATACATTTATTACACCACTATTCCACCCTGTCCTAGTCGACCGAAAAAAGATGCATCGTCAAAGAAAGATAAAAAAGGCAGTGGACCCACAACACCACGGCTGTTGGATGCCTTCTGACATATCATATAGCACATCAGAAACGAATATAATTGAGATACTAAAAGAGTCATTTGGTGTCAACTCGGGTTGCTTGGGAGGACCATCCGGTGAACGAGTGTGAATTAGAAAAGCATATAGAGTGTTGAGATTTCCTCCAGTAGAAAGCACGAAAGCATTGAGATATTACAACAAGATCAAGTGGTCAAGAATACTAGGAACGTCAATGAAGATCCTTCGGTGAAGGTATAGCAGGCTTGAACAGCAACATCATCGAGGCCGTCCAGAAAATATGGTAAAGGGCGCGAAATGGTGTTGTCAGAAACTCATCTTTCTGGACTGCGCGTGAGCGAAGCTTCCACCATCGTAACTTTCCGACAATAGTGGAGAACCGTGAGGCAACCTCATTCATCGTAGGACGATTGGAAGGATCGTCTGCAATCATGTCATTTACGAGCGGCCTCAGAAATTCAAAACCATGAACTCCTGGTCTGGATCTATCGATGTCACCCTGTGTCACGAGTTATTTGGGAGATTGAGATTCTGATTCAACATCGGCACTCACATCGAGGAACGAGGTTCGTATCATGGTGCCCAAAATGTAAACATCAGTGGCGAAGGGATCACACGGAATATCTGCATCACCCTCCGGAGGGGTATAACCACCTGACTTCAACGCATATTCCAATGGACGTGGCTCCTTAGGGTCGTACATTTCAGATCGTCCGAAATCGATAAAGTAGTATCTGGGAGGACAGCGGGTACGAGAGTGATGTAGAGCCCTTCCACTCCAATTGTACCTCTTCTTCTGTTCAATGGGATGATACTGACGAGTGTACATTGAGTTAGCATCCATGCCCAAGTTGTTCCTTGCACAATCCCTGAGAAAAAATTCAACGACCGAACGCTATTGATAAAATAGTCAACGCGCCTATGCGCCACATTATTCTCGTGCATATATTGCAAGCCCTGTAGGTCGATGATTATTACTGGAAACTTGGGATAGAAATAAAAGACATACTTCAATCATCTCTTTGAAAAACTGAATCGCTTCCCCAATTGTCCGGAACCGAGGATCCATAACATCACGCAACCAAGGCATAACCAAAATCTTTTCATCGTCATTTCCCGGGACAGGCAAGACTTCCAGTACGCGGATACAATGGTTGCGAGAATTTGTGTTGTGTTCTTTGTTTGAGAAGAAGCTGGCAATGTTCTCCTCGCCAGTAGAAACGTTTACTTTCTTCATTGCGACCATGTAAGAATCCGAGATGCGAAGGGCATCCATGACATAGGGATGCTATTGACACTAAGTAAGTAGCTTCAATGTATGCAAAAGACGTGACGTTACAAGCATGTTTTGGCCGTCTTCCGAAGCTAGAGCTGCAAGTACTCCTGGTTTGAATGAGGGCTTCCATCCAGGACGATATCTAGGCCGCATCATATAACCGTGCTCTTTCAGGTATTCGAAATGACCAGACCACCATGATTCATTGATACTGAGAGTATGACCGTCCACAGGGAGATTTGAAATGCGCAGAGGTCCTATTACGCGTTCATAGTAGTCGTCGTCCATGGCTTGGGGAAGAAACAAACAGTCGACGACCAGGTCCAACCTGGTTCGGTTTGAGTTTACGCAATCAATGTAAGCCAGATCAATCGTTGTTTATTGCCGCTTTAGGACTTCTTTGTTTCCTTTCAATCGTCGAGGACTTATAAATGCCAATGCTTTCATCACAGAACCCCAATTTCCGCTGAACACTGTATTCAAGCTAGACCACAATCTTGCTCACTTCCACACCGAGTTCTCCATTTCCCCTTATCAAAACTTGCATTATGTTAACTGGTCTCGAGATTCCGATAATCGCAGCCGTGACTGGGAAAGCAATAGCCACTTTCAAGTTCAGCCGCACCTCTGTATTGATAGACCAAACCCGGGACATCTTGAATGACGACCACATCACAAAGTCACTCATCCTCCTTTACGAATTGAACCCAAAATTGGCCTCAGAGAGTGATGATCGTCACAAACGGCAAGCATTGCGACTGTTTGATATCAGTAAACACTGATTTTAAGCTAGAGCACGGGCCATATTCAACAACCTGGACCTCATGAAGGGACGCAAATACATTCTCATCCGACATATGAGTGCCCGTAACGCAAAATCACTTGCTGCACTATACAGAGATGTAGTCATGGTAGGTCACCATAAATTTTCAGTCCTTGGACATATTTCTAATTTGAACAGGACAACACTACGGAGGCCAAAATTAAACAAGCACGGGAGAAGGCACGTATGCGAGAGCAAATGGTAAGTAATAATATCCTCGAAGTATTCCGTTTTCGTTACGTAGTCTTTCTTTGCACTAGACGCACAACAAGGACATTACGCAGACAATCTCTGTGAGCATCGTCTTTTGCAGGTCTTTCCATATTCATATAAGATTGACAGAATACCCGAGCTTCCGGGGATCATGCTATTGTCAGTCGATTCTTTTTTTTTCTTCCAATATACTATATGAGCTCAATTAGTCCCAAAGACTCAAACACCCAAGTACATTATCCAAACTTCTGATATGGCTGCGTTTGCATATCCCCGAGTAAGCCTGCGGAGTATACTGTGCGGCTAATGTTACTGACATGATGAACTCTGAAGGGCACCCCAAAAAATCCCACTGTTTCCTGCCCAGTATGTATTCTTCTTCAAACTTCCTCAAAACATTCAATTATTGCAATCATTTAGGTAGGCTCGAAACCCATACTGCCAGATGGTTTCAAATTCGGAACTCTCGCATACTACTATCAGGTGAGTTCTCTTTATTTGAATATGTACACCAACATGATGGACCCCCACAGCCATCACACGTCGCAATGATCAGTTCAGTAAGTACTTGTGCTACTAATGATTATTCTCACTAACAAGGATTGCTATTACAAAGGATGATAGTTCTTCCGCGGTATGTCGATTCCTCCCCATTACAACGGTCCTGCCATATCTAATAAACTCGAGAACAGACCCAAACAGAGGAAGACGATCTAGTTCCGGTGATTGAAATTAGAGATATTCCAAAGTCTTCTCGAAGCGGTGTTGCTCAGGCATCTTCTCAGGGTCATGTAGGCTTTATTTTACTTGACGATTTGGCCACCAGTTTTGACAGGAGTATATTTGACAGAGACGGCAATCTACAAACAGGGAAGAACTTGTGGAAGATATCATCCGCGAAGATTTGCAAGACATCGCTGGCACAGCTCATTTTATTGGTACCTTGAGAGCTGCGAACGGGAGTGACGGTGACGTCGCTAGTATCGCAACTACTTACCTGAGCTTCGATGACACGAACACTGAGAGCGAGAGTAACTTTGACTCTGATTACTGATGGTCTATAGTACATTGTTATCTTCATTGAGTACTTGATCCCTTACTAGGCCCTACGCTCCTTGTGTCATTTATCATGTTTCTTTCTGTTTTTGCTCTCTATCATGCTATCGTGCTTTCTTGATGTTATCCATTGTTCCTGTAGCTAGTAATGCTATTAATGTGCATAACAAGGTTGTGTATTTCATTGATCGCACCAAAGTGAACCAATTTGATTTTTTCACACGATCAATAAATATTGTTCGCGATGCTCAGCTTTGGCTTACCATTTCTGGAGTAAATTAAATTCGACACCTCTTCCGAGCTCTTCCGACATCCTTCGCCGGTATCAGTTCGGGGGTCCCCCTAGCCTAGCACGTTATCAAAGGAACAGTGGGAGCAGGAAGAAAAGGTTACAATATCTAGTGGTACTAAAGCAGTTTGAAGACAAACATCGGCGGCATATCATGATGAAACTTTTTCTCATAATGGGACTTGAAAGAACTGGCAGTGTATTGCAATAAATGTGCTGTAAGAGGATGTAAATACTGATGAGTGCCATTAGTAGAGTTGAGTACAATCTACTCAACGTACAGACCCGCCAAACTACCAGATAAAGGTCTATAAAGGTACAAGGGCATGTAAAGCATCGATGTAGTAAGCATAATGAAATATTCGCCTAGTAACTCGAACCGGTTCTTTCTCATATTTCTCGCTTTGGCCGACAAATGAGGAACGAAGGCGTTATTTTCTTGAACAAGCTCGTAAGATGATTCCGTTAGCATCACAGAGAAGCTGAGTACCAGTACAAGAGAGTCGACGGATGCAGATCAGTCGGGTGCACAAAGACTAATTCTTCTTCCCTCGCGGAGACTTTGTTCCAGGAAGGAAGGAAGATATCTTAAACAGCTTGGTCCACGATCTGAACACCGCACTGTCCAGGGAGTATCTTGGTGTGGATCCTCACCACTCAGGAAAGTGCAGGTAGAGCCAAGGAACAAACTGGACAAGTCACTGGCAACTTAAGGGAAAATTCACTGTCCCTGTACGTATGGACTTCAAGGAAATTTGAAGTGCGAGATTGTCTATCAATGGAAGCCTACAAGAGTAGGAGAATATTCCAAATGCATTGATAGATGGGCGCCATATGGCCTGTAGTGATGTGTCTTTGTAAAATAAATTTATTACACCACTATTACACCCTGTCCTAGTTCTGGCCATCGGCCGAAGAAGAATGTCGAGTCAAAGAAAGATAAAAAAGTAGTGGACTCACAACACCACGGCCGTTGGATGCCTTCCGACATATTGTATAGCACATCAGAAACGAATATAACTGAGATACTGAAAGAGTCATTCGGTCTTAACTTGGGTTGCTTGGGAGTACCGTCCGATGAACGAGTGTGAATTAGAAAAGCATATAGAGTGTTGAGATTTCCTCCAGTAGAAAGCACGAAAGCATTGAGATATTACAACAAGATCAAGTGGTCAAGAATACTAGGAACGTCAATGAAGATCCTTTGGTAAGGGTATAGCAGGCTTTAACAGCAACATCATCGAAGCTGTCCAGAAGAGATGGTAAAGGGCGCGAAATGGTGTGGTCAGAAACTCGTCTTTCTGGACTGCTCGTGAGCGAAGCTTCCACCATCGTAACTTTCCGACAATAGTGGAGAAACGTGAGGCAACCTCATTCATCGTAGGACGGTTAGAAGGATCGTCTGCAATCATGTCATTTACAAGCGGCCTAAGAAATTCAAAACCATGAACTCCTGGTCTGGGCACATACATGCCACCCTGCTCGCCCTGTGTCACGAGTTATTTAGGAGAACGAGATTCTGATTGCGCGTCTAAACTCACATCGAGGAGCGAGGCTCGTATCATGGTGCCCAAAATGTAAACATCAGTGGCGAAAGGATCGCACGGAATATCTGCATCACCCTCCGGAGGAGTATAACCACCTGACTTCAATGCATATTCCAATGGACGTGGCTCCGAAGGGTCGTACATTTCAGATCGTCCGAAGTCGATAAAGTAGTATCTGGGAGGACAACGGGTACGAGAGTGATGAAGGGCCCTTCCACTCCAGTTATACCTCTTCTTCTGTTCGATGGGATGATACTGACGAGTGTACATTGAATTAGCATCCATTCCCATATTATTCCTTGCGCAATCCCTAGAAAGACTTTCAGTCACCGAATATTATTGATGAAATAGTCAACGCGCCTATGCGCCACATTATTCTCGTGCATATACTGCAAGCCCTGTAGGTTAATGATCATTACAAGAAATTTGGGATAGAAGCAAAAGACATACTTCAATCATCTCTTTGAAAAACTGAATCGCTTCTCCAATTGTCCGAAACCGAGGATCCATTACATCCCGCACCCAAGGCATGACCAAAATCTTTTCTTCGTCGTTTCCCGGGACAGGCAAGACTTCCAGTACGCGAATACAATGGTTGCGAGAATTTGTATTGTGTTCTTTGTTTGAGAAGAAACTGGCAATGTTCTCCTCACCGGTAGAAACGTTGACTTTCTTCATTGCGACCATGTAAGAATCCGAGATGCGAAGGGCATCCATCACATAGGGATGCTAGTGACAATGGGTAAACTTTCAATGTATGCAAGATGCAGAACATTACATGAATTTTTTGGCCGTCTTCAGAATCCAGAGCTGCGAGTAATCCTGGTTTGAATGAGGGCTTCCAACCAGGACGATATCTGGGCCGCATCATATAACCGTGCTCTTTCAGGTATTCGAAATGACCTGACCACCATAATTCATTGTCATTGAGAGTACGACGGTCGACAGGGAAATTGGAAGGGCGCAGACGTTCTAATTCCCGTTCCAAGTCGCTCATGGCTTTGGGAAGAAACAAAAATTCGACAACCAGTGGAAAGTCATGACTCAACCTGGTTCGGTTTGGGTTTACGCAATCAACGCCAGCCAACTAAATTGTTGTGCCGCTTTAGGACTTATTTGTTTCCTTTCAATGGATGACTTCCCGTAAGAGCTGTTGCTCGTATTAATCTTGAGAGGATTAGATGCGACTGTCGGACAAGTGATACGCGGCTCGCTTAAGCAAAAATCGAATCTAGAAGAGGGTCCTGAGGCTCTTGTAGATTTTTTTCAGCTCGTTTTTGATAGAATCCGTTGATCGGACACGTCGCCTAATCGTTTGGAGAGAAAATAAAACGAGACTTTTATTAATTTTCCTTACGGGAAGTCATCCAATCGTTGAAAACTCATAAATGCCATGCTTGAGTTTGTCAAAGAACACCAATCTCCACTGAACGCAGAGCCCAAGCTCGACCACAGTCTTGTAGCTCATTTCCACACCGAGTCGTCCATTTCCCCCTTATCGAAACTTGCATTATGTTAACTGGTCTTGAGATTCCGATAATCGCTGCCGTGACTGGGAAAATGGCACTTTCAAGTTCAGCCGCACCTCTGTATTATAAGTTAGAAGTAAGAGGGATACTCATAATTCATTGATAAATCGGTGCACATAGCCTGTACATGTAGTGCATGATCATTCCTGTGTCTCTACAGAATACATTTTACTATGAGTATTACATCCTGTCCTAATTCTCGCCCATCGGCCGAAAAAATATGTGGAGTCAAAAAAAAGCGGACCCACAATAGCCCACAACGCCACGGCCGTTGGATGCCTTCTGATCAAATACATAGCGCATCAAAAACGAATATAATCGAGATACTGAAAAAGTCACCGGACTCAGGTTGCTTGTGAGTACCATCCCGTGAAGGAGTGTGAATTAGAAAAAAATATGGTACAGATGATAGAGCGTTGAGATTGCCTCCAGTAAAAAGCACGAAAGCATTGAGATATCACAACAAAAGCAAGTGCAAGTAGTCAAGAATAATAGGAACGTCAATGAAGTCCCTTTGGTACAGGTATGGCGGGCTTTAACAGCAACATCATCGAGGCCGTCCAGAAAATATGGTAAAGGGCGCGAAATGGTGTTGTCAGAAACTCGTCTTTCTGGACTGCGCGTGAGCGAAGCTTCCACCATCGTAACTTTCCGACAATAGTGGAGAACCGTGAGGCGACCTCATTCATCGTAGGACGGTTGGAAGGATCGTCTGCAATCATGTCATTTACGAGCGGTCTGAGAAATTCAAAACCATGAACTCCTGGTCTGGATCTATTGATGTCGCCCTGTGTCACGAGTTATTTGGGAGATTAAGATTCTAATTCAACATCGGCACTCACATCGAGGAACGAGGTTCGTATCATGGTGCCCAAAATGTGAACATCAGTGGCGAAAGGATCGCACGGAATATCTGCATCACCCTCCGGAGGAGTATAACCACCTGACTTCAATGCATATTCCAAAGGACGTGGTTCCGTAGGGTCGTACATTTCAGATCGTCCGAAGTCGATAAAATAGTATCTGGGAGGACAACGGGTACGAGAGTGATGTAGAGCCCTTCCACTCCAATTATACCTCTTCTTCTGTTCAATGGGATGATACTGACGAGTGTACATTGAGTTAGCATCCATGCCCAAGTTGTTCCTTGCGCAATCCCTAGAAAGACTTTCAGTCACCGAATATTATTGATGAAATAGTCAACGCGCCTATGCGCCACATTATTCTCGTGCATATACTGCAAGCCCTGTAGGTCAATGATCACTACTGGAAACTTGGGATAGAAGCAAAAGACATACTTCTATCATCTCTTGGAAAAACTGAATTGCTTCCCCAATTGTCCGAAACCTAGGATCCATTACATTCCGCAACCAAGGCATGACCAAAATTTTCTCATCGTCATTTCCCGGAATCGCTAATACTTCCAGCACGCGAATACAATGGTTGCGAGAGTTCGTGTTATGCTCCTCGTCTGAGAAGAAGCTCGCAATCTTGTCCTCGCCGGTAGAAACCTTGACGCGCTTCATTGCGACCATGTAAGAGTCCGAGATGCGAAGGGCATCCATCACATAGGGATGCTAGTGGGGGCCAATAAGCATTCTTGGTGTAAAAGGACAGCATAAGATTACAAGCATAGTTTGGCCGTCCTCGGAGTATAGAGCTGCGAGCAATCCTGGCTTGAACGAGGGCTTCCAACCAGGGCGATATCTGGGCCGCATCATATAACCGCGATCTTTCAAATATTCGAAATGACCAGACCACCATAATTCGCTGTTATAGAGCGTACGACGGTCCACAGGAGAATCTGAGGGGCGCAGACGTTCTAACTCCCGTTCCAAGTCGCTCATGGCTTGGGGGAGAAAAGAAAAATCGACAGCGACCAGTGAAAGTTATGATTGATGACAACAATCTGATTCGAGCTGATTTGGTTTGGGTTTCCGCAATCAACGTAAGCCACTTTCAATCGTCGAGGTACATATTTTAATTTACGTAGGATTGAATGAATTGATGAAGGTTTGAATGTTACCTTGTTCAGAAACTGAACCAGTTCGTTTTCTGGATCCATTCGATGTTCAATAACCTCTTCCCTCCTCTTTTCTATGGCTGCTAACGAGGAGAGTTATTTTGAGCAAGTTATAGGCCCTCTGCGGCAGAGGCCTCGTCGTTCGGACCCTGACGGGCTTGATGAAAGCGAAGAATGGTGGATTGGACATTTCGAATATCTAAAGGAGCGCGGCTACATGATGAGGCCCCGATATCGTCCTGGTTGGCAACCATCCTACATTCCTGGGTCATTCGGGAGTCTGTATGCTGAGGATGCTCAACGAACGCCCGTGCGTCTATATGCTAATTCTGTGTTGGATGAATCATTCACCTATTGCTCCCAGCATCCATATGTCATGGATGCTCTTCGCCTATCGGATTCTCTCATGGTAGCACTGAAGCTTGTCAAGGTTTCCACTGGCGAAGATAAACTCACCATGCTCTTTTCCGATGATGACCACAATCCAGATCCTCACAATCATTGTGTCCGGATACTCGAAGTCCTACCAGTCCCTGGAGAAGATGCGGGAAAGATATTGGTCATGGTATGGATGCGCAATGTGATAGATCCAAGATTTCGCACAATTGGTGAAGCAATTCAATTCTTCAAGGAGATGATACAGGTGTGTGTGTCTTCAGTCCTTCCAGAGACTTTCTGCTTGACGATTTTGCAGGGCCTGCAATACATGCACCGAAATAATGTGGCACATAGGCGTGTGTCAATTCATGACAATGGAACACATCATCTCATTTTTTCTCCATTTTAGAGATTGCTCGTTGAATAACATGGCCATGGAAGCTAATTCAATGTTCACTCGGCAGTATCACCCTATGGCTCCGAAAAAGAGATACGATTGGAGTGGAGGGGCATTACACTTTTCGCGTACCCGTCGTCCTCCAAGATATTATCTCATCGACTTTGGATGCTCCCGGATGTATGATCCTTCGCAGCCACGACCATTGGAATATTCTTTGAAATCTGGTGGCTATATTCCACCTGAGGGTCTTGCAGACATACCCTGTGATCCTTTTGCCACCGATGTCTTCTTCCTAGGCAATCTCATGCGGACTTCATTTCTTGATGTACGTACTTGTAATACTCTTTGTTTACTTGACTGACTTGGTGACTCGAGCGCAGGGTGATCCTACTATGCGTCAACCTGGAGTTTCTGGTTTCGAATTTCTGAGACCACTCGTCGGCGATATGGTAGCAGATGATCCGTCCAAACGTCCTACGATGGATGAAGTTGCATCTCGGTTCACCGGTATCGTTGGAAAGTTACGGTGGTGGAAATTGCGCTCACGAGCGGTTCAGAAAGACGAGTTTTTTTCCACACCGTTTCGAGCAATCTATCATATCTTCTGGACTGCCTCAATGATGTTACTCCTCAAACCTGCTATACCATCACCGAAACCTCTTCGTTGACGTCACTAATTTTTTTGCTGTTGTGTGATATCTTAATGCTCTCTTGCTTTATCCTGCCACATTCGACCGCTTGGCTCCGCCCTGATTAAACTCAAATCTACTGCGGGTAGAATTCATCCCCTCTATACTACAGATAACCACAGATACACACTCTCAGTAGTGTTGAGTCTCAGCCACAGACCAGTTGATTGTAACTTCATATGCTTAGCTGCGTTAGTCCACTATATAAATCACTTTCCACCGCATCTACATAGATGCACCCAGAATCCTCCAAAATCTCCTGCAGAAGCCCGCCTGAGAAAAGGTCATTTAGGACCCAATTTTGGCGATCTCCTGGTCCTCATGGCATCAATACCGAGCCGGAATTTTTGGAAAAAAGAACACCTCATCCGACACCATCTTTGCTCGTCGATGTTAGCAGAAGAAATGGAACACGAAGAAGAGCAATATCTAGTGGTAATAAAGCAGGTTGAAGAACAACATCGGCAAAAGGACGCGGTGATCAAAATTGTTCTGAGGCTATCGGAGGCGGCTGACCGCACCGAGCATTATTAGTAGATTCAAATGCAATCAACGTACATATTAGAAAAGGACATGGTATAGAAGGGTATAGACAATAGAGCTTTGAGGTTTCCTCCGAACAAGAAAAGTAAGCGGTTAAGAATGGTCGTCAATAAAGACCGTGCCAAACCCTGCAAAGGAACCGGAGAAGGATTTGAGCATACTTCGATTATCGACTTCTTGAGAAATTGAAGTGCCTCCCCAATAGTGCAAACCTTGGATCCATACCATCACAGTATCTTTTCACCTTCCTCTTCGGAGACCGGTAGAAATCCCAGCACACGGACGCGATGATTATGGGAGTTCGACTGAGTTCGAATTATGGGTATCATTAGAGAAAAGTGTGGCAATTTGATCCTCGCCGGAGGAGACTTCAACGCGTTTCATTGCTGCCATAAGAGAATCCGATACGCGAAGAGCATCCATGATATAAGCATGCTGATAGTCAATTGCAGGGCGAGAATACGATATAGAAAGAAGGACATACATTCATTATTCGACTGTCTTCCATGAAGATGCCCTCAAGTGGCCCAGCTCCATACTAGGAGGGTTCCCAGCCAGGACGATATCGAAGTCTCATCATGTAGCCGTGCTCTTCCCGAATTGTCCAATCCACCACTTCTCGCTTTTGTCGTGCGCGTAGATGTCCGATAATAACTGTAGTCGTTCATAAAGATGCGGTTATATTGCATCTATTGTTCGTTTTGGTAGATATGAAAATATGATTCTTTATACTGGCTCCGAGTCGAAGGTTTTTTTCAATCGATACTAAAGGCCTATAAAAACCTGTTGATCGACACGATGAACTGTACTGAAAAAGTAGGCGTTCTGACGTCTATGTACCCCCGAGAAAACGGGGTAGTGGAAACAACAAGTTCGAGATACGTGAGTGACGCAGCAGAAGCTCAGCCATGTAAATTCATGCTGAAGATGACAAGGAGACTGTTCAATTCTTGGGTAGCAATATCGAAACTCTCAGGATGGTAAAGGAGGTTCTGAAGCGAACAGCTATTTCTTAGCTTTGATTCGCCATTTTGGAGCAGACAACAGAGAGGTACAGGTGGCCATCGCTTTGGCCACGATACTTGGCAGTATCGCGTATAAAAAGCTAATAAAACATGCAGTGTGATAAATGAGAGAGTATTAAGTTTGTATATCGTCCATTCTAATACGACGCGCAGAGTCCCTGAAAATGAAAGAGTACAATGAATGTGGAGAACCATGTCGCAGTCGTCATGCTGAAAAAAGAAAACTGAAGCGGATAGGGTGAGGTTGCGGGGTATCAAGATGGTTTAGAGTGATTCGTTGGATCAGAGCTCAGTTCCTCTTGACTGGTCAAAGTCGGGGAGAGATAGCTGGTGAATGTCCTTTCTTCTTCTTCTTCTCTGTCTTCGTCTTCGTCTTCGTCGGCCTCAGCTATAGGGGTATCCAAGTCATCCTCTGGGTCCACCTCAGCATCGGCGTCATCGAAGATGACATGGAACTGGAAAAGGCAAGTTGAAGTTGAGCGTGCATCCAATGCAAGTCATTGAAAGTCTTACATGTGTGATAAGGGTCTTCACCAGCTTATGTGTGTAGGGCATATTTGAAAGGACCAGAAGAAAATCATTCTGAGGGGCACGGAGGAGGTTGGGACTGAAGACGATTGACAGGGCCTCGGCAGTCATTTGATTATGTTCTTCGAAGTCGGTCACCCTGGATTGTAAGATGAGTAGGTTCAGAAGATATGAACGAAATCAATGTACCGTTCCAAGTGTTCCGATATCAGTTTCAATAAATCAAAATGAGCACGAGGGAGGTTCCGGACGATTCGACGAATGTTGGTCAGTCGTTCATCAAGGTTGTCCAGTTCTTGAGTGATGATGCATAACTTTCAGTAGTGTTGTACGATGAGATTAATTATAAACTTACTGATGATATCTATGGCTTCATGATAAGAGGCTGGAGGAAATAACGGTTCAGGTAGGACGCGGAACCACGACTTGATGAGATCGCAGATAGCATGAATATCGGTATACACGTCCAACGGATTTTCACCTAAACGAAGGTGAGCTATATCCTGAAAATGTAGATGAAAGCTCCCCCTTACCACGATTGAAAGCTTCTTTGAGATGAGCAATTTCGGAACTTGCACCCGCCATTCGATCTGTCGACAGCTCAAGATGAAATTGATGCAAGACATGAAAACACTCACAGATCCCAACTTCCGTCATACCTCGGGCTTCAACCTGAGCCAGGCATTGTTCAATGACAAATGGTATGGTACCTGGAGGTACTGGGCTACCACCGTACTCTCGCTCCAATAAGAAATTCAGTTCCACACCAAACACTGAGGTGATCGCCAATGAGCAACGATAGCACCAGAAAGAAACCACTCTTACCTGCTTTAGGATCCCTGGTAGCGGTGACGGGTTGGTCGTGAATATGGTCCGCGATCTGAGGCTTGGGAGAATTCCCGATGTAAGTGAGCCGCCGTTTCGCCGCTATTTTTGAGACCCTGGCAAGAGTATCGATCCACTTGGTCATGTCCCGCTTCGACAGCGCTTGAAGAAGATAATGACCGCCGTCCTCAGTATCGAGCCTAAAGGTGAAAGAACGTTCGTTGTTGATGAAATGGTTAACGCTGGAATCCGTGAGGTTCAAAACTAATGTTGGCTTTCCCGAAGGAGTAAAATCAAGCTCAGAGGCGGTTCTCCTTAGGACAGGGGAATGGGAATTATCGACACCGAATGCACTGGAAATGGGTCGCATAAAACTGAAAAGCGACGACATGCTTTTCTTATTGCGATGCTGCTTCTGTGCAACCGAAGTCGGTCTTCGTCCTCCCTTCATCGCTTTGTCCAATTGCTCTTCTCGTTTTTCATTACGAGATTGTTCCTGCGTCTTCTCTTTCTGTAGACGTACTCGCAAGTTCTTGTCCCGCCGATGTTTGTCCATCTGAATAGCGACAAGTCTTTGAAAGGGCCGCGAGATCTTTTTTGACGGTGTCCCAGGAGCGTTCGCAGCAGCGCCTTCCCGATATGCCTCATCCTTGATTCCGCGGATATCGAACTGAATGGAGAAAATTTCGCGTTCAATATTGTTAAGACGTTCAAAGCCTCGTCTGTTGATATCATTCTGATGAGCAAGCCTTCGCGAAAGCAGTGACGGTGCGTTAGATATGAAGTTGCAGAGGTTACTGAATCATCACCGAAAGTTCAGCAGAAGAATTGAAAGACCGAAAACCAAACTGACCGGCGTTTATCAAAGTTAACGAGATTTTGCCCTTCTTCATTATGAGATTCAACAAGATCGGGCATGGCAATAACGTCCAGAATCCGCTCTATCAGCCACCCCATGTCCACTGTTAAGGGATCTCTAGATGCGACAGATTGCGTTTTGGGTCGTGCAAGCAGCTGAGAAAGTGTGTCGTAATTGCAACCTCGACTAGCAGAAACATTTTGCCATGTTCGGTGGTGCATTCTGCATTCAGGACTCAATATGGCGGATGTCACTGCTGCTTCTACGAAAGACCGAACACAGGGCTGATCATAGACAGAATTGGGTGAAGAACTCTCCGCGTTACGCAGCCGAGCGACTTCAATGACTTGTAGTAAAAACTCTATTCGCATTTGACGTGCGCGGAGACCTATACGGGGAGCAACAATTTTTGAAATCAGCCATTTCCGTATGATTGAGTGTGCTCGAATGCAACTTCGGATACCAGGGGGAAGAAGACGGTATAAGCTTTCAGGTGAAAGTTCGGATATAAGAGAGGATGGCTCTACGTCCTGAATATGGCTGTGAATAGTTTGTATCTCGATATACTCATCCAGTGACGACGCCTCTCGCGGTGGGAACCATCCAGTTCGATCAGTACTTTGCACCTCCAGAAGGTCGGATGTGATGTAAAGGTCCTAAAAGCAAAAGATCACCAGTCAATTGGTAGCAAGGCAGGGAATGGTACTAAGAATGCTTACTTCTTCTGTTACATTGTTGAAGGCCGCAAATGCCATCCCGTCGATATTGTCAACAAACTCCTCGGGGCTCATGCGATCCATATCCGGAGGCTCTCTGGTGCTTAAGTTCCGTACGCGAGACTCGGTCGTGGTTACCGTGTTTCGAGAAACAGTTTGGGTTCGAGAAGTCGATGGCCTCATTGTCTGAGAAAGCAGAAGTTCTTCAAGGGCTTGCCGTGATTCGGTCATGTTATCCCAAGCTTGTCGGACACTTGGGTTCTCGAAGGTGGCGGCGGAAGAATGAATGATGTGATCACTAGAACTGGCAAAAAAGGCTCGAAGTGCTTGAAGGAGCTGAGAGTCATCCAATACATCTTGAGCTCCGCCACCCTTCGTCAACCAGAGTTTCATGGCGTCGAGAACCTGTGATTTCGATGATATGGCAGCAAGATATTGATCAGGTAACGGAGGTGACCCTGCAGGCTGGCTTTTGATGTAAATTTTGCGCAACAGCTAGAGGGATATGTGAGCATAACGCACTGTTTGTTTAAACGCAAAGGACACACCTCGAAAAATATAAGTGGCGTCACAAAACTACGAAAAACATTCCACCACACTCTGGTAAATTCTTTGTGGTCCAGCAACAGTTCTCGTGTCATTCCGACCCGCAATGACATTTCACCATTGTCATCCGCGACAGATACCGAAACATTATGAAGTCCATGAACGAGAACATCAACAAGACGATCCAACGTGCCCGCCTGAACGAGAACCCGTAAGGGAGGTTCCGAAGAATTTTCAGCCAGCGTTAAAGGCTGACGCTGCGACAATGATGGGAGCGAGCTACGACGAGCGACGCTACTCTTTCTCTCTAGATTAGCGGAGGACCCAGGCTTGACTCGGATGGAGGGCGTCCGACCGATAGGTTTATCAGATTTACCATCTAGTAAAGACGAAGGGTCGATGTCAGAACTTGGAGGTCGAGACCTCACGAGAGATGAGGGTCGAGAGCCTGTAGAGGAAGAGTCAGTGATAGGGTTTTGTACCACCAACAGAAGGTCCCCATCGTGGACTGGAATTGTCATTCCTCCTTGGTTCAAAATACCGAAAGCACTGTCACTGGCAGGTACTGATGTTCGGCCCTCAGGTCGCAAATGTCCGTCAACAGCGCGGAGATGCTGAAAGTCGTTAGAGTCGCTATCCACGCGCCCGCGAAAGAATTGTGATCGGTCAAGTAAGGTAATGGTAGGTAGAGGCTCTGGAAAAAGGAGTGGAAGGAGTGGTGCAGTTGAAGAAGGCTGACCATTAGACTTGGCCCAATAGAAAGGTTCATATAGCCCTTTCCGTCGAGGTTCAGCTGCAAGCGATAACGAGATGAACTGCTCAACCCTTAGTGACTAGTCAATTCACAATCTAAAGTGCTGTGTGTGCTTATTGCATACCTGTGAAACTTTATTCCTAGGCCACTAGAGGCCCCGCCGTCAGCGACAATGTCCTTCCAATATGAAACGAGCTTTTGGACTTCTTCGTTACTTCCCTCCTCCAAAATTGTTGTCTTTCTTGGACATAAAGAGACTGAGGTTCGAAAGCCCTCGAATAACATGCGCACCCTATCCAGCGTCGCCAACATCAGAACGTCACCAGTCGATCCCGGTACCGAAGCTTGTGACAAGTGTTCCCTAATTATACTCCTCATATTTCCTCCCCAAGGCGTTATTCTAGGTTCCCTAATTCCGTTGACGGGATCGCCATCCTTGACAGGTTGAACCCAAGATTCCACAGTTGCTATTGCCACTGGATTAACACGCTTCCAAGCCTTTTCCAGTCGAGCGACAGGAGCAGCACATATTGCGTGAAGGATAGCTCTCCACGAGCACTCATCCCCGTTCAGTCGACAAAGCTCGCCAATCTTGATCCAGGCTGATATGACTTCTGAACGCGAATGCGTACGGGACGTAGGTCCCCGGTCTTCAGATCTTCGGCTCGGTGAAGATAATTGAGCGCCCCGTAGGGTAGCGTAACCTGTTGAAGTATCTGCGCCAAGGATTTGCACCAATAGCAGTTTTGTAAGCCAATGAGGATGGTCGTCTGAACCGAATAAAGAAGTGGCAGATAATGATGATAATGGTTGTTGCGTCGACCACGGGTGCGATTCCGATCCTTCCGGCCCAAGTACAAAGTTAGCTGTGAGATTTTCCGGGAGTTGTTGTAAAACAGCGAGATGAAAGACAGTCAGACTGCGTGCTATGGTGTTGGGGTCAATCAGGAGAAGTACATCTCTTGATAGGCCTTCACGATCAAGTGCGGAAGCCCAGGGAGTCCTGTTGACAGTGGGGCTTGAAGGTGTGCCAAACGGTGTCGAAAGAGAAAGAGCCCCAGGCGTGGTCGGGTCGAAGTAAGAGTTGCCGGATCCTGGCTGAGGCGTGGCAGTAGCTTCGCGTCCGTTCTCAATTAAGGCATTCACTAATGACATGTTACTGCTCTCTCCCGGTCTCGGCGAGAACATGCCTATATTCGGAGACGCAACGGGGGTGGGGTTGTATAAGGCTTGTGTGGACGTCGACCTTGGTAGAGGCATGGCTGGGGGTGGGACGGTGATAGCTTCAGGAGCAATTTCCGCTTTCCATTCTGGCCAATCAGGGAATTCTAGTGGCCGCCCGTGGTATCGAAGATACTCTGCTGCTAACCACACCACTCTTTGCTTCTCTGCCGATTTTTTCTCCTCTTCCGCGCCGCTGACGAGAAACTCGCAACACCTCATCAGCTCCGTTTCGAACTTCGTCTGATCCACCAAGTGAGGCATGCAGAGAAGGATGGAAGCCGCGAAATCTTTCCATTGCTCCATCGATCCTATCTTAGCCTTCCCAATTCCACTGCTAATTTCCGCGGCGGTGACCTCCCCTTCCACTAGTCCGAAGAAAGTAGTGCCAAAGACGGCCTCATGTGTCAGTGCCTCAAATGTTCCCTTCTCAATTATCCCCTCGGCATCCTTTGACAAATCGGGATGAGTTCGTCGACCCCAGAACGCTCTTTTTTTCCTCTGGGCAATGGAATTTTCCTGTCTCGTCGGCCGCATATCCATTCGGGTATTCGTGGCCGTCGCAGAGGCAAAAGGATCATCTTCAAGCTCGCCCTCTACTCCTCCAATGTTACCAATTTCGTCTTCATCCTGCTGATTAACAGGTACTAGCTCTGTAGGAAATAGCTCTTTTATTGCTGCTGCCCTATCAGACGGAGGTTTATAGAAATACAATTTGGACCCCTTGAGCTCCAGTTTGAAGGGCTTCCACGCCTTCGCTGTTCCAAGTTGGTGCGGACTTGCGGTACCGTCGGCAAACTTGTTGATGAAGCCGCTATGGTATACGATTTGGGAGGCCCGTTTGGGTGAGCTGGACTCTGAGGACTCGTTGAAAGGTTCAACGATATTGGGTGGAGCTAGAAGAGTAGTAGATCGATGAACTGGCTGCGAAGTGCTCGAGGAAGAAGATGAGTCGGGAAGAAGAGTTCGACTACTAGAGCTGAAAGGAAAAGCGCCCCGTGTAGGGACAGGTGGTGTTGACGTTCCTTCCATCTCTGAACCTGCGGAACCCTTCCGCTTGGGACTGGGAGGCATGAAACGAGGCGCGGAAAGCTTGGACGCGAGCTTGGGCGTAAATGAATATGAGCGTGTGTGGACGTGGGTGGGCGATGGAGCAGGCTTGTGTGCAGCTTCGTCAATGACAGGTGCTGATATTGAGATGGACACTGTTGGAGTAGCTGAAGATGGTGTATTGATTCTCGGCAGTGATGGAAACGGTTGTACGCCAGTACCATGGCTTAAACTGCGTTCGAAGAAAGGCGGAGCCGAAGGAGGACCGCCTGGAGATGATGGACTAGTATTGCTATTACTCCGATTGCGATATTGGGCAATCTTTTCCTCCATAGCAGGAGAAACATCCGCCGAAAGCTTGCTAAGATCATCTGCTGATTTCGACCATGCTCGTCGAGAGATTGCTCGGAGATCACCGAGTCCATATGTTGACCGAAGTGGACTGGAAGGACTGGAGGGCTGACTGGAATTGAAACCGATGGATGAAAGGTCTAGAGAATTCGGATTTCGAGAGGTCAGATCCATTACAGATCTAAAGGCCATTCAGTATCTACAAGAAGCAAAAATGAGATGTGAAAGCTCACCTAGCCCCCGGAGCAGCACTATATGAGTCCAGAATCGGCCTAGGGTCAGTAGGACGCGATATCTTGTGTTTTCTTCCCGAAGAACTGCTCATTCTGGGTTCTGAAGCGGCAGCAACGGTGCTGATCTTTGGATTTGACGCACTCCTGCCAAACCATCTTGAAGGTTTCGAGAGAAAGTTCGTGAATCCATTCGAAGGTGAAGTGGAACGAGGAAAGCCTAACGTGGCCGTAGGTTGACCGCTGGAGGTCGTAGTAATATCCTGAGGGCTCAATGTATTTGCAGTCGAAGTCTCACGCCTTGGAGCCATATTACAGATGTGTTACAATGCTTTTCTTCGCGTCTCTGGCAGAAATCGTGATTCAACGTTAGTTCTAAAGAAAGGTAAGCGAAGTAAGCAATGACCAGTAATGTTACAGTTTACCGAGGAATAAGGCAGGTGCTTGGTTAGCTTTCTAGATAAAGCAGGCTACTGTTGGTGCTCATGAGCGTAAAGAGTCAAAACGCGTCCGACGATGAAAGTTGTTTGACCCTGATGATTTGATTTGATGGGAACGAGTTGCTTCCTCACCTCCATCACATCGTGTCACTAACCCGATTTTCACTTATGATGATTTTTCCTGAATTCTCCTACTGATTTCCCTTCGAGAAGCCGCTCTTCTTCGGTCACCAAAGGTGGCGCTATCTGCCTGCTCACTGCGGCGCTTTTCAACTGTTCAGTCATTTTGCCAGGCATGCAATTATCAGTCGTTGGTTGCACCCGCACCAAAAGGCTGGTGGAAGCACGAAGAATGATCATTTCCCTTTCTTGTCTAATAGTATACGCCAGATCTCGTTCTCGATCTATCGTTGTTGACATTCAGATAAGATGTGGTTTCCGTAAGTCCTCACGACATCCAGGTCAGAACAACTCTTTCTGACGCGTGACTGTACATGAACGATTACCGAGACCAATCCGGGATGGGTGCCTATGGGGCTCAATGACACGTTGTACCCTCTTGTACCCACGTATCTTTAGTGGTCCTTCCCGCCTTTCCCGCAGTTTACTATCCGGAATCCATTATAGTATTTTGAGGAACGCCACCACAACCCTTCGGCGTACTTGTACTTTAAAAACTAAATTCACGCAGGCCACAAAACCATATCTTACGGCAAGGTAAGCTTTATGAACTTTTCGCAGTCCTCTCTATGTAAATAGCTACAGACAGTGACACGCCCACTTCCTGTCATCTTCCTCCTGAGTCACTTTTTGCTCATGGACAATTGAAGTCTTCTCTGGACGCACCCGCTCTCTTATTTTCCTTTCAAACTTTGCGCGGTCTTCCGGACAACAGAAACCGTCATTGCGCTGATGATTACCGTCCTGTATAGTATTTTATCTATGAAGGCAACAAAAATCTTAATCTCAATGGTCATGATAGACCGATCCACAGCAATCCATTCGGCTCTCATTCAATTCCTGTCGACCACGAGATCGCACCCGGTTCCATGTATGCCTATGTAGGATCATCCCCCATGTATTACATACCCGCTATCAGATGTTATAGCAGCTGCTAGCCTCTGCTAGCTCGGTAAGTATGGTTTAAACCCGCAGAATTCTAATCAGTAGCCTAATTTCGGCGCTGTTTGTTCAGAATTCCGGAATTTTACTGACCGAGGCTGTTTTGCATGCATGCCAAAAAAAATCCAAATTGAGCTTTGATGCTTCGACCCCAAATAACCCTGGACTAAACCTCGACTAACACCTATCCCGATAATTTATATAGGCATGCGACTGCGCAAATTTATTGTTTATCAGTTTTTTTACCAGCCGTATCCACTAGATTTTCTCGAGTTTCGATGACAACAATGAACAAGGTTATGACCTGTTCCAACTCATACTCTGCGAAGCCAATATAGTCCGGAACGCCTGTGCACTTGGTCTCAGCTACTAGCTTCCCTCAGAATTGGGTGTATTGCGCGGTGCTATAAGTGAGGCGAGAGGTCATCAGCTTGAACCACCTTCAGATCTATGGTCACTCCATGCGGTCTGGAATAACTTGAAGTCTGATGCACGATCCCTGTTTTACATGATTAGGGCAAAAGTCGAAAGGAGCTATGTATATCTATCCATCAACACTGCAGTAGACTACAGTACGATAGAGTACGCTCTCCGGAGATTATTCGTTTCAATACTGCCCTACTCATCTCAACAGTGGTCATTGAGGGATTGCGCCAAAGCTGATCATTGATTGGTGTTCGTATCTCAAAGGTTCTTGACTGTCCTTGAGCGTTCCGTCCTTCCTGTTCAGCTTGTGATGACGCGCTACACAACACAGGTATGACCTGTCAAGCCCAAGTACATGCGCGTCTAAATACTGTATAGGTCCAAAAACACCGATACTCCGACAGGACGCGATATTAATGCGCAAACCGAACATCCACTCATTCCCACTTTGGATCCACTCGTGCTAGTAGTTAGTCTCGACAAGTACTGCATGCTCCAGGAGTCCTATGTTAATTTCTTTCCCTAGAAATTTTACGATTTTTTTCCGTCCTTTCGAGGAATCTGCTGGACTGCCAATGATCACATTTTCGTCATTTCTGGGTATTCATCCCTTCCGATCCCCCCTATCTTATCGACAGCAAACGCCGCCCACAATTGAAAGTCTTTTTTTGGCAGACCCAATCGTGACCAGAGCCATACTAACCCCAAAAGTTTATTTGGAGACGTTCCACAGTTACAGTAAAATCTAGAGGCTTCGTTTCTTAACGTGAGCGAATCAAGCCCCTATCATTCCTGTGTCTCCAGCCATGGCTAACTGACGACTGGTTGAGAATAATACCGCTATTAACTGTATGCTTTCATCTGTTCAAGTTGTGTTTTCACTATGTAGCTACTGATTATGAGCCGCATTAGCCAATAACTTCGTATAATTTCCCATACTTAATCTGCGCAATACGTTCCTTAACTGACATTGACATCCACATTGCATGTGCGTAATTCCTTCATCAATATCACTCTTCCGATGCAATCTCGAATCACAAATACATATGGTAGGTTGTCCATCATAGTCGTTGTTCGCTGCTAATGAAGAGACAAGGCCCCAGAATAATGAAGGTTCCTGCTATTGCTTGCTATTGACTAGTATTAATACTATACTACATCAACATCGTGCGGGTTATGTTCCCGGAAAGACATGGTCGGTGACCTAAGTGCATAGAGCATCCAGTCATAGAAAGGATCGTTACGATCTTCCAAGTTTGAGTCATGGGAATCGAAAAATCGCTTCGGAATCGAACTCACATCCGGTGTGGCCCGCAACACTGATCTTATGTCCGAGGGGCTCACCGTGCGTTTGATATACCACGCGTGTATCAGAAATTCCTTTCCTATTTCTCATGTGAATTATACTTTAACTCATGTCACCTTCAATCGACAACGCAAAATGTGTTCTGGTTACAGGAGCAACGTCTGGAATCGGACGAGCTTTGGCTTTGGCCATCGCTTCCCTCCCTAGTCATCCCAAGGTCATCGGTGTCGGTAGACGCAAGGATCGTTTGGTGGGACTCACAGAGGCCGGGATCGATGCAGAAAAATTTGATGTTAACGCCGATAAGGCTGCAACGAAGAATTTTGTTGAGGAGATGATTAAGAAATATCCAGAGGTATGTGCATACACGCCAGTGCGTTTTGTTTTTGTTATTTGCATTCTTATTGGAATATAGATCGATACACTTGTCCTCGCGGCTGGAATTCAGCGTGAGGTACATTTCAAGAAGGAAGTCGACCTTGAAGGTAATAATATTCATGCCTTTCATAGCATTAGCCAAGACCCTCATGAATATGAATTCTGTAGCCATTGCGACTGAAATGCATGTCAACTACTTCTCCATACTGACTATAATCTCGTTCTTTATGCCTCACCTTTTGGCAAAATCTGTAGGTGTTGTAAATATTATCCCACAATTCTCAAGATCATTGACTACCTGTGAAGGTCTCCGGCCACCCATGCTTGATTGCTCCGGTCACGTCAGGACTTGCTTATGTTCCCGCCCCCTGGATCGCCAATTACTCTGCGTCAAAAGCAGCATTGCACTCCCTATGTTCTTCACTTCGTGTCCAGCTTGAAGACACCAGCATCGGCGTCATCGAGATCAGCCCTCCCTTGGTTGAGTCGGAGCTTCACGATGGTGAGTCAAACGAAATGGCGAACAACTTGTTCGAAGGGAGAGTTCGAATTAACATCTTATGATCGTATACTAGCCGAGGGTACCACGGGAGCATTGTCCCAATTCTGGATGCCGCTCGAAGAATATACGAAAGAGACGATGGAGGGACTTCAAAGGGGTGTTAACGTCGTGTGCAGCGGAATGTCTAAGAACATTTATGAAAAGTTCGAGCAACCCAAAGAACGAATCATTACTGAGATGGCTAAGCGCGCGGCTACTCATAGCAAGTAAGTGCCTGTAAGTGCTCTAATCTATAGATATAGGGATTGGTTCAACTCACGGATTCCAGAGAATGATAGCATGTACTGTGGACAATGAAGATAAATGATTCTATCATCGTTCACCATTGATAAATATCTTCAATTGCACCGGAGCTGAGTTAGCTGCAGTGGTAGAGACAGATATCCACAACCGTAGAAATCGAAGAAAACGTGAAACTTAAAGGGAAAGAATACTCGCTTACATAAGGTATTTCCTGGAAGAGACGCATATGTACAATATGCGTCACCTCAGAGTGACTACACCATCCCCGAGCGAAGACTATACACGTCGATGCTCTTGGCCTTAAGCTTACAGCAAGTTTTATTCCAGGTAACTATAAGTGCATACATAGTCAGAATGAAAGTTGTTTCGAAATACATACATCAATATCGAGATAATAACACGATACTTGAGTCCATCGTACTATACAATGATCAATCAATTGAATAATAAGGATACTGCGTCTCATCTCCCTTCCCGAGAAAAACCCTATTTCTTCCTTCCCTTCCTGCCTACAGTAACAGTAGTGACAGCCACTGGCATCTTGATGGAGCACACGGAGCAATACCATTTGTCCGGGAGCGGTTTACTCAGACCCACACAGGACAGATGAAACTTGATGAGAAGGTCAATCAACGTATAACTCAGCGTGTATCATGGCCATAGCTTACCCATTCATAGGGACAGTTGCCCTCATTATCGCATGCAATCATCTGTATATTGCTCATTTGAGCCTGCTTTCTGACAGAGAATAACGAGAGCACATACATCCCCATAGCTACTCCTTTGACAGAAGCAGTACAGCTTGTCGTCGTCGGCATCCTCACCGTCATCTGCTTCGTCAACATCATCCTCACCTTCAGCGTCTTCGTCGCCCATTTCAATGTCATCGTCTGCAGGAGGGGGAGGGTGTATTTGACGTGACAGACGACTTGACCGAGAAGTAGTAGCTTTCGTTGGTGCGGTTGCGGCGGGGGAGATTGAACGACTGCCGCCTGCGGAGAGCTTGATGGATGGCGAAGCCGTAGATCGACCTTGCCCTGAAGAGAGAAAGATCTTTCAGCATGGATAAAGGCGATGAAAATCATTAAACTCACTCCTCGTTGAGGCAGTCGTAATTACAGACTTTCGAATTTCGGCAGCGGAAGGGGGCGGTGCCAGTGCGAGTCGAAGACTTTCGCTGAGACTCGCTGCAGCGTCATTTGCATGCAATTGGCTAGTAACATGAAAAGAGGTCCCACTCAAGCTCGGCGTTGCTGAAACGCCTCTAGCAGAAATTGTTTCGGTTGCGGGAGCTTCGCCTTGCAAGATTCGAACTTTGTTGATGTCGGACTCCAGACGATAACGAGTCCGCGCAAGCAAACTCGTTATCTTTTCAGCCAGAGCCATTTTCTCGTTGGAGAGCTTCTCAATTTCTGTATAGCCCAGTTGGATCTTGTACGGTATATTGGCGGTAGACTTTGAGCTTGGTGATGGGGAGGGGGATGGAGAGAACTCTTGTGAGGGTGTCACGCTTCCACGTAAACTGTGTTTGATCCATCGAGCACTGTCAACGTCGATTTGTTGCTGTAATTCTGCGGGGAAAAAAGGATGAGCATCCTTTCAGGGTCGAATACGCTTAGAAATGACACACCTTGGACGCGAAAGTCCTTATGCTTAATCTCTTCAAGATAATGCTTCACCTCGTGCGGAAGATAGTCGAGACCTTGTAAAGAGTGTAAGGGAGTTCAGAAGCTAAGACAAAGAAGTATCTACGGAACTGTAGATGAATTCGCCGGCCAAATTAGCTGCGTCCTCAAGATTCTGCGTAGATGCAGTTGCGATCATACTGCATGTGCTAGAAAAAATCGTGATTTAATTGTGCAAATACCGGGTTCGTAGTGGTGGTACAGGTTAAAGATGACTCACTCCGCTTGCGTGGGAAACTCTTGAACTTTGCACGCTCACCCGCTCAACGATATTTCAATTGGTTTATTCTCATCCTCCCGTTTCTTAATTCAAACCTCAGCGATCCCTGGTCGCAATCCCTGGTCGACTTGGATTGCAACGGCATGAATCTGAAACTATAAGGTCTCGATATATTGAACTAATTGCATCTAGTAGGTGACTAATGGAGACTGATTACTTGACTCACCTCCCAACTTCGTCGAGCACTGCTATTTCACTGGAATCTTATACTACATAAGGAGTGCCCTGCCTCCGTGTTCAATTCAAGAATGGTGTAAATGCAGCTCCCGACAATATGATCATTACGAACTTGACATACTCACTTTTTTCGGGAATCTTTGGTACTTCCACTTCACGGCAGCACTGCGGTATATGTCCGTGCACATCAGCTTCAGAAATTGACACCCCATGATTTTGTTATCGTTAGCGCTGCTCGTTCAACCTGTACAGACACCATTGAAAAATCTGAAACTTCTAGGACGGACTTCTGGAAGTACCTTATCCAACAGATCTATCGAAATACCTCAGTCTCGGTTTGAATTTTGGAAGCAGGTGGAAGGTTAGGATGCCTTTATGATCAGACTGAATGTTTTTGCCGTAGTAATATCGGTGCAACACCGACCCGAATTCCATTCTATTGCACTCTGCCGTCTGCCGCACTCTCACTGCGACTGGAGCGCCACGCCCACGAGATTCTTGGGGGAAATAGCTTCGTCAGTTCGTGTCAATCGTCACCATCAAATAGGACTCCATTTCACCATCCGCATCGCCTGACTGTGTCTGCAGATAGAATGTTTTACGCGTGGCTCCGCTAACGATATAATCGTCTCAAAAATATCGCAGCAGATATTTAGTCGTCTTGGGAAAACGTCCAAACATATTTTCGCCGTGTAAGTGCGCACAGAAGTTTATTCATGTGTCGAACGAAACCGTAAATCTGTCCTGATCTAGTTCATAGAATGAAAAATGGACACCTTCTGCCGATCATCACGATACTACTGGATAATATGACCCCTCGATCTATAGCTTGTTAATGATATCAATGCTGTGATTTCTCATCGACGAGAATATTATATGAGGTTCTACCGAGCTGGACGGCATAATATTTTAATAAGTACAATTTCGATGATATAAATTCTGGAAATCCGCTCCGCTTGGACTTGGGCTTCGGTGAGTAGCTGTAGGTAGCTGTCTGCATTGAATCGGAGCTCTTTTCGTTGATCATTTGTATCCTAGGATTGCTAGGATTTCCGCAAGCTACAGCTGACCGGGGAAATCACCGTAGCAGCACCGCTACGTCTTATCTCGGGTCTGAATTCATCCTTAAACCAAATTTTCCTCTCTTGATCGACACTAGGGTAATCAGAATTCTTTGAGTAAATTTCTCGACTGGCGATGGACTACCGACAGCACCAGGGCAGTACCACGGTCGAATTTGCGCACATTCTCCAAGTGGAATTTTGTACTGTGAATAAATTCTCGGGTGGGTCCTTCATCTGTTCTTAACTTTTCTTTTCCCTTCAGCTTGAACTACAGCCCTATATTCACTCATTCCTTCTTAGATACTCCATGCCAATGATAGCGGGAACAGTGTTTTTGATGCCATATATCAAAATTGAACTTGAAACCTATCATTCTATCTCCACTAAATATGGAGTCAAAGTGGCAAAGTTCACCTATAGACACCTTCGTTAGCCATTTGTTGTTCGCTCATTCGAATGATTCTCTTTACCAACAGAACGGCAATATTAACATCACCCCTATTGGTCATTTTATCGTGATTACAGCTAGCCTGAGCTTGGTTCGTGATGCACAATGCCTCTGTCTCGTCCATAGAAAATGTTCGAATCAGGGCTATTGCTCAAGGTTCATTTGAACAGGTGGGACAGTTAGGCTGCTTATGCTCAATTCTTCATATCTCTTCACTGCTCTGCTCATAAGTCAGGGCTTTTGTCTAACGACTTCGACTTGTTCACAAGGTCAGGAAAGCCGCCAAAACTCAATCAAATCCCTTACGGCGCCTGTCTGGAAAAAAATACGCTTTATAAATCCCGGAATTACCCCCATGCTTCAAGCAATAATGCGGGATTACCAGCTTGATCCCTACATCGTAATATAACTACCAGTACCTCTGCACACGCTGTTCACACGACAATGTCTATCTTTGTGAGTGAGGCTGTCATTACTGACTTTTGTAGGGAGTTGATTGTGTTTCTTTTAACTACCAAAACATCTATCTGTGCTATCGCGCATACTCAAGCAACAATATATGTAATTGGAGTTTTCAAAAATGAATTCACCAGTCACTGGTACTAAGAAGGTCAAGGGTGTTCAACTTGAAGATCGACTCAGAGTGCTCCACCATTCATATTGCCACAGATTGTGAAATGGAGATCGACGTGTAAATCATCTTTCCCTCGTGTTGACTCGGATGGCTTGAGGGCCCTCTCATTTGAGAAACTCAGCACTGTCATACTATTAAGTATTCTAATTTAACTGTAGCTCTATCGTATCGATCTATTCAAAGGAAGACATGATCACATCGAACGAGAGGTGAGTTTAGGATAGGATAGGTTAGTTAAAGGCTACCAGGTCCGATTCCCGAACGACCAGTGAACCATACTGTACAATCTTAGATTACAGAACTGACTGGCAGTGCTGGCAATGTTTCATGAAATGGGCAATCTGAATCCGAAACCCGGCAAGCTCTGAGTTTCCCGCATCGAACAATGATACATCAGGGAACGAGGTTAATTGGCACCCTCAGTCATTGCCAATACTAAAAGCTTTGAACTGAGATCAGGATTCAGATCCGAGAATGCATGCCATGAATAGACGCGCGAATTATTGTCTTCCGTGTGTAGGCGCCAATGAACCTGCCAGAAGTGGACTGTCATTAGGATCCTCTTTCCTTCTCATTTACCTCAGCAGTCTTGCTACTCTACGTCGCTCAGCGTTTTGAAGACTCAAAGTGCGGTTGTTACCATCAAAGATACACTGGGAAGTTCGCTGGGGAAGTTAGAATGGCCTCTGGAGAGACTTACTGCTTCCAAGAGAAAGAAGCAAAGCAGGAAGTAAAATTGCTCACTATAGCCTGTCGTTTCGGTAAGCTGGCTTGTGTGCTCTGATCTTGCAAATAATTGTTTTCCTTCCGCGGGACAGTTCCATACGATCAATGGCTTGTCACTCATGTGGATTCTGCCTGGACGATTAATGAAGTTAAGTCATGGATAGTGGCTAAATGCATAGCAAGTAGTCCTTCTCGGACCAATCCCACCTCGAACTTCAATCTACCACCCATACATCCCCCCGCTAAACCAAAAACGAAACCCTCTCGTCGTCCAGCATCGCCCATCGTCTTCGCAGAATTTCCACCCTCAAATGGAGGTCCAATTCACAGTCCTGCCTCCAAGTTGGATGGAATATCGAAGGAAGATAAATTCAAGCGCAAAAAACGAAGAAGTCGAGGAAGGCCTATTTCACCTATAACCTTTGCGCCCATCGGCGTCGTAGATCCCCAGGATGATAGTGAAGATGATGCTGTAAAGTTAAAGGACGAAGGAGAAGTGATTGGTATGGGCTATGAAGAAGATGATGAATGGGACTCCCAGGAGGATGAGTCTGATATCGACGAGCTCGAGCTTGAGCTTGATACCAACCCTCGTATGGGCAGGCGTGCCAACCGAAATCAATATCTAGGCTTTTATGACCGACCTTCGATTGGCCAGCGAAGTGTTCTACCTCCCTCTGTTGCCTCCAGGATTCTACCCAGCAAAACGCGCGTGAACCCGGCCTCGCTTCCTAGAGGCTCTCACACCACGTATCATCCCAATTTTCTCAACCTCATTCGATTCTCTACAGGACAAATCCTTGAAAAGCACTACACCATTGTCGATTATGACATACAGCCCTACGAACTTCTAGAGGTTCATCGTCTAGGAGTTGTGACCAAACTTCCGCGGGAGATTACTTCAAAGTATATCGAGCCATATTGGGAAGGCTGGGTGAAAGCCCTTCGACTTGTTTTTCGTGAGCCTCATGTGGTCACTGAAGTCCGGTCCCTGGCTCGCGAGGGATCTAGCAGGCGAAAAGATGCTTCTGTCGAAGAAGTGTCCAAAGCAGCCAGCTCGCATGCTGAAACCGCTCGGAGGACCATGGAAGTCCTCGCAGGAGGGCCTGTCAAGGTTGCTTCGTTTTCCCCTGCCGATGTTGCGCTGGGCCTCAGACCTCCTCCTTCTTCCAGGGTCAAGATGAAGAAAGATAGACACTCAGTTGGGAATGATCTGGATATTCATACATCGATGTGGAAATCGACCAAACTAAGTAACAGCAACTATCATGACATGGCGTCCCTTAGTCGAAATGCTACTGCTCCGACCTCGAAGTCTAGCCTTACTCAAAATATCTCTAATAACAGACATCGTTCGAAAGGAAAGGGAGGAAAGCTCGAATGGCGCGAACGATGGGTTTTCATCAAAGATGGCGTTTTACATTTGAAGAAGGAAAATTCTGTAAGTTTTTATACTTCGTTTGTTTGACCCTTTTGATTGATCAATCCACGATTTAGGAATTGTCCTCGACAACCGCTCAAATTCTTCCTTTGGATTCACTCACAGAAATACGCAATGCTGACCAGCTCGGGCGAACATTACCGTCTTCTCTACCTCAATACATTGTATGTGCGAAGTTCAAGACGCCGATAACCACGACCAAACATCCCGCTTCCGTATCACCGAGCCCCTCATATGCGAGACGCGCTTCACAGAGCAACACCTCCAGTCACACCCCCGATTCATATTCTACGCTAAAAACCCCCGTTATCTTGTCCAAGCCTTCTTCTTTATCAAGGAGCGAGAGCATGTCTCATCCTAGAAATAGCTCGAATTATTCTGCTCTGACGGGGAATCCAAACGAAGGACCCAGTCGACCTACGCCCTCATCGTCTTCAATATCAAGACCGAAGATCATGCTACAGATCAAACCTCTTCCGCCTCCTCCTCCTACTTCTAAAGTTATACTAAACAAGGAGCCCTCGTCCTCCATGATCATTTCGGACAGAGATAAGGGCAAGGGTGAAACGCCATTGGATTCTCTATCTTCACCTCGTCTTTTATCGGCATCGGAACGGAGAGTTCTTTTCCACCCGGAAGTTATCAGCGGGCGTACTAGTGAAAATCTTTCTGAGGTACATACCGAAGAGGAAGGGGCTGCGTCGGACGATGAAGCCGACGCTGTTGATCTAGTTGGTGGCCGGAAGAAATTACCCGTGGTTTCAAGCCCTCACATCAGCGACCGTAAACACCCCCACATTATAATGGAGTCAGACGCTGATTCAGACCGCTCCGGAAGTACACTCTCGTCTCCTGTCTTTGCACATACCGAGAATGACAGCCCATTTTCGGACGGGCCTGCACGTAGTTATGGTTACAGCAATGGTCAATTTGGTGGCACATCGGAGTGGCGAAGGAAGGGAATTAAGATCAACTCGTCCACAACACTGAAGCGAGGGGGGATGTGGTATAAAGAAGAGGACGAGGGTAATACTGAGGTTGATACTAGCTATGTTGTTGTCAGCGGGGCTGACGACAACGCAGAGGGTCCTAGTTCCACGAAAGGTTCAAATACGAGGCAAAATTTAACATCGCAGAATTCCGGAAAAAAACTTGATCCCGAATCAGAGTGGGTTGTCTTGGACCTCGGAGACGATTTTGGTGCGTTCAAAGCTTATAGACCTACTTCCGTTCACTCAACCTATACTCTTCAGCTTTCAAATCGTTCCTTCGTGTTATTCACCGTCATGCACCTCATGTTGTTGACTCCAGCTTTCTATCAAACCTTCCTCCATTTCAGATGCCAAAATCTTCTAACGTCCCTGCCGCACCTGCTCCGACCCCGACCTTTCCTTCATCATTCCCTACACCAGAGCAAGCGATGCCCCCCTCGTTTGCTCGGTGGTCATGGAGTACCCAGAATCAAGAGCGGCGATCTTCTCCTGATGAGGTCTCCCCAATTACTCTTTCTGCTAAGGAGCTAAATCAAAGTTCGAGTTCCCCCCTTGCTCGCATTGAAGCTCCTACGGAAGTCATTTCCAATCCCAACTCTTCCTGGGTGAATGATACCCCAGCTGGCACTCAATCCCTCGTATCACCGATTACTGCACCCAAAGATTCAAGACAATTTCGCCTTCCGCCCTCTCCTCGTCTTCTCGCTACCATGTCGAACACACAGAATTCCAGTACTCATACGTCTTCGCTACTCAATTCTACACTCGGTCGGCGACAATCCGAAACTAAGCAGTTAAACATTTTAAGTTCTCAGCAGAAAAACTCCCTTGGAACTTTCGGTGCTCTTCCGTATCCAGAGTGGCGTCTCGAGGTCGTGACCAAGGCCCAAAGAGCTGGTATGGGTGAACTCACCAAGGCTATGGATCAGTTCCTGTGGGGTGACAATCCGGGTCTCGCGCAGCTTACGAGGGAATTAGGGCTAAGGATAGCCCCAATGGAACTCATAAGGAGCCCAAGCATCCAATCCGCGGCTGGCGATCGAATTTTCGACAACGAGGAAGGGGACAGTGCAGAGGATGCCATTAGTATGCGGAGGCAGCGGAAGCGCAAGGATAGAAAATTGACCTTGGAGCAAGAGAATATCGCCATTGGGCTCAAATTTCCTGGTGGTGGAAATCTTTCTAGTAGAACTTTGATCGATTCTGGCCAGCAAATTGCTCTGGTGTCCACCACCAACATCTCTACCTCTAGTTCTGATATTCTCCGTCCTTCTTTGAGGCTTGATTATGTTGATATCGACTCGAGCGAGAGTGGTGAAGAAAGTAGTGATGCGGAATGGGTCGGTTGGATGGCAGATCTTCATCGCCAAGCTAGACTGCATCGAGAAGAGAATGCCCGGCTTGACCGCCTGGAGACTGAAAGCCTTGCAAGTTCTACAGACACGAATGACTACTGGGATTACCAACAGCAAGATGACCATCGTCGTTATCAGGAAGAGCGCAGGGCGCTAGAGCCGACCGGGGTTGTTACGTCATCTTCACCGTATACGATTCCAACTTCACCCAACACAATTCTAACTTCACCCCTCGTACGTCAAAAAGAAGTGGGCCTACCGCAATATGCCTCCTCGACATCTATTCCCTCGGAAACCACAATCAATTGTGTCCCTGGATCTACTGCATCTGTAGGGACTAGCGCGGTGACTCCGACTTTTCAAAGGCCCGCCACTCCAGACAATATACTTGTCGTCGGAGGACCATCATTCCTCACCTCTCCATCGTCGAACGAAAGTTTGAATAGACCCCACGGGCGTCGGTTGAGCTTTGGTCTATCTCCGTCTGACCCTCCTTCCTCTGCGACATCGCCTTCGTTGTCGCAAGCGGGTCATAGCGTGGAAATGACTCTCCTTGAGCATCAGCAATTGAATTCCCGTTCAAACAAGCATACTCGTCAGATCAGTGGCATGGTGCGGGACGGTCCGAACTTGTCGCACTATGCGTCAACAGGACTGATTGGTACAACTAGCGAGCTTCTGGAATTGGAATTGCAAAATTCTAGTCTTACTTCTGCTCGACGACCGAGCATGCCTATCCTAGGCTCTACATCCTTTGCGACGCAACCAGACAAGCCACCAACTCCCCCTCTGATCCCCGACTTTCACCATACAGGAACAACTTTGGGTGGGTTGTCTGCAGAGTCTTCACGGTTAGCTGCTGGCGCTAAACTAGCGCGATTGATAGGTTCGGACAAATCATATGACCATACCGTAGCAGTAACGATCCCGCGACGTTCCAGTATTACCGGCTCTGTATCTTCTGTCTCTTTGGGCCGCTCATCGAGTAAGGCACCTGGCTTACTTCGCAAAAAAGGTTCAGAAAATGCCAAGGGTAGAAATATAATGGAAAAAAGGGAAGCGGGACACAATCAAGATCGGGAGATGCTTTTCGTGCAGCAGAAAGAAAAATCTCGGAAGGGGAAAGGTAAGGAGCGAGAAATTGACAAGATAGTGCAGGATCATAGTGGCGAGGACAAATCCCGTCGGCAAAGGCTATCTCTCCCGCTATCGAACAGTTTGACCCATACGCACGTTTCCACATCCAAAATGCTGAGTCCGCTTCCAACAAGCCCAGTACTCCCCTCCAGAGATATACGGCGTACTAAATCTGGGCAACGTTTGCGCGAGGAAATACCTGTGATAAAAAAGGAAAAGAAGCGAGGTTTAGTGAGAGAGAAGGCGGAAAGGCTGTTGCAAAACCTGGAGTCGAAGTTGGATTTCGTGGACGATTGATAGTGCGTGTCTCAAGTTTGTTCCATAACTTATCAAATTGTTTTTCGCTATCGTTGTATGAATCACCATTTTCTTGTTACTACATATTATAATCGCATGCAATAGTCTATTAAATATCTTCATATTTCCACTTATGTATTTTACCATGCCCTACTAACGTACTTCTGACAACTAATTATAAGTATGTCTACCTCATTCAATATGCTGGTCAATTAATGAGCTGATACGAGATCCTGAAGGCCCATGCGTATTGAACTTCCTTGACACCGCTCTCAGAGATATTGACGATCAAGTTGCCTGAAGAATCTGTTGACCATGGGAGAGAAATTTGGCTTTTACTCGGAGTAAGCAGCGTTATTTTGTCTTCGGGAAGAAGCGGAAGGCGTTTGTGAATGATAATTTCATCGTCGGTCGGTGTATCGAATACGACAACGCAGAATGTTGTTGGAGTGGTAGTGAAGCGAGCAGGGGTAAGGCCAATCGGAGGATTTGGGTCTTGTGATGTCTGGAACCAATATTCCTAGGGCCAAAATCAAATCACTTGAACACTTCAACTGGGATGAACATAATACATACCGTGTCGTATATACACTCTCCAGCATATTCAAGCCATGATCCAGCAGCCAGAAGATTATCTACCATGGGCGCAATAATTTCTCCTTCCGCAGTTGGACCGATGTCAAGCAAGCTGAAGTAAAATTCAGCACCCTCGTCAAGGTCATTTTCATTTTTTCAAGCAATCTTACAAGTTGCCGTTTTTCGAGACTATGTCCACTAAGGTCTGAACAATCGTCGTCCCATTCTTATATTCATTGGCATTTGTCGCTGTGTTTAATCCGTAACTGAATGGATCCATCCCCTCACTGGACTCCCAGCTGCTGGTTTGAATAGAATTAAAGGTCTCGTACTCTGGTGTGTTGAAGTCGGGAACAGCACCGCAACCTGTTATCGAAGTTGAAGAATAGATAGTGTACTGTATAATAGTAACTTACGATTGTTCATCGTCACCTGGTATCCACTAGCGAAGGCGTGGTTATAGAATTCAGCAGCGAACTCCAGGGTGTTATTGGGACCACCGATATCGCACCACTGTGTACCACATTTAGAAACTGTATTTTTACTTTTTGCCGAATGATTTCAGTGTTATATTGAGTAGCGAGATTCAACATTTGAGGATATTGCAAATCTTCGATATAATCAGAGATATTCAGATGCCCAGTATAAGGTTCAAATGCAGGTGTAGTGTTGAACGGATTGCGGGCAAGGCCCCCTGGCCATTCACCGAAACCGTACTTTGCATAGTCTGGATTAAACCACTCTGGAAGAGAATAGTATGTTCCACGATGAATATGAGGTTTCTCGGCAGCTGCGTCGAAAAGCTCTTTCAACAGGTCCCGTTTGGGTCCCAAAACGACTGCGGATCTATTAGTCGTGTTCCCAGTGTCGAAGAGAGAAAATCCATCGTGATGTTTCTGCAAGGCAGTCAACATACGTACGGATTGATTCCTGCGAAACAAATAAGTATTTTGTTTGACTTACTGTTACTTGAACAAAATATCTGGCTCCTGCTCGATCAAAGAGATCTATCCATGCACTAGCGTTAAACTTAGAAGCCGTAAAATTGGAAATGAAGTCGTCGTAAAGAACGTTCTATTTCCACTTTATGTGAGTTTACCGCTGAATTTCTGTAAAAATTTCTCACCTGCCCGTATGTTTCAAGGTGGTGAACCCATGTAGGACTGCTAGAGTTCGGCGGGTTGTGCAAATAATAGCTGTAGCGTATGTAGGTCAGCGGTGTCCCCAACGACTATGCATACAAAGATACTCACTTGTACCATTCAGCATACTCATTCGAAGGAGCCTGAACTTCATAGTGAATATATTAGCGAGCTGGGAGACTAAGTTGTAACACACCCAGGCAGGATAGCTATACACTCCCCAATGGATACTGTACTGTAATGACTTGCTGGTACATTGATTAGAAGTTTCGAAAGAACGCACAAGATTCCGTATTTTGCCTTCCTCCACTAATTTGACAGATATCAGCACGAGTCACCAGCTGATTTAAATCATGCAACGAACCCAACTGGGAGTTTCATGTGCGCTCAAGGAGGTCGTATCTGCGGTATAAGTTGTCGCCAAAGCAGTGGAGGGCCATCCACTAGACTCTCCAACAATGTTCCCAGTAAAATTCTTGATAATAATAGTTGCTTTTGAACCTGTAGTGCTACCTGTAATGAGCACGTCCACTCTTGCTTGATCTCCTGGCACAAGCCTGTTAACGACACCTGGCGACACGGTCGTCACGCTAGGCCCGGAGATCTCAATTGTATGCTGGGAATTAATGGAGGTTTTGGCAGAGACTGAGAAGGTGGGCAATAGGTTTGCAATCGTAACTTGTACTGCTTGCGCGCGTGTATTATTCACCATCTCCCATCTCGAAGTGAATTTTGCTCTTCGTACCACGAGCGATGGACCATCAGCAATTGAAATACTTGAAGGCGAAAACGCCATTGAGAATATATGCAACCTATGACCGGGGTTTACCACCGGGAAGGTGATGCTTTTCAATGGTTGTTCTGAAGATACAGCTGTCGACCATTGGAAGATCGAGGTATGATTGAAGTTCTTTGAAGTTCCATTTGCCTGTAGGCTGTATGGACTAGATTTTTTCTCAGAAAGGTAGATGGGACCGATTCAATGAACCTACGTCTGAATTATTCCTGGGTTTAAATCTGGCCAACCCCACCAGTTACTAGCCTCCACTGTGCATTCCATATCGACACAAATATGATAAGCTGGATCAATGAAAGAGACTCACGGGTGAGAGTTTGAGTCGACCCATCCACAAAGGTGAGTATAAATCGATTAACTGTAAACGTTGCATCTTAAATTAAAAAAAGCCAAGTTAATTCCAAGCTTCGAGCTGCACTTTAAAATGATAAACCTCCACTATTATCACCGGAGTACAGTACATGCAACTCGTGCGCAAAAGTGCTTTCTGACAACATGAGGGTCTGGTTATTGGCAATCACATTATCGTTGGCTGCGCCCCAGGTGGCAGGGAGTTGATACTAAATCATTATATTTCATGAAAATTCAAGCACCATCAAACAGCTGACGCACCGTAATTCCATCGTACATGTATGACTCCGATGGGAGGAACTGACCATCGAAGGTGTTCCCCTGACCATCGAAATCCGCCATGGATCCGTTGACGGACGCAGCTTGATTGTCGAACAAAGGCTCAATAGGGAAAAGAATGAAAGGAAACTTGGGAAGCTCCGTTGCAACGCTTAAAGTGCTGAACAACAGAGGTAGGCTGATCTTCAGGCGGTCCAGTCTCATTGTGGGCAATGCAGGGCAGTCTAAGGATCATCGTCAGTATTTTTGCCTCATATACAAGACTTCGGATAGCAGGTTATGTGAATCAGTTGACCACCAGCCTCCACCTCAAAAATCCTCTGAAAGTTCTCCCTGTGTGAAAAAGGACCAACATGACTTTGAAGGGCCGTGATGACTGCACTCCTGATCGAACTTGCATATCGGCAGCCAACATATCATTCAATCCTATAGTTCAAATTGTACAACATGACGAGTCGGAGAATTTTCGAAGCTCCAGCAACAAGATGTGGACCGCGAACCGGACCGACAAAGATACATTCTTGCTCCAAGAGATATACAGTATAGTAACACTACATTTTCACCCTCTTAGTGTCATGGTATCCTGGAATTTTCATCGGCGTGGTACAATGTCGTTAGAGATGATACTACTTACCCCCTGATTGTCCCCGAGAGCTGCGCTCCGTCTTCCAAAAGGATGCAGAATCAGAATAACGACTATTCCCAGTGTCCCCGCCTCTGCCTCGTCCTGGGCCACCAGAAGCCTCGTCATCACGCTCACGTTTCACCGCATGGGTCTGAGGTTTTGGAAGGCCATCTTCACCCCTAGGGTCTAGTGAATACCTGGATTGGCCTTCGAAACACGTCAGGGTAAAGAATTAAACTGAAACCTCAGACGGCGCACCATATTCTTCTTCCTTTGCAGTAGCCCTGGAAGTATATCGTACAGCATCAAATGATCTATTTTGTCCAAGAGAATCTCTTTTTGGAAGGTAGTTCGAAGGAAGGATATGTTCTGAAACCCATTTAGCAAACAGACGGTAAAGACATACATGGAGAATATTCTACCTGATTTGACTGTAGTCACGTCCAATCCGCGTCTAACATCTGGTTTCATCTCCGGCCTCCTCATCAGTTCGTGCTGGTGCACACGTTCTGTTCCTATACGGGATATTTCTATGATACAAATTAGGAAGCAACAGTATAAGAATCAGTACACGAACCGACAGGTTCTTGTTTTGGAATTTGAAAATCAGGATCTTCAACTTTCGGCCTTATGGGTTGTGAATGATTGTCATTGGTGCTTGTAGAAATTTGAGAACGCCGTTTGTACAATGGAATGTTGCCTGGAAAAGAGTTGTCGTTTCCATGCGAGCCTGATAGACAGGAAAAGCATACCAGTCTCCGTCTTAACTACGACCGCAGGTGTATTGTGCTTAGCATCAGGTTCTACCTTGGGTTCAGGCCCGGTGTTCAAATTATCCTGGGCTTGAGCTTGAAGCAATGATTGTAGCTCGTTCCAAAGCCGGATACGGTCTTCGCTGACATGATTTTCTGCAGGATGATAGGTGAAGTGAGCTTTAAATGGGTCAGGAAACAGGCATACCAGGCTCTTCCCTCTTGGGGAGCAATATTTCATCAGGGCCCTCGACCTTTGCTTGATTTTGTTGCGAATCACCTCTGTTTGAACTACTTGAGCCGAATCCGCGATCATCTGCAGTGTGACTGTGAACTCAGAGCTGTACACAAACAGAGCCAGTTATAATTTCACACCAGTCCCTTCCCTCTTGAAACCTAAGCTGTCATCAGACCTCTCAATCTTCATAACTTGAGGATTTGATGGAGCCTGAGCCTGAATTAATCCCTGCAGCTCGTTCCAAAGCCGAATCCTCTCTTCACTGACATGACTTTCTGTTATGGCAATAAGCAACCGCAGGGAACAAGAGGGGCGTTCATACCAGGCTCCTCTTCTTTCTTTGGGGGTAGAGCGTCCCCATGGTCTTCGATCTTGGGTTGTTTAAAAGGCTGCGAAGCGCGTCCCTCTGGCTTGTATTGGCTGAGGCGATGATCTACAAAAATGAAAGTTTTCAAATTAGGTATATTAAAGATGAACTTTCGTACCGTGTTGTTCTTCCTTTGGAATTAATCTGTTTTTGGACCCTTCAACCTTTAACTGCCTATGGACCGCGTTCGCTTGAAAGTCGGTCGGGATATCGTCTATGCTCAATTCACAATATGAGCAAACAATTGCTTGAGAACAACATCATCAAAAAACTCACGCGTCTGAGGCTCAGGTTTAATCACCACATTTACTCCCGATCCGATGCGTCCGCGTTGCGACTCCATTTCGCCCGTATGCCGTCGAGAATCAATGGACAGTAGTGATCGACGCGGGTCACGTTCATCATCAAGTGTAACTGAGCGACGACCCGGGTCGAGGTGCGATTCAACTTGTCGGAGATCTGAGATCGATTGTTTGTTGTTACGCATAGCGTCCAAAAAAGCTGGCGGAACATAGGGAACGAAGGATTCAGGCGGCGGTACGTGTAGCGTTGCTGAACTTAGAGGACCAGGATTGTTGAGCAAAGACGTTTGGGATGGAGAACGATCTTGAGGTGAAGGGCTAGGAGGGTCAGGCAATCTGTTTTGACACCAGGAATTGAATCCGTTATTAGCGAGGGAAATCATAAGAAAGATATCGACAACCAACCTTGCATTTGCTGGTAGCGATTCATCATAAGAAGCGCGACGAGCTATGTGAAGTAAGAGTTAGCATAACAAAGGCCATGAGCAATCGCTTACCAATCAAGAGCTCTTGCACCTCAGACGATAACGGTTGAGCAAAGTGCGTCGGTGGCTTCAAAGCCTGGGGTTTCCTTGGAGGAGGATAATCTTTCTTTTCCTTCACGCGAAGATTTGCCAAATCTGCTTTATCATAATTCGGCGATATCGACTCCCACTCTGAATCCAGGCATACAGTTCAATATTGGTTAGAACTAGTCCATCCGACAACAATTCCAGGCAATGTACTGGAGAATGTACTTCAACGTACTCAGAATTGTATTTGGACATCCTTGATGCAGATAATCGTACAGATAGATCTCCGAAATCTCTGCACGAGTGGAATTTTTGAAGAAATCCTGCGTGTGGTGTGCGCCCAGGATAGGATCAACGTTTACAGAGCTGTCTAATTCAACAATGATGAATTCCTTCGCAAGAACCGGTCAGCTTCAAGCCGTTGACTGATAAACGTCGTTCGCACCTTATTACTCTGGAAATAAATCGTCTCTACGCGTTTCCCGGTCATATTCTCGAACCATCCTCCAATAGTATTCGCAAATCTCTCTTTCACCACCTCCGGGTTTTCACGACGTCCGTTACCACTGGAGGCACTCGGTCTCGACCATGGATTCGTCACGACAACGTACTTGGAGTATCCCGGATCATTGTATTCCTAACATGTATAAAAACGAGATAGCACATTGAGGATGGGGAATGCTTACCTTTATTTTGAACTTTGGTGCTTTCAATTTAGGTTGCTTGGGCCGCATCGTTATGGGAGGAAAGAGAAGTTACTATAGAGGAACCAGGCAGCTGCGAGGCAGCGTGACATTATTACGATGGAAGATCATGGGAGAAAAGTGTTGCTCCTCCGCTCAATTACCGATCTCCCCAATGTAATATGTAGAATAGAATAGTGCACGGGTCAACGTTTTTAGAACCTGATACAAAATGAACGCATAACTAAGTGTAAAGCCACACATTCTCTTGTGTGGTCTTCACTCTAATATCTCCCATAGTTTCCGGCGCTTCGTCTCCCCAATAAACCTTCCCAGATTTATGTACATCCTCATAATGCGCCATATCCAACTTGTGCTTTCTACCCTTTCCCCAGGGATCCCGCATACCCGAGTCCCATCGAACTTGTGTCTTGCCGTTATGACTTGTTCGTAAATCAAACGTTCCGGCAAAGTCAGGGGACAGGAAGACACTCGAAGCAGCGTTGGTAGTCGAGGCGTCGATGATGAACTTATAATCGGGGTCTAGAAAGGGCATGCGTGGCATGGTGACATTCAACACCCCATTGGTAGTATGCAGAGAGGCATTGAGCTTGACGGCGTTGAAGTCCGAGGCCATAGTCAATGCAGCTCGGATATGGCTTGGAAAGGGCAAGCATACAGATGAATGAGAACCAAAAATATCGACATAGAAAAAGAAGCCTTACCCATTGTTGGTCTTCATTGACACCTCCGTTATGGCTTCGTCTTTTTGGCCGAACGCCCATACTACACCATCGATAGGTGCATTGGTAGTCCTTATATGGACTGCGTCGCTACTGTAGAAGTTGGCTGAAACTGCAGCGTCACTGGTCTGAATGAATGCTGACTCTGCGAACATTCCCTGGAAAGAGTATGTTGGGTTAGCTATACGCATGTATTTATCATCATTGGGCGAACATACTTACCAATGACCGTATCGTCTCATTGCCTCCCTTCAATCTCACAACTGCAAATCCGTTCGGGCTCCATAGATCGAAGAAATCACCGAATGATTGTGTATATGCACCCCCACTCAAGTCTGTACTAAAGTCTCGGAAACTTGACCAGGGTAACTCGATAGAGATGTTGAAACTTGGCAATAAAGACGAATCAATGTCCTTCGCCTGCGTGAATAGTAAAGTCTTGTTACGGATGTCACACAAAGAATGTCGATGAACACATACCCAAATCATAATACCACCTTCAGTATCATTTTCAGAATAACACGCTTTCGTCTGCTCCAGATGCCCTCGATGATCATACTCTGCAGTGACATTCACAGCAATAGTTTCTAGGCGCCTCATTCGGTTTGAGGTTACGGTGAGATGGCCTTTAGTGGGTTGTCCACGGGAGATAAAGAATATGAGATCTGAATTGGCGGGAATGTCGAACGAGACCTGGGATGTTTTTGTATCTAGATTCAAACTTGACCTAGATTCAGCAGCGGTCAAAGGCCATGGTGCGCAAAAGGTGGTGTCGGAAGGTGTTTGATATTTCTATAAATCACTTCAGGAAATCACGGAGAATAGAGAAGATCGAAGGTTAACCGACCTCTAATCGAGGATCATCAGCAATGTGTTCACTATCGTCATCCCACACTGGCTCATCGTCTCCGGGTTCTTCGAGTTCCTTCCCTGAACGAGGTTGTATGCCTATCACTACCAGCGTAACCAGGAGAATGAAAATGACTCCGGTGAAGAAATATACAGCAAGCTTCCATCGCAAAAGTCTTCGCCTAGTCTCCACTGGTAACTCCTCGAAGACATTGTCGTCGTTTTCGAGCAATTCATCCATGGTACGAGCATCATCATCAATGGTGACTCCGGAATCCTCCGACTGGTCAGTGACGGTGAGATTCTTTGAACGGGTAAGAAAAGGGATAGAGAAATGCATGGTGTATTTTGGGATGCTGCAGGAAGAGATGAAGAGTCGAAATTATGCATGCGCCTACCATTTTAGTACGTTGATAGTTTTCACAAGGTGATATCCATCTTCTTGTTGGTAGGTTGTTGTCCATAGTGAATGTTCAGCTAGGCGCCAAGTCAATCTACATAGTCACCTTGGCTGCGATGAAATCAATGGAGGCGTTCGAGAAATTTCCACAGTTTGACAATCGATAATGCAGTCCCGGGACCATAGATTAAACCATACTCCATATCCCATGCATTTAAGTGCGCAACGCACGGAATTGGCACAGAGCATTGATAGGCATTGATGGGCAAGTAAATAGCATGAGTAACAGTAATGTGGGCCTCAGAGATAGAAAGTAGACAATTCTCTAGTCATAGCTACGTGCAAACGTACAGTAAGCGTTCTTAAAGGCTAAATTCCGAGAGTGACATACGATACATGCGGCTGTCCAGTACATTCAGTGTTCAAAGCCGTAGAGAACCCTTCAACCCACTCGACCCAGCATTTCCAAGCTCCTTCCACCACTGTGTTTTTGGTCGGTCACTATCAGTGGTACTTCCACCTCCACCCTTCCGAACGATAGTTGACAACCCAGAGCTCACACCTCTACGACCGCCGCCAGGAAATATTTCCTGACGACCTTTTGCTTTCTTTTTACTATTTGACAAACCTCTAGAAGGCGACTGATCAGGAGTCTTTTCAGGGTTTGGATCATCTGGGTCCTCGTCGCCTGCAGTCCTTTTTCTCTTCCTTTCGACCTCTGGAGACTCTACATCGATTTTACTATCCTCGACATCAATCTCCTCTTCGTCGGCTCCGTTATGACGAGATTTGGTCTTCGCCATCTTGATCATGGTCGATGCCCTCAGAGTGCTCGCACTACCCTTATCCCATTCCTTACGATGTAGACGATATATTGCCATCGTCGCCCGTGCATCAACCAACTACCCAAAATAGATGTTAGTTGCTAGAACAGGAGCGGTCATGATATGACTTCGACGTACACTAGAATGCTCTCCAGCTTGAATAACAATGCCCAGCTCTTGTTCGACCAGTTTTCGTAAAGCAACATATTTGCTCCGTACGACCTTGGATTTCCCAGCAAGATATTGAGTGTCTCTGGTGAGATTCCAAGGATGTGATAGTAGAAGTGCCTGACAAAGATGAATGAGTACCGAAGAGGTTGAGCTTAACAGCGGTCTTGGCATGCCTTAAGATCATTATGAATGGCATGTCCGACAAGAATCCGATCTTGTAACAATTCCGCGACCTTTTTCTGAATCTCGTCGAAAGGCTTCGCTAGAAATAATTTAGAAAGAAATTAGTGATTAAAATTCAAATAACGACCTCGCGAAACGCGCAACACACCTTTCTTCATATCCGACTCTCTGATCCCGCTATACTGCGTCCGATAATCCACCACCCGCTCTCTCTGCCGCACAAACTCATCCATCTGTACTGCACCATGATAATTCACCAACGTAACTCTGGCCAACGAAGATTCCGATCCGTCAATCCCAACACCAACCATTTCGCAGTCGATACCTATATATTTCCCTGGTCTAAATTTATTCAATGGGGATCAAGGAAAACCTGCAAGGAAGACTTACTGACTGTTTGAGCTCGGACGAATAATCCATCTCGCCAAAAACCATACGTTTAAGACTGGAAAGTGATTCGCCGTTTTTCATGTCTTCAGTCAGATCAAGTTTGGACGATTCAGCCGTTATGGAGAATGGGGTCGAGGGGGAAATCTTTGATTTCTCTTCAAAATGATTGATTTTCCGTCTTTTGCGTCCAGATTCATAGCGTTGCACTGGCTTCTTGCCAGTAGATTTGTTGCTCAACTTCTACCGAGGACATTCTGTAAGTAAAAGCAGTTTCACTTAAAGAGGTGCATGGGACAGAAAGACCTTTTGCAAAGCAAGCCAATTTGAAGACGCAGCATTGGATTTTGGGACGCTTTTTGACATGAAGAATATGCGAGAACCTCATTAATTCTTGGCGCTTATGCCTTAGCGCTAATTAGCGTCGAGCGCTTCGGCGTCCTCTCATCACCCCATCATCCAACATCGCCGATCCATCATCTGAGTTCTTAGGAGTTCTTTCATCGTCCAATGAAACTGGTCGCACACGGAAGAAAAAAACAACTGTTTCAAAAACACCTTCGGTGCTCGTCGGTGGTGGACGGAACAAAAGCGCACAGCTCAAACTCCAACACCAAAAAGGAAATGCCGCCGACCTTCTTACGGTACTACTCTTTTCTCAAATAAGTAAAGGGTAAAAGCTCTTATATCACAGTGACAGAGTACATGAATTGGATGTTGAATACTCCACTTTTTTATTTAGTTACAACTTCCCTAGGTATGTGCTGAGCAAAAGTCCTCGAGGCAGTGGACCCTTCGGATACACTCGGCGTAGGTGGAGATAAAACTAAAGTGTTTCGGCATAATCTTCGGGCTGTACTTGACCGTGCGCGCAGCTAAATACTCCATCGCTTCCATCGTAAGCGATGAACCCCCATTTTTATTTCTTGTTACGACCATGTCACCGACTACCACATCCTCATCTAGCTCGAACGCCGCATCCACAGTCACCAGCACGATCAGCCCGACTAGTAGCAACAGCAGTACTCCTGATATTACAACTGAAGTCATAGTAGGAGGACTCATTGCAGGGATTCTCGTGGCTCTGATTGTTGCGGGATTGGTCTATTTTCTTTGTCAACGAAATAAGGGTCAAAAAAGTAGCAAGGGTGGTGGAGGAGGTTCTCGCAAAGACGGGAGAGGAAGATCTATGGATGGCTCAGATCCGCTCCTCTACCCAACCATCTCGCAGCTTGGTCAAGGAGATTACAATCCATATGTGGAGACTGTATCTATCCCAGCCCGGCCTATGCACCCTGAAATTTCCTTGAACTACACCGAAATCGACATGCTCGAACCTCTGCCTTCCTCCTCTTCCGTGATGCAGGAAGTCCCTATGTCTCTATCTCCTCCTCGGCCGTCGCTTCCACCATTGGTCATTCCACCTCTTTCTATTGCCCCATTCGCTATACGGTATCCAGCAAAATTACCCTCGATAGCACCCACAGCAGTCCCTGCAGTGGAACATAATAGCAACAACCCTGCCTCAGCAGTATCGATTGACGATGCAGCTTCTGAAAGCTCCATGTCCGCCTATTCACAGGCTTCCGCTTCAACTCGGATACATAAAGCTTGGGAGGACGACACCCAAATTCCTCCAATACCTAAAATTCCTTCTTATCTTTATAACGCTTATATTGCTCCCGAAGTTGCAGACGAAAACACGTCCCTTGCACGAGGCAACACCACTAAGGTAGCTGCATTACTGAAATCTCGTGCTCGTCGTGCACAGAGAGGAAAACCTTTGACCCGATCCTCCACCAAGATCTCTCGTATTGAACGCTCTGATTCTCTCGAGTACATTCCGTTCACGCCTCGTACTAAGCATACAGAAGCAGAAAGATTACATCGTGACGCAAGCACACTTGGGACTAAATCCCCTGCTCCATCCGAGGCAGCCTCGCTAACCATCCGCAACCCGTTCGCGGACACGTCTTCGTCCTCACGGTCCACATCAGTGACCACGTCGATCGCCAGCCACACAATTCACACAGTGGATCCTCCATATTACGCACATCGCCTGTCGGTGATTGACAATGAGGAAGCCGAAACGGAGTCTTTGTACGCTGATGAAGTACCTACTTTTCCTGCTACGATCGATACACCGCCGTTGAGGATATCGAAAAATCAAGTTTCCAATGCGCGTTCATGAGGTGGATGACTATTCGTCACGCATACAGTCTAGCACTATTTATCACCCGACCTTTTTCGTTCTCTTTCTTGGACTTGCTCACGACCTACTACTCATGTAATACTTAGCCACTTATGACAGTGTAATTCTAGAATATAGCACAACTTCTTACGGGCTGTATTCCCCTTGTATAACTTATAACTAACCTACAACTCACGATATAGTAGTAGCTTCATTTTAGGAAACAGTTTCTTTCCCGATGCATTACTTGTAGACAATGTCTATTACATATATCTACATTTCGAATGAACATGATCTGTATATACGAACACTGTTATACCGAATCACAGACTGTTTGTCACCATTTCCGAGTTCTATAATTCCTCCCACTCGTTGTGGTCTTCTATAAGTATTTTCACTGACTACAATCTACTATAACCTACTACAACCTGGAAGTCCACCCTCGGGAAAGGGTCAAACTACAGACCTTATTACAACTCAAGATAGGATAGTAGGACCCATCCGCTCATGTAAAGTTCTACATTGATACTTATTTCGGGAACCCGAACTCAGAAACAAGCGTTTTCGCTCTCCTTTCAAGACACGAGCCATCGTGGCGCTCAATTTATCTCAAATGCAAAAAACTAGTCCTCACAAAAGTTCTGCACGAGGTTCCCAAAATCATCATCATGCGTCAATTGAGGGATTGAGGGATTGAGGGAAGACGGACTTCGCATTGTGATTGAACATAAGAAAGCCTTGCGCCTGGGAATTCTGAAGATGCTAGTAAACAAGGTTCCTCGGAGCAATTCAGTGACAATGAAACTTTTCTTCCTGCATATGCCCCATACGCCAACACAAATGCCCCTACGCCAACACAAATGACTCTTCAAGCATCTACTGCAATCGATTTGAGATATTCAATCCGATGGGGGTTCGCATCACTCTCTTCTCCGCGATAGATAGCCGTCCATCTCGGCTCGTCCTATAGATATAGTATAACGACTTTAGTTGTCATGCACCTGGGTCGAAAATTTCAACAGAGAGAGTGCGACGGAATTTCCGGGTAGCGCTGAATCTCTAGCGTTCAGACTCTATGAACGACGTACCTTGAACAAGCGAATAACCTGGGCCATGTTTCCCTCATTGACGGTAAAGCGGTGGTATATCCCAGCGGGGATGATGAGTAAGTCGCCCGGGGATACAGCGAGACGGATCCATGCATTCGTAGGGGCCTCTGTCAGGTGGGGGTGTAAATTATATCATGAGTATGTCAAGTGCTTAAACAATGAGGCTTTACATAAAGAAGAAGAGATGGTATATGGGTAATACTTACGACGAACGTCGAAAAATCCACCTCCGGAGAGGATGTATCGAATCTCCTCGTCTTCGTGGATATGCCTATACCCAGTAAGGCAACTTGATCAGCAAACCCGAAACGACTTGGTGTAGAAGTCGTTTTTCATTTACGACTTACTCCTTGTAGAAAACTTGGATTTTCTCTTCAAAGTCCTAGGTATGCATTAATCATCCACGACATTCTTTTGTAAGAGCAATAAATGAAAACGTGGCCCAGGGAGTAGGGACTCACCTCTCCCAAAATCTCCTTCGACAAAGTAATCACATCCCTATTCTTATACGCCCTTTCCTTCGCAATGGAATCTAGCTTTTCTTCATACCCTTTCTCAACGGGTATATTCCAAGATTCTACTTTGATACGTTTCAACGTCTCGACGTCCACGGAACTAGATGGTTCGAGGTCGTGGTGTGGAAGTCGTTGGTCCCCGGGTTGATTGTCGAAGTAATAGGCATGCATTGCGTGTTCCGTGCTTGCGCTCAATGAACTGGATGCGATCGCTGAGATGTAGAGGATAGATCTTGAAGGAAGAGTATTGGTATTCCTAAGTTCAACTTACAGCCTATTATAAGCCAGTAGATAGTGGTGGTAGTTCTGGGTTGTAATATTGAACGTGAGAGCGATGTAATGATATAATTGAAACATAAATGAAAAGGAAGGTGATGCGATTTCCCGTTCACTGGCTCATATCAAAGTCCTTCACCATTAGGAGGTCTACAGCTTGTACGCAAGTCTACTGTACTATCAGACTCTTCATTTGTCCAGTACACATCTTCATATTCCACTTAGTATTCTCCGACACCAGAAGAATAATCGCTGTTCACGAAAACATCTTGTCCTAAAGCAACTTGGAGAAAAGCTTTGAAGTCCTCCATACATTCTTGTGAAGAGCTAAAATTGCTGTCCGTGTTATCACTACCGTGACTATCGGTTTCGGCCTATCAACACGAAACATTCTGAATATCACCACTGCAGAGTCATGAAAAGTACAACTCACGGCAGACTGGGCTTGTCGCAGCTCAACCTGTACCAGGTTTCGGGCGAGGGAAATCAGACGCTGTTTCTCATCATCATCGATATTTTTCTGTATTTCAGCCTTCAACTGTCCATGGAATTGCAATCATTGAGACTGATATGATATCGTATGAGAGAAGATAACTCACATCGGGACCTTGTTCCGAGGTATTATTTGGCTTGAGGGCCAACTTTAATACAAGAATATTTAAGAGCGCAATAATCTGGTCACCTTGATTGGTTCATCATCCGATACTGAGAGCTTGGGTTGAAATGACGTTCCCTAATTAGAAGGAATCTGAGCTTACAGTCAGAATTCAGATGCAATCAAAGTTGTGACTTACATGGAGAACGACGATCGCAGCGCCTTTGGGCAAAGTTGCGCCTTCGCAGCAAAACATTTCTGCGGGAGCAATTAAGACTGGGTTTTCGACTGTTGCCTGTGAGCGAAACACAAAGGAGAAATGAGAATTATGCATGACAGTGGAATCTTTAAATATAAAGTACTTCTTGATAAACAACGGCAGTAGCAGTAGAGGCATCGTATATCATTGAAGGCTTTGTAACCTATCGATCGAAGAAAACCAGACTCGTTAGTAGTGAAAGATCAGGATTGGCCACAAGGGGAAATGCGAACAGGGGTGGTCGGTGTGTGATAAGATTCGTCAAGACCGGGAGAAGCAACAGATTTGAGATTGGCTGAAGGCTGGCCCGTCGACTTGGAAGGGATAGTTGACGGGTCCACGGTATTTTCTTGTTTCTCGAGATACTATAGTGAAATTAGAGGACGAAGAGCGACGTACATGTTGTGCATAAAACTCACATCCTTGCGGGCGTTCTTCAACGCTGTATTGAGCCCTTCCAGTTTCTTGATGAAAATCGCAATTATGAATGTTGAAAAGCACTGGCGAAATTCAAACGTGTACTCACCAAATTTCTAATCTGTACAAAACTATAACCTTCACTGGCAAGCTGAAGTTCCAAAGAGGTGCTATTTCTCTATGAAAGTTCCATTAAACTTATATCGAGTAGACGGGTTGACAGCTCACTTACTTTGACCACTCTGCGGTACTTCTTCGCAAGCGCCCTGGCCTTACGAGCGGAGAAATAAGTAGCGAGAAAGAATCTTTTCCCTTCCATTGAATCAGCAGCTTTGTCGCAAGCATTCTGTCCGCTTCATGGTATCTCGAATCAGCATATGTGATAATACTACAAAGAAAACTACATGTCTTACAGTGACTGTATTTGATCTGGCATTTTAGCCCATTCTGGTTTTACCGAAAAAAGAAACACTTGTAAACTGGTGAGGTATTCGTCAGAGAGAATGTCCTGTGTTTCCCGAATGATTTTTGAGGGACGATGAGATTGTACTGCTGTCTTCAATAGTTCGACTATAACGTTAACTGGGATATCGGCACCGGGAGTAAACATAGTGAACGGATGAAGTTGAGGTCAATGTGGAAAAAATGCTAGGAGTAGGAGATAGTGAGATGTTAAAACTGGCAAGGCGATCAACGCGCAGGAAAACTAGGAGGTCGAGACAGAGTAAGGTAAGAATGCGATGAAGTTGATTCTTGATAGCATAGCGCTTTATAGCGTCTGGTCTTCAATCTCAAAGCCAAAAACAGGACAAAGCCAGAGAGAAGGTTCAAGCCGGGGTTCAAGGGAAACGAGGTGGTTCACATCTGGCACAAACAAACTTAAACCGGCTTGATCCAAGAGCCCGGCGTCAATCAAATAGCTTGGTTGAAATCATGCTTTCTCTCTTTCTTCCTTCATGGCCACTTACTATGAGCGAATGGTGGCCCACCTGCGTCCCGATGGACCTGCACCCCCCAACCTTGAACTGATCCTTCCCAACGAAACTTGGTGGGTTGAACATTTCGATTATCTGAAAGAACATGGATACGTTATGAGGCCTCGTTATCGTCCCGGCTGGAAGCCCTCTTATAAACTCGGGACACACGAATTTCTAGAGCGCGAAGATGGGCAAGCACTCGACGTAGTCATCCTTTCCTTCTGCCTTTCTAGTGATATAAAACTCACAATTTCGAACCAGAACCCAATCATGGATGCTATTCGCTCATCGGACTCTCTTATGGTCGCAATAAAACGCGTCAAAACCTCTTCCAGCGAGGTTCAAGTCGGCACTCTCTTCTCAAATGACGAACATGCATCGAATCCTAGTAACCATTGTATCCGGATCTTGGAAGTGTTGTCAGTTCCCGAAACAGCGGACGAGGTACTTCTAGTTATGCCGTGGTTGCGGGAAGTAGACAGCCCATCGTTCCGAACAATAGGAGAAATCCTTCAGTTCACAAAGGAAATGATCGAGGTGAGCATCTGTTCGTAGTATATCACGAAGCTCCGCTCATGACAACATCTTGGTTAGGGCCTGCAATACATGCACAAGAGCAATGTGGCGCATAGGTATACTTCCTAGTATTTTTCTTTTCTGTAGAAATATTCAGGTTTCCCTAGAGATTGCTCTATCAATAATATGGCTATGGACGCCAAGACAATGTACCCCCACCAATATCATCCAAGGGCTCCAGAAAGGAGATACGATTGGACTGGAAGGGTACACCACCGTTCCCGGACTCATCGTCCTCCCAGATACTATCTTATTGACTTCGGCTTCTCTCAAAAATACGACCCTTCTCAACCACGCCCTTTGGAATATGCTATAAAATCTGGCGGGTATCTTCCGCCAGAGGGTGCCGCGGTTATCCCATGTGATCCTTTTGCCACAGATGTTTTCCTTTTGGGAAACATGGTACGGACTTCATTTCTCGATGTGAGTCAAAAGGCTGTAGTAGCAGCACTCACATCTATGTATTTTCCTGCTAATGAACAACTTAGGGCGATCACGGATTATCATATCCTGGAGTCGATGGTTTGGAGTTTCTCAGACCACTCGTCAATGACATGATTGTGGATGACCCGTCGAAGCGACCAACCATGGATGAGGTCGCGTCACGATTTTCCATTATCACGAAGACACTTTCGTCCTGGGAATTGCGCTCGAGAGCAGCCCGGAAAAATGAATTTCCTCTGCTTAAACCGTTCCGCGCGATCCATCATCTCTTATGGACTACTTCGATGATGCTTCTCCTAAAGCCTGCTATACCAACTCCAACAAAGTCTCCTAGCTAAATCCTTAGCTTTCTACATTGCTATTCCATCTTTGCTATATCATTTGATGCTTTTTTGCTTGTATTTTTATTTTGAATTTCCTGCTATATCCCATATAATACCCTTGTTGCACCGCACAATCACACAGTTGAGAGTTGGTATTAACACATTTCAAACGCCGTGTATAGACCCTTGTGCTTGTCCTTCCTTACATACATGTTATAGCTCAGGCCCAAAAGATTGTTGCGTGCCAATTCTGTATTGGAATACGGCGTACTCTGGGCGTACTTCAGGTCTACAGAGTATACAATAGTAACTCTGTCATAATCTTTGTTCAGGGCTAATTTCAAGCTTGAGCTGGTTCGTCCATGAGTTGGAATCAGATTTAACTTACAATACACAGAATGAATGAAAGTGCGATCTGTCCCTCCCGAGTGGCAGAACCATATCGCCACTCCACACTTCCACGCAACCACCATTGTTTTCAGGAGTGCCAATGGACCTTGTTGACTGATACACTTTCATTCCAAATCCATGGCGTCCAAGATTGACTCCGGCAAAGGGGAAGACAATCGATACGTACAGGACAAGAAGTACATGATGCTGACTGCAGAGTAATCACAAGACAACTTTGGCCAAAATAATCTTCACCACAGATGTACTATTGAAATTCAACATTCAACAATGCTACCGAAAGTCTCCCACCATCCTTGTCTCAGGCACTTCCATTTCGCAGACGCAGCATGACAATGTTTGCATTCACTAGAACTTGGACTCTCGCCGCTGTGTATTTTGGAAGCGTCAAATCCGAAAGGCCCTGACCATTGCACATCACACAGCTCCTCCAGCCCTATCAACGGATCCCGCCCATAAGTCTTGAAGATCCGCAGATAGTTTTCGATATCTCGAGGGCTGTGAGTTGAAGGACACTGTTGGACGGACAAGGGAGTAGAAGTAGATCCAGTTTTCACCAAATGCCCAGGATAATTTTGCGGGCAAGTAATAATACTATTGCCGCCTTGCCCATCTGGAGCTAACAAACCCATCCACAAGGAAGACAACGTTTCTCGTGCTTTGATAAGACGTTGATAATCCATATTCGAGATTTCTTTTCCTTTTCCACTTGCTTCTCTTGCTTTCTCACCAACAGAGCCTGACTTTGACAATGGTCGACCAAATACCTCTGATCGGAGGAGCTCGTACATTGCACGACGGAGAACCCGAGGAACGCCACACGTTCGAGCGATAATAATTGTTTCAGTAGCATGATCTGCAACGAGGTTCTGTAAAGGTCGGAGAGAGGTTACCGATGATGAATCATCGGCTACGCCCCACATCTTTTCCAAATCCCTTCTAGACCAATTGTAGAACTTTGCGAAATCGAGAGCATGAGAGGCGCGTAAGATAGATGCGACCTTCGCGAATGAAGGTGGGGCGGATGTCGAGAAATTTCTTGAAGGGGTGACATGATATTAATAGTAACACGATAAATAAATGTACATCAAGACAGCGACAATAACTCACATGGCATCTTCCATTGCGTCCAACAGTGCGACAAAATCTTCTTCGGAAACGACCCCATCCAGCGCACAGATTGGAACAGTTCTATCATTGGTTGTATTTGCATTTGCATCAAAATTCCCCTTTTCTTGCGCGTTGGAGGTCGAAAGACTACTGCCCTCGCCGAATCGAGCCCGAAACCAACCACCGGCACGCACTAACGCACCTCGATAAAGCTTGAATTCTGTGTGGGATATTATTACGATGATAGAACCATCGGAGTAGTGATGTCGAGGGTGATGCATAGATACTGGAAGCAATCCAGCCCGGGGTATGACCGATTGAGCCGATGGCTTTACATTGGAAATAGGCACCTGAGTGAGTTGTGCTGTGGGAGCAGTAGGATTCGAGCCTTGGGATCCAGTAGAAGGCTTTACAGAGGGTCTTGGACCAGAGTTCGAGGATACTGAGCCTTTTTCTGAGGCTGGAGCCTTCTGAGTGGGTGGTACGTGAAAGACGGCATTTGATTGTGATGGCGTTGATATTGATTGGCCAACAGGAGTGGGCACAGATCGAACTCGTGAATTCAAAGGTTGAGATCAATGAGATGTGGTTGGCGAAGGGTTGGATTTCAACTGAGTCATACTGGACGATGAGCTTGTTGTGTCCTGGATGCTTTTCTTGGCCGGTTTTGGCAAAGGTGACTTTAGATCCTTGGAAACGTCCTATTTCTTCGCGTCTTCGGATTTTGCTGACTTCGATGACTTCCTTGATTTTGTGGCTGGAGCAGGCGCTAGTGGGCGATATATGAGCCAAATTCCAGGGTAAGATACAGAAGAACACAATTTACCTACAGCTGCATCGTCTGTCTTCAATTTCTTCAATGAGCTAGTACTTCGACGAATTGAAGTGTCTGGTTCGTATTCATCACCCTTACGCTTTTTCTGTTCTGTGCCATTAGAGCTAATGCTATCGCTGGATGAAGTGACAACTAGATATATCAGCCAAAGTTCGGAAGTGCCCGGGTTAGAAAACTTGATTTACTTGGAACTGAACCATCTTCCTTCAATGTCTTGACAATCCTACCACTTCGACGGGGTTGAACTTCTGGTTTGTGTTCTTCAACTTTGCGTTTTACCTGCTCCGTTCCACTAGGGTTATTATTATTATTAGATGAAGTGTCAACTATGTGTTCAAATTTGAGCCAAAGGCCACTGAGTGAGATATTGAGGAACGTCTACCTGAATTTGCTTGATCTTCCTTATTGACAACCCCGATACTTCGACGAGAAATTTCAGGTTCGCATTCATTCCCCTCACGTTTTTTCTTCTCCAAACCAGGATTACTACTGCTGCCGGATGCAGTATTGATTGAGTTCATAGGCGGCACAGTCTCTCTCTCAGCCTGAAGAACCGGAGGCCGAGTAACAGCCGCTTCATGAGAAGACGTTGAGATGCCCATCGTTAATATTCCAGCCCGGCACTTGGACGATCAAAATAAAGGCCCGACGGCTATCACCACGATAACAGGTCTTCAGAGGTCTTCAGCAGTCTTCAGCTCATGCTACGCTTTGAAATTTGTAAGGTCACTGGTCAAGCTAAGACTGAAATGAAGTTCGGCGCCAAAAATTTTTCAAGACGATGAGAACGAACATCAGGCTGTGGCAGTGCAATAAATTGCAGCGACAAGTTTTGAACGTTGACTGTTTGGAGCTTGAAGCTTAAGCTTGAAGTTCATTGGAAGTGATAGTACTGATGTAATCTTGAAATATCTCAGGCCTATCCCGGTGATGCGTCTGTCATAAAATATATTACGAAGACTACAAAGACTACATCTACGCTTTACAACTCTGCAGCACTTCCTCAACCCAATCAGCCATAATCCGATGAGTTTCCTTTGACGGGTGACTGTGGATTTCACGATTCATGGTTCGATGATTAGTATAGGTCTCCAGCACACTAGTATATTTCACGCACCCATCTATCCAGTAAAAGTAATGCTCCGGATCCATGCACCACCCGTATTGGTTACAATCCTCAGTACAGACTGTACACGCTGCGGTGCTCGTATACCCAAAGGCTTGATACCTAAAGATCCAGTCAGAGATTGTGGTCAGCCGCAAGCTTCTGAATTGAACTTGCTCACCCAGGATTAGGTCCAAGCACTCCATCCCAGATCGCCGCCATATCAACATAAGCTACATTGAGCTTCGCACTTCCCTCATGGAACGCCTTGAGACCATCAAATACTTGCTGCTTGTAAGCTTCTCCCCATGCAGAGGTGTTCCCACGTCCATAGACATCAACAACAAGGAAGGATTTTCCGTTTGTAGGCGGACTGGAAAGGGTCTGAATTTCGTTCAGAATGGTTTGTGCGGCTTCAGGCATTTGGTCGCCATCAACTGTAGGCGAAACGCGGTCGGGATGAGTATGAAAAAAGTCTGTTAGTTGGGTGACTTTGAATCTTACTGAGGGAAGCGATGTAATCACTGAAAGAGATAGAGACACGATTGAGATTAAGAACACGCCATGGTTCTGCACAAAACTTACTTGATCCCAAAGAAAATGCTATACAGCGTTGTATCCGGGTCCAATTGGTTTGACTGGCCAAGGAAGGTCGCCACTGAAATGATGCGAATCGCGAAAGCTCCGGTGAAAAGGAAGCTGCAATGTCGACATGCAGATACTCACTTTGATCGATGAAATCAACTTTCCTTGGATTGCTTGGCCACAAAGACAGATTCGTGCATGCGCCCCATTGCTGCAAGGAACGAAGGATAGAGTGAGTTCATGAATTGGTTGAATGGGATTGATGTTTTCGCGGAAAAACGAGAGTCAAATCACCGGAAAGCAGAATGTAGACAGATCAGAAGGGCCCACCCCCAGTGAGTCATTGTGTTTGTAAATTTAGATTTCAACGCAATTCTAGTTTCAAAGCCACGAGAGATTTTACAACAAAAATGATATAAGAAAAGAACGAACAAAGGAACATACCGCATAATCCATAAGATGAGCACCCCAGTCTCCTGATACGCCTTCGATCCAAACAGGTCCGTTCGTGGAGCGTCCACCCGCTTCATCGTTGGGCGGGATCAGAACAGGCGGGAGAAGCGCAGACCCATTGTCAACCCCTCCATCCGTATACGAGTCCTGTATACACGGAAGTAAAAGGAAAACGTGTCAGGCGGATGATTCATGAGCTTCGACATCAAGAAAAACGAGCAAAAAGAACAAGGATACAGCTAAAAAAGGAAAGAACGTACTCCGAAAGATACAATAGTCTTGATCGAGGTAGGTACAATCCCCGCATTCACATTTGTCGTCTTGCCATCCAACGGGCCACACTGAGGTGAGACCGCGAGATGGATTCCATCGTTATCACCGCTGCCTTGTCGTGTTCGTAATGTTACTGGAACTGGATGCGTAAAACGCTGAGACCCCCCCGGAGCAGAGTATACACTGTGGAAGCTACTACCGAGGAGCAAACCAGAGGCGTAGACTGAGAGGAAAAGGTGAAGCAGCTTCGAAGCCATCGTCGTGATACCGGAAGATTGTTAACGGACAAGGAGACCTCCAAGCAGACTGGGGAATTCGACGATTAGAATCCCTCTTTTATAGTTTTTCCTCATGGCAGAACGATCCGAGAAGCACTCTTCAGATGAGCTCAGAGTTTACGTTTTGCTTTTTCTCCGCATGGTCCTGTATCGTCCTTGGGCGTTGAATCTCTAAGCAGACTGTAAAGGTCTGTATAGTGCTAAATTAGGATCTATCAGGACTGAACTTTTACAATTTATTCAAGAATCGACGTACAGTTCCAAATCATCCGTCGCATATATGCAAAGAGAAGAGTCACCAGGTGGACCAAATGAAGTTTTCATTGCTTTGGAGGTATTGCAGGTCATACATGATGAGGAATTAGGAGGAGAATATCAGAATGTTCACATTTGAGCCTTCGGAGGGTTCGAGCTAGGTCATGAGACAAGTATCTATGATTGATGATATTATCGACTTGTTGTTTGAGCACGATTATGAAGCTGGTAGCAACTGGGCAGAGGAACACAAAGATCGAAAAAAGTACCAAAACAGGATTCCAATGCGGGGAATCGAACCCCGGGCTGCTGTGGATGATATTTGGAAGATCGGAATGACATGAAAGACAGCAATGTTAGCCACTACACCACATTGGACGGTATTTAGGCAAGATTGGTAAGACTCATAGCTTCAAGTATGCCATTAATTAGCCCAGAGGATACCTCGAGATTCTTATTCTAGCATATCGACTACAACAGGTCTGAAACCGGGTCTACCGAATGCCTTGGTCTGGTATTCGAGCTTGCGTTGCCCCATCGGCCAATTCGCAGCGTTGACGAACACTGTGACATCGTCGTCATCTTCGTCGTCCTCGACCATGGGCTCATCTGCTTGCGTTTGCGCTGAATTTTGTACGCTTCCGACGTTGCCTTTAGACCATGAATGAACATGTGCTCCATGCGCCTCGTGAATGTGACCGAAGAGATGTAATCGAGGGCGAAGATGAGGAAGAGCAGCGGCAAGAGTAGGACAGCCAGGTAAGTCACCGCTATTCGTGCGATCGAAGATGTCGCGAGGAGGACCATGAGTAAGTCTGATAAAGTACTCTGCCGATGAGGGATTATATAGAGTGAGAGTGAATAAGGAACCCACAGAATGTCAGTTTTATGAAACTTGGAAATCAACGCTTTAGGAACATAAGTTCAACAAAATCTGTCTTATATCTGATGGACGCACAAGGTCCTTCAGCAGCCGTGTATCCAAAAGCCCAATTATAAAACTCCGGTGACCACTAGAACGCAAAATCTTAGTTGACCTTCATCATGAATAGTGTTATTTAGATGATCTCACAGGAGAGCCATATACAGACCATAATCTTCCGCCTTCTTTGGCTTGAAAAAAGTGACTCTCGTCTTGTAGATAAACGACGTTAGCTTCTTGAGCTTTCTTTCCTTTCAGTAATTCGAGAATACGTTCACGATTCTAAATTCGACGAGTTGATATCAGCAGATAAACATGAAAACACGCATAGCGCACCTGTGGCTTCGCATGCCCAGAATATGACCATCTCTGATGATTTAACTCATACCAATCATCATGCAAAGGGAGGTCATGATTCCCTGCGATAATTCTAACGCGATCAATACTCATAACCAACCGAACGAAGGAGCATTGATACGCACATTTTCACCTTGTGAGGAAGCTCATAAATCCAATTCATGGTCCTTTCAAATTCTTGCAAGGTACCGGTATTCGTCAAATCTCCGCTATGTAACAGGACATCTCCGTCCGGGACAGGAAAACGCCTCGTATGTGTATCGCTGATACACACAAAACGAGTATAGCCGGGGGAGGAGGGCGGCAAATTTGAGTGATCGTATTCAAGATAGACGATGTTTTTGCTCTGAGGGGATCTAAGGGTTACATCTTCCAGTAGAGACATATTGTAGATCAAAGAAATGCGTTATTCCAAAGTCGATGTAACATCATGATTATAAAGCATAGATTGAACGGGCGCCTGTTGGTCTCCGTTACCTCCGTTACCCTCCGTTCTAGCGCTTCGACATACTTACGGACAATCTACAGCAGATACAGATACAACTCGTATAGAAATACCAGGAAGTATCTCACCGTTCTCCTATCAATGATGTTGGCTCCGTGCATCAACGGCACGCAAGGGCACGCATCAGTCGGAATGGGTCCCGGCTGTTTTCAAAGGGGACCTCCTTCAAATCTATAGCTACAGTCGAGCCAAATGACGTACTATGCCAATGCAGAGTCCGCTCACCTCTCTCTTTCGGCTTTTCAGGTTGGAAGCAAGGGGATGCAAGCCGCAAGATGCGTTTTTCTGAGAAAGGCAGCTTGAGGGAGATAGATAGATACGGGCGCGAAAAGGTGCGAAAATCATCACGATCATAATCATCCCGCAAATGATTGGACGTTCAATTTTCCCAAGGAGATATGTAGGTTCAGCATGGTCCACAGCTGTCCCACAACACTGCGACTCGATACTTTTTTTCTCGATTTTATGACTATCTGAAATTGTAACCTGCTAACCATGTCCCAGGAGGAGGAGGAACTAAATGATTAGCTGACTGGATGATAGTGGTCCTCCTAGTATGTTTCTCATATATACCACGTCGCCGCGGCGTGGGTAAAGTATGTCCTATCAGCCCCGTCCTGATGAAGCCTGATGAGTGGAGGGGTACGCGTGCTGATCGATCTCTATTTGGCCGCGTTACGATAGGAAAATCTAGAGAACTCTCGATAACTTTGAACGGGTTCAAGTGCATCTCGACGTATCTTACAGAGTGCCGCCCTCATAGTTGGTCAGTACAACTTCCCAATATCCTAAGCCTCGCCTCGATAAACCGCCGGAGTGATAAGGATTGACTGCTCGGAAGGCTTAGGGGTTTTCGGCTGTCGGTGGTCGGTCATTATCGGTTCTCGTCTGGTCATTGAACCCTTTGTGTTGTTGAATGTTTCAAGTTTCAAATTCCATGAAACAGATTATTGTCCAGTTTGGCCCTCAGGCCGTCTCAGGCCCTCGGCTTAGATTTTAGAGGCTTGTTAGCCTTTAGACCCTTCGGAGTCCTTCAGACACCTTTTCCGCCACTACAGTTTCATAAAGTCAAGCACGACTCGTATCTCAATGCGCTCTGCACCGCAGAAGCTCTATTCATGTACTGCTTTGATCGGCGATATCCGGCACGCAAACTCGTAAGCGCCCGTAATCAGCGGCGAAATTCCCTTTCAAGAAAGATATAAAAAGGTCGTTGATGGGCCTTTTGTTCCGCGTGCCTCTGGTTCAGGAACTTATAAGTCTGGTTCAGCTATCCGTCGGGCAGGCCCTCTCCCATTCACTCCCTTCCTTCACAGTAAACTAGTGTCCCATCGTCTTTAGGCCGGTCCTACTCATTATCGCTCTCCCTCGTTATATCAATCTGCTATATTTTTTCACTCCTTCAACAAGCTCAGAATAACGAAGATGATGTTTTCCAACGAGTTCTCCCTCTTCTTTGCTCTCGTCGCATGCATTATTAGTTGGATCCAACCCGTTCACGGACAGACCATCAGTGGAATTGTGAGTTTTGTATTCTCTTTTTATCGCGTACCGCGGCTCAAGTTTGTTGTACTCCAGGTTACTTCTTCTGATCAGAGTCAGCTTCTTGAAGCCATCACCGACGCTCCTTCTTTCGCCTCTGGAAGTGGCTCGGCTGATATTGCCATTGACGAGACAACGGTTTATCAGCAGATGGTTGGTTTCGGTGGTTCTATGAGTGCGTCGCGTGTTGTATTTGGTTCATAAGATCGGTCTCTAACCTCTAATACCAATGCACAGCTGATTCGGCCGCTCTGGCAATGAACAACCTCAAGGTCTGTATCATCCTTTGAATAGTCTTTGTTCTCGTATTCAAGGTCGGACATTCAGAACGCCGATCCCGCTGCGTACAACAAGCTCCTGAAGGACTCTTTCACTACTGAAGGCGCTGCATTGAACTATCTGCGTGTTCCAATCGGTGCTTCCGACTTTTCCTCTTCCTGTGAGCAATGTCAACAGCTATCAGTAGTTATAACCCAAATTGACGAATATCCCCATTTGTAGCGTACAGCCTAGACGACACTAGTGGAGATACGTCCTTCACGTCCTTCAACATCTCCAGCGCTCCGGCGTATCTTTTCTCGACGCTTGCAGACATTTATGCTGTTAATCCGAACGTGAAGGTCAGTAGCAAATCTTTCTCTCCCGATCGTTGTCATTTTTACCTTTTCCCTTCGTTAGATCCATATACTTCCTTGGTCCCCAGTACGTGATGTTAGATGGTCATCTTCCACTTTCTGAACTGCTCTACAGCCAGCATGGATGAAGGACGGCAACACTATGAATGGAGGGTCGCTCAAAAGTGATATGGTCAGCTCCTGTAAGCACTAGTGATCAGATGGCTTAGCGGTTGCTGATATGTTATCTTAGATCCGACATATCTTTTGAAAGCAGTGCAAGGATTCAAAGCCAAGAATCTACCTATCGCCGCGGTATCGATCCAGGTTAGTAACGATGGCTTATTAGTCAAGTTGAATAATTCTCAAACCTGCGATTAGAACGAACCTCAGAATAGCAACCCTACCTACCCCAGCTGCACTATCGATGCCTCTACACAAGCGACGCTTGCCAAATCTCTACGCAGCTTGCTCAATAGCAACAGCCTCACCGACATCAAGATCATCGGCTACGAGGTAATAGCCTGTCGTCGACATATACGTTCTTGACTCACGTTCTCACTCTACACTCTGTAGCACAACTGGGATGACACGAGCTCGTACACTATCCCCATGGTGAGTGTCGCCACACTATTGTATAGAACTCCACCATTGACACGTATGCGTCGTTCTCAGGTCGATGATGCCCCGAACGCATTCGAAGGGGTAGCGTAAGTACTATGTCTTCTCTATCAAGCATTTCTGTTGATCATTTCCTCAGTTTCCATTGTTATGGAGGACAAGTATCTGAGACGGCGGCGTTCAGCGCTCAATTTCCCAACATCGTAAGTTAACTCTCCTTTCATTACATGCTTCGACAACTTATTTTCACCTTCAAAAAGCCGATGTATCAGACCGAATGCGCCGGCACAACAGGCTCAGATTGGTGGACCGATGTCCAGTGGTATGTAAACAACCTGTAAGTCAATTGATCTATGATATGCCAACCTATAGCACTCATGTCGTCATTCTACAGATGGTCTGCGAACAATACTGCGACGGTGAGTGGCCTTTTTATAGACGTTCATACCACTAGCTCAGTCGCATTCTTCAGGGCATGATGTGGATCTTCGCCTCCGCCGATAATGGGAAATCTCCTTATCCTGGTTCCAACAGCTGTGGAGACGGTTGCCGTGGGATGTCTACCGTTACAACAAGTACAGTAACCTTCAATCAGGAGTATTATTCCATGGCACACTTCGCCCGGGCCTTCACATCCGACGACGGAAGCACTTTGGGCAAACGGATTCAGGCTTCTGTTAGTGATTCAACCTTCAACGTAGTCGCATATGCTACTGGAGACAAATACTCTCTGGTAGTACTCAACAGTATGTCGTCCCTTCCTGTTCTACGCCATGTACTAGTCAAGCTCATTGGTCCTTTGCAGGTGGTGGCTCATCACAAAAGAGCATTTCCTTCCAAGGGAAGCAGGTAAGTCCTCATTCTATGTGACGATTCTCCCGACATCTGATACGTTGGCTCTAGGCGACGTTCACTTTTCCCACTGGCCTAACAACATTATCGTGGACTGGATCCAACACTTCAACGAAACGAATGATAAAGAAGAGAAGAATAGGTGCATAAATATTGAGCGAATACTTTGATTTCCTTTGTTCCTCTTGATGGGGTATTCATGTCTTCCCTTGACGGGATATTTATTTTTATTCACGCATAATGACAATGCTGGTCAACGATCTTCATCCTTCTGTCTGTTTTCGTCCTCAGTTACGGAAAGTAAATTGAACTCAAGAATAGGAATAGGGAGGTAACTTTATCATCTTTACTGACGCCCCTTTTTAGCCTGTACCGATTATCTCTGCAGCTAACACTCATCGACGCATGAAGGACGTTTTACATAAGAAATTCCATTGGGTGAAGGCAAAAGAAGTCTAAAGACAAAGTCATTGATTCAGTCTACACATACTGTTCCATGACGAAGATAAATGGACAGACAAGTCGCAGGTTTCTCCTCCTGACTCATAGTACTCATCATTCGATGGAAGTCGGGGCCGGAGTGTTATTCAGGTCATGATCACGTGCTAAGTAGCGATCGCGTTCGAGCAAGTTCAGGCCGCTTGATGAGGTAGAGCATTGTAGGCAGGAGGAATAATTTCATTCATGGTAAGCACCCCTAAAACTGGTAAGTCTCCTATATACCTCCTTTAACCGATGTAATGAACCTCGACGAAAAAGAACTTAGACATTATCATCATAAGTCTCGTATCTCCTCCCTGTCTCTGTTGGATGTATATAATCTTCAATGTTGTCGTAAGTACTGGCCACCTATTTCTTGTCCTTACCATGATCAGTAAAACTGTTTTGCTTGCTTTGACCTACCCTTTGCTCCTACATGCTTGTGGCGCTAACGCCAGCCCTTGCACTTCTTCGCAACTGAACAATGGCTATTACTCTGTCGGCGATCAGTACGTCTTGCTTTTTTTGACTGACCTTCCATATACTTACTCGCATGCAGATGCGTTCAGTGTCCCGCAGGAAGTTATTGCAGAAACAATCAAAAATACGACTGCGTACCTGGAACTTACAACTCCGATATTGGATCTAGTTCATCCATCGCCTGCTCGTCGTGTCCGTTAGGCACTTCAAACCCAAATTCTGCTTCATCTTCGGCTTCAGATTGTACTCCGTGCTCACCTGGGTCATATTCCTCATCTCTGGGAGCGATGCAGTGTACCGCGTGTCCTGCGGGTACTTCAAACCTGAAATCCGGGTCTATATCATCCTCGTCTTGTACCAGCTGTGGCGCCGGCTACTACTCCGAACCTGGTGTCAGTCAATGTACTGTTTGCCCAGCTGGGCACTATTGCAGCGGCGGCGACAAGTTTGCCTGCCCTGCCGGGACTTCCAATTCCCTCACGGGCTCCATGAACTCTTTCGCTTGCACAATATGCCCAGTGGGTAGCGTCAGTGGTCCCGGAAGCTCACAGTGTAACGAATGCCCAGCGGGAACGTTTGAGACAGGGGATAGTGAGTCACATATTTTGCCCTCATACAATGCGCATAATTGACATAAGATAAATTGCAGATCGTCAATGTAGAACTTGCTCCGCGGGCACATTGTAAGCACTTCTCGCAAACTATTCAACTTTGTACTAATACTCCTTATCCAGCTCCTTGTCGGGATCTTCCAGTTGTTCAGAGTGCTCCGAGGGAACATATCAGCCCAATTTCGGACAAAGCCAATGCATTACCGCCGCTCCGGGACACTATGTTTCCAATAAACGCAGCAACACTCAAACTCCTTGCGATGCAGGCTCTGCGCAGCCTCTCAGTGGTCAGGTAAGGCATGACCATATCATCGCGATCTTCGTCTTAACATTTACACCCAGAAATCATGTGATCTATGTGCGCCAGGTTTCTTCCAAGCTCAAGCTGGGCAAGTGTCTTGTTGTCAGTGCTGCGCTGGATTCTATGTAAGTTACATTATGTGCTTGTTCATTTCCGTAACCTGATCGCAAACATTCTAGTCTTCCAATTTCGGCTCAAAGACTTGCAGCCAATGTGGTGCACGTAAGTTCAAATAATTCCTCCTTCACTTGGGACTGGGACTCACGTCATAAACAGAAGGTACACAAAGCCGTGGTACTTCTCACCCTGGTTCTACATCAGCCAGTGCGTGCATGGCTGGTAGTAATCCCCAGCCTGTAAAAACTTGTTCACAGGCTAGCAATGACATTTGTCGTGAGTAGTAAACGTATAGTTACATTACCCTCTCTAACGAACATATTTAGCTGCTGTCATTGCCAAAACACCATCCAAACGTTCGCCCTCGCAATTGCATGCAGATTTCTGCAGTATTAGCGTTCCCCGCCGGCATTGGTGCAAAGTCCTCAACGGAGGAATGGAGTGTGTAGACACGATGAACGATTTGGAGATGTGTGGAGGTTGCCTTGAACCTGGACATGCCGAGGACCTGACCACTGGAGCTCGAGATTGCAGTGCCATTGAAGGCGTTGGTAATGTGCAATGCAAGCAGGGTAAATGCGAAATAGGCAGTTGTCGCAAAGGATTTCAGGTATCCACGGATGGCAGGACATGTGTGCGTGTCAAGCTCGCGGATATACACAAACGTTTGTCCCATGCGTCTACGAAGAGCAAAGGCTGGGAAGTCTCGTTATGAAATATTTATACACTCACAGTATTACGCATATACCAAGTATCATATACCACACCGTTATATCAAACAGAAATCAATCAAACGAAATTAAACTATGTTCCACTGCAGGATATTGTCCGACTTTTTGAAAATGTGCGTATCACAGGTATGAAGCCTTATGCAGCTGGGCGTAAATTCAGACGGCTAGATTAATCGCCTTTCATTCTCGAGTCATTCCTTTTTTCCTAACACTGACAACTTGAACCGCTCGTCGTGAAACTGTCGACGCTCTTGATCGCGATTTAAAGATATACAATCGTATCTGCACTCAGATTTTGTTGACTATTGTCGCTAAGCGACCATCACACTCCCAAAGATCAGAATGATCTCGACAGTGAACATCGGGCACAGTACGGGCTACATATATAGTGTAGAAAAACTTTCAAGTGATTACATATAACTTGTACATCAGTATCCGTGAACATTGACTTTTCTTCAGACCCCTCCGTCACATGTATGCGTCGCTTGGTCGCCTTGTCGTTCAACTACATATATATTCCTTGAACAAATGCTACAACTGGCGATTTTTGTTGTCTATCTCGGTGGCTGGACTCTGATTCCTCATCGGAAGGATTTGAGACTGGTCCATAACGATTTATCTTAGCCATCGAGGCTTATCAATTCTGATACATGTTTTGGGCAAGCGGACTAACGACTTGCTCCTAAATAAAACATGTTAGTATTGTGTTATATTCAGCGAGCCGCCTTACGTTGCTACTCTTCCCGCTCTAACCTGGCTCTGACCTTTGTACGTGAAATACTGCTGGCTCTATCTAGTTCATATACTTTAGTGACTTACCATTATCAAGGTTTCCTGTGAAGACTTGGTAGTTCGCGGAACACTGTGGAACGTCAGTTTAACCCTTGGAGATTGGATGGAAGTATACATTCGGCCAACATTCGGGATGATTCATGAATGTAGCCTTCAAGCTTCATCAGGCTTCATCGCGATACCGCCCTCCACATATGGAGTATATTGCCTTACTTACCCTGGGCAACGATCGGCTGGTTTTTTGCTCTCATTACATAGGTCGCACTTTTTCAAGAGAACTTAGTTCCATCGAAGCGCGCGAATATGTGCTAGTAACAGCATGCACGGGTATCAATTGTCTGGACGCGCTCTCTCAATGGCTAATACTCAATGTCTGTGGGTACGATTACAGTATGACTGCTCCGTTACCCTTCGGCAGCTTGGTCAGATAGTCACGGTTCTTCTTGCGCAAAGACAAAGAATGCATTGGCGGTAACGATTAGGCACGATTTTGTGCAGAGGAATGGTACTTGGAGCAAACCCATGGAGTAGCCGGGGACATCATCTTGTCATCGGCAAACACAGAGTAAAAGGACGATATGCCCTCTATCTCTTCAAGCCTTTTAAAAGGAGAGCGAAGACTCGAGTCCTTCTACAACTTCCTACAATGACTCCCACCTTCACACATGAATTCAACACTCCTGTCTACAAAGGCAAAAGTTTGTTCAGTACCGGCCTGTATATCAACGGTAAGTTCGTCGAAGGCTCAGATGGTACTACGATCGAGTACGTTCTTCTGTTTTCGATGCGTGCTGCAGCTAATAGGTATGTTTTCTTAGCGTTATCAATCCTAGTGAGAACGACAACTATCGTCGGCTTTTTCTTGGTATTCACCATTTGATTGAATAGCTACGGGAAAGATTACTACTAAAGTAGCCGAAGCTACATCTAAAGATGTCGATATCGCTGTAGATGCAGCCCAGAAGGCGTTCGATACCACATGGGGGCTCAACGTGGGAGGCGCCGGACGCGCTAAAATGTTGGGCAAACTTGCTCAGCTCATGGAGGAACATCAGCAGGAACTTTCTGCCCTCGAATCACTGAACAACGGTATGCCTTGTAGAATTATGCAGGCAGAAAAGACCAATTTTGCGCTACAGGAAAAACTTTCAGCTGGGCGATGAATGCTGACATCCCCATCGCTATTGAAACAATCCGCTATTACGCCGGCTGGGCTGACAAAATTCACGGCCAAGTTCAGGAGGTGAGTCTTGTGAGCGTTCGTCAACGTCTATCGCTAACAAAACAATCAGACGGACGAGAAGAAACTCACGTATAGCCGTCACGAACCGATTGGGGTTGTGGGTCAAATCATTCCATGGAACTTCCCTCTAGTAATGATGACTTGGAAAATTGGACCTGGTATGTTTTGAGTGCGTTCTTCAGGCTCTCCAATTCATACTCACAATCCACGTACACATAGCTCTTGCCACGGGGAATTGTATTGTAATGAAGGTAATGTCACGTATATCTGTGGCGAATTTCAGCCTCTTACGTAGACCCACTCCCTTAGCCTTCTGAATTTACTCCCCTAACTGCTCTGCGAATGTGTGAGCTTATCCAAGAAGCCGGATTCCCACCTGGGGTCTTCAATCTCCTCACTGGATACGGGAGCACTGTCGGAGCGGCAATTGCTAGTCATATGAAAATTGAGAAGATCGCTTTCACCGGGAGCACATTGGTCGGTCGGAAGGTTATGGAAGCTGCTGCGAAGAGTAATTTGAAGAATGTTACACTCGAGCTTGGAGGCAAAAACGCCAACATCATATGTAATGATGCGGACCTTGACCAAGCCGTCAGTTGGGCAGTTCACGGCAGCTAGTAAGTTCTGTCTAACAATTCATCGACCACTATTGACAAAATTCCTCCAGCTGGAACCACGGGCAAGCCTGCACTGCTGGTTCTCGTATCTTCGTTCAGTCCGGAATCTACGACGAGTTTCTTGCCAAGTTCACCGAGAAGAGTCGGGCATTAAAGGCCAGTAAAATTTGGGACACATATGGGTGAAATAAAGAACTGAACTTCCCTACAGGTCGGGGACCCATTTAGTCCCGACTCTTACCAGGGTCCTCAAGTCTCGAAAAATCAGTTTGATGTCAGTCTTTTTCTTCGTTCGCATAGAATAGGATGCTCTGAGCTGACACAACTATAGCGTATTATGGGCTTTATTCAATCCGGGAAAGATCAAGGTGCTACCGTTGTTCTAGGTGGTGACCGTAACGGCACAGAGGGATATTTTATCAACCCCACTATCTTTACGGACACCACACCTGATATGAAGATTGTCCAAGAAGAGATCTTCGGTCCAGTCGGTGTTGTCATTAAATTCGAGGATGAGGAAGGTTTGTGACAATCTGTCTTTACTTGTGTTTTTTTACGACTCCCTATGCTAGATGTTGTTCAACAAGCCAATGACTCTGTGTTTGGCTTAGCCGCCGCTGTGTTTAGCCAGAATATCACCCGTGCCCTTACAATCGCTCACCGATTAAAGGCTGGAACTGCCTGGGTACAGTCAAATAATTCTTCTTCGCACATTTCATATTCACTTGCAATTTTAGGTCAACTGCGTGAACCAAATACATCCCAACGTTCCCTTTGGTGGATTCAAACAGTCTGGTATTGGTCGGGAACTTGGCGAGTATGCCCTTGCCAAGTGAGCAACTTCCAGATTCCTCTTGCCCATCTAATTCATGTTTTTCCAGTTACACTGCTGTCAAGGCTGTTCAAGTTAACCTTGGATATGTTATGTAAACGAACGAAACCGAAACAATCACTGTTGAATAAGATCCGAGGGAGATGAAAACCAAAGCCGTTACGATTGTAGCATACTGTATGATATACGATAGAATTTGGTGTCAATATGCATTATGATTCATTTCTTCAACATTTCCAACAATACTGGGCGCGCGCGAGTGACACACCATCAGTTTTCCGATACATATATGCTACATATTCAATGATCTTTCGTTACCTCCGTCTTCTGAACGACTTCGCGTTGGTTCACAGCCTTGGTCCTTCCCTCATCATCACAGGTACACCCTGGTACACCCTGGTACACCTGCAAACTCTCGAGTATAAAGAATAATAGCGCGGTGTACAGTAATTCAAATATCGACAAAACGAATGAAGATCAAATTTCCTCATCATCACCATCCTCGTCGTCGTCGCCGCCATCGTTATCTTGTAACGTCATCAAGTCATTTAGACTAGTAAGGCATGATTGAGTACAAATGTAAGTATAATCTGAGAATGCAATCCGAGCTCACCAGTGCACGAACGGTCGGACCACGGCTGCAACTTCACCTAATTTGTTCTTGAAGTCGGGAGCGAGTACCTCAGAATCCTTGAAACTATTCCTGCATGCATTAACATTTGAGGGCGACCGGGAAGCAGAGTTTAGCCTCACCGATGTACAACCGCAAAAGTACGACATTTGAGAAGATCAATATCCCTGGTTACAACGCAACTGTCAGTACGAGTGAACAGAGAATTGAAGGCTTCGCTTCCTCACTTGTGGTCCTTGGCAAAGCCCTTCGGCGCTACTTTCAACTCATCCTCTGCACCAAAGATGTTCCTGCGACCTCCATCTTTCATCGGCTTTGGTTCACCGAAGAGCTTGACAAACTCAGGGTCAGAGATGACATGTCTGAGTCTATCGGATGAACGAGCAATGTTCGAACTACGGAGTCTCATCAGGTCCAGAGTTAGTCAAAGGAAGTGTGGAGCTCACCGGATAGTAGCAAGCTCGTTTTTGCCTGGACACCATGTACCGGCAGCAAGAAGGGTTTCGCCGCCTGGACTGACTGGTAACAAATTGGGTACGAGCCACAGGAAGAAGTAACAGCAAGCTTACTGGAGCTGGATAATTTCATGTAATGCAGTTTTCAGATTCAGCACTGACAAGGACAAGAAGTGCTCATCTCACACATGATCTATTGCGAAGCCATGTTGATACAAAGACATTGAGGGGGTATAAATGGAACTTACAACATGCAAAGATTCCTTTCCTACCGCTCCTGGAAAAGCTACCAGACAAGTTCTTCTTGTAAGGGGTTTTATCGTTGCTGAAACGTACCTGTAAGGAGCACATAATGAATATCAAACGGCGACGAGGTTACACAGCTATGTCCTTACATCTCTGTAAATGCGATGAATTACGTCTTTGGGTGGTAGGGGAGGAATATGCGGGTCGACCTCTGTCAGGATTTCAGTGAATGCGTCCACAAAATCCTTGAATTCCTTCTCAGCGAGACGGTATACAGGCTCTATGACTCGGATTGTAAGATGATATTTGGACGAAACAACGAAGGAACCTTTACCATGCAACTTGAACCTGCATGACATAGAATTTGAACTATTTGTAATGCGAAAGAATATTGAAACGCGTACCACTCCCGGTCGTTACATTCTGGGTCCGTAAGTTTTTGCAAGAAATCAAAAGTATTCTTGGATATTTGACCAGGAGGTACTGCCAGACAAGGTAAACGAGATTGTTCATTCAGTCGAGAAGGATATATACCTCGTCCAGTTTTGGGAGCTTGAACGACCTCTCCAACGACTTCCTGTCCCTCCTTCAGATCAAAGTCATCCTCTTCGTCGTCTTTATTTGCTTTACGGCGTCTTTTACGCGGTGAATGCGTCTTGTCTTGTTTCCCGGAATTCGCCCGTTTCCTTTTCGGCTTCCTGGGTTCTTCCTCGTCTTCCTCATCTGCTTCATCAAATTCCGAGTCGTCATCCAACGCGTCGCTGTCATAATCTTTAGCTCTCTTTCGTGCGTTTCTCTTCCTTGGACCTTTCTTCTTTGCTGGTTGTTCTTCACTGTCACTAACTTCATCTGAGTTTCCTTCTTCTTCGTCGTTCGACCCCATGACCGCAGCCTTTGTATTGCGGACACCTGAAGCGCGTTTCGAGTCTTTTTTCGCGTTGGTATTAGTCTGACCGGCAGATTTCCTTGAAGCACGGCGATCACTAGTCGAAGGAGGTTCCTTTGAAGACGTAGGTGCAGCCATCACCAATGTCAATGAAGTACGAGCTTGAAAGCTGGCAACAAGTGCCGGTTTGCCGACACCCGTAGGCAAACCATAGTCTTCGAACGGGCACATGATGCAGTACCCTCCTCCTTTCAGGTACTGCATCGTGTTGAGTCGTCTCCGCGCTTCAACACCTCTTTTCTTTGGTGGAATTCGTACTCCTCAATTCGTACCTCCTCAGTAGTACTTGTGCTTCATCCCAATTGAATGGCTAATCGAATAGACTTCGACCCAGCTAAAATTCCCTGTCCCGACTTCAGCAACAACCTCTACGATGTAATTCGCAACGCTCTCATAGCAGACGCAAATAGTCCAGACATAACAAACAATGAGCAGGCCATCCTTAAGCTAAGAAGTCAATGGGAAACTGAGAATGCTAATTTGAGGGCTCAATACCAAGTGCAACTTCAGGAAGAACATGCAGCTGGCGAACAAAGGAGAGCTGACGAAGAGGAATCGACAAGACAACGCGAGGTAGAAGAAAGAGAGAAAGAAGTGGAGCTGGCAAAGGAAAGGGAAAAGAAACGAACTCCCCCCCCAAACTTCAAACAAGGTGTTGGCCATCGTTCCGTTCCGCACCACTACCACCCTTACGCCGAAAAGCTCATGACGGCTCGCAAATACGTACCGCTTTGGTACTTTCTACCAGACGCCGAGAGAGAAGCCAGAGAACGAATGAGAGAAGTGGTGGACAATAACCGCTTCGAGTTCGAGAGCGACCCCGCGATAGCATCAAATGCCTCTCTCACTCTTGTTTCCACAACCTCTGTCCGCGCCTCCCCCAACGCCATCCCTGATCTTCGTCTCACCTGGAACCAGGTCATGCGAGCCAAAAGCGGCTTCCTCGGTGCCCTTTCTCTCGGTGCTTTCCCCGACATACATGTCGACATGTTTGCTTGATTCTTCGCCAACATGGAAATGCACCCAGAGTTAAGGAAAACCAATGGCGAATGCACGATGGCCTTCTATCAAGCCGAAACACGTCTTTCTTGGTACAAGGACAACGAAAAAGGGGATCCCTTCGACCTGGCCGTAATCATGGAGGAAACTTTAGACGAATGTCGTAACGAAATTCGCAGTTAAGACCATGCCAAAGCCTTAAAGGGTATGTCTTCTCTCCTCCCTCTCCCAATAAACTCTCTACTAATTATTACTCCCTATCAATTCTCACCTTTCCGAAACCGCCGCTAAACGCTAACTTTACAATCTCTTTCTTGCTAATCACTATCAACGCTAATCGCATGCATTGCTGCTAACGAACCTGATAACCCTTGACCGTTATCACAAACTCGCTACCGCTAAACTTCGCTAACACCACCTGAACTTCTGTTCCCTTGCTACGCTACCTTCGCTAATCAGAGATGCAGGCAGTCATCGCCCAGCACCATTCTCGGAGTGCCCCCTCGCAACCCAATAACACCTGGGTCTCAGACCCTCATCACCAATCAAGGCCCTCGAAGTCCAGGCGCAATCCTTACCCATCCACGTCCCCTCGCAAAGCCAGTAACCTCAAACAAGAGGAGGACTATACACCCGATTTCCCACGTTCCTTTCGTGAAGCCAATCAGCCAAAATTATCGCGGTATCATAGATGCCTTGGCAGAGACAAACACGACATCCGCCGGTGCTCACGAACCACACTATGGAACGGAAAGCAAGCGGTCCTCTGCAACTGGAACAGGAACGGCTACCTGGAAATCTCAAGGGGCAACTATGTGGGACTCGAACTGTGCGCGGACTGGCAGCGCCCTAATGGCTGTACCGGCAAGACGCACCCAGAAAAGCACCGCTGCTCAGGCTGTGCTCACTCCAGTCATGGAGCTGAAAACTGCCCTGAAAAACAGTAGAACACGGATTCGCACGCCCTTGGACGCAAAAGCATGGCATCTGGCCCTATCAGAACTCGGACTACTCCCCAAATACCCAACTCTATCAAATTCAATTCGTTCCGGTTTCAAAATCGGTATTCCCCCAATCAACCATACGTTCTCCCCTCCTAATAAACTAGATGACCCTGAATCTATAAAAGCCTTCAAATCGATTGTAAATAACGAGATCAGCCTCAAGCGATGGATCGGGCCATTCTCCAGACATATCCTCGAAGAAATAATAGGTTCCTTTCAAACATCCCCCATATCTATGATCCCCAAATCAGGAAAACCAGGAAAGTTCCGTCTGCTTGAAAACCTCTCTTTCCCTCATCAACCCATCTCCACCGCTTCGCTCGCTACCATCTCCTCCATAAACTCCAATATTGACTCATCCCTCTATCCGTGCTTTTGGGGAACATTCGCCAACACCTGTCGACTCCTATGGACTCTGCCACCAAATGCACAAGGTGCAGTCAGAGACCTGTCGGAAGCCTATCGCATGGTCCCATTGCACCCTTCGCAGTGGGCAGGTGCAGTAATCCGGCTTGACTCTGACCAATTCTGTGTCGACACCAGGGTCATGTTTGGTCTCTCTTCAGCCGGCGGTGCATATAGACATGTTGCAGATGCAGGCATAGAAATCTGCAGAGGTAGAGGACTTGGTCCGTTAACCAAATGGGTAGATGATCACTTTTGGATTAGAATCCTAATCTCACACCTGAAACAGTACAATGAGCTCAGAAATCAACTCAAAACACGCATACGGGAAACAGGCGGCCTCAAGCACCACAAGGGCAGACTTTTATTCCTAGGTCAAACTCTTCCAAGTGGACAACTCGAGGAATTTGATGACGACTTCACCTTTGACATCCGCGATCTCTCAAACATATCCCCAAGATCATTAGTAGATCGAAAATACACATACGCATTCTGTGATATCGACCGGATTACACTCCCCCTAGGTTACCAGTGGGCTAAGGACAAAGATGTTCCTTTCTGTGACAACCCCACATACTTCGGCTTCCAATGGCATATCTCATCCCGACTTGTCTCAGTTCCCCTCTCCAAACGCCTAAAGTACTTGAAGGAGCTCGAAGAATGGGAAAATTGGCCTTCACACAACACCCAACAAGTATCGAAACTTTACGGCAAGCTTCTCCACGTCAGCCTCGTTTTACCTATTGGCAGATCGTACCTAATAGAACTCGAGAAATTCGAGGCCGAACTTAGTCATGCAGCTCCTTTCACTAAGCATCATGCGCCTCGAGGCTGGCACGCGGATCTTTGTTGGTGGAAATTAACCTTGTCTGCTCCCATCTCTTCTCCCATCCCTGGACCTGCGACTCTCATCGATATCCATGCATACTCGGACGCCAGCAGCGGCTATGGCATCGGCCTATGCATCCAAGGTTTCTGGAGGTCATACTGACTCCTTCCTGGGTGGCGAGGTCATCAAAACGAACGAGACATTGGATGGGCCGAAGCAGCAGGATTCCACCTCCTCGTTCTCACATTCGCAGACCTCACCAACGCGGGACATCACTACAAAGTCTGGGGTGACAACGAAGGAGTGGTCGAAGGGTGGTGGAGTGGTAGGAGTAGGAACCGAGCCACGAATTTATTATTCCGCCGCACTCACGAAATCCTTGCATCGAGAAACTTCTTTGTCCACACCCGCTACATCCCAAGTGCCAGTAACCCAGCTGATCCCTTCTCACGAGGAAAAATCGGTCCTCTCAAATTCCTCCTCCCTCGTATTCCCATCCCACAATACCTCTCCGACTTCATTATTGATTACGACGAACCACTCTCCCCAGCTGAACTTGCTCTCCGAGACCCTCACCCTAGCGACGGTCTCCCATCTAGGCCGAAGTGCTCCCACGAAAGGCTCGAATTCAATCAATGGAGACTCGAAGAAGAAGGCAGACTCCTTGCCGCTTTCGATAACGCCTGGTAATCGCCCTGCAACCTCCCAATACCCCAATGCTAGTTCTGCCCCTCTACGTAACATACAAACGTCCACTGTGAATAGTTACCCATCCAATTTAACTCCCATTCATTCTGTACTACGTCCACATTGTCCGGCTCGTGAGCGATTAACAAAATGGTGCCCTGCCTCCAAGCGCGTCCTCCGTGATACCACCGGTCACTCTCTTGACCTTTCAGATGAGTTTGCCGAGCGCATCCAATCAGTTCTCACAGCAGGATTTGCCGAAAGCACTCTCGAAACATATGCTTCTGGCCTCCTCGCCTTCCATGTATTCTGCGACTCTCGCGAAATTCCCGAACTTCAACGTGCACCCTGCAGCCTCGACCTCCTCCAATCTTGGATCGCAACCATGGCCGGACACTATGCAGGCACCTCAGTGAAGAACTACATCTACGGTGTACGTGCTTGGCACATCATACATGGCATAGAGTGGAAAATTGACAAAGCCCCAATCGACACTATGATTCAAGGGGCGGAGCGTCTACAGCCCGAACGGTCTAAGCGGAAGAAAAGGCTTCCCTTCACCATCAGTTATATTGAAAGCATACTAACTGGATTGGACCCTAACGATCCTTTTGATGCAGCCTGCGGAGGCTGCCTCACCACGAGTTTCTACTGTGCAGCCAGAGTCGGAGAACTCACAGTTCCCAATCTGAAAGACTTCTCCGCCAACAATCACGCTTATGTCACCCCTTCGCAAGTCCACGAAACCTCCGATCGAAATGGCTTCAAGACTACCATTCTACACATCCCTCGCACCAAATCTAACCAATCTGATGGTGAAGACATCTACTTCTCCAAGCAGCTTGGCTCTTCGGACCCAGATCAGTGGTTTCAAAACCAACTCAGAGTAAATAACCCAGGACCCTCGGACCACTTGTTTGCCTACAAGCACCTCTCAGGAAGACACATCTCACTCCGACCTCTAACCAAATCCGCCTTCATATGCCGCATCCAAAAAATTGCTCAAGCGAGGGGTCTTCCAGTAATCCAAGGTCACGGAATCAGAATTGGTGCAACATTGGAGTACCTCCTCCGAGGCGTACCCTTTGATGCCATCCGGGTCATCGGGCGTTGGAAGAGTGATGCCTTCCTCCTTTATCTCCGCAAGCATGCTGAAATCATGGCACCCTACATGCAGCCAGAACTACATCAATCCCTCATCCAATATTCCATGCCCCCAGTTCGATGTAAGTGCTCTCCTTCCACATGGGTATCCGCGGTTCGCTGGATGCGTCGCGCACTCCTTCCATTTGGGAATCGCAGCTAACCGCGCCAACAGAATATCACTGCAGTTGGGACCTGAGGACCTTCGGCCCTCTTCCCCAATCCCTCTAGTCTCATCGCTCACTGCACATAGTAGCATGTATATATATATTCCTTCGAGCCCGCGGCTCACACAATCTACAACTGTATCTAGCTAAGTTCAAAGAGTGTAACAAGAGATTTTTTATTGTACAAGAGTGTATGTATAACCATTTAATCCTTTAGCGCCGCGCCCCGCACGGCAGTCCCCGACTCTGAAAGTCAATATTTTAGTTGAATATGAAACCTAATTTCCCTTTCTATGTAGAAAGTGTGCTTAAAAAACAAACCCAGATAGTAGCCTGGCAGCATAAGCAGGTATGTCCAGGGTACATCTATCTACCTCTCTCCCATTGCCATGTTGAATCTAAAAATGTGTGTGTTCCCCTTGAGATGGATGGGAACAGCTCTGAGCCTCTCTGAGCAGTGCACTGCAGTGCACCGGAAACCCCGAAAGTACAGCACATTTGCATCAGACTGCAAAATGCTGCAAACCAGTGTGCCGGAACCCCCGAAAGGCACTGCACATTTGTGTCACTGGGACACTACCATCACAAAAACTCACGACTTTTGATTGCCATTTGGTGCGAACAAGGACCTCCTCTTTCAGAGTCGGTGATATTATTGATTATTACTCAGATGGCCAGACCGGTCATGTGAATCTTGGTATCACTCTCTGTGCGCCTGGTGCATGCCATGATTGAAACTTTCAATTTCAGGACTCAAGCTGTTGTAGATCATCTTTATTTTATTGTTCAGTATCCCCCTTCAAGCAATATTTGAAGACGAAGCGCACCTTCCGGTTGTTCACTATCTCCTAGTTCGAGAATGAATTGATTTTTAGCGACAGCGGACAAAGCTCCGTTAGACATTTTCACTCCTTCACCAAATTCGAAGTGTGAAGCGTTCGCTAAAAGACTTGGCCCGGATATACTGACGGACATTCGAGTTTCAGTTCGAGTAACACCAGATGAACCTTGGAGGGAGGAGGGGTTGCGGAAGGGATTCCGGGGACCTGCAAAGTGCCGGGTTAAAACATGTTCAAATCATCAGCAATCTGAACAGGCGGACTTGTAGTACTAGGGTAGGTTTCCAGTTGCGCAATATTCCCGGGGACGGCTTGTGTGGGTGGATATGATGTGCTTTCGTCTTTTAACAATCCTATTTACAATCGGGACGTGGGGTCAGTCAGAATAGAGGCGAACAAAAGATTGCAATGTCGCACAACCCACCCTGCTCTGAATAGCGAGAGGCAGTTGCAATTGCCTGCTGTACAGATAATGTCTGAGCATCCATGGAGCCGTCCTTTGAGTGGATAGCTAAACAAGGACTGTTTAGGTACCGAATTTGGATCACAAGATGGAAAACAAACTAGCGACAACTTGATTTCCACCAATCGTAGGAAAGGATCCCCCCGAAATTGTAAATCGATTGGCATTGGCGAACGCGCTCGCTCCATCTACATTCACGGACGGTGCCGTTTCCAGGTAACGTTGAAGTTCGCTAACTTGCCGAACTAAACGTCATTACATTATCCGATAACGATTCGGTCGAATTGCTTGTGAGGTGATACCCACTTCCATATCGCTCGAGCAAATGAAGCATCTCTTGCTGGTGTCTTGATATCATTGTTTGAACGAAGTCTGCAATGTATGGCAGGTGAATATCGAGCATTAGATGCCTCCAACTTGTCATTCACCATTTTGAGGACTGTAGGCATTCGGTTGTTCAGGTCCAGGTCCTCTGTCTCTTCATCAAACGTCGACGGTTCATCGCGTAATAGTGGTAAACTCACCTATTTGGATATTACGATCTCCTGTTCACATTGCTCGAGGGGCGTTGTTGTTGGAAATTCATGAAGAGGTTGAACCAAGCGGCACTGCGAGGTACAATGCTTTTATTCGACACACTCAAGCTGTGTTTTGTAACTCTTTCTTACTTCGTCACCGTCAACACGTGTAGATTATAGGGTCAAGCATACATATAAGCCTAACTTCGAATTGAATGAGAGTGAACGACGATTGCGACTTGGAGTGAGAAATCTCAAAAATAAGCTTGAAACCTCCCTCATCAAGCCTCATTATCCCATATGTCAATGGTTCATGACCATTGAGATCGGAACAATGTGAAAGAATAGCACTGTGAATGACATGGGACAATGTCTGTCTCTTCGCCCAAGTTACACAGAATCATCATCACCAAGAATATCGATGATTTGATTACCCCCCACTGCAGCAAATGAGCCTGGTTGTACGTTTGATCCGTCCAACGTGAATCCAGAAGAGTATGCAAAGAGACTAGGGCCAGATATATATGTCTGTGCAGGAGGGCTGCTAATAGGAAGGTCTCGATCCTGATATGAAGAGGAATCTTGGCTATGATCAAGGGTAAAACTAGAGGTTGATGAACTAGCCTCTACGACTGTTGGGAGATCTGAAAAACACAGGAATGTAATAGAATCAGTTAAGACACAGGAGCGAGCTTAGATATAAGGCTGACTTTCCCGAAAGACAGGATCTGGGTGAGCATGTTGATGATTGTTTGCATACCTGTCTGCACGACGCTGCCTATACACTTCCGCATAGAATTGATTATCATTATTTGGATCACTGATATTACTAGCCAACTCACTAACAGTTTGATTACCACCCACCGCCGAAACGTCTCCACCATGAATTTTGAAATTATTTGCATAGGTAAACGCGTTGGGTCCTGATACCTTGATATCCCCCATCAAGTTGGCTGCGCTGGAATATTCTCTTTGAGATTGCTTGCTACGAGGTGATGAAGAATAGTGATCGTCTTGTTCGTCCTTAGTTCTGTTACGATCTATAGTACGATTCAGAATTTCATGTCCAAATCCAACGTTTCGCTGGTACACACTACTTACTTTTTCCATACGGATGGTCCATCTGATTGGGATTGGGAAGGCGTGGGTTGGGAAATCGTTCTGATGTTCCAACTTATTGATAAACTTCATGAGAAGAAAGATTCAAAAGCTATGATACGCAAGAACGCACGAATCGTTTGATCGCCTGCCACAACCGACAGATTCCCCCCTCTGATAGCAAAATGTTCAGCCCGGCTGAACATGTTTGGTCCAGAGAATTCTGTACGCGAGTATTCACGTCGTTCTCTCTTGGGGGAAGAGTCATCGTAATGGCCATTTTTGTCATGTTTGATATATTCTGCTGTACTCCAGAATAGAATTATCGACTGCCATTCAAATCCGATGTCAACGAGGACGTACTACGTCGTCTCTTCTTTGAATGACTTCTCTGTTCATGACCTCTGTCTGCGACATCGGCAAGTAATCTGAAGCTGACTCTCTCTAATGAGTTTGAAACGCACCTCGTTCCCTTCGACGTCGAAGAATTTTTTTTTGTTCCCTCTTGGTCACCTTCATGGTTACATAGACTGTGAGACCAGTGTTAGACTATCTTTCATTACATCAAGGTTAAGACGAACCTTCATCGTCGCCGGATACAAGGTCGACATGAGATCTATCACGGACGTCGTCCGAGTTCCTTTTACGCTTGGTTGTGGTGACTTGAAGTTGGCTCGTTTCTCGCACTACAAATGTATTGTTAGGGCAACCAATGAACAAATCCACTATAGGAAAGCAGATTACGAACATTGGAGCGGTGTCCCGCTCTCATTCACACCAGAAAGAGCTGTTGTCCTAACAGCTTCACGCCTTTCCAAAAAGTACGACGGCGAGCGACTGCGACTGCGATGATGACTCCTGTGCCTTGAAGAATCATACGGGGAGTAACGCCTGTTTCTAGACAGATAGCGTGAATTGTCAATATCGTCTTCAGGCATGATATGGTCTATTCGGAAGATTATCTTCGAGCGCCAGTCTGTCAAAGTCTATGAATTAATTCAGAAACAAGGTATCAGATGGTCAGTAATAAAGTTTCGGCGGGTGGTGGCATTTGCAGATGCTAAGAATACAGCTAGCCTCAAAAATATCTACATCAGTTACGAAAACATTGCTTATGTGAAAAACAAGTTCCGAAAAAGAAGCACATATTTGCCACGATAGCGAGCCCGTATTTGGGGAAGACGTGATTCTGTTCGCGGGATTCGAAGAGAGCGCCGACAAAGACAGAGAATCGAGAAGGAGATACATAAAGAAGGAGCGGATAATCCGGATTCAGATAAGCGGATGCCCATTCCCACGCACGCGACGCGCTGTGTGATCATGTCAGGCCGCGTCTGGGTCGCGTTTTCCTAGTTTTCCAATCTCTCTGAAATAGAGACGGTGAACTATCGAAACTTGGGTACTTCGGTGTGAATTGAGTGAGAAAGTTACAAGGTACTTAATTCTAGCGTCTAAGAACCGATAAATACTTCAGCGATGTAAAAGATAAGTAGGGAGGGGTGTTCACGTACATATAGTACAGATCGGGTATAGATACAAAGGAATAGTATGATACAGTGTGGTATGAGCTACAATGTTCGCCAAAGCAATGAATCCAGGTACAGCACAAGGGAAAAGCATGTCCGTTCAGTAAAGAAGAAAACAAAAGGACAGCGAGGAGCAGCAACAACAAGAAGTTTGGAGCAAAGGATGACATTTAAAAAATCAGAGCAAGGAGGATAGCAAGAAGATTGAGGTGGGATAACAGAATATAACAAGAGACAGAGGGAGGTGTGAAAAAGTGCATGGTGGGAGCAGCTTTGCTCAAAAGACGCGCAGCGTCCATTCAAGCAAGATCAGATATCTTTCAAGCCAGAGGTGCGGAGACGAAGCCGACTTCATAAACGCCATTGCCTATATTGGCTAGACCGCCAAAGTAGACGCGTTCGCCCAGAAGATCTGTCCAACGCAAGTGAGGATAGCCGTTATTCCTTCGTCTCGCACTTTGCAATAGCTTGCCGCGAGCATATACATCCGGTTGAATATTGGCCACATCATAGGTCGTGGGAGTGGAGAGCAGAAGGTTCGAGAGGGCGACGAACACATCATGCACTGTCAATCCGCGAGATGAAGAAGCTTGTACGCTGATTCTCTTTCCAGCACATACGAAAGAGAGACCGAGGACGATGGATTGAACCGGGGGGTACAAGGCAACATCGTTGGAGGAAAGCCCATCGCGAAAGGCGATTGAGCTACATGGATAGGTGACATTGAAGACTGCCTTAGGTGGGTAGCTTAGGAGTGGGTTGAGTGTACCATCTAAGTTCAATTTGATAAGAATCGGGTGTAATTGGGGAGCACTAGAACTTACCGCCCGGCAGTGGAATAGTGGACAAATAAGGAGTTTGAGGAGCAGTCGTGTTAACGTACTGTTGGGGTAATGGAACGGAACCCAGATAAGGTGTTCCAGGAGTCTGGGGATAAGATGCGAGGGAAGCCGAGAAACCGCCGAAGGGTGAGGACGGTCCATAGGAGGGCGAAGGATAAGAAGGGTTTGATCGATGAGAGTATGCGCCCGATGGCTGTGCATAGTTCGAGGAAGTGTGAGTTGGTGTTGGAGTACGCGAATCTGAGTAAGCGGTTCCCCAAGACTCGATATCGGAGTCTCGGTGGGAACGGGCGGAATGTACGGATTTTGAGTAGTGTGAAGATGACATTGTAGGGCGGGATTTACTCTATGGAGCAGGAAAAGGCGGAGATGGAGGGGGGGAGCAAAATGACTGGGGAAAGAAACGATTTTCGAGTCATTTCTTATACCCCGACGTGTTTGTCGCGATAAACCATGTGTCCAGCCAATCAAAAACCATCGGTAGGGCGGTGGGAGGCGGGACGTCAAAGAATGCGCCTCGTGTGCGGCCAATTTAACCTAAATTAGACATCTGTGGGTCCCGCCATGAGGAGAATGTGTCGCGAGTTATCCCAAAAGGAGAATAGCGGGCGCCAGGGAAGCGCTGCTGTTCCTTTTTAGGATGAAAAGAGCGGGACCGAAGCAATGTGTGACAAAAATCGTCGGTTCCGACTGGCCTCAATATCAAGATTTGAATGATGAGTACGCTTCAGCGCTTATACGGTCCTTCTGTGTCAGGCTCTGATCTTTGACTGATGCCGCCGATATCATATATATGCATAAGGCCTAAGGCCTGAGGCTTTACAGGTTCGGACTAGATTCACGAAATTGTTGAGTACGTCGAAGCCACGTAGTTATTTGTATGACTCACTTTTTTTTTCAGATTTTCCTACCCATATCACATCATCCAAGCCCTCCGGCATCCCTAACAGCGAGCACACGATATTCCATGGTTGATGTAGGCTGAATTTCAATGAAGACCATAGTCGAAGTCTCGCTGACGGCTAACGACGAGATGTGAATATGAAAGATGAGATTCCCACGTGGTCGGCTCTGCTCAATGGCCCGGGCCGTCGACTCCCTGCCTGGAGGTTAAGGGTGAGTCACCTTCAACGACGGCTATAACTGTTCTGGCCGACTTCGGGATCTCCTTCACGCTCTCCCATGATACCGGTATCCAACTAATAGGCTCATCTCAACCTCAACTACAACAATTTCATCAATAATCCATGGCTGATACCCTACCCATGTGTTCTCTCCCCAGCTCATTGGCGGCGGCGGTGGAAGTGGTGAGATTTCAAAATCACCTAATCCAGGAATTCGCTTTCGTACGGTCATCGTAACGTCGTTGATAGAAGCTGGTATTGTTGGTTTATATCGTGCTATGTCAACACATGGTTGGTCAATACTCTCGCGAACCAGGTGTAGGAGCTGCTGTCGCGAGAGAGAGGTGAAGACATGTTCTTCCAGCACATTGAGGTATTATATATTATTCCTCAAGTTTTTCTATCGTTGTAAATCAAGATCGACGTACCCAAGCTTAATTTCTCCTTTCTTCACTCCAAGTCAATCACTTCTATCATCCTTCAAATCCTCCGTATCCATACCCTCCCTCCCGACAAGATTCAGTATTACCAAGCAACTTTATACTGCCCTAGTGGATTGTCATCTCACCAACGGATGTGAGATTATACTCGACGCCAATCCTGGTCTTATCCGGATTCTGGAAGGGGTACAGATACGCTTTCTTCGCCATATGCTGGGCCTCTCAAGTAATTTTGTCATCACGCCGCTATAAACTGAAACAGGAATCATACCGATCCGCACTCATCTTGCATCTCTTGCTCTCCGATACCTTAGATATGTTCCCCTCCTTCTCACTCTGGCCCTTTGGGAGAATGACAACCTTGCCATGCATGCTGTCTGATATGGACTATGCCATCTCCCAACTTCCAGGCACCCACCACCTCCCTCACCTTCAGAATCTCAATGGATATCGGATCGATAGACTGATCAAATCCATTGAACCAAATTCACAATCCCATATCGGCATAACACTGGCCAAACAAGAGCCCTACGCTACGTCTCACTACCACACTGGCAGCTGCTGTTCCGACTTCAATGACTAATGACGAGTCTCTCGGAAAGGAACCTACAACTACCCTGACCAATTGAGCGGAGCCTTATGAAAGTGAGAAGTGGTCGAGGCTTGGCAGCCTTCCCCTTGGGTGCCAGAGAACAGTGGACAAAGACTCGCGTGAGTAGTTCATAACTATGAATGGAACCACACCGTACCGAAAAGCACCCGTAATGTAGATCAGGAGTCGCATATAGTAGGTTTGAAACCACTTGTCGAGCGACACTGGCTCCTATCATGGATTCGAATGTATCTCCAGGTGAAATTCGGTCATCCTGAGGATTGCGAAAACCCAACCGCTTCGAGATGAAAGCCTAACGGTACTTCATGCTACCCGAACTCAGTGAACGTCGGATGGTGACCTGCAGCTGTGAGCTGCTTATACTTATTTTGCCTCGTACTTATATACAACGTTTCTCGAAAGTAGCCATTGTATAGATAGATTACAGTACACAGACAGCTGTAGACTCGGAAAGATCAGACGTCCTCGAAAGCACATTACATGAATTGCACCCTGGCACTATTATGCCAGTGAGTGAGGCATTATGTATTCTCTCCAAAAAATCAGAGCCACTGTCGTAATCACAATGTCTACGGATGAGTTCATATCAGGTGTTCTAACAGCTATTGTACGCAAGCTACTGCAACCTTAGGTTGAAATCGAAGGAAATCAAAGGGTAGTCAGTCTAAAAACGCCAGAATTTATTAGTGAACGCTCAAGTATGTAAATCCACGAAAAGAAGCCAGTTATTGAAGCGAAAAGACGGTATCTTTGATTCGTTCCAGGAATAGCTAGATACACAATCGCTACGTTATTTTATAATGATACCTAAGGGGAGGGGAGGGGCATACTTCTTAATCTTCGTCTTTTTTAATTTGTACAACACAAGCAGAGCGCAAAAGCATTCCGATCCCCGGCCAATGCAGAAGGAGCAAGGACCCGAGCTGGACAAACAATCTTGGTAGCAAGTGAAAAAAGGCAAAAAGAGGAAGATAAACAAGTAGGCCGGACAAAAGAATCGTAATTTTCGAAGCCAAAGTGTAGTCTACGGGTGAAGTCATCAAATCATCAAGATAGGCCGCAGCAGGTTGAATCTTGTAAGTTTGGGACATCGCAGAAGCAGGACAAAAACAATCTCATGATGCTCATGGACGTTGGGGACATGAACGTGAAAGGGTCGTAGTACAAGCAAAGCGAAGAGCAACAGAAAACGTGAAAGCAAAGAACAGCAATCGTGAGTTATAAGAAGTAAAAAAATCGTGACAAACATGAAAGAAGAAATGTGAAGTTTTCGTAGAAAAATTGCGTTAGGATGAGACGTGAATGTAGGAATTGGGGCATAATCAGTAGAGGCATACAGGCTGACGAAGTCTCTTGCTTGCAGAGGAGTCACGTCGAGACATTCAAAATGTTGGTGGGTAATGGGAACGGTTTAGACCCGAACTGCAGGTCTGGCAGGTGTCGGTCGACCACGGGGACGGGGACGACTTAGACGAAGTGAATTGTTACCGGGGCTAGGTGGAAGAGTGAAAAAGGTAGAAGCAAAGCACAAGCGAAAGACTTACGTCATACCAATCCCTTGACCAAGAGCGCTATTATTTTCTTTCAACTCGGAAGACACCTTTGCGGAGCGTTTGGACCACCCAAGCGCCGTACGCCTAGTCGTCGAAGGGACCCGAGGCCTCACATTCTCTTGCCTCTGCATGATCTGTTCCCGAGAGTTTGTTTCGCGGTGGAAGACTTTTTTGCTAACAAGAGGAACGGCATCCGGAGAGTTCAACACAATATTGGGGTGGACTGTAACTTCCTTCAACGGCGGGTTGTGGGTAGCATTGTAAATCTGAGGCGAGGTTTCCTTGAAAAAAACCGGGCGGGGATAATCCGGCGAGAGAGAAACGCGCACGGATCTCCCCTGAGGATAAGGCGACGGTCTGGATGATGTTCGTTTTCGTCTGACGCGCAGGTCCATTGGGAGAGGTCCGTAGCTTTCGACTGAACTAGCCAAAAGTGCCTGCATGCCAGAAGGATGCCGAGGTGGGTCAAAGTCTTCACCTTGTGTCAGATCGAGCGAATCAACAGTAAATGGAAGCCTTACTTTGCAAAGCGTAGATCGAGAAGGGGGTGTCCACCCAAAGTCGCCGACTCTCGCTGACAGTATATTCGGCTTCGCTACGTAGCTCATGATAGCGCCTTAAAGCAACGATACCACGTTCTTCGTCCCAGGAGTCTATGGAATGTATGGATGCATTATCAGCAGGGTCAACTATAAACACAGGCTGAATGGCGGTAGGGCTGCTTTTTTTAGAAGCCGTTGATTGAGAAAGCGGTGTATCACCAGGACTGTATATTTCCTCCTCGATCGTCTCGTAGACAGAGGATCGTGACATTCTTGCTTGAGAAATCCGACGACGATGACCTTCTCCACGGGCTCGAGCCCTATCTCTTTGCAATGCAATATTGGATATCGGATGAGTAGCATTGGCCAAAATCCGGTTGATTTGTGCCAGGTCGATGCTTGATTGTGAGCCGCCCGATATCGAGGAACCATCCGAAGCTGAAAGTGGGGGTGTGTCGACGCCGGAACTTGATGATGTACAGGTACTGGAACGAGATCGAGTGGTAGGACTGGGCCGCGTGAATACCGGGACCGAGTCTGCAAAATTCATCGGTACAATGTTTGAAACGTTAAGTAGAGAACTCACAAGAAGCCGACAAATCTTCGCCTTCTGCAATTAAACAGCTTTCTTCCAAACTCTGCCTCTCCAAGAGACCTTTTGTGGCTCGTATCATTCTCTCACCCCCAAATTTAGACGAAGAAGTAGAGTCGATGGAAGCCTTCTCGATAATCCTAACATGTCCTTTGTCATTGCCATCCTTGACAGATCCAAATGCCACATGTTTCCGCTTCCCCAAATGACCCACTGCACGAACAATTGGTGAAGCTTCGATGACGGAACCAACAGAGCGACGACGAACGTGGCCACCTCCAATCATCTGCAACATGTCAGTCAATCTTGATAAACAAATAAAAGATACTCTTACACTGATCATGGTGTCATCATCTTTAGAAGGACTATGGATACTGTTGATACTCAAATAAGACACAGGTCGGAATGCGTTTTGAGGAAGCAGGTGCCCTTGAGCATAGCGAGAAGAACCATCATACCCAAAGACCGACTCTGAGCAGAGGCTCGTCCTGTGTCCAGTCTTATCAAACAAAGAATCATCCACTGATGATCGGGGTTCATCGTCCATAATTGAATCGAAGGATGAGCAAGATTGTGAATAGCTGCTTCCTGGAGGTGAGGCTGAGATTGAGGTTAAAGGTGCCCCAAAGTTGGCAGCAGTGTCAAACATCTTGTCTCCAATCCCTGGACGACCAAGTTGCCTAGCAGAGAACTGACTATCCACAGAGTCAATTGAAGCATCCTGTCTGTGATGTGCCCATGCTGCACGTCCACCGTTTGCGCCATGAATTACATATGAATGCGCCATTGAGCTGACACTCGTCGAAGAATCGTTACGACGGTGACCAAAGCTTCGGTTGTACAAGCTGATGGGCGGACCTTGAGAAACAACGGACATGTTGGATTCTCGACGACAATGCCCTCTGCTAGAGGGGCCAGATGCGTTGAAGTAAAAGCTGGACGCATCACTTTCAACACGCTTCCTTGGGGGAGCATGCTTCAAGAATGAGAACGTATCATCTATGCTCATTGAAAAAGATGTTGAAGTCATCTCTTCCGAAGAGGGCCGTTCTCGCAAACTTGGCAGACCATAATCAAATGGATCCGGAACGCCAGCATTGACGACATGACCGTAAGAAGATATTGATGCAAAGCTCATCATTGATTCCTGTTTACTGTGATTGTTTCTGCGAGACCCAGTCGAATTCGACACTGGTGGAGGATAAAAAGACGGACGATAATCATGGAACTCGAAGCCGCGTCTGACCTCTTCGAAAGAGTCAAACCCATTGAAGCTGTTGGTGGAGTCGTGTCGGGAGTGTCGATAGGTAATATTGCGAGTGATTGCATTGATCGAATTGTCTCTTGCATTTCGTTTGCCTGTGCTATCATTAAGCTGTCGCGCAGCTGGCACTTCGGAGGCCTTCGCAATTATTGAATTAATAACCGAATCGTCCACATATGAAGAAGCGTTAGACAATGCTCGGACGCGAGAGGGGGATGGGATGATGTCGGAGAATGAGATGGGCTTCTCCAATTCGACCTCCTGCGACAAGGATTTTGTAAATCCTCCAAATTTGAACGATTTGTTCAATTCACCATCCGAAGGACGAGAGGCAGAGGAAACGGAGGATTCCAGTACCTTGGGAGCGAATGTATCAGGAAGATCTCGGGAGTCCGTACTGCTGATACTGTCGGAGCCGGGAAGTAAAGTGGGTTCCTTAGCGTCAAGCAAACGAGAGATGGGGAAAATTTCCAACGACGATGACGTAGCCTGAGTACTTCCACCATAATGTGCTTCTTGCGAAGAAATAGAGCTGTTGGTTAATTCCACACTCTTTGAGCTGTCCATTGCGATCATTGAAGGAAGGACCGGGAGAGGAGGAACATCAACTTGGAGCAGACCGCCCTGCCCGCCGAAGTCGTAACGGAGATCAATTTTAGCTGGAGTTTTGAAAGCCTTCTCGAGTTGTTCTACGAAACTGGCCCTGTCGGAACCACCGGATTCATTCAATTTCTCTAGTTCTCCGGTGAAATCGAACGATTTCTTCGTGTCGTCTTCATCTACATCCAGCATGTCGTCAAGATCTGCATGATTATCATCTACATCAATGAGATGGAATACTGGCAAGTCAACCACCTCCCGTCCACCTGTACTTTCGAATTCAGATTCGGGATCCACAAGGCTAGAAACATCTTGAGGAGCGTCCGGTGAGTCCAGTGAACGGAAGGATGTATGGTCCTCAATGGAATGCACAGATGTCCTGGGAGATTGGTTGGCAAGGATAACCTGAAGTTCGTCAGGGATGTCTGAATCCGGATCGGAAGTGTCCAAATCGTCTACCGCGTATGCAGAGACATCTGATCCCCCCATTGTGCCTTTCATACCAAGCTGCCTTCGAGCTTCAACAGAGAGAGGACGACTCGTAGTGAAGTTTTCCTCTGGAATGCTACCCTGACTGCCACCGCCAGGTTGAGAAGACAACAATGAGGAACGGTTCCTATTGTGTCCATGAGTAGGTTTGAAGACAGGATTTCGAGAATGGATATCATTCAACGAGCTAATCGAAGATTCGCCGCCTCGAGATGAGGACCTAGACCCAAAGGTTAGTGAAGACGGAGCACGTCCTGCATTGACCGGTGATAGTGGCTGTACTGGGAGATCTATCGAGGGAGGCGGTCCTAATGGCAGTAAGTTGAATGAAGCGACGACGTTACGTGACTTTGCAGGGCGTAGGGGACGTAAGGGAGGTGGGGGAGATGCTTCAGGGAGGTATCCCGAAGGGGACATTGTTCGCTTGTGCATCCCACGGACCTTAGAAGTTGTGACAGAGGAAGCTTCTTTCGCTGGAACCTCGTTCTGAGGAAGATACGAGTTCAATACCGGCCAAGGAGCAATCTGCTGATCGAGAAGGTCTTGCGAATTTGCTGGCTTGGCAGTAGTCAATTCGCGATATTGAGCGTAAGGTCTTAGGGAACTGATAGAAGTCATAGTCCCACGTAAGGTCTTCTTAGTAGGGCTATCCTGATTAGTATCAGACGACTGGAAACCGGCAGTACGCCTCCAAGGCGAAGCATCTGGAGATTTACCAGGTGTAGCACCAGGTGTTGCCTCCAAATCCAAGTGGTTGATCAATTGAGCAAGATCATTAGTAGCGGCAGATAGTATAGAAATGACACCTAAAGAACTTTGAGTAAGGGTCACAAAAACATACAGAGAGAATTTGTACCTTCACCATCCTCCTCGTGAATTCCTTGTGGTCGTTTTCTTCCCATTAGCTGCTCAGAAAGAGGCCGGGGACGCGCACATTTCATAGGAGTTGACAATTCGTCTTCGCTCATGCGCTCATGTCCGTCTGAAGTAGCCTCCTCCAGCGTTAGTAAGGGTGCACCGTCAGAAACCGTCCTGACGAATGCAGCAGGCCCTGGAAAATCTTCCTGAGCATCAGGGAAAACATCGGTAATAGGAGTTCTTCTTCTTCCTTCCGAATGACGTCTGCTCTCGTGATTGGCCTTTTTCCTCTTCGCATCAGCTTCTGCATCTTCAATACTTCGTCGTTTAGTCTCCTTTTCCTTCCGCCGCAACTCCTTGACGGTTTCCAATCCAGCCTCATCCCAGCGTACACTAGCAGCCGAACTACCTGAGGAGATGCACGACGTGGAGGATGTCGTCGACATGGGACGTAGAGATGAGCCCGTTGACATAGTCGATCCAGACCTCATACGAGCAGCAATGGCGACCGCAGAGTCGACAGAAAGACGGTTATTGTCGGATCCGCCAGTAGCACCAATGGATGACGTGGTGGAGCCGCTCCGTACTGCAGGAAGTCTCATTGTCGAGGGCAAGCCCAGTCCTAAGATACTACGCTTCTTTTTGCCAAGCAATGCTTTCACTTCGGGACTGGTGGTGAGTGCACCTGCCTCGAAGCTACTCGTCGAATTACGGATACGCTGTGTTTTGTTCCTGTCCTCCTTCTCGCTCTTGTCTTTCTTTGATTTCTTCTTGGTTTCCTCCTTTTCTTTGGACTTCGGCTTCCCTTTCTTCTCCAACTCCTTTGGGAATGTTTCGTCACCCGGCCCAGTCCCATTCTTGAGTTGCGCCCAACTTCCGATTCGAGCTATTGAGCGCATCGCGCGCAATGCGATTGAGTTTTGATTTGGATTTCCTTGAGAGGGGTCGAGGCCATCGAATTGCGTCGGGGGCGCAAGAAGACCTCCGAACGTAGGGGTGGCAGAGCGAGAGTAAGTCCCTGGGGCCTGACGCTCTTCATTCAGAGGATGAGTCGTTCTCTGCCGATCCGATAATAAAAAAGTCGACGTATTCCTCGAGTTGTAGTCTGCACTATTTAGAGGAGGACTTGCAATGGAGGAGAGCAACATGCCGGAATCAAGGGAATTAAAACGAGCTCGGGATTGGGTTTCGGGGATGAACTTGAAGGGTTCAGGGGCTAACGGGAGTACGAGTAAGTATGCGTATCAAGGCAGAGTCAGGATAACCTACTTTTCGAGCGAGGTGGTTGGGGTCGAGTTTCAGATTTTTCTCTGGCTTTCTCCTTCTCCTTCTCTTTCGAATCCTTCCTACCCCTTCCCAGGGTCCACCACTTTTCCTTCTCTTCTGCCTTGATCTTCGTGACTGCCGTCATCGGTTGCGGTACCGATGGTACATTCGTAACTTCCCCTAAAGCACCTCCTCCAGACCCCCATCTAAGCCCATCTAAGCCAGCTCGTGATTTTTTCTTCTTGACCATGACAATTTCGCCAATCTCAGGGTCCGTCGGGTCAACGTATATCTCAAACCCGCCGGCTCGTCGCGAAGTTGAACCTCCACCGACGCGTCGTACAACGTCAGAAAGGTCCTTACCACGGTCCTTCTGTCTATCTTTGCTACTCCCGCCGAGTAAACCCAGTTTGGACTTTTTTGGCACCAGTCGCTTGCGGGGCTCAGCGTCTGTTTTCGGAGCCAACGGCGAAGGCACAGAAGGCACTGCTGTCCAAGAAAATTCCAAGGATGTACTGGCCTCTGACGAAAAGCCAGATGCGGATGGTGTAGCAGCGACCAGGCGGATGGACGGAACGTCAGATGGATGAGATGGGGCATCTGTTGGACGTGACAGTGACGGTAATGTATTCCGCATTCTGTCGTATATATTTCGTTAATTTGATGGAAAAAAATATTGCTGTAAAATCGATAGCAGTCGTTAAAGATAAATCGAAAAGTCGTTGAAAATTCTGAAAATTGCTGGACAAATTGAGAGTTTGTGAATATTTTTGGAGATGTGTGTGGTGTGGTAGGCCTCGTAAGCACGTTAATTGAATCTATTTCTGTCACTTGCTGGATCTCTAAACAGAGCGCGGTAAGCACACATCTTGCAATGTCTTAGAAGTTCAGACGAAACAGGATGCTACAGACCTTGTTCACAGCAGTCCTCCTACCCCAGCCTCTCACTGCAAGTAAATTCGCTGGCAAGTGATTTCAGCTATCCGTCCGCGTTGAGGAAAGAGAACAAGAGCCGGCTGTAAACACCGCCACATTCAACATTACACCACTTAGGTCACGTGGTCGTGCTTGGGTGAAGTGAAGTAGTGTAGGCCCCCAGAATCTCCTGCAGAACCCCACCCGGCCTGACGCCCTAATTGACGCTATGATTTTGCCATGATTGACGCTATTTCGGACCAGGATCGTCACGTGAAATCGAAAAATTTTCCAAAATTTTCTTCGAAATTCAAATGTTGGTGTTCTTTTTCCATTTTTTTCCGGTGCTTAAAATTTTTTTGGTTTCGTGCTGGTGCGCCGACTCCTGCCGACTCATATGACGCTATAAACGGACAAGGACTAAGGATTTTGACTGAAAATGACGCTATTTTAGGACCAGGAAATCGTCAAAATCGGGCCCAAAATGACGCTATTTCGGGTGAGGTTCTGCAGGAGATTCTGGGGGCCTAGTAGTGTACACCGTACATGCATTTTGTAAATACCAGCCAAGGTGTAGGGCCTTGCAGGCTTCCTGTTCTCTCTTCACCGGTGACGTTCCCAGATACCAGATTGAAGACCCCTGAACCTATCTGGCTCTCATGAAGCTTTACTGTGCCTCTCAGTCCATGAAATTGATTGCCTAGACAAGATAAAACACAAAGCATTCAATATCAAGGTCGAGAGCTTTGATGTATTGACTTTTGAGCCCATAGATTCGACATCCCAATACACTGTACATAGGACTGAAAGCATCACCCCTTCGGCACAGAAGTCCAGGCTACACTAAATACCCTTCACTAAAAAATCAACTTTCTCGATCTCCATGATATTCAATAGTCTGATTTTGGGATACGGCACTGAAGGCTCCCTTTCCCTGTTGGATATTCAAATTGTTACCTTCAAAATGACGAAACTGAGGCAAAACACTTGGATCTTGCATGATAAGTGGTTTTCCCGCAACGGCAGAATGCTGCCCATCATCAAAACGATTTGCAGTGGGCTTAGGGAAACTGCCACCATTAAGATTTGGCAGTACATCCATCTGAGTACATTCTAATAATGAGGAATGGGAAATCAGTGGATTAAGATAGAATCATATCATTCCCTCACTCGTGACTTTCAGGCTGATATTTTTGTTTCGAATGTCCTGGATACCCCCTACCGCACTAAAGGATGCAGACCCATAGATTGCTTCAGGTATAACACCATCAAATTGAGAGAGAACAGTAGGATCGTAATTCTCTTGAACAGAACTGGTGACATCTTCATCTTAATTAAGAACGGAAAGCTCGTGAATCCTCAAGAAACGCCTGAGGCTTACTTGGATGATCAGTCCGTTGGCTCTGTGTAGGTTGTGCTCTGCGGAGACGAATTGTCTGCCGTCCCCCAACCGCACTGAATGCCCCCTCGTCAATACAAATTTCCCTGCCCCGAAAAGCACATTAGGATGAGAATTATTGGGACCATGAACAGAAGGTCCAATGTAAGCATCTCTCCGTCGGTTGACGATGAGGGCCCCGTTGTCTGTTGAGGAGATGTGTGTGAAGTCACAGCCATTATATTTTAAAGTCCTCACCTTTCAGTGGTACATCCCCATCTTCTGCTTCCAGTGTCGCTGCCGGTCCTTCAATATCCAGAATAACTTCAGGATTATTGTCGTCATTCATACTTCGCGAATTATAGGGAGGTACTACAAAGAACAAGCAGAGATAAGCAGAGATACAAACGAGGTCAAGACAATCATACCGTTCACATAGACCTTAGTACCATGTACATACGTTCAGCGCCTTCAACAGCTTCGACTTGATCATTCAGCAATAACGCGCAAAGTCATTGAATACCTGTACCACCCGTGTTACTCGGTACCACCAAAAGATTACAATGAACAGAAAGAAAAGGGAGTAAGTTATTTTTCGAGAAGGACAGTGCTAGAACAGCTTTGCGGACAGGTCATATTCAAGCATCCCATACATCATTCGCAGCCTAACAAATGAACAGTTTCAACAGCATTACATTGAATGTAGTGAGATTTAACAGCACAGGAATCAAATAGGAGGAGGAATCATACTACCACTGGCAGCAGCGTCTGTTCTGATGAATGAAACCTGCATTCCTCATACTGATATATTACTAGCGGCGTCTAGCGCCATAGCTTTCTGGTGAGTGTGACGAGCGATTGTTTCTTCTGCGTTCTCCGTAATCCATGTAGTCATCTTGTGCGAAAGGACGCTGCTCCTTCAAGATCACTATTCGATTACCAGCAACGGCACTGAATGACCCCGATCTGAAGTCGCCACCTTGGGAGCGAAAGTCTCGAGCACCCATCAAAACATTGGGTGCCGGTCCGAATTGGTGTCCAGCAATAGCACTATGGCTCCCAGGAGTGTGGAATGGGGTGCCTCTATCAGTGCGACTATTGGCAGGCGGTATTTGGGATTGATCGCGGAGGACGTGTGCTGCGCTCACTGTATAGAGTTGTCAGGTAAAACTAGTGACCAAATAAGTGGATAGAAAGAACTCACAGCCCTCGATGCGAACGTCGCCTTTCCTCGTAGTGATCTCACTGCGTCCGGAGACAGCACTAAAGGAGCCTTCGCCGAATATTACACCAGGAGGGTGTGCAAGTGAATCTCTGCTATCTCGACGACGAAAACCAGACAAGACGCTGGGAGCTGGATGTGATACTCCATGAGTAAGATGAGTCTGGTGAGCTGCCAGTGATGGGGTTTGATGAGCTAGAGGAATGGACAGTCAATGAAGTGAATGAGGACTGTAGTTCAAGATGAATCACAGTGGAAGGGTGAATGGACATATGGGCTTGCGGAGGAAGAAGACGTTCGAATAATTTGGGCTCCGGCGACGACACTGAATGCTCCGGGACGAATTGTACCGTCGATATGGAAATCATGAGATCCAAAACCCACAGTAGGATTCCTGTGAGGATCCAGCGTCCTTCTTGAAAGTACATTTTCTTCATGTAAAATAGCACCTGTAGACCCGACTTGTAGTCCATGCTAAACGTAAGAAGTTAAGGTACTTACTACGTCGTGAAATAGGTAAGTCACTGTTATTGGATTGACTCCGTCCCTGGCCTGGTCGGCCGTCATGACCATAGGAAGGTGAGCGAGGGTTCGAACTCATACCAGAATAGCTGTGGAACTAATTTGAATCGATTTTGCCGATTTTAACCTGATTTTATACTACTTGTAAACTCATTTTGACTATGAGCACAAGCAACAGCAACGAGTCGTGAATCATATTCGGGAGTTCAGAACCTGACGGGCTATGTCTGACGTGAGCTTTAGTGAGTCCTAAAATGTCGTCTAAGTCTATTAATTCATCACTCCGAAAGACGAAACGCGTCGAAGCAGTTGTTGGAGATAGACGCACCAACTTCTGAGCAAAAGGAAGAACAAATTGCGGTGTTTTCCCCGGAAAGACAAATAAATGACTGTCAAAGAGGATAATATCAAGGAGAAAGGACTAGAGATCAATCGATCATGCTCACTGGATGAAGCTGGATGACAAGGTTTCCGACAAATCAATTCTGTGTCTAGTGTAGGTGTGGCGAAAAGTTAGGAAAAGTTGCCATGATTACAGGCACTATATGGCTCCATCGCATATGTAGCTACCTTCTTCGTAGAGACTGAATCAAGTTCGGCAATGCAAGTCCTAGTAGGTTGCGGGACTGTATAAGAGAACAGAATCTATCTGGACGGGCCGGAAATGCCATGTGATAGATAGATTGATACTCGGCTCCGTCCCTAGAGACGGGGTCCCGCATCGGAACAGCCGGTTACAGTACATGAACAATAGCGAGCTCAGTCCGCAGAGGGAAGGGTACATGTGTATTGAAGGCTACGATAACAGCTCGGAAATTTTCCCCCGCTGTTTTTCAATGCTGCAGAATTGGTGAGTTGATCTCAGAAGTGTAGCTCTCATATCATGGTAAGTATCTAGGTTAGCACTGCCAAATCTCTTATCTTGAGGTAGGTCTAAAATACTCTGAAGTAACCTGAAGTGATGTATTTTCCGTATCGTTGAATTCTCTGCTCAAATTCTTCGTCAACCTTGCCATTTCCCCACCTCTCGACGATCACTTTGGGGCTTTAGCAACTGTTTTAGTCATTCGCGTACTAACGGGGCAGTGAATGGGAGGTGGTGCCGAGTATGATACCGGATGATGGATCCAGGATGGATGAAACGTTGTTGAACTGGATTGTTTGAAAGCGGGAACGTGTTTACATACAGGCTCCCAAAATACATCCTAAGATGCTGATAAGCTCTTTTTCAGGTCGGTCTTCGTCGATCCCAGCTCAGAAGCAGGCATACATAATGTACATTGTGCAGCAATCAGCAGCGAGAAACCAATACCCTACTATATGGGGTTCATCCTGGGTTCATCAGGCTTATCAGCAGGTTATCATCTTGGGCAGTGTCCGACGGAGCACGGTGGACTGAACCAATTGCATCATGTTCCTCCGATAGCGCACCATATGCACCATACGGGATGGTTCTTTGCACCGCAAGTTGATACTATTTTAATATGTCTAACGCAGAACGAGTTTCCCTCCACCTCTCCGCGAATCTCTCTGGTAGAAATTCCCATTCTATTTCCGTTCACGTTAAAAGTCTCTCAGGTAGAGCAATATTTTTCATAATTCCTGTACACATACGAGAACAATTGGAGAGCTATGGTCTCATTGGTTTGGACCACTATCACAGTGTGTTCATATATTTGTTATCGCACTGAATACCACACTGACGATGACCATGCTGATCTTGAATTCTAGTTCATCGGTTTATTCATTCTCTTTTCCAACGACTCGACCGTCTCGGCTCTCCCCACAGGTCCAATTGCGATCTTGCCTTCTCAAAAAGTCTCGAACGAAACGTCTCAGAGTATTGCCGTAGAACTTGAACGTCGGTTCATCTCGTCTCGAAAGGTAGAAGCGCCTTCGTGTCGGAACCTTACGAAGGATGACTTTGAGAAACGTATGTAATGGTGACTGTGCCCATTTACTATCGTTTGAAATCTGAATCGATGTCTCGGTTTCTTCGCTTATCATCTTTCCACCACTGCAGTCCCCGGCGCTAGCAAACTTAAGGCAACGGCGACGAACAGGTGGGGCAAACATTTCAGTGTCAAATTAAACGATCCAAAGGTCCGCATCTATTTCATCGCACTTTTTCGGTGAATTTTGACCCTATTTCCGGCAGGAGCCACAATACCCTGCTGAAGTTTGCGTCAAGCCGACCACGGTCAAATTCACTGGTGTGTAATGTCTCAGTTCGCAAATAAACAACAAATTTACTGTTACGACCGCTGCCTTCTCTTTACAGGGAAACCCGAATGCCATGTAACAAATGCCACTACAGGAGGTGAGCTCACTGGGACGACTGGGTGTGAACTATCTGCTGCTCTTGTCGCTCCATGTAGAAGCTGAATGCTACCCTTTTGTTTATCCCAAATTCTTCAGCACTAGCGCTCTTGGGATAGCTCAAGGTACTACGACATCAGGGCAATTTACTATCAGCTGTATGTGTCTTTATCTTTATAGAGTATTTGTGTCCAATGTCCAGCGATCTTATCACAGCGGCCGCCTCCATTAGCTTGTCCTCCTCGTTTATGACCTCTGTCAGCTTTCCAGCAATTACCGATATCATGGATGCGACGACCGTAAATGTGGGTATTACTAACACCCAAACCACAAGGCAAGCAACGATCAAGTATTCCATATAAGTATAATGAACCGACAGGACCTCAATTTCTGTTCACGAACATACAGTTTTACAACAACATACACCAGCACGACTACAATGACTCTTACAATGTCCTCCCCTGAGGGCGAGTCATGTAATGCTAGCGTACGTCGACCCTCGCCCCTCTCACTTTTGTTCGTTCTATGCGTTCTTATTTGCGGAATATTTGCTTCATTGTTGATAGCAAACGATGAAATTGTGTACAATTCAGGCAATCGGCGAGGTAGTGCTCTATGCCCGAGGATTCGTCGGTTTTGATTATGGCTCAGCTGTGACAGATAAGACCGAGCATACGGCAAAGGGCGAGAAGAGCGAGGAGCATTACAAATGTCGGTTTTCTCTTCTAATTGGCATGATTAGAAATGCTGACTAGGGGATGACGCTACTGTAGGGTTTCTTCCGTTTAATTCTTTGTCGGAGGCGGATATATCAAGCACTGCGACCTTCCAAGGCTCAACGACTTCGAATATCCATGGAAAGTACCAGGGAAATTGTGCATGATTGTGTTTTGTGTTGTTCCATGACTTGATGACTATGACGGACAATATGAACACTGAATGCCAGAGACCTATATTCTTATCCTTCTCTCGTGTATTTGTATCGATGTATCTACTACTAGTGGTCTACGTGACAATATTATCAGTTTCTCCAACGCCACTAGCCGCTCGTACATGACTCAAATAATTATTCATTGCAAACTAGTACCGAAATCCCCTACCTAATAAGGTACTAGCATGAGTAAACAAAATGGCAACCACTGTTCTATGATAGCTGTTGTTGGACAAATCATTGTGTTCTGGCTCCCCCGGGACTATAATGTATGTCGGCTATTGGACGAATACCCCGTCGGCCAAAGCAGTTATTACGAGTCCCGGAAGGGTACGAATCTCTCGAATACGTATATTGTTTCAAATTTGTTATCGTTGTGTTTCCGATAACCGTTTTATCCCTTGACGAAACGGCAAGTAGATCTTGCTTATCATTTCATTTAGATAGATAGATGGATATACAGAAATTATCGTTGAACGCCCTCAGCTTTCTTATCACGCTGAGGGTGAGTTATTATATTTATTTTGTTCGATACTTTCGTTGCTCACCATACCTTTAGTTCGAACTTATTGTATTTTGATAGGTAGAGAATACACGAGCTTTCTTATCACGCTGAGGTTCGAACTTGTTGTATTTTGATATCGGCCGTAATTTTCTCTTTCAATCGATACTATGTATACTTCGCAATCTGAAGTTTGCACCACTCTTTGTAACTGATCGACCAGATTCGACTAAGATAAAAACATAGTTTGAATGATGCGAACAATCAATTAATCGTCCTTCGTATCTCTACCACAAGAGTACTTGCCCACCAACATCCAAAAACTTGTTACTGAGTCAAACTGCGACTTGGTATTCGAAGACAAACATTGAATCTGATCATTGAGCTCAATGCAACAACGATTTTTCCGCCGATTAGTCCACCCTGTAAATTCAGGGTATGAACCCTATCTTGGCATTGTCCACTTCCAAAAAGCACATACATACCATATTTCTTGATTGCCAGCGATGGCCGAAAACGCTCCTGGTGCAATGGATCCTCCTCTGATGACAAAGTTGGAGGCACCAAGTAGAACACTAGCGCCTGCAACGGACATTGAAGGTTGTGAAGATTGGACTTGAGATCCGGCGACCACAGCACCTGTTTAAGTTGGAAAGAAAAATCGTTGACTCGAACGCGATACCCGCATGACGCTGCTAAAATTACCTCGTCGAAGCCTACTATCTCTAAGATCGGCATGAGTTTGTACATGCTTTCGATCGCCTTCTGCGTGCAAGAGGTTCACAACGAGTTGTAATGTCCTACGAACGTGGTGACTTACTGCGTCTGTGGACAATTCTTTGGTGTCCCGCTACCGCACTAAATGCTCCAGGGTAAATACCCTTGCCACGCCGAATTGAATGTTTTCCTTCGAGGTTCCCATCTCAATAATTTTCCCTTGGGGAGTTATCCGAAAATCATTTTGAACTCACTTTCTTCAGCAGGTGCTGGCTCGTTGGTCAAATCCACACGTTCATATTCCTCTTTGAGATCTTCGAGGAGTCTCTGTCCTGAAAACGGCGACAAATTGCGCAAAGTTGCACTCCTTTCAGTTAACGCAGAAATTCTGCAGTCATTATCAACGACAAAAGATTCTTTTGCTAGAGAATTGTGATGGTTATAGGTACCTTTCGGTGAAACAAACGAAGCGACGTACGATGAGCTCGCATCCACTCAATGACATCTCGCTCATTCAGAGTGATTCGGACGGGGTCTGTTTATATAACCGTTCAGTCAAAACGGACCTTGGCATAAATCAGTGGTCACAAACCTTCAAGCAGTATCCGAGGCTCTAAGGCGCGGCGCGATTCAGAGGGTTCTGGTGAGGTAGAAGGAGAAGGATCTTCAATGAATATTGAGCACAATGGGTTTGGGTCTATTCAAGAATGAGATTTACTGCAAGATGATTCATTTGAGGATGGTGAGCTGTATGAATAAGTGGAAGGAGACATGTTCATAAGTGAGGTTGCAGGGTTGCAGGTAGATTATGCATATTCTCGATGTCTTTATAGTAACTCCAGGCGCCGAAGGCTGGAGCTCACCAAACCATTCGGGAATTTCAAGGATACTAGACATTGACTCTGTCTGAGTCCGGGAGCGAATAAGCTGTACGACAGCGCCTTTTTGAGCATTCGAAGCGCCAACTTGCAGCCTGACCGTCATCACTTCTACAGCATTCTGATTTTTTGTAATGAATCGGCAACTCACAGGCACTAGCAACAGCTTTGTGAGCCATTCAAGTCAGTGTTAACTGAGAGTACTTATACGGGGTCGTCAACTACGAGTCCGAAGGAGTAACACAAGTCGACTTAAGGAGACAATGATGAACGACATAGCGACAACGGTATGACTATGTACGTTCAAAGAGAGTATCGTAGACTCAAACTCAGATTCAAGGTTACTGTAATACGGGTGATATTGATTTAATTACACGGTAGTGTTACATACAACATAGACAACGAAAGCAATGTGGGCAATTTATACACTGAATGTGCGCATGTCCGCTAAAATTGTATGTGCACAGTAGCTGTTGTGAAAATTGCATGTGGACGACACATAGAAGAAGGCAAACATCAGGCAAATGAGCCAATATGGGAATGAAAGGAATGGAAGAACGCCATGGACCTTGGAAGCACGAACTCGATCAAAAGTCTGCAAAAGGATTCTTGAGGTCATTATGATCGAAAACCTGAGATTCGGCCTTCACGCTGTCCGCTCGAGATACAGAACGACTCCAAGAGGCGCTCGAGTTCGAAGAACTATTAGGATTGCGAATGTTACCATCCTCGTCGCGGTTGTTGTTGCTGGCCTCCCCGTTATCTGGATCATCATCAGTTCAGTAGGCCGTTCCTTTGTTTGTGAACAACACATACCGTTATTGTTGTTATCATCATGATCTCCCTCGTTACTACGAGAGTTTCTCTCGCCACCGTTACGCCTCCACCCACGACCACGGCCACGATTCCGACTACTCCCAGTCCTACCATCCTTGTTTTTCTGCTCGTTTGCCTGTTGTCTCTTCTTCTTCTTCGCTACTTGACAAATTCCCTTTGAGCAGAGGACACCATGCACAGGACATTCATCTTCTTTTGACTCCTCTACCGGAGAAACGTCCTCCCACAAGTTCTGCTTAACAGTTTCTTGCGTAGTGTCGTACTGGACAGCAGGCGTAGGCAAGCCAAGGCCGGGCGGTACGTCCACGTCGACAAAAGTGGAAGCTATTTGATCCTCTGGGTCAATATCTTCATCTTCATCAAATCCAAGGACCTTCGCCATGGTGTTGGAAATATCAAGTGTATCAGTGTTACCGGCAAGGTTGTTAAGGTTTGGATTAAAATGAATAGGTAATTCGGCCTCGACCTCGGAAGCCCAGTCAAAGCTCGAAGAACCAGAAGAGGAGCCAGAGGCTGAATCACGAATGAGACCAGGCGGCACAGAAGGAACAGCTGTTGAGATTGCAGGAGGAGCAGACAAAGGAGCAGAAGAAGTCGAAGAAGGGGAGACGGCGAATGATTTTGGCAATCCCCAAGCTTTCGTAGAGACAGGAGTAGTGACAGCAGGCCTCCGAGAACCCCAGGCGCCTTGAGGTGGTTTGACTGGTACAGAAGCTGGAGTTGGACCATGAGTTGTAGAAGGTGGTGTTGCTACGGTTTTCCCCTGACTTCCCCAGGCTTTCGATGCAATTTTGACAGCTGACGGTGTGTTCAAGCGGACAGTTGGTTTAATCACTGGGGTGGTAATCATCTCAGTTCAGATAGAGACAACGGAAGAAGAATAATAGAAACAGATGTACCATTGGAACTTTTGTTTAACTTCATCGCTGCGCTGATGTCGTTATTCCCCCAAATCACGCGCTGATATTCTGGTGATTTGGGATCAGGCGCGGTGTTGCTTTGTACCCAATCACTGGAGCCTACGACTGCAGAGAGATGAGTAGAAAGAGTGAATGAATTAGAAAACCCATACCAGGTCGAACAGGCTTCGGAGGAGGAGGAAACATTGCCACTGGTAAAGGCCGACACATTTTCTTGTTCGTTCTGTCTTCCGCGGGCGAAGCACACCAATGCGTCGAGGGATAGGGGGATTTGATGATCCTATATGCAGATGTTATACATATCTCGGACTGGAAGAGAAGACAACTAAAGCCACGCACGGATTGTTAGGGGACCACTGCGCCGGATCGAACCATTTTTCCAGGACATTGATTGTTTTCCAACCTTGACATGCTTTAAAAATCTCACACGAAGAGTCACGGAACGGAAACGGAGTATGCACCATCCTTTTGAGCACCGCGGTGATCGTTGTAAACTGAATAGAAAACTTTCGAGCAGCAACGTCGTTCCTCTTCACTCGGTCGTTTCAGAAATTCAGACCTGCAGCGATTTCGTAGGTGAGAGACCTTTTTGAGATTTTCAAAATGTAAACAGAGCAAGTACCATCGGTGTTCGCCGAGCAAGGTCCGATGCTCGTCGTCTGGAAAAGCTCTATCAACCTCGATGATAACCATCCCACGGGCCTGAAAGATGAAGTGAGAGGAATCGGAGCAACACGTTACCGATACCATGCATCAGGCAGCTCTACGCACTGTTGGTTTGTACATGATTGCTATAAGAAATTCTTTCTTGATGCAGCAAGCGATCCAGCGCGAAAACGTTATCTGGTCGGCCTTGAGTTCCCAATTGGCGTTCAGCGGGTAGGGGAACGAGATAGTGAAGTAGCGGGTATTAATGTCGCTGGGCGGGGTCGCAATACGTTTAGGCATTTCTGTTGAGAGGAGAGGACTAGGAAGAGAAGATCTAGAGCAAACCCTAGGTTAATTTGAATGTGCCCGGGCCGACTGTCTGGTCATGGACTGGCTTCATTCTTGATACTGTGATCACTACGGCGCAGTCGTCCTCCAAACACACCGAAAGTAGAAAAAATTCCGCTCGACGGAATTGTCACTAGAATGATATCTTCTCAATTGGACTGATAGCAGGGTGGAAAACTCGGTTGAATCGAGTGAATTCTGAATTATGTATACAATAGACGAATATATTCATATCATCAATCCATTCAGGTTGGACCAATTATATTCTGAATTTTTATGTTTCTAAAGTGAAGATTTCACAAGCGTATTGACAATTTTCCCAGGTTGATTCCATAGATATGAAAGGAAGCATCACAGTGCCCTTGAGAAACAAAATGGATCAAAGGATATCTATGCGGCAGGAAATTTGAATGAAATTTGAGCACTCTTCAGGTCATTCAGGACGAGTGAACATACAAAAGAATTTTCAGATATCAACTCAATTGATAATGCGCCCCCGAGTCATTAAAGAGACGCAGACGCGAAATACAGAGACGCAGACGCAGACGCGAAATACAGAGACGCAGACGCAGACACGAAATACAGAGACAAAAAAGCAGACGCGAAATACAGAGACGCATCGTGCAAGATCTAAGTATGTACTAAGTTTGCGGTGAAGACCGTTATTACATATGTGCTCTGTTGTTACAATCCTTGTATGTAGTTCCTCCAAGTTAGCCGTGCATACTTTGGGATTGTCAGAGCTGCACACAAGGTAACTCTGATGAGTTCGAGAGTCTCCGCTCTTCTACATTTCCTCCTTCTGGTCCCTCTTTCCGGCATCTACAAAGCTCTAGATCTGACTTCTTTGACACACCCTACATCGGCGTGATAGATGAAGAAACTTAAACTTCGCCGTTTGACAACTTGATGCTGCAGCGCTTCAATGAGGATGAATTGCGAAAATGCAAACGGCACTGAAGCGAACGGCAGTCGCGGTAGGGCAGTGAAAAGAGGTGGGAAAGTAGGCATGTCATGTGTGATTTGGAGACGACGGCGGGTGTTTGGGAAAAATTCGACGGATTGGCTGAGTTTAGATGATTTGGGTCGAGGAAACCGGCCAGTCTCTGTCCACAACTTGCGCTGAAGGTGTAGCATTTGTAAGGAAGCGTGCATTGGAGTTAAATGTTTCCTTTCGGTGCGGACCCTTTTCCGTCGGCGACATCATCGCTCGCTGGATTTGCGAATACATGGGATCGTCGTCGTCGTCAGCGGATGTCTCTTCCTTGAAATCCGAATGACCGTGATGTGAAGTAATGCTCCCAGGCAAAGTCAAATATGAGCTTCGCCACCGCAAACGGTAAACTGATTTTCCAGACGTCAACTTCGAAGAAACTGACGATGATAATAACCACCAAGCATGTTCCGAGGAGGAGGCTTCCAACGAGGGCGCCGCCTAAATCGCGAAGAACACTTCTTGGATTTAATGGAACTGTAGCACGCAGTTTGCGAGGAATGTGCCACGAAACTGAAAGGGGAGCGCTAGGAAGCATACGAGTTGCAAGCAAGAGACGGTAAGATGGTATATCCAGCGAATGCGGCATTATGAATAGCAAACCCTTTACAGATAGCCACGTTGGTTGGATTGCGTCCGAAAAGTACGATGTAGATTTCGGATAGGAAATATATGTCATGGAAGAGCAGGTACGGTCATTAACCGATTACTGAAAGCTGTAGGAGGACCAAGGTAGCCGAGGTGGGCCACCGAGAATGGAGAAACCGAAATCAGGACACGGAGGACCATCGATGGGGTTTCATAATGAATCAGCTTCGAAACTCGTCGACACTGTTGGAACTGCAACAGAGGTCAGTGAAATGAAGAATGGTGACGTACGCAAGTTGCGCACATAACCAATAAGATAAGACCCCGCTGTGGCTCGTAAGGAGAAGAGGTGAGGTCGTTCTCCCAAGAAGAGGAAGTAGAGTGCGCGGTGCCCATCCAGTTCGCATCGATAGATAGATATGAGCGCCCGTGTTACCACGAGAATTCCTTTGAGCGCTTATTCTCACAAGTTGAGCGCAGAAATGTTCAGTCGTAAGACAAGTGAAAATTCACGAAACGAATACGCGGAGTCTGGAGGTTTGGTGGTCGCTACCGTTCCATATATTTGCGTAGAATATCCAGGTACGTCTTCTGAGGATTCAGGATGAATCAAAACCTTAAACTGGGTTTTGATAAACTTTAGTCTTTCACCACTTCGATTGTTATCGATGGAAATCAGACATACAATTTTGTTTGAACTATACGATGTATATATGATGATGGTACGTACTGGTTTAGTATATTTACAGACTATGTACAAGCAGATAGATTTAGGTAAATTATAGGTCATTCATAACAGCAAAGCAAGGAGCAGTAAGCAGTAAGGTACGGAAAGATCAAGAAGTGCAGCAGAGATGAAGCGGTTTCAGGACTTTGTAGGAGCGCCGTGCGACACTACCGGAGAGTCAATTGAATGGACAATGAGTAGCGGCAGATGAACATACACAGTCGATATTCGTACTATTCAAGCGGTAGTCATAGAAGGGGTTGTACTGTGGGATCCAGAGGGACCTGCCGAAATCTTTCAGGTTATACGCATTCTTTCTGTCCAGAGAGTGCTTTAAAAACGACTTTGCACGAGCCATGAATGAAGATTGATACATACCACTTTCTAGAAAAGGACCCTCACATTTCTTTGGCAGAAAGCTCGTCAACGTTCGAGGCAACACATATATGGCACGAATAGAAAACTAACCATGCGGCGAGTGCTAGTTCGATGCTACAAAATATGATGAAGCCCTAGTCACGATGAAGGCGCATTAGAGACCGTACCACTGTAGGCTTGATCATGAGGCGTCGTTAGTAAGAGGTAGATCCAGGTTCTCGTTGTTCTCACCGTATTAGCCTTATATATCGTGTTTGGATGGTAACGACGTTCAGCATTCTTGGTGAAAAAGTGAAAAAGAAACAAACGTACTTGTGTGCAATGCTCATGGCATCGCCTATTGGTGGTGTACTGAAGTGCCTTCTTCCTGGCTCGGCGTATGGTTGTAAGAGATTTTTCTGGTCCATTGAAGGACTGAAGGCAATCGCAGCAAACGAACATTGGTTTCGAGGAAAAAATTGTGGATGAGGAAGAAGAGAAGCACGAAGAAATTTAAATAGTTCAGCGCCTACTCGGACACGGTACCCTACTTGGCAAGTCAAGAAGAACCTGATAATTCTAGTACAGTTAACCCACCGTCTCCCATATTTGTTTTTCCGGCAGCAGTCAAACCCAAATCTGCAGGAGAATCTATGGGACATGTCCACATAGAGAAGGGTGAGAATTTCAATAATCAAGGAGTAGTCGAATATGTCCGAATAGCAGTCCGGCAATATCACCACTGAATAGAAAAAATTCACACAAATTCACGAGATTACAGAGAATATGACATACCGGATATTGATCAACTAGTCTTGAGCACTGATACGATGATCTTGTCCGAGTTCGAGGAAACGTGTCGACATTACTGAGTTTTAGAACCGCAGAGGAAGGTCACCTGGATGAGCCGTCTAATAGTGGACTGATAGAGCAGGTGAGTGAATTTGGTTAGACATTGAAATAAGAAACTCATCTTTTCCCGACTACGGCGAGTACTGCAAGAAGAGAGATTACTCAGTATTGACATGGACTACAATCTCTCAAATCTAGCGCAAGTAGATTTCCAGCGAGAAATGACAACGTGCTCAATCCAAGTTCGAGTTCGACCAGTATCCTTTGACGCGATTCGTCTGGATCTTCGCTAGCTTGTCGATGGCTGCACATACAGACACTTGTCACCCTTGTTTTCCTCAATCTATATCCATCGCACAAGAGAAAGAGAAACAACACGGAAAACCTCGCTTTTTTCGTCTTAGAAAAACAATCCACGCGTCTATTTCTCGTGAACCACCCGTTCTGTGGTCCAAGTCTCAACCTCCATTTCACGTCGCCGGAAAGTCTTTTCGGGTAACGAATTCACGGCCAAGTCATCGTCCGAATTCCAAACGAAACTTCGTCTACTTCGATTGCTTCCAGCGACTAGGATAGGAAATGTCCATGCCCAACGCTCGACGATGTACCATTTCGTCTCAGTCGGCTCGGGCACATGTGGGACTTCATGTTTTCACAGCAAGGATGCAGCGGAGGAATGGTGCAGATCAAGTGGATAATCACGAGCGGCCTATTGGTTCTATTATCCCATAGGAATGAAACATGGCTCACTGGCCCTCGTCGATATTAATCTGTCAAGCCTTCAAGAAGTGGACTAGAGAGATGATTATGCGCCACGGTGGCATGCACTGCACTAACGTCTACCATCTCCGACATTATGTAGAGGACTATCGCGGTTTGCAAGTGTAGGCTGATTTTGGTTCGCTCGAGCGACAAGAGATGAGCCGGGTTTTCAAATTATAAAGGACGACATAGATGAATCGAAGATCCGCAAGTGGTGACATGGCCGTGGACCGATACTGAATATTCAGCCAACAAATCGACAGAGGCTCCTCGAAATTACTGCTATGATGTTCAGTCAAATATGTTAATGAGTAGAGAGGTGATTATTCCAGAGACCTGACCTGTTTTGATCCCGAGCTACACCTGAATATGTCGGTGACCGCTGACATCCCAACACTTCATACACCACGAATTTCTCGTTTTGTGGATGATGTCCTTCAATTTTCGGGAACCAATGTAAGGATTCCGAGAGCGACACCAGAATAATATGCTCGCTAATTGTTATGCAGGTAGGCACTGGCATTAATTCTATCGTAGTTGGATTCCCGGCAGTTGGAGGCAGACTCCATAATCGTAAGGGCTGTTGTGTTCGTCGAAGAAAGCGATTAGCTATGTTCAGAGGCTCGAATATGTGATTGCTGAGAGGGGGACTAGTGAGCCGCATGTTTGGCGATTCTTGTTTGTTCCTTTCACAAATTTTTGTTTGTAGTATTCATAGTGATCACAATTTATAATACTTGATTGTACTATTCCAAGATTCAACTCCTCGCCAACAGAATCGACCAATTTCTGTCCTATCCTATCCGAGGTATCACTAGTTCATACCGCATCCCCGTGCGTCGAAGGGGCCATTCAAGTACTACAGACTGCGGCGACATTTGTGGACCGCACGTAGCTGAGTCATACTGGTGTTTTGTCGTGCCGTTTGGACGTATTTGACAGGTTTGGATGCACGAAATCAAAGTGAATGGTACTGCGTTTCTTTTGACGATATCATGGATGTGCGTAGCTATTTAAGCTAGCTATGGGAATGTGCCTAACTTTGTATCTCAGGAGGCTGAGCCGCATTGCGCAAGTGCTTCGGCGAATATCGTCTGGCACACCGGCTCGAAATCTCTACGAGGTCTCAAATCGGGAACACAAGGCAAAACTCATGAGTAGGCAATTTGTAGGAATTTTACTCGCGGTCACTTAAAATTTGAGAGCATTTTCAATGATTCGCGTCTCTGCTCGAGGAACCCAGTCAGGACGAGGAATCTGACGATGCAGTTTGTACACACGAATACAAGGCAGCTGCTACATCCTTGGTGTTTGCCGGATAAGAGGCATATGGCAAGTATTTTGACCCTCTATGCACACCGTACTGAAACCGTGGGACAACTTCAGTTCCTGCTTATACTAAAGTCTTCGTTGAAGAACGCACAAATGATGAATATGTTCATGCATCTGAATCATCTCGCGACCTCACTTTGCCACAATCTCTTACTCCGTACCAGGATATTTCGAGTCACCTAGTCCTTCGGTGATCTTACATGCAAGTTCCCTCATCACCGCCAAGAGACTGAACGATGAGGTCGTTTTCCGTGTTCCGTGTCCTCAGAATACCAAACTTGCGGACGAGGTGGCGTTCCTTGACGTAGCCAGTCGCAAGCTCTCTCTTGTTGTCGTCCCTCCGTTGACGCAATACAAAATTCAAGGGGGCGCTGGTCTCAAAGTCCCCGCTAAATCTGGGTGATTTGTAGCACGATGAAATAGAACGCAAATTTCTTCCTACAAGTTACTCGCTTGCAATCTCAACTTTCATAACGTTGAGATACCGAAGCTCAACGAAGGCCTACTACTGGGAGGTCAAGATGTTTGATCTTCCAGAGTAAACCAATTTGCTATTAGATTGATAACTAAACCTTATCGTCGTCTAGCCGGATTTAATCGTTACTCTATCACATACGATGACAAGCCTCACAACTATCCATTCGCCCCTCAGGTTTTTGGGTCTCCACTCAGGGAAGGCGATGTGTTGGATGTCGGGTATCGCCCACGCTCAGGCACTGTTTTCTACGGAAGGGACGGAAAATGAAGGATGGGTTCACCGGAAACCGATATCCCTATTGGTGCAGATGGACATTGTAGTGTGCATGTCAAGGGAATTTTCCCGGAACGTGGAAACTTTACCCCCACCCCGGCGTATGGCAGTAAACGAGGTAGTATACTACGTGATGTCGGGGGTCGGAGACGCGCTCACAGCGCGAGGTGATCCCATCGTTTCATCCCCTCTCCGAACCGCTGAACCTATAGCTAGGCCTATTACTCTACCTCTCATCACGCCAACAGATGAAGAACCCGCTGCCGGAAGTGTTGTATCAAGGTCTCCAAGATACATATCACCTATTGACTTGCCATTCCATGTACCGCGTAACACCAACCTACCTCCATCTCCGTCCGCGCGATGGTTTTGACTCAGGTGATAATAATTACTCTTCTGCTGTGTCTACGTCCAGGCCACCATCTCCTGATGTTGCGGGTGCGATTAGCTCCTTCTCTGCGCCTCGGCGTATGCGTTGGTCCCTCACTCACCTTGGCTACATCGATATCCTTGTCCCACTCAGGCGCAGAAACTTGCTTTCAGGTACACCCGCCTTCTGGCTCTTCCTTGAGTTTACCTCCGATCGCACCTCATCCATTTGCAGGCCCTCCTTACAACAAGTTCATGGGACCATTGGGTGAATTATATGGTTGCTCTCGCGTGCTTCAATTGGAATGCATTTTCATTTGTAATCTGGCTTTCGGGCTTTTATGTTAGATATTAGACCACATCGTCTCGTTTCTTTGGAATACCATTTAACGATTGTTTCTAATATACATTATTGCAACGCATGGACGTGTTCTTTCTAGTACAATCAACAAAGAGGTTCATATGAGACCATCCCGATACAGTACTCTCTAAGTTACTTGCCATTTTCTATGAGAACTAGGGCTGAACGTCAAATACGACGTCGACAGTCATTTTCCCTGATTCATATCACCCACCACATTACGTTCCTGTTCTCAGAGCAGTTATCACTACCTCCAGCCTCCTACTCAAAACCCACCTACTATCGAGGACGTGAAAACCTAGAATATTATCGCCCGCTGTCCTTCAATGGGACCGTGTCGGTTTTTCCTTTCCTTTCCTATCCTGTCAGGGGTTCAATTGACGGCCCCCCACTTAGTTGACTTATCAGGACGGTAGTTCAAACAAAGAAAACATATCGGCATTCAAAGGATAGACTTGGGGGATTCGCTACATGTACATGTGCTATTCCGATCCCTTCATCATTTCGCCCCACCTACTTCAGTCAACCCAACAATTGAGAGATCTCGTCATTCGAGAGTTCTTTGATGTTCTCATGGTCGTCCCAAACCAATGCGTTGAGGGCAAGCTTCCTTTTCTTGTCCTGGAGCTACTCAGATGATATTCATCTCGTTTACAGGGCACGGCGGAGAAACAGGCTCACTTCCATGATCCGCATTTCCACAGTGTCTTGTGTGATAAGCTTGTAAACATTGACAGTCTTGCTTTGTCCTATGCGATGCGCACGAGCAAATGCCTGCTCCTCAACAGCAGGGTTCCACCATAGATCAAATAGAACAATGTTGTTGCAAGTTGTAATATTGAGTCCTGTGTGTCAGATTATTTGAGATACGCTGTTATATGTAAAACTTGTCCATACCAGTCCCTCCCGCCATCAATGAAATCAATACGACAGTAACATCGGGGTCGGTTTGAAGGGCATTCAGTTTCTTGTTGCGCTTTTTCATGTCCATCATTCCATCCACTAGAATGATACGACTCAAACAGGTCCATTCGCAAGAACATCATTACTTACGTCGGGAGAAACGTATATCCTGTTTTTTCAGGAAAGGCTCGATGAGATTGAGCACCGAGGTGAACGGAGAAAAGATGATCGTCTTCTCATTTCCAGGTCGAGCTTTGATTTCACGCAAGATATTAAGCGCGGTTGTGATCTTGCTCGAAGGTTCGTTTTTCCCAAACCGTTTCGCTGTTTCGATGAAGCGCACACAGGCCTCCCTATGTGAAGCAGACTCATTCCCGATTGAACCACCAAGCCGTACACTGCACAAAGGGCATTTGTTGTCATTCTCCGAACCATCTTCATACTTCACTTTCATTTGATCTGCTAATAGAGCGGGATGTGCACAAGCTCGAGGTCTTAATGTGAGAACTGACGGCAAAAAGTGAATACAAATTGTAGCTTACCTTGCTGTAGACGTAGAACAAGAACCCAAGCAGTGCTGTGAAGGCGCAAGTTGCCCCGTTCCGAACGTTTGGATACTTCTCCTAGAACATCTTGCATTCGTGCTTTCAGAGCGTCATAAAATTCTCGTTCCGGTGTTGAAAGATCGCAGTGCCGAACTTGGATCTTGAGCTCTGGAAGTACGAGGATGGGAAGACCGTTGACGTAGTCGGTCTTAAGTCGTCGTAACATGATGTGACTGAGTGCAAGCTAAGGAGTCGTTCAATCACACGAGATACCAAAAACACACAAAACAAACCTTCAGAAGTCTGTTAGCTTGTGCTACGTCCTTCTTATCATTTTTCGTGACTGGGTACTCTATATTGCTCCTGAACCATTGGGCATTGGAGAAATTCTTAACGCGAAGGAAATGGAACAAGGAAAAGAGATCAGATATTCTGTTTTGCCTATAAGACAAATTCTGAGCGCTGTTCACATAAAGCATACTATATCGAAAGATACTTACACCGGTGTTCCGGTCAAGCACCATCTGTGCTCCGCATTCACAGCAAAGGCAGCCTGAGCTTTCTTCGTACTAACATTTCGGATCTCATGTGCCTCATCTATACAAAAAGTCACACTCAGAACTAAAAGGAGTGAAAAGTAGTACCTAGTACAAGACGACGCCAAGTTATTCTGAATAGACCATGAGATATCGCTGGCAAGTTACCGTCTAATGTTCACCATCAGTCCGGATGTCAAAGTACTTGAAGTATGTTCACTACCTTCGATATGTTGGTAGTCATTACTCAGGGTCCCATACGTGGTGAGTACTATGTCTGTTTCCTTCAAGATTGTCAGAGCTAGATTATTCAACCGACCGTTATCACTTGTCGAAGGAGTCATATACTAGGACTTACTATACTTGACATCCCGATTGGGACCATGATAGATGATGCAACTGGGTTTCTTATCAGGTAGAAAGAAGCGTTGGATTTCCTCATCCCACTGAATAAGGATAGATTTCGGCCCAACGATACTAACAGGCAGTCGTTAGTAGATAACAATCCTCAGAATGTTTCAATCGACTTACAGGGTCGGGCTTAGCTTTTCACCTGCGGCAAGCGCTCTTAATTTATCATCATAGATTCGGACAAGAGTCTGTATGGTCTTTCCGAGACTAAGCATTGCATGTAATGAGCAATGGCTGAATGGATCAAAATTGTACAGACGCACCCCATTTCATCTGCCACGATTCCACCGTTTCGGCCATTACTTTCCCGATCCGCCATCCACAGCCTTGCATAAGCTTGGTGTGACCTCAGTCTCAGGTTTGAGTATTCTATTACCATGCCACATTTGTCGTAATCGTGAAATCGGCGTTCGCGATTGTTGAACCACTTGAAAATATCCTCATCTGGGTTTACAGCTTTGCTAACTTGAGTCCCTATCGGAATGGGACTCTCAGGCCCTAGTGAGTGTCTGGTTATCATGCAGGTGAGTAAAAGGTGGAAAGGCACTTGCCAAAGGAGGTCGACGTCGATCGTTGCAGCTTGTTGCCTTCATCTCCGATTAACTCGTCCTTGATATTGGCACCTTGACGGTCTAACTTCGACAGCTCCAAGGTATCTTCGCTTGATTGGATTGATTGACTAAGTTGTGTGTCGGGTGATTCGATCCGGAGGACGTTCTCAATATTAATTCCATGAGTTATTTTTCCAAACGCATTCTCATCCGGAGGTATGAAGAGAGGATGAGGCTTCACATCATCCGAGAATGAATTTGGAAATATGATATGTCTAGATGCAAGGTAAGGATGTTTAGTCTCCTGCAATGAAACCCGCACACACATACCGTGGCGCCATACCGACTAGGTGCTTGACGTTCAAACTTTGGACCTAAGTTATTGATCTAAGGTCAGAGGTTTCGGGTTCTGAGCTCCAGGTTTTGAAGGCAGTCGTTGATACATGTTATGACATCTATCAAGATAGGAAAGAGATATATCTTTGTTCTCGCTGCGATGTTAATGAAAAGAACAACAATTACCAGGAAAGTTACAATAAGAAATCGCATGGGAATTGAATCCCCGCAGGAAGACAAAATATTAATCCAATCGTTCTTCAAGCCTCACGCATGTTGCGATAAGAGAACAAGGGCTGCGCTTTGAATGATAGATGTTCAATAAATGTTTGATAGTTGTCAGGATAATGTCCTGAGTAATCTACTCAAGCGTCATGTGAAGAAGAATACGAAGTACAACGTGCAGTTTGATTTCCTTGACAATGGGCGCACCCAAGGAGCTTGGATGTTTGCTTGGAGATTGGTATTTGGTAAGGTATATCAGTCACGGTACGAACAAAGGTACATTCAATCCACATACTAGTTCATCGCTATCATCATCATGTCCTGCTCCTCTCGATGAAAGAATTTGAATAGTCATCACGAAATTTTCGCTCAGTCAATAGGGCTGATACGTCGAGGCACAGGTTTTCCTTGGTACCAGTAGAATGCGTATCATGCGTTAACCAGTGTGTAATAGACAATTAATACACATACCTGCGCCTCCCACGCTGGATCGCAAGGCCTATGACGGTGGGCTTCCCATGGCCATTCAGCACCAAATTCAGGTACGGTACACGCAGCTTCGTGATAAAGCAGCAGTGACGCGAATCCTCATCGTGAAAATATTTGTGAATTGAAGGCGTCTTTGCCTCTGGAGTCGAAACAGAGACGTAAACTCGCTGGCAGTTCGAATACACTGCTCCTAGTCTAACCAACTGACGCGTCGTTTTCGTCGCCGCTTGAGAATGGAACAAGGCTGGATAAAGAAAGAGTTTTAATCGAAAGTCAATTAACAAAAACTCGACGTCAATGAAATTCACAAAACGGTATCGCACCTTCCTGTCTAGCGATCTATCAACATGGCACAGACACATAGGATCAATAGATAAAGCAACGAACTTGTTCGATAGCCCTATTGGGACAATGTGTTTTTGTCAGCCGTACATATTGAATTGTTGCCACCTTCTTCCATGCGTAGACTACCGTTTGGAATGTCAGGACGTACTTCTGAATAAGAATAGATTGATTGATACTGAAGATGAAGAAAGGAACAATAAAGGGAGACCTTTGTTCTCTAAATTCTGGCGATGCGACGACAGCTCTTCACGGTCATTACTCTCGCCGACTTCACTGCATATCTTCAGGCGTACTTCTTCTTGTTCGTTCTCAGTCGCACTTCTTTCTCTTGCTTTTGTCAAATCGCAGCGAATGGTTACTGTACAATTCATGTGTGAGTTGAGCATTAATATTCTCAGTAGATTACAAACATTAACGTGATTCCTGGTATCCCTTACGCGTTCTAGATCTTTCTTGGCTACAATAGATGGAAACTGAGTTTCGCGACAACTTTTTTGTTGTCCATGGTCTTCATTCAAGCTCCACGGCTCTTTCAATTCTCAATGACAACTTTTTTTTGTTTTCGGATCTGCCAATAAGCGCGAAAACCACAATTCTCCAACGTTCAGGAACCACCCTGTGAGTGTGAGCGTTGCCTCTGTGGAGGTGGACCATCTGAATCATTCTTAATCAATATTCTCCAGTGAATTGGAATTTATGGTCCGACTCAACATACACATGCACTCATGCTTGACGTATCAATGGGTCAGGCGAACAAGAACAATTTTGAACGGTTGCGTGGATTATCACTTCGCGATTTTGGTGTCGACGGCTAGGCGCGACAAATAGTCCGCCGGGGATGGACGGAAGGTAACACGAATGTACTACGCCTCTCAGCCGGTTCTAAAGACTTCCGAATCAGAATCAGTTTGTATTCTTCAACTTACAAAAGACATTTCCGATAAGTAACCACGATATTGTTTTATTGGCAACTACACTTTGTTTAGTACAGGTAATTTAAGAGATCAACTTGTCTGAGTTGCTCAAAACTCTCAGTCATGGTCAATCAAAGGATCTACGTCGAATCGACATCTGTACGGTTATATTCTCTAAGTACTAGTGGTGCTCCAATATTCTGATCCATTTTCTAGAGGATGAAGACAACTCTACAACTTCGTTCTCGCTTTTATTCTGGCCAGACACATACCCCCCGAACGTTCTGTGTTCTCACTGCGGCCTGCCACTCTAATGCAGAACAGGGTCGCTACCCTCTTGTGGACCTTCATTTCGAGTCTCACCGATTTCAACCTCATACCCATGATGTCGTTGTCAATTTGAAAGTCCCGGGTAAACCAAAAACATCGTTCCGTGTATTTTTTAAACGATCGATGCGTCTACCTGTGAATCCTGTTCTCGGTGTCCAGGGGGACCTGGTCGTGATGCGTACTGGCTCCAGATATGGCAACTCTGTTGTCAATATGCGTGGGCAGGGAGATTACCGTCTTGCAGATTATATTGTTGAACAGTTGGTGTATTTTTTCTCTCAAGAAACGATTCGTCTTATCATTTTTCTTATGTAGGATCGCACCGATCTTGACAAAGTTTCAAGGGAATAGTCCTCGGGGCTCTCGAGCTCCAAGAACCATTACCCTTTTCAAAAATAAATGCTACACTGTGTCATTCTGATAACCTACGCGTCTCCGGAGTGATATTACCCTCTATGTTCCAACTTTTGTACCTAACTCAGTGCATTCCTTTACATATACTATATCTTTCTACTCCAATGTACAAAGGTGATCACGATTAATTCCAGACTGTCGTCGTCGACATGGATGTCGCATTCAACGATTCGGTGGTGACTAGATCACCAAATAATGTCAGTTCTTTCTGGTGATCTTTTGAGCGAAAATTTCCTCGTTCTAGCCGCAAGAGATCGCTTGTGCGCTCCAGGAAATTTAGAACCACACTCAGAACACTCATAGCCTCTTTCCCCTTTTCAACTCTCAATCCTTCTTACATTCCAAGTGCATGTCAGCATATCCTTAGCATAAGCACTACGTTAGAGTACGGGGGTACACAGGACACACAGAAAGGTAATCAATGATTCACAAAAATAAGGGCAATCAATATAAGTCAAAAATGGTAAGTGGTGAGCGGGAAATGAACGCAGTCTCAGAAGGTTGACAACGAAACCAACTTTGCTGAATCATACTCATCATATACGTCCTCATCTCGATAATCATCCAAACTCGCACCACGATAAACCCTGTAACAAAACTCACCGTCTCTCACAACAGGGTTTTCAAGTACCCTCTTTACCTTCCGTACCTTTCTCTCCCACTCGACTTCCCATAGGGCTTTACCAATGCCAAGAGTAGGAGCTCGGTTGGCTTTTGAGACGGGGGGGCGGGAATTTCGAGGAGGGGATAACACTGAGCCAAAGGGGGATGGTGGACTTGATGAAGCTGAGAGAAAATCTAAGTCTGAAAACGATGTTTCGATGATACGAGTTTCTTCTCTGGCCTCATCGGGTTTTGGGACCCATCTGCCTCCTCCAGATGCTTTGCAGAGTGCAGATGAGCGACACAAAGGGTACGCAGATAATTTACCAAGGGGAATATAATTTGTATCAACGCGGGTCGGAGACTGTGTATAATTCTCCAAAGTGGCAAATGACATGACAAAGGAACGACAAGGTGTCGTAGACAGCACACTGGGCTTCAACTCTGGTTCTGGTGTTTCAGTCTTTTTCGTAATGTCATGTAGTTGGTCCCAGCAATGATCGCAAACTCGTGCGAGGGAGTCAACAATTCCGCCCTCAGACCCAAAGTCGTATATGCTGGTATTCCTCGGGGGGCTGAGGAAAGGCAAGTTACGCGTATCGAGTAAAGGTGTAGTGCGCGAGGTACATTTGTGGCAAAAGACACCACCACATTTACGACAGTGGTGCCTGCGTTTGAACATAGAGAAGTCCACCGGGAACGAAAAGGTGAAGTTTGCGAAAGACAAAAAGATTGATTCGCAAGAAAAAGCGTCACAGGAATTAGAGAGTGAGTTGGGTTTCCAGAGCGAACGTGGAATAAGGGTTGCTAGATGCTCGTTTGGACGTATCAAGTGCACAGACGCCGCACATTCTGAAGGCGAGTGCGACGTAGCAAACGTCATCGAGAAGTGGAAAACCAGAGTGAGCTACAGCGTCAAACCTGACCATGATTTATGCATATCGATGCTTTGCCGCTTGCAAAAAGGGTAATCCATTACATTAGTTCCGAGGTTTAAATTTGGACACGGGGAAAGAAGGTGCGCTCCAGGATCCAGGCTTGGAAGATCTGAACATGGTGCGCTTCAGGATCCAGGCGCGGAAGATGAACATGCCGTAGGTAAATATTCGGAAAGGAAGGACGAACATTAGATTAATTACTAAAATGGTTATCCGCAGGTTATATGGGACCGTGTCGGTTCTTTCCTTCCTTCCTTCCTTCCTTCCGAGGAGGTGATGGATGATTGATTGCATCTCATTCAATCTTTGACAGGCGCCCACTTATATATTTTGAAAACTTGGATTACACGTGACAGCCTTTAAGGGGACAATATCGCGCCGGGGCCCGGGCGCGTCTCACTCAACGTTCGTCGTTGGCTTCAACATAAACACTCGATAGTAGTCAACCAGCAGTCGACTGTGTCTGCGGCGGCTCCGGCGGACCTACAGTAATGTTTTGGACCATTGCGCAGCCTAGTCTTCTTGTATGTCCTTCAATTTTCATTCTTTTGAACTTCGATTCTCTATCCATTCTCGTGAACTCCGCTAACTTGTCTTACGATTTCACAGTGTAGCGGCGATAGTATCGATATCGAAACTGGGGAACTCTAGCTCCTGAGCCTCAGGTATGTCCCTCGACTAGAATTCTTCATTCCATATCTATCAGTATTCATGAGCCTTTTTGCCAAGATACTCACCGCCAATGTTTCTGGCGTTCCTATCGTCTAATTTCTGTCTTCGAATATCCCATTTAAAATTTCTACAACCATTTTTTGAAGGGTGTTGTTGATCTGCGGGCCTACAGTTTAGCTCAAGCGCTTCAATAAGATTTGAATGTACTCATGTAATACTCGGACGAAATCGCTCAATGGATATAGATGAAAAGACACTTACAGGAATTAGAACCCGTCCTCGTAAGAACAGTTCCTCGTCTAAGCGATGGAGTACTTCTACAGGGGGCCTTCCTCGCAAGTGTTGGGCCTAGGTAGGTTAATCAGGATTTGGGATGCAACTCCTGCGAGTCCAGAGCTGAATCGCTGCGGGCGTTCAGAGGCCCGAAATGAAGAAAAACAAGCCTTCGGGCACACAAATAATCATCTTTCAAAAGCGTCCAGACATCGATAAACTAGTGTCCGCACCTAAATTGGGTTTGACAATTACAGAAATTTCAGAGTAGATCGAGTTTTCCGGCAACCTGCAGGTTGGAGTAAGGGGGTGGGCAAGTGTGATTATGGGAAGGTCAGTGGAGCATGCTAAATAATCATTGAATTGCTCACCAATGAGTCCATTTTGGCTGATCTAGCTTGGTCGGAGCAAGGACGAGGAGAAGAATCATTCCTGAAAGTGCACACGCTCATATGAGAGACTTTAATAAGCCATGTAATCAGTTGAAAGGCTCTTCTTCCTGTTTCCACAACTATGGAATCAACTCTGGATATCATGCTTCGTATAGAGCTCTACGATTTTACCCCGACATACGGTGTGTATGGTACGGCCATGAATTAATGATGCGATAGGCTAACTGTTTTTCGTTCTCGTGCGCTCCCCCGATAGTTAAAAAATTTTCGAGAGCAGGTAGACTCGTTTAACATTACTCTACTATCTTAGGAGCTCACATTCCCATTTAGCCAATGCCTGCGATCATTGCAAAGTTCGAAAATCTCGGTGTGCAAGGCCAAATGGTGGCTTAACGGCCTGTAAAAGGTGCCTTCAATACTTCAAAGACCATTAGTTTGAATTCGAATTATGGGCATAAGGTGCTCATCGTACAATCTAGAATGCATTACTTCCAAAACCAGGCGGCGTAACTCGCTTGTTGCAATAGATTTGGAACCACTTACACCCACTCACGCCGTCGACGAAGAGGCCGAGGCCGAGGACCGCACCCAACAGACGCCATTGCTCAAAAATCCTGAGGATCGCACAAATTTGAATACGATGTCCACCAAACTCAAGATTCCTACGTTTTCTCCATCTACACAACTCGCAAAACGAATGATGGACCTGATAGCGGTTAGTCGATTTGCGAAATGGACTGTTATCTGATTGTTTCCTGTGCCTGTCCCAGATACCACACACCAGCAGCGTTAAGCACTTCGATACCGTGAGCTCGTCCAAATCACGCAACAACCCCCCCGTTCTTGCGAGGTCCGCGACAGTTAGAAAGTGTTCGAAAACAGGTCGACATTCCACATTACTCTACCTATTTTCAAAGCTCATACTACCACTCAGATGCCTGTGATCATTGCAGAGTGAGGAAGCGTCAGTGTACAAGGCGAAATGGGGGATTAACGGCCTGCGATAGCTGCCTTGAACATTTTAAAGGTGATTAATTTGCATTAAAACCATTGGGAAAGGTGTTCATTGCGCAAACCAGAATGCATTACGTCCATTCCCAGGCAGTCTAACTCGAAACTTGTTGTACAAAATTTGGAACCATCTACACCCATTCACGCAGTCGACGACGAGGTCGAGGTCGAGGATTGCACCCAACAAACGCGATTTTCCCAAAATCCTGTGGACCTGAACATAATGTCCACCACATTCCAGATTCCAACGATTCTTTCCACGGCACGACTCCCAGAGCGAGCGGTTAGTTGAATTTTGAAATGCGCTGTCTGCTTTTTAATTGTTTCTTGTTCTCGTACCAGATACCAGACACCAGCGATGTTGAAGATTATTCACTGGCTAACGTGGATCCGGTGTCATATAATTACAAAGGCCGGGAACATCGCAGTTATACAGAATACCTCGACACCGTCCGCTCCGAATCATGGAAATTGAAAGCGCTCAACAGTCGTCCGCGGGATGCATATATTTATGATTCAAACATATCTGAATATTCGACCTGCCTTTATCCCTCTCAACAAATCAGTGACGATCGGGTATTCGAAATTGAACCTAGTGCTAATTTCTCCCCTATTTTTGGAGAGAACGGAGGTCTAATGGACGTTGTTCCTACGATCACATCTGAACATTCATCGTTCCTTTACACCTCTCAACAATTCAATAACAATCAGTCACCTTGTGCTAATTTCTCCCCGTTCTGGGGTGAGAACGGGAGTCAAGCGCACATTGTACGTACGACCATATCTCAATATTCATCGTCCCTATACTCTCAACAAAGCAGTCACGATCAAATATTCCAGTTTTCCAATTGTCATTGAGCGTTCTTGTTATAACTACACAAACAGTTTCGTACCATCTGCTCCTACCACATGTACAATTTATGTATCGGTTGTTCCTAACCCTATGACATGGATAACTGCCAGCCGCAGGAAATTTCCGTGGCTTAACTGGCTACACCATCGATAACAGCCCCTGCTACTACAGTAACGTCAATTTTACCAATCATCACTCTTGAGATCCCTTTTTGACACGAGGTTTAGTTTCTTACCTAAATTGGTACTCAATTTTCATAGCTTCATGACGACTTCATTTGATGGTGATAGCCGCTGACGTTGATCAATGATCGGGCTTTATTTATTTCTTCCCTCGGTGGTCGGCTGTAAGGTTCTTTCCATAGTCTGTTGCAAGCACTGATTGTCGACGGTGTGCATCTTACGTGCACAATTAGTTTACGAGCCGCTAAGCAAAGCTATCTATATATAATCCAAATCTTCTATGACAAGCTCATTTTCCTGGATCGCATTGACTCCAAAATTCTCCAATAAAATCATGACCCAGTCCAAAAATTGATTCAGATTCGTCGTTGGAAGGTCCTGTTAAGACTAATTATTGTAACAATCATATTTCAAAACTCAAAGTAAACCATACCAAAATATGTTCTAGAACAAACAAACTTGTGAGGAGGGCACAAAGGACCCAAGACGTCTGCTCTAAGAGCGATGATCTCCTTGTGACGTCCACGGCAGGTGTACCTTGTTTTTGCCACACTTGAATTTGCCCTTCCCCAGTATTATCACCGGACTGGCCTAAGATGATTGTTGGAATATTGTCCAACTCAGTAGTCTGGAACAACGACGTTGAAGATGACATGTAGGAGTCGGCTTGAAATACTTACTACAACCGACTGCACCCAGTCTTTGACACCCATGTAAATGGTGTCAACGACGTCACCGGTTCGCCGGTCAAAGAGGTATATAACACCATGATCACTACCGCTTATCAGAATGTTGCCACTGTCATGAAATGCCACGTTTCTGGACCTTCGCTCCCTGGAAGGTACTGCGAAAGTTCTCACCCTCTCCAATCCGGATATTTTGAATAGTACCACACCCTGTGCGACATCGTCAAGGATCAATGCATCCTCTTTGATGTTGATCACCGCATGTCCACTGAGTACAATAAACGACAAACTCACAAAATTTTGGATGTAGACTCACATTATGGTTTCCGTTGGCCAACTTTGGATTATTGTGCCATTAACGTTCAGAATATGGCTTCAAAGTGAATGCAGCGTAAGAACATGTATATATTTCATGACGAACTCACATTACTCCATCTTCTCTCCCAATTGACCATATTTCGGGTCCGCGGGCACCAGTTTGTCCGAACCCAACCGACTGCGGCCAGTGGTTTGGAATACTTTTAGAACTCAAAGAATTCGGATGCATGGAACTATTCATCAGAAATCGGTGGACCACTTGGGACCGATGGACCACCGCGAGCTGTGCAGAACCAGCATCATACGCGATTCCTACGATTTCTTGGCCATCTTCGCCGCCATTGAGACGTCGACAAAAAACTTCTCTCCACTACTTCACAGTCAACAATGAGCTTTCATTTTTCAAGAAACGTACTTCTTCGGTTTGTGACCGCTTCCAGACACAGAGATACCCATTCTCAGTGCCAAATGCAAGCCCGTCATCTGAATCATTTGACCTGGTCATCCAGACCAGTGCTGTAGTTGCGCCTCTGTCACCGGGTCCTGCGGGTGCACGGATTGATTGAGATGTTCCAAGGTGCCATATATAGGTTCCATAATCTCCTTTTTGATAGTTAGCAATGCGAGGCACGTATTAGAACAATCAGAACCTACCCCCACTGGATACATAGGTTCCCAAAGGATGAACAGCCAAGCAGGCGACCGCCCCTCTATGACCAGAGAGGGAAGCACGTAGCTTGTACTTGTGTTGCGTACTTTGGGAAGGAAAGCTGTTTACTTTGTGAAATAGTTTCATGAGTCGATGGAACGAGGCAAGACAATTTTCGCATTTTTAACATGAAAATCCGAATCAGGGACGCTTTCAGAATGACAATAACAACAATAACTCACTAAATCTCTTAATTGTTTCTGAAAGAGCCATCTACGGTGTGGGAATTTCATGTGAATGGCCGCGGAGGAAAATGTCGAGTATTGATATCATTCAACACGGAGCAAGTCCCGCATAGTAGACAGGCGTGCGATTAGACCAACCGGGCAAAATAGACCGACGTTCTTGCACTTCGCGATCGAGTTGCAACCAGTACAGCAGTTTGACGCAGTAGCCCAGAAAGTAAGATTTGGCGGAAGAAATGAAATAAGACCAAACACTTGGCAGAAGATCGCCATTTTCATCGTTCTTATCAACACATTACACAACGTATCTTGTCTCCCCTTTCATGTATCTTTCTTTGGGTTTCTGACTCACGGTCTAAATGTTCGATTCTCAGATTTGTCAAGACTATTCCTGTTTAGCTTTCCGACTCAGGCTTTTTTTGTCTTCTTCAGAAGGTTCTCTTTGAGTTTCCAACTCACGCTGCTACTGGTTCAGGAATGCCTTTTTGATTTTCCGACTCAAAACGCACGTGCTCCTTCGTATTTTCTGGACCGGATCTGGAAGCAAGCCTCAATTCTAGTTTCATCAGTATCGACACTTATGTCCTGCGGCAATATTAATGTTTCTCCATCTCTCATTCTGCCTGAGGCTGCTATCCGGTCTGGGACTGATGAACCTCGCCATCATAATGGAGCCAACAAGCCCGACTATTCATTATCCCTCGCTGTCAACACCTGGGAGGAAGATCAAAATCTCAAAATGTGGACTAAATCACTCACAGAATCGCTTTTCAATCCGGTCGAATTGTACGTTCAACATTTTCAAATTTCTCCATGTGCTCAATCAGTACAATACCATAGAGCTACCTCAAACGAGAAACATAGGGAGGCGATCTACGCTACGTCCGTTGAAGCCCACGTGGAAAAACTACACGCTCAGTGCCTCAGGTTCGAATTTGGACCACCATCCGAAGTCTTTATTTTTCAATCTATCCAGACTTAACAATTGGCCCGTATCCCGCGATGGCTTAGCTCTATTGAAGGGACAACATCGAACAATAACCATGGTACGTTCCATACTGCTCAATTGTCATAAATCCTGATGGATACAGTTCAGGAAAAAATTGTGAAGTTGCAGTACGAGATTTCACATGCAAAAGCCAGACTTGCGGAATTACAATCAGCTGTAAGTTCCACTTTATTATTGGAAAGAGTTGCCAACATGTCGTTTATAGACTGCAGTGTTTGAGCGTCAGTTAAGGTAATAATCAGAATCCCTGTTGAATCGGTTGCTTGTATAGTATAACAATTGATTTTTGTCATACGAATGCCCTTCAAGTTCACGCATTGACACTGTTTTGTTTTATTCTTCTTTCCACATTACACGTATTTCTTCTACAATATTTAATCAAAGTGTTCAGAAAATAAACTAGGTAACTGAATGTCCTCTGTTCCTGAAGCTCGCTCAATCTCAGCATTTTCTTCAACTAGGAGTGCACCCCTGCCTCGAGTGATTCTTCTCTATACCACCTCTGTCCCGTACAATGAACGTCGTCAGAAACTTTCTATACACGAAAATCTCCCTTCCAAAGTTCGACACAACCCTTACGATCATGCCAAACAGGCTCGGGGGAAGGATAGTTCTCCTCGACTGATTCTTCGAAGCAGAATTTCATCTACGCCTCCGGATCCTGTGTCAATCACTCCCATCATTATTCCTCCTCCTCACAGCAACATGACGGTAGGAAATGCTGGATGGGATGTCTCAACAACGAAAGCTTACAGGGTGTGCACCTTACCATTCATCTGATCTGATACCTTTAGTTACTGTGTTGGATAATAGAAAATTGCAAGAGAGGCGGTCAAGTTGCATCTCGACATCCAAAAACCGCTTGGTGATCAGAGTCCGGAAGCCCACGAGAAAGCTCGAATGATGGTAAACCCATTCTCTTTTTATTAAAGTCTCGCTTATTGTTGACCAGATTGAGGAAATCTTTACCGAGCTCAAGGTTCATGAAGCCCATTGGGGAACCGATACACTGCTTCGGGACCAACTCAAAAGTGTAAAGGACACGGAAAAGAAGAAGAAGTGATGGAATACGCCTGGTTCATGTTTCAACATGTATTTAGACCTGTCGTGCCCTAGTGCATTCCAATTCAAGAAAAACCTATTGAGATAAAGTACTTGCGATGAGATCGACATATTCATGCACACGGAGGGTGTTTCGAAGTTTAAGAATATAGCTTGCGTCGATTTGAAGGGGAAAGGTGACCCTGTAAGTGAAGCGAGCGGATATACGTATCTTATCATATCAGCTATCAATTCCAGCGTTACCACGAAGGTAGTAAGCGCCTGTAGTCATGTGCTGGAAAAATCCGCACGTCCCTTCCCTACTACTCCGACTTAGGCTACTTCATATGCCAAAAGCTGTTCCTCCATCTACAACCGAGAGCAGTACTGCTCATCCATATGCTCGTAGGAATCTCGAGGGCGGGAACCATCTCTTTGAAAAATCGGTATTTAATTTGACGGAACTGCAAGTATTTTTCATGTGGTTTTGTCGAATATTGTCTCAACAACCACTTTAGCTCAACTATGAACGAAAACCGCAGAATGATGATCTACATATCTTCTCTCGAAGTGCACGTCGAGAAAATCCATACACAAATGCTCAGGCTCGAATCGAACTAGTCTCACTACGGAGAAAATCATCGCTGACGCACGATTTTATCTCTAGCTATGGGTATTGGCCTCTTGCCCCTGAACTATTGGTCCCGTTAAAGAGTCAACATCCGAGGACAACCAGAGTCAGTGTTTCCTCATCTTTTGTGGTCCATAGATGTGATGATAGATTCAACTTAGAACAAAGTAGGGAGGATGCAATTCGACGTTTCACAAGCAAAATCGAGGCTTCTAGAATTACAGAGAATTGTAAGTGTAAGCTTCATACTATCTCCGAAGTACGAGTGTCGACTACGTTGTCATTTTAGAACTCAAGACTGGAGCAAGCATTGCCCGCGACCCTAAAATGAGCATTTTTCAATTGTCTGCGTCGAGATGTGGCAACGCGTACGATGACTACCAGAACGTTACTAAATATCGTTTGTACATCATGTGAAGAATGATAACAGCATTGAAGTTTCACCAGTGGCCATGGGCCTGAATGTCGGGTTCCAGAGATTGTCCAGCTGCCGGGACAAGTACCAAAGAAGATGCTCAGACAACTCCCCCCAATGTACCTGAAAAATTCTCAGCGCCTTGCAAATAACAGCAAACAAATCATTGTTCTGAATCTCAATCTGACTGTTCCGTTCCCGCTACGAAGCATCTTAATAATCTCGCTCTTCGAAGGCTTCCTAAAAAAGGTTTTCTTTCTGATTTTCATTTTGACTACGCGACTCGGCTGTCTTCTTCTTTTTCTTTGTCGTCGTGCTTTACTTTCTTGGCCACAGAGCTGAGTGTCGAACTCTTCAGAATATTCCGATGACCAGCAACAGAAATATGAAATATGTATGCAGTCCCCACCTTCTGCCAGAGTGTACTTTGGATGACTGCAGTATCCACCACCGACCTCAAGCATTCAGTACATCTCTACATGCACAGGAGCACACTGAGGGTTATCGGGGCCGTCCTCTGACTGTAGAAATGAATCACTTTCTCCAATTTCCTAACTGCCTATATATCCCTAGAAGCATCGACTCACCTATGATTAAAACAACTTTCCTCACTGCTATTCATGCCAGTGTCAACTACCTCAATGGTTCGATGGACCCTGACAATCAGCAGGCTCGCGAGCACAGTTTCGGTGGCCAAATTAAGCAACCTCAGGACTTACCCCTTCATGCTCCAATACCGCGTTATCCTCCATCGACTCTTTCCATTAATGTCGGAGATCTGGAAAACTCCTTACCTGACCTACCCATCCAACCTACTCTCGTTCTTTCAAACGAGTCGAGTGCAATAGAAATGTCTGGTCCTCATGACAGCACAACTTTTTTTCAAGACAACCTGCCTGTCCCGGCGTTGTCCGTCGAATCGACTCTATCCATTAACATCGGAGATCTGGAACACCCCTTACCTAACCTACCCACCCAACCAACTCTCGCTCATTTCACCGAATCGAGTGCGATGGAAATGTACGGTCCTCATAACAGCACGACTTGCGGTCAAGACGATCTGCCTATCCCGCCATTGTCCGTGACTTCTTTCCTTGATGTCGGAGATCTGGGATATCCCTTACCTGACCTATCCATCCCACCAACTCTCGCTCTTTCCGACGAGTCGGATCCAGTAGGGAAGTCTGGTCTTAACGATAGCTCAAATTTCTGTCAAGACAATCTGTCTAACCCAGCACTGTCTATCGCTAACCTACCCACTCAACCAACTCTCGCTCTTTTCACCGAATCGAGTGCGATAGAAATGTACGGTCCTCATAACAGCACGACTTACGGTCAAGACGATCTACCTATCCTGCCATTGTCCGTGGCTTCTTTCCTTGATGTCGGAGATCTGGGATATCCCTTACCTGACCTATCCATCCCACCAACTCTCGCTCTTTCCGACGAGTCGGATCCAGTAGGGAAGTCTGGTCCTAACGATAGCTCAAATTTCTGTCAAGACAATCTGTCTAACCCAGCACTGTCTATCGCTAACCTACCCACTCAACCAACTCTCCCTCATTTCACCGAATCGAGTGCGATAGAAATGTACGGTCCTCATAACAGCACGACTTACGGTCAAGACGATCTACCTATCCCGCCATTGTCCGTGGCTTCTTTCCTTGATGTCGGAGATCTGGGATATCCCTTACCTGACCTATCCATCCCACCAACTCTCGCTCTTTCCGACGAGTCGGGTCCAGTAGGGAAGTCTGGTCTTAACGATAGCTCAAATTTCTGTCAAGACAATTTGTCTAACCCAGCACTGTCCATCGCTAACCTACCCACTCAACCAACTCTCCCTCATTTCACCAAATCGAGTGCGATAGAAATGTACGGTCCTCATAACAGCACGACTTGCGGTCAAGACGATCTGCCTATCCTGCCATTGTCCGTGACTTCTTTCCTTGATGTCGGAGATCTGGGATATCCCTTACCTGACCTATCCATCCCACCAACTCTCGCTCTTTCCGACGAGTCGGATCCAGTAGGGAACTCTGGTCCTAACGATAGCTCAAATTTCTGTCGAGACAATCTGTCTAACCCAGCACTGTCTATCGAACCTCCGGTTTCTCAGGCGATAACCCGTCATGAAACAAACAAGCACTACCTCGAATCTTTGGAACAGTACATCTTGTTCCTCCATGCGCAGATGTCATACATCGGTGCTCAGCCTGTGCCAATTGATCGCTTCTCCACAAATATAGGGCTGCGCACTCGTTCTATCAGGGTAAATCATTTATTCATATTCTTGTTGACGCTAAGCATCTTTTCAAAGCAGACTTTGCTTGTGTACATGGAGAATGTGATGGCTGAAGTCAGTAATCAAGTTCAAACTCAGGAGCAAAGGGTATGTTAATTCCTGGGATATGATTTTCGCCCAATAACATTCCTATCCTTATGGCTAGTTTCGTGCACTTCAGAATCTATCTTGAATGATGGGTATTCTTTGTAGTGAAGATGGTGTTTTGTGTTTATAACCCAATGCTCCAAGTTTGTCCAGGCTTTTTCTTGCTCAGATATACGTTCCAAGGCCTTCCTTTGTACTAAATAACTCCAATCATTATTTCCCGCTTTAACACTCTTTGAACGCATATGTATTTAAGCTCTCGATTTCCATAGGGTACGCGTTATAACATCGAAATTGTTGACTTCATTGACCAAACTTAAACTTACAGAGCGATGACTTTGGAGGGGAACTTGACTCCGGATCCCGCCGGAGGGAAAGACGGTGTGAGTACACCGTCTTTATGCGGGATAATATTCCGTCATCATGCAGATTAGTGACCTCGTCTGCACGGCGTCGTAATCCCATTGGTGGTCTGAGGTCTGATGTACACGAATGCTTTCCCTGCAAGCAACGATGATAATTCTTCTTATCAACAAGGAGCTGGCCTCCCATAAAATTTTGGCCGTCAGCAAATCACGATCGGACCCCGCACGATGAGGTACAGCAATATGATCACGAGAGGCTTGAAAAAATTTGGTGAAGAAAAGGAAAATTCGGCGGAAAGTAGGGGATCTAGATGGTCAAAGAAGTAGAATAGTAGAAGAACCTTGCCAGAGGTGAAGGAATCGAGGAGAGAGGGCTGGTAAACACGTTGAATGGCCATGGCCAGTTTGTCGACCAGATGATTTAGAAAAAGATGGAATGGAATATTTCATATCGTTCGAATCACTGCAGTGGTCGACGCTGCCATTAATGCCGACTTCTGGGCGTCTGTTCTATAGCTAGCTTCGATCAAGGCTGTTCTCATTTCCTTTGTAGCAAGTTATAATTAACCAGATGGCGTATGTCTTTGCAGTAATCATGATGTATAATATAATCCTCTGATAGTAAAGCAAACCTAACGTTGACCAACAATTCGAATCATTGTCTAGACAGATTAACGAATACAGATCTGTTATGAGAATAGTCAAATCGAGCAGCATGAGAGACAATGTGGTCTAAACCAATTATCTCCTCAGTGTCACTAAGGTCAGATGAGTACGTAGCTGACTGGAGATATGGGTATTGGAGAAATGGGTCGTAGATATTTTTTGGCAATTGTTGATACGCCCGCACATGAAGACGAAGTGCAGAACGGGTTGGGGCATTCTCGATAAACTGAATTTGACCCGGTATAGCAATTTCACTTGCAGCAGAACGGTAGATGATGGTTGCATTTCCTATGTGTGTCTCCACACCAGAGAAATTGACACCGTTGGATTGGGCATATGCACGATGTGAACCCTTAGCCTGGACGAAATCTTCTGCCGACCTGGGAGCATTGACTGGCACAAAGCATTTGTTGAAGATGACTTGTACTTGTTTGATTGCTTGGGGACAGTCCGGACGATGAAGCCAACGGCGTAGGTTAGCTGTACGGGCCCAGCTCCTGATAATCGTTGATTCCATAGGCCCTGAAGACGAAAAGATCGAGGATGATTACGAGTATTTAAAGTAGTCAACTGACATACCACCTATGTGATCGTTGGTTTTGATTTTCTGCAATGCACCAATCAATCGCTCAAACGGAAAACACCACCATGATATTACCGGCCCAAACAACACCAAGAAATCGAATATATGGACAGCTGCATGAATATTTGGGCGTGGTATTCCTTCGCGAGTGTGAGGATATAATGCGCGCAAGTCCCTTATCCACTCTGTTATATATCTCCGAAAGGCATGAGCGCGAGAGTGTGTCACGTTGTATCGGATAGCTATTGATGCTGCTTGAAACAATGCCATTGTATGGTTGAGAGCTTTCACTAGCAAAGCAGATTCAGCATCACTGGCTGTAGGGGCACAGCCATTATCATCGCCCCAGAATGTGATCAAAGCAACTGGAAGATACACTGTGCTGAGAGTGCGCCATTCATCAGCTTTGATTGACCCGGCCTTTGCGTCCCCATAGTTCTTAGGAACTGAATTAAGCCAGGATGGCGTTATAGTCTCTTGTATGACGTGCCGAATATGAGCGAGAGTTTCGGCCGTTCCGGTTGGGAGAATATAAACGTCAGAGCTGAAGGGTTGTTGTAATCTCTGAAATATTTTCCGTGAGTTAGACAAATCATATTATATTGTATGATTGAATTATTCACCCAGTTCAGTAACAAGGCAACAAAGTGATTTTTTTGGGTTGCTGGTTTGGTGAAAGGGAAGATGAGTTGAGAAGAGTTTTTGTCGGCAGAGCGTTTTCGTGAGCGTTTAATATAGATCGAAGATATCTGTTCATTGATATCATTGAGATGTGTCGGAAGTGAAAGAGAATGGGCGACAAAGTGTAAGGCATCACGAGGTGCACTATTTTCTAAACGTGTCCACATTTCTTCGAGAGTGAGAGCTTTCTCCCCTTCGAGAGCCAAACACAACGTTTGATGGATGTTTGCCACACGGGGAATATGTTTCTCGGACAACTTGTTGCACCCGGAGGGAACAAGATCATCGTCATATGGAATCCAAGGCCAGTCGAAAGCATATTTGAAGCCATCGGAGCTGATTTTAGCACACGATGCATCTAAACGGAGTACATGTCGGCAGTGGTATTGGATGAGACCTTCGAGAATGCAATGCATAGAATCAATTACAAGCATTCTTGTGGGGTCCCAATATTCCAACATCCAAAGGGAAGACCATCGAACTCCATGATCCTCCCATATCTTCTTTTGCTCACCAAGGATTGAGGCATTTTTGTAGGCATATGCCCAGCGTCGTAATTCCTTGGCATCCCGGGGGGTCCAGTGATCACAGTCTGTATTGAAAACTTGTTCCGTTCCGCGCAACTGACAAATACTGCAAATGAATCGGGACCTTATCCCCTGGAACCCGGCCACCTTGCGAGCAGCAGGGAGATCATTTACAGAAAGCAAGATTCCAGCTTCAACAACTACAGGCACCTCCGATGATGCAGTTCGAGAAACCAAAAAGCCAGGTGACCAGGCTTGAACGAACTGATCAATAACCGGTTGAACAAAGTGATCTATTTCGCCTCCTTTCGGTTCACTTGGACCTGGTATGATACCAGCAAGAAACATATTTTCGGGTAAATAGCGAATGGAAGGATCCAGTGCCAAGTTTGCACATGATATTACCCCTATCGAATCATGGGCGCCTCGATGTGTGATACCATGAGGATTGAAAAAGTCAAGATGAATAGAGAAGGCAAGTCGTACTTTGTCCCCGCGGTCTACAAAAAGTTTACCATCGGGTCCTTGGAAATCTCTGATGAATTCGGCCTCAAACACATCGTGAACACTGGTCGTCTTCCCATGAATTCCAGTTTGGATATCGTGAAGCGCTCTATCAGTGGCGTGAATAGATTGCTCCAAATAAGCAGGGTCAAGAAGACAGCGTGCAAGATAGTCCGGGAAAGAGCCTACAAGGTACGGCTTGATTGGCTGAGGAGTACCGTCTTTGCGACGAATGAGAAGGGGAGCACCGCAAGTAGCAGTGCCTTCTTTCCCCACTATAACATTAATACAAGTTTCAGGCCAATCGTAGACACCGTCTTCTATTGGAAGGCCTTTGGTTGTAGAATTGCAGGAGGGACAGGTTGCATATGGAAAGAAGGTGCCCTCAACGTCGAATTTTTGTAGCGCATCAGACAGAGAGGTGGGCATATCGGAAATAATGCCATTCTGGGAAGGTGAGAAAGTATTCGTTCCTTCCGCGGAAACATTGGCCGTCATGGCCAATTTGATCAGCAAACCAGTCACAGCAACCAGGAAGTTGCATTGGATAGTCGATAATCCCATAACCGTGTTGCAAATAACAGTTACGAGAATCAGAACCTGGTTGATTTGGTCCAAATGTACAATATCTGTACCGTAAAGATGATCTTGTAAAAGCGTCAATTCAGAAGCGAACAGCAAGTAACTGGTAACACACCTGCATTCACGAGGATTGGATTCGTTGGAATAAGTGGTGAATATAGAGCATAGATTTTCGCATAGAAGCCGGTCATGCGAACACGCAATTCCTTTCTTTCATCCCTCAATCCATCTAACCCTCCTTTTTTGAGCTTGAATTTTGCTTTCAGGTCGAAGGCCCCAAGTCTTTTCAAACCACGCTTCAAGAAGGCGGTTGCTTCATCCAGTAGTGCTATTTGTGATTCCATCGAAAGCATCGCAAAGCTTGCATTGAAAATTTGGGCATGTAGCTGTTCGTATCGATCACGGAGTCGATCCAGTTCTTTGAGTTGGTCGCGTTCAATTTTTCCGGTGTGATGGCTGAGATGTGATGGGGAGCGAGAACGCGATTGCCGCGGTGGTGATTTCGACTGTGTGAACGGAAGCCTTTGCCCGAATCGTTGACCTGGACGTGGCGTGGACGAGGAAGAAGTCGCCTGCATAGTGGCCACAGTCTCTAAGCTCTCAACAGCGTCCGAAATATCGAGGGACTTCAAAGCTTGGGGTACGAGTGGTACCCGTTCCTGATAAAATTCGCTGGAGGACGTGAAAAACTTGTGGTGCATAGTTGTATCAACAGGGGTTGCTGTCAATACTGCAGCTGTTATTAATGTTTCGACATTCTTTAATTGATCGTTGACGGACGGCATCGACTCGTTCTGTATTCTGTAGTCAGCATTTATTGTGCAGGTTCTGACTACAACTTACGGGGTGGACTGAGGAATCAGATTTCGAGAAAGTCGAAAAAGAACCTGGCATGCTGAAGCTATCGTCTAATGACTTTTGGAAAAATTAATGAGCCACGTCTTCCTCTGAAGTTATTAGCATATATACCTTCCCAGCTTCAGGTTCATACGAATGCGACGGTCGCGACAAAGGAAGCTGTGATGCGACAGGGGTTCAGTGACGAGTGCTTCCATTAACCACAGTATTTACCTCGTTTTCAGACTTACTGAGACATTTCTGTATCAAATAACCGGTCAGTGCAAGAATACGAAAATGATGTGCTACGCACATCGAGTTCTTTGGTATCCTCAGCATATGATGTCAATGCTGCCATTAAAGATGATAAGTTCATTTCTGGGGACCAGGAGGCCTAGGCGACGGCGGATTAGGTTAAACTCATTCTCGGTAGGTCATTTTATGCGAGTCAAGCAAGTGATATCGATATCGAATAAAGCACATGTTACGAACACAAAAGATCAATGAGACGAATAATTCTGATTCCTGAACAATAACAATCTATTCATCATCTAGAACAAGAAGTGAATACATCAGTAATGCTAGTGGGAGAGATAAACTGACAAAAAGAATCAAAAAAATTTCCTATTTGAAACGACATACGAGACGCCGACATCAGTGGCAACCTATGATCAGATTCACATTCAAGAGAACAAGGAGAAAAAAGTGACAAAGATGAACACAGTGACATTGGGAACAAGGGACTGAGATATCTGGATGAGCGTCATGTAAAGAAGATAACGAAGTATAAGGGCCACCGACGAGCTTGGACGTCTGCGTGAAGATTGGTATCTGGTAAGGTATATCAGTCACACAGTACGATTCATTCCACATACTAGTCAGCTTTGAATTTTGTGATCATGTCCGGCCTCCCTCGTTCTTCGGATAGTCATCACGACCGGTTAAATTTGCTAAGTCAATTTAAGGCTGAGACGTCAAGGCACAAGTCTTCTTCGGTATAACTGGTAGACCACATGCGTTAACCAGTGTGTAATAGACGATACAGAACCTGCGTCTCCCACGGTGGATCGCAGCGGTTACTAGCACACCGGGATTTTTTCAGTTAGCATAATCCACAGCTTGATATTACGATACAAGGCCTACGACGGTGGGCTTCCCCGAATTCAGAGCGCAAACATTACTCCACCTAAGCGCTAAGTTCTGGAAGCCCTATGTGAAGTCCACTACTATGGCACACGCAAGGGCGAGGTTGCCTCAGATCATCATCATGCGTTGAAGAAGGAACATTAAGTTCTACATGGGACAGCACCAAACATACATTAGCAAGAATATTAATACCACTTGTGTTGTTCTGAAACTCGCCTAGCAGAGTGGCTGGGGAACGTGAAATAAGGGCCTCGTCCGGGGTTCGTACTCCTGAAAAAGAAGAATAGATTACTCGAAACTGAAACTGAAGAAAGGAACAATAAAGGTTGACCTTTGTTCCCTAGCTTTTGGCGATTCGACTGCAGCTCTTCACATGTGGTCATTACTTCCGTTGACTTCAATTGTTGTTGGTTCCATGAAAATTTCCCAAATGTACTTTATCATACCTCGCAGGCTATTCAGAGTTGTGGGTAGCTGGCTCACGAGATACGTTGTGTTAATTGTAAAATATGTTCAAGGTCCTATGATTGAGGGAACATGTACATGCGTTGGCATAAGGAAGTAAAGAAACAAAAGGGGATTAGTAATCTATTGAGCGAGACTTCATATTCAATTAATGACTTAAAAGCTAAAGTCAGCTTTCTGACTTCCTACAATCAAGTTGGCCGTTCGTGTAGTTACTTATGTCTCAGTTGCCCCTTCCATCTTCACAAAGTATTCCCTCCATTTCACGCAAACGGCAGATCGAGGTCCCGGCAGAGCCTACGGAAGATTCCTCCAAAGTTCGTGTCATCCAGCTTGCCGGTATTGATCAAGATCAATTTGACAAAGTACGTCGTAAATCACTGGTACTCTTTAGCCATGACTTGATCCCAGTAACAATCTTCCAGGAACGAGCTGCGCGTCGCTCATTGGAAGAACAAATGACTGTTCTGTTAGAGGAAAATCAAGCCCTCACGTCCGAAAAAGAACAGACGAAAAAGCAAATTGTTGAACTGGTGAGCATCTCACCCATGCATGACCATCTTGATCAAGAACCAGATTAAAATACATATGTCCTCTAGACTGAGGAGATAGATCGATGGGAAGTGACCTCTGTCATCCAAGGAGAGACACTCATGACCCTGGTTGTTCATTTTGTAGGCATAAGAAACTATTTTAACAATATATATTTTTCTTTGTAGAAGGAAGAACTCACAAATATCCTCGAGGAGAACGCACGGGCTTTTGGGGAAGAACACGTCTACTCTCAAGGAGGTTCTCATCAGGTAGTAATTCTCATGACTCAAGTACTAGTATCTTCGTTTTGTCCTCTACTAACATTTCCTCGCAGACAGATATTCATGGCCTCAGCATACACGAAATTCGTCAGCAGGTGGTTCGCATGGTTCGTGGCAATTCTTCTATGTAATATCTTCGGTTTTAGTACTCACTTATGCAAAGAACAAGAGGAAAACCGAATGGAAGGCTGCTTTGGACGAACTCGTACGTTATCATCATGTATGAATCCTTTGAGCTTAAAGCTTTGCTAATCACTTAATAGTCCCACGAGCGAGAAAAGGCTTTGGGTGAGAGAGACGAAGCTCTTCGGGCCAGCGGTGAATTATCCGAAACCTCTCGTCGGGCAATCGAACAAAAAGAGACTGTACTGCAGCAAACGGTCAGTGGCAGCTTGCTAACACCTTCGAATCGTATTATCATTGATTGTGCGACAGCTTCATGAACGAGATGAAGCCTCCCGTCGGGTGATTTTTACTATCCTTGTCATAGTTACCTCTCACAACCTTACCTTCGTCGTCACAGGTCACCGAGGTAACACGGATTCTTCAAGAAAAAGAGGCAGATCTGCGGGAGATTGTGAGCATCAGCGTGCTGTATATGGACATATCAATCATATTTCAACAGAGTGTCGAACGGGCTGAAGCAGTCCGTGAAAAAAACGAAACTCTTAAAAAATGGCGGCAGGCTCAGGTCAACACAGCGGATATCATCAGTCAGGTAAATGTTCGTGAAGAATACCTTCATCAAATATAATGACTTTGAATGTGATTAGACGAGTGCAGCGGCAGATAAACTTCGTCGACAAGATGACATCCTTCAGCAAATGGTTTGTTCCCGACGTCTAAGTCATGATCATACTCTTCACTGGTCTAACCACTGCCTCACAGCGCGATGAAATTGCGCAACAGCAACGTTCTATAATAGAAATGGTAAGTGAATGGCAGATCTTTGGAGTCACTTCTCTTAACGCCCTATTAGCAAAATCAGAGAGATCAGGCTTTACATGACAAAGTGAGCATGTATCTTCCTTCACTCACATCTTATTAAATAACATACAATCAGGTTACATTGGAATCAGAGATATTTCATCTTCAGGCAAGAGTCCGAGCGGCATCCCCGAAGGGCAAAACTCGTCCACCTCGTTCCCGCACAACAGATCGCGACGGAGATGCTGACATGGACGCTGATGATGAGGATGAGACCGGGGCACGAAATCGCCGCTTCAATACATCTGCCACCCCCTCCGATGACGATACTCCTGGCTCAAACCCATCTGAATCGACAACGACTAAATTATCTTCTGATTCCGCTACTTCAGCCAATTCTGCATCGTCTGGGACAGGGAAGCCTTCCAGTGGAGCGTCGTCCTCTGGCATTGATGTCGCTTCCATCGTCAGTGAAACATTGCGACAGTTGAACCAAGTGCCTATTTCGACCACTCAAAAGCACAAGGAAGGTAGTGTTGCTTATGTGAAGCAAATAAAGAAGGCTGGATTGAGTGCGTTACCGAAAAGACTGGAAAAAGATTGGAGGGTATGTTTACTATTGCTGTGAATTGCCTTAAATCGTGACATTTGCTCCAGAGTCATATTCGCACTTGCTTTTGCAAGGCTACAGGATCTACATTAGTCAATGCATTCCAAACTTATCATCCCATTGACAAAACCATTGCAGTTGAATTCGCCACAGGTATAGGTTCTGGTCCTGAAGGCGAGTCTGAGTACCGCTTGTACTTTGGCAATGAATGGCGCAAAGCAAAATGGAATCGCATTGTTGTTCGCAACATAATATCATTAATTGGTTCGCAGAAAGAACAAGCTCACATTTCTGGAGATTTGTCCTCCGAAGTCATAGAAGCTTACGTTTGGGACTTGGTAGCACAGGCCCGCGTTTCCTGGAGGGCACGCCTACCTCGTCCTCATGTAGCTGAATCACGTTGGGAAACGCCGGCAGAGGCCTGCACTCGTGCTGAGGAGTATGAAAGCAGACGCGAGATGGAGTTACGGGTGAATTCTCGTAAACGTTGTGTGAGTGATTCTGTTTTCCTCATTGTGGTGCTACATGGGAATTCGACGGTCTTCACAGAAATACGTAGAACGCAAAGATGGCGTGGCTAAACTGATCAAAGCTTCCGTATCAGCAATAGATACTAGGAAATGGACCATGGTACAGAATGTCCTGCTCAAATGCGGTATAGAGGCGCAGTCCTCTGATAACACCGACACGGACGATGAAGTCAATTCTCCCGCGGCACTCCGCACCGCTGTCCCGCATTATCGACGACGCATCCTCGGCGCTGTTTTCGAAGACTTAGACACTAAGATCAAAGAACTGAACCGACGCGTTGCGCGTGATACTGGAAAACGCATGATACCCAAGGCATCCAGGATACGTATACGATCTGGCATCAAGACCAGGCGAACCATTGCTTGCAAATTGCCCGAGAGTTGTTATCATGCCCGTTTTGTCCGAAGCTTAGACCCTCTCGCTCTCGAAAACCTGGGGGTGAAGAGAGTTGAGATTGATTTGTTCGACAAGTGGGCGAACGCCCAAGGCGATTCAGACTCAATGGAGGAGGCTTAGGTTATTGTATCATGTAGTTTTACAACCTGATATCGTTCTAACTATTGGCTCAGTTTTTGTTCACGGTGATCAGTACGGTGTGCGCAAGTCGAAAGTTGAATGCAGTCGCTTACATCCACAAACTACTATTAGACTTCACCACCTCAAATCTTCTTTTTCGTCTATCACACCAGGCCGTGGAATGGTCAGATGATGAAGTTTACCTGCATCTTGGGGATCCGGTTACTGACACAGTCAGAACGTGGACTGGTGAGCCTGTGGGGCCTCATGCACCATCAAGTCTTACAGAAGCTATCGATCACTCCTTGTTCACGGAGACCAACTTGCTCCAGGAGAACATTCTTGTCGAAGACTTTGGGCAAGCGTACACTGCTGCCATGCCCCTCGAAGACCACGAACCACGAACCAGGCTGAATTATATGTCACCAGAGGCTCTTTTTGAAGGTCGCGCAGGGCCTGAGGCAGATGTGTGGGCATTGGGATGTGCTATTTTTGAAATTAGAGCAGCCTGAGACGTTCCCGCTCTTCGACTCCTTCTTTCCCAGTCACACAGAAATAATCACCCAGATGTTTGGTACATTTGGAAGGTTGTGCCGGACCCCTGGTGGGATGCTTTCAAAATCAATGACAGTTCGGAGAAGATGGTCGGCCAAAGAAAAACACGAAACTCCTCCTATCATCTATTCGAGAACGATTATGCTCTTTGGGAAAGATCCCGGCTTCTAATGTAGATCCGATGTTCGAAAATACCAAGATGAAGGTGGATGAAAAAGAAGTCAATCTCCTGGCGGACCTTTTAGAGAAAATGATGAGGTACCGCCCAGAGGATAGGATAAGAATACGAGAGGTTGTCAATCATTCGTGGTTCGGCTACGATATTTATTAGGATACTCTACTTAAGTTGTGATGTATTCAATGAGGCCCTTCAGCATTCTCGAAATATCGTCCATTGCTGTATACCAATCCTTTTCTAATTCCCGCCTCTCATCCTCTGTAAGACTCTCCAAACCTTCGCGCCACCATTTAACACAAGTAAGAATGAGCATCCAACCGTTCTTCCCGCCTTTATTGAGGCTTTTCCAATCGGTTCCGTATATGGAGACTGGGTTCGGTCTATTGTCTGCCACTGAATATGTCCTCCATGGTGGTTGAAGCGAACACCACCAGGTCCAAACGCTTTCGCCGAAATGTTGAACCAACGCGACTGTAGAGAGTGCAGGGATACTAGCTGATCTCCGTTTGCTCCAGTCATTTAGCATTCGTGGGCGAAGCAAGTCTGCTAGTTTACTCTTTGGATTTTTCCACTGATGGATTTGTTCAAAGCGCATCCATAGCTGTACCAATTCGGCATACTCGACTCCAAAATCACGGTTCAAAAATTCGAATGCTTGACCAAACCATGGTGGAGCCGAAGAGAAGGGGAAAAGTGTCATGAAGTTGGTTTTGAGATTTAGGCCATTATCAGATGACGGTTGAACCTGTATGTTCTTCAGCTCCCTGAAACCATATACTCAACATACGCACCGTGATCCCTCCTTCTGTAATGGATGACGAGTCATGGTCAACCTGCTCAGTCCAATTGCGAGCTCCGACTTCAAGGCATTCATTGCCTGAGTTGAAATCCTACTTTCAAATGAATGATTATGCATTTCAAATTGCTGATATTGACATACCAGCTCACACTGAATCCCGACTTCGGCTGTCTTTGTTTCCACGATAACATTCACTTGATGCTTATCTACCAGGGTCTGCAAATGTTGAACTTTGGAACGAAGAGTTAGTATTTCGCTGGCAAGGCTAATGTCTTCAGGTTCATTATAGTCGTCATCAAATTGCCTTCGCTGTTTCTATCATGAAGACATTGACAGCTATCCAAGTTGAAGTACATCATTGAAACTAACTTTATTTTGTGTCCTCGAGGGACTGGAAAGTCGGCGTTTCAAGGTCGGCGGATAGAATGGGGGCTTTTTAAACATCGTGGATCGAAGAGAGTGAAGCTAGACGTTAGTCATTTTATGGGTCATAAAATTAAAAGGCTCGCAGATATGGAAATATTGGTCCTGCTTCACAAGTGTATTATTCAAGCCGAAGCCATACGAGATTCGTGCGCAAATCTTTAGTACGACAAAGTCTTTGTGTCATTTTGAGTAGAACAAGAACAAGGTTGTAACATGAGAACAAGGCCATCGTGGCATTCTGTGAAATCGTCTCCTAGGATACCGGAGGATTATTTTGTGTTCCTCCCCGAATTATCTCCTAGAACAATAAAGATTATCTGCTTCTTCGCGGACTATTGTAAATGCCCACCTTGTCGCCATACTGTCCATATGACATTGGCCAACTCTCTTTGTGCAGCATCGCGCTCACGATTTACCATCAATAACCACACTTTTTCCTGCTCCTGGTATTCTCGAAATGGTACTGTTGACCCACGAAACACCTCGGAAATGCGCTGTTGTTTCCCAAGTGGTTTCCAGAAGTCTCCTTGGACCAATTCGAATCCATCTACCATATCCTTGACAAGCATACCTTGTGGCCATACTTTGGAGCCTCCGCCGCCGATGTAAACGCGTCCTTGTGCCTTCAAGACCTTGCGACAATCTTCGATAGACAACATCCCTTGTGCACGAAGGCAAACATCCTGGAAGCTGTGAAACTAAGAAGATATTGAGAACAAGTATGTACTAGCTCCAAAAAGAACAAACCCGTTCTTGGAGCTCATGGAACTAGAGAAAGGATCTTGAGAAGAGAAGTTGTTTAATTAATGGGAAAACACACACCCGCTCCTCTTCAGTCCGTATCTGTGCACTCATTCGAACCATCCTATTTTTCATGAATACGAGTATAGACTGGTGAATTCGAAATCAGTGCAAAGCGTGTATATGACCATTGACAGGGAAACTTACCCGGAGAGAAAGAGTGCTCATATATGTTTCTTCTTCAGACCGTTCAATAGGTGCAGGTTGAGTGCCAATGAGTATCAATTTTTTGTAACAGTACAGACTATACTCCTCCAAACATTCTAAGTATTCCCTCCTCTGTTTCAGATGCGTGATCGTCTTGGTGAGTTTCTTGTTCTGTTTGGTAGTCGACCTGTAGGCATCGTTTGCCAGAATGGTATCTGGAAGCGGAAGACAACGTTTTGATTTATCGATAGCAACGGACACATGTCGACGCGGTTCCTGAAGAGTTTCCGAATTGCATAAAATACTTGCGTCATTGTGGTTATTACCAGGATCATTACTGAGGAGAGCGACGGGGTGGGGGATACTGTAGTTGCTCGGAGAGAGAGTCCTCTGAGAATCTTTTAAATATGTGGGATGATTCGAGGGTGATGGAAGCTGTCCAGACTGCGTCACCGACGAGCCCTGGTCTACCGCCAAGGCGGCCTGTGGCAACTGAGGCCCGTTGTCATCGAAATCCTGCCAGGTCAGAAGATTCCAGGAGTCTTCCACATCCCACACTGTACGGTTTTCGTATACAAAGGAGCCGCTGGCCATGGATGAACGCTCGAGCTGAGACCGTATGATTGACTGTATCGTTGTCTGTACGATTTTAGCACTCACAGATACAGACATTGCGAAGTCGTTCATGGATGTTGATAAGGCGCGAAGATAAAGAGCCACCAGTCATATATGCAACTTCCAGTACTAAACGGCAAATGTGCTGCCTTCCTGATCCTTTTCTGGGTCTCGGTTTTCCTTTCCTGGAAGCCGGTTCAGTGAATCTATTCGAAGGCTCTATATAAAGAAGCAAAACCCCGATCACATGTGTACTGTGCGCCATCACGGCTTTCAATTTGAGATAATAAGTGCAACTTGCACCATGGCGTCTACGGAAACCGTGAAACTCTTCTGGAAATGCTGCGTCCCGAACGACGGCGACATCGTCGAACTATGTGAGAGCTTGATGATCAAAAGCGCGCTCAAGCAGGTTCCGACACTGCTATTGTTCGGTAGGTCAGCTTATTGCTTTGCTTATCATATGCATTACATCCTGACTGCGAATTGCATTGTCAATTTTGTCTGTTTACTAACTGAAACTTTTGTAACTAGATGCTACAAAGACTTCTTTTTCGGTACGCTGGAGGGTTACGGATCCACCTGCGCCCGGAGTGCCAGAAGCGTTACCGGATCTTCCAAATAGTCCAAATCCTGTCATCTGGCCCATTGATTATGCAGAAACGCTTGTCGAGATTCAAGCCGAGAAATTGGCACGAAGCATTGACCGGTCAAGGCACTATTAGGAAAGTTGCACGAGCGTCGAGGGGAATCAAGGTAATTCATATAAATGAGGAGATTTTATTTCTGATTCTTTTTTCCATTCCTTTAGTACATTATGTAGTATGAGAGAATGACAGGTGTATAGACTAAGTTGCAGCTCTCAAATGATCCATCCCTTATGTTGCACACTGTCCGCCTACCGATCGTCTTGCAGCGGAGTCAGGCTTCGCAGAGGGTGGGATGATACCGACGTTGGGGGGAGGTGGCCCCACTGGAGGAGGAGGCGCTGTTGGAGGAAATGGACAGAGGAGTGGTTTGATCAGCGGAAAGAGAAGCGCATATGGCAGTGGATATGGGAATGGGAGCAAGCGGGCAGGGTCAGCGAAGTGGGTATGGGAATGGACAGAAAAGCGCGCACGGAACTGGGAGCGGAGAACCATCTAGTAAAGACTTCGTTGTGAGCGGTGATGTCTTCTTGATGAAAGCCAATTGTTTTATACGCTTTGGAGGCTCGGAGGAGCAGCTGTCGCGCTGAGATTAGTTCAGGCAAAGGTGTGTTTAGGGGATTAGCTTTTGGGTTATTCGATATTTTCCACGAGTTCACCGATTCCTTCCATCTATTCCTAATAGACTCCCCATGAACTTTCTAGAGCACTTGGCGTGGTAACGGACGGGATGAAGAACAGTTGGCACTAGAATTCGGAAGATATAGAACGGTTACGTGCATTTTGTGGTTCCGTGTAGTTCATTCGTCGCGTTTCATTTGGCTGACCATCCCCATGTCTTCCACCAGGTAGCTATGACATCCTTGCGGATACACTTCGTTCCAAGGCAGATATGATCAACATGATCAGCTCTGAGACGGTTTTTGAGTTTTTCGGTTTGAACTCCCGGTCTCCAGAGTATGTTCTTCCAATCTTCCATCCTTCCTCAATCCTTGGCTTATACTGCTACCGCCAATCAACCATCGTCAACACCGCTAACCGAGCTCTAGTACTTGATTTTGAACTATGGTGCCATACTCGAAAAGACATTCAACGTGTTCACTTGGAACATTTTCTCACTCTCCTCGAATCAAGTCGATATAGACAGTTCAAGGTCAAGCAGCAGTTCGCCAAAATCGGACTAGTACGAAGATTGCTTTTCGTGTTACAGACGGATTGGTACAGTGATGTCCATGGCCCGGATTCTCAAAATCCGGAGTCTACTTTGCCCTTCCTGATGGACGCACTGAAAGCTGGTGCAAAAGCGCTGTGGACGAAGGATGATGCAATCAAGCCTTTGGTGTCGTATTTAGCTGCTAATCTGCAGGAAGGTGAGTTGGATGTCGCAAAGCGAACTTTTCATTTTCATTTCAAAAATTTCCGTTCTTACACCCAGGGTTTCCAACTACATCTTCTGCATAATTCAAGGAAGATTCGTCGTTGCCCAGAATGAGTCAGGACGCTGCGGAGCAGAACATCCAGATGTGGAATGTCAAGAAGCTCATCCAGAGCCTTGATTCTGCCAGAGGGTACGTAGGGCAAGATTATTTTGACATTGTATTCATTTTTGTACACCAGAGCTTTTTTTACACGTTTACATCCGTTACAAGCACATCAACGAGAGGCTGTCACCATTTGTCGACGGCGCTTTTCCTTCGCATCGGGACTTCGCAAAACACCCACGGCTACAATCCATTGGCTGCCTTCCACACAGCTCCGGGACGTCATTCGTCATATATTTCATGCTTTGTTTCTCGTCTCAGCCCTACGCAATCACACACAGCGCCATCTCTCGCACCCTCCCTTCAAGGATCTCTATCTTTCTTCCTTCACGATAAATATGCGTCGGTCGTTCGAGGAATTACAATGGCGCTACAACAAGCGCGAGATGCGGAGGATTTCGGATACAGATGGGGAAGGATATCTTTACGCCTTTGTCCATCTCAATGTGTGGAAGGTGGGCATGTCGAAGGACTTCATTCGTCGGCGAGAAGAATGGGATAGAGATTGTCCTGACTCATGGAGGATATGGCTTCCGCCAATCCGGGTCGCTAACAGGCGAAGGGCGGGTAAGTTTTCCTTTATTTTTCTATGCGTCTATCCCATTCGCGTATCAGAGTCGTTAGCGCATCTTTTGCTCGAGATGGCGTGCATTGATCGCCCGCGTGCGTACTGTCGAAATTGTACGTGACCTCATTTCGTTCACTTCCTTTTCATGTTCAATCAATGCAAGGTCAACGAAAACACATCGAACAATTCGTTTTCTCCGAAAATTTGCCCATCGTTTGGAGTACGATCGTTGAACCTATTCTATTATGGGCTGCTGTCGCATGAAGGTACGCGAATTCCTGTTTGCCTAAAATGTTCTCACTGACGCCTTAACAGTTTTAGTATATTGTAGCGTACAGATCGTCTTTTCCTGCTGTTGTCAACATACTCGTACGCCCTACTTACCTTCCCCCGATCCAACACATCCCAAAACCTAGCTACCCACCTCTCCATAGAATCAAATAAAAAATGATCCTCCGCTTTGGAAACAAGATCGATAAGATTATGTATGTGCGTTTTTCCTACTCTCGAGTTCTTCTATTGATCGAATATTCTACGAAACTCCAGACTCAAAGCACTCGTAATCAAAGGTTGATAATTGTGCAACCAGATCAAGCCCTTCACAAGCTCTCCTCAAGCTCTCCTCATGTTATATCAAGCCCTTAGACTTCAAGGTTCTCGAAGACTCAAGAACACTCAAAGATGAATCAGACGGAGTATTATTGTTTGGCGTTCTGGATTACCCGACATACGAAGTCCCTTCTTCCCTTGAATTACGTTCCTTCTTTGACTCGCGTTCCTTCTCCGACTCACGCTCCTTCCTCACGCTCCTTCTTCGACTCACGCTCCTTCCTTGACTCACGTTCTTTCCTCCCCTACCAAAAACGACTACGACCCCTTCCGTACCTGCTCCTCCCATCACGCTCCTTTCTTGACTCACGTTCCTTCCTCCCCTACCAAAAAGACTACGACTCCTTCTGTACCTGCTCTTCCCATCACCCTCCTTCTCTGACTCGCGTTCCTTCTCCGACTCACGCTCATTCCTCACGCTCCTTCCTTGACTTACGTTCCTTCTTCCCCTACCAAAACGACTACGAACCCTTCGAAGCCGTACTTGCTCTTCCCATCCTCCCTGCACTGCGTAGAAAGTCTGCAATGTTCCTCGGCTCATCGACCATGATTTGTGCGTACATTATCGACCTTCGCGGATTCACTGCAAAACACAATGACCTTGTTGAACTCCGTTGACCATTTACCTATATTCTCCCATCCATCCACGCTCTTCTTCCATCCAATCAGCCGCTTCTTAATGTCTGCCAAGTTCATTCTCTCCATTCCAATCCACTTGTTTGACTTTCAATGAAGTCGGGAGGTCGAGATTGAACGAGCGGAGTATGCCAGCGTGGACGATAGCTGCGACGGGAGTGGCAGGAGATCGCAGGATATATTGTTGAAGGTGAAGGAAGCTGCGTCGAACGGCTCGGCTTAGTCTGGCCAGCAGTCGGATCAGGACCGTAATTTGTATGAAATACTTACAGTATAATTTCTATAAAGTGAGCTTACAATAGACGAGCTGAGATTAAGTACGGTAACATCTAAGGCCACCGTCCCATTTCAAATTTCAACCCAGCGTAGATGATCTATATATCTTTTCCGCGCCAAACAGGCTAGACTAGGACCTCTTCGACTTCATCCACTCCGAGAACGTACAGAGGAAACACCTCTATATGCCTCACTACTTCTCGATAAGGTTCTTTATCTTCGTAGGCTTATGTTGCAGCGGAGTCGGTGGCTAGCAGTTCTGACGCCGGGGTTTAATTGCGTCTGCGTCTGCGTCTTGTTCATCACGCGGGAGTGTCTTATCAGTCACATTGATATATGATGGTTCAGTTGAGGTTTCATCTTTTCTAAGAGACCTGAGGATTGTTCATATTTCAATCAAGCTCTCTGCTACACTGATAAGTCTTTATTCATCAGTGTTTCCAAGGGCACCGAGAGCCTTCCTTTCACTCTTTTCAAATCGGTTTGAGAGATTTGTAAATTTAGTTGTAGATTCACTGGCTTAGAAACAAAAAGATTCAGACCGTGCTTCCATCCAACTGGATGTTTCCACGATTGAGATAATTTTGTTTATTATATACACGATGTTGAGAACTTTTGATTCATTCAGACTATCTACATTGTTATCGATGCAGATGAATAAATAGTAATCAAGTCACGATTCCGCTGGACAGAATTTTTTCTACTTTCGGTGTGAAAGTCAAATCTTCAGAATCACACTTGCATTGGAATAGCCCAGATAATACTGGGTCAAAAATACCTTTCTAAGCCTTCGTATATCGCAAGCATTGCAACCTAGTTCAGTCTCTTCTTCAATTGAATCAATCCATTTGGGTACAAGGAATTCGCTTTTGTGCTGTTTTCGGTCGGTCGGAAACCATCTTTTTTCTCTTTTTAGTATAAGGGCAACCTCTACAATGTGTATTCGAAGGGAAATTTCTCGTGCTGAGTAGAACTCTTGGTGCGTTGTCTGAATTCGGAAGTATTGTACACTTACTGACGTTATTAAATAATCTTCTAGAGATTTCCTTCTCAACAATTTCACTTTGCCGATGTCCCTTGATCCTCGCTGCCTCATTGCGTACATACAAGAAATGGCGACCTTCTTCCTTTTCCGTATCCAAGGTGAACACAATTCCAGATTCACCCGCCAACTACTAATCCGTCAAAGAAGCATTCCGCATTCCCTAATTTCCGTCGATTAAAATCTCCTCGCGACAACGTCGTCAACCATTTACAAGAGGATTTTCCCTGTTTGGAACAACGCTTCTACTGTCGGATGTCGGCCAAAGCTTCTTCCCCCGCTACTATTAAAATCCCCAATACCTTTCCCTTGTCTCCTTAGATCCTCTCGATCTCTTCCTTTTGTCGTACTCGTTCCTGCTTGTTTTCCTTGTCGCACAAGTGACTGACATTCCCGTCGAGCAGGTTCATTCTTACAATCCATACAACGTATCCCGACGCTTCAATCATGCCTGCGTACCCAATCTCAATAACGCTTCCAACACCCAAGGAGCTTGCAATGAACACTCAAGCCGCACGAGAGAGCACCTGGGGGATGAAGTATCCTCCAAAACTTCCAGCGCCGCTACCAGGGTGAGTTCCCGTAAAAGACTGACTTCTTTGCTTTTCACATCAAATTCACCTTGACCTTGAACGTTTGACACTAACTTGGGCCTCGCAGATGGATACGGGTCAAATTTTACTCGCACCTGTACAAAATCCGGCACGAGATGCTTCCAGATATGGAGGGCGACGTGAAACTCAATCCCTCAGGTGCGCTGGATATGAGGAGAGTATGCCATATGTGGAATTTGGAACGGTGCGCTGTGCGTTGTAACTTGTATATACTTATCATACCCGTGTTTAATGAAGTTAATCCTCCGTGCAATCAAACAACAGCCCATCGACCCGATGCGATGGATCCCCGTTGAAACTTCACATTCACGTTGGCTATCTCCACTTGCCGTCCGCGTACTCAGCGAACGAAATAACTGTCTTATGTTTATCGGTTCGTTTTTAGTTCCTTTACTTATCGTCGTTTTTTTACTGACAACTACTCACTACCTATAGAACCAACCCCCCTCTCGCCTTCCACAGCACACAAACGCGAACTCCGCGAAGCCTCGATCTACCTCCAAACTTCATTGTCCATGTTCTCCCGTCTTTCCTTCTCCGTCACTACCGAGTGCCTTGAACGCGGGACAGCCAAAGTCCACCGAATGTGGATTTGGTTAGACGAACGCACAAAGTTCCCTATGTGGATCGAGTTCGGCATCATGGTTTTGACCATTCCCCTGTTCTGGATTGCAAAAAAGATTAGTGGATCGTTCGTCGGGAAATACGCTGGGAGACATTTAGAGAGCGCTCGCACCTCGTGCGAGAAAAGGATTCAGAAGATCCAGCGCGCGACGAAAACCCCGTACGCTGCGTGGGTCGAAAAGCAGATGCATTGGATTGTGCTGTGTATCTGTCTTGGGATGTTGATGTTAGGATCGTTTTTGCTGTTAAATGCTCTTTTTGGGTGGGACGTGCGGTATCAAACCATGGCGCTTGTGCAACAGCCCTATATATGGGCGCGGAGAGCAGCTAATGGTGTTGTGGGCGCTTCTAGGGCGTCATCGAGCTTTTGATGTGAATTGAATTGAAGAGAAGAGGAAACGTTAAATGTATCATGCCCATATTCCTTTTTTATGCTCACCTCTATGCAGTTTCCTATCGCTATGCCACATCTTATGCTTTTCTTTCTTGTGTACGATATGTACTACTAGTAATGATGCTGCTTTTGTACCATACTTACCACCATGCCAGGTTTTTTTTTCGAAATTTTACAAGATGATATCCAATGTGTATTACGGAAGACTACGTTATTGAGTGCGAGGACAACTACTGCATTTAATCACAGAAAATACCAGGAAAATATCAAGGCAAGCATTCGCAGCTTGACTCGTCGTTCCCAAAACACAGCTCGACTCGACCTATCCCCGTCCACATTGACACAATTCAGAAGAAGTACCCTTGGTTCCGGTAGCCGTACCAGTGCTCCCTGTCGCAGAGCTCGTCGTGGGCGTCACAGCCGTAGTAAATGTTCGGGTAGAGCTGAACTCATAGGATTGAATAAAAGAAGGAATTGAGACCCGTATGTACGAAAAAGGCGAATGCCACAAACGGGATACCGAACCACGCGAGGTCAACTAACCCCAGCGGCGGACTAGCCAGGGAACAATACATGTCACTGTGGTCTGTGAAGCAGTATCTAGGTCAAGCATTGGTCTTGCCAAGAAGCTTGTTTTCATACAGACCTCCTCAACGCTCTATACCGTCATTCGCATGAGATTTTGTAAAAATTTGGTACTCAATCTGCAAGAGTGTCTTGAGTTGCCAGTGTCTATTCATTGTAGGCAGTCGGCATAATTTTGGATATGTAAACGGAGAACAAACATTCATCATTTGCACCGGCTTTCCTATGAATCATTGAGAATGGCGACATGAGCTTGAAGTCGTATTGTGGGTTACCAAGAAGCACTTGGTGTATTCGTTCGTATGATATCCCTTTCCCTCATCGAACTTTTCCTTGGTATATTATATCTTCAGTCCGAGGGCCAAGCTTGTTCGTTTTCAAGCCAACGTAACCCCCTGTTAGTAAAAGTCTCCGCAAGCACACCTATGTAGACTCGACGTAGCATTTTTACATCGTCCAGTCCACTGGCAGGTTCCTTCAGCTCGAATTTGTATACACATTCACTTTGAAAATGGAGTTAACGCATACTGTGATCCAAGATCGTGCTTATGGAAAAGTCCCTGCTGGCCCTCTTCGGTAAAAGACGAAAATTGTTTTCATGTTCGCATGGGTGGTGACGATACATCTATTATTTCTAACAATGATAGTCTATGTCAAGTCATTGTATCCCTTTGACTCTCATACCTTCTCTAGGAGACAAGACGATCCACCTAGAGGTGTTGTTGTCGCCGTCTCTACTGGGCTTTGTGAAACAATCGTAGCGGCAGCTGTATCAGTTTCTATCATGATACTTGAGTTGTGATTTGCACTGAAAGTCGGCCCTGGAGAGGAGGTTTCTGATTCGTCCCGCTGTTGTCGTCGTCGGTGCCTGGCGCGAGGGTTGAGAATCCATGCGGCTATTAAGACAGAACCGTCCATAACCTACTTACATTAACTATTATCTTGTTAAGGCCATCCTTGAGTAACATAAACACCTACAATGACCAAACTATACGTCACTGCGGCCACAATATCGAAATTGCCCGACTTGAACACTAACGAGAGATCCGAGAACACGCCTGATAGAAAAGGTCTATGAAAGACTCAGACAAATTCGAAGGAATTGACGTTACCGCCTAGAAAGATAGTTGTCAAGAATCCCTATCACTACAGAGAAAATTGGACTCACCTAGGAGATCAACCATTAAGAACAAGGAGCTAATTCCAATGACCTCCTTGTGCTGGTATATCTCGAGGTATTGCGGAACAAAAGCTATCGTGATGAGGACCGTACTCATGACCCCAAAAAATTCTATACCTTCGGTACCGCTTCGATCTCCGCGACTAAAAGACGGCCGAACGGCATATACAGTCCCTACCTCGAATCCTCCAAGGATGGCGCAGCCACTGAGAAACAGCAATAATGACATATTGCGGGACCGTCCTCGGCCATAGAACTGACACTAAGGGAATTTAATTCTACATAAGGTTCAGGTCGTTGGGTGTTCTGGAAATCATCACGAACCTGAGCCCATGATGCCATAGTAAGTGCAGCGAAGAGTTGCGGTTGGAGTATGAGCGGAATGTTGAGATTTTTCACAATCGAGTACGTCCCAAGAAAGGCGCCTGATACACTCCATGCAAGGCTAGAGGAACATTCAATATTAATTAGAGGAATGATCATATTCTTATCAACTCACATCATCCAATCCGATAATCCTGTCGTGTCCTTTTCACGATAAGTTTTCCACAGTTGAGGGATGAGTTGTATTGTCCAACATATGGTACCTACAAAAATTTTTGGTTCGCAACAAATGTAGCATAAGATTGACAACATACCTGCGGTACCAAAGGCATTTTCAGCGACAGAATTGACTGGCATCTTTCTCAAACAAACTTTTGAAGAGAATGACTTCAGAAAACTGGGCGAATAGCGAAAGGATCGAAGGCTAAACTTCTATCCTCGTATGACTCAAACGGTTCCGGAGCTACTCTGATGAAAATGAAAGATTTAGTATTGAGTCGTTCGGAAGTGGGGAGCGGAGTGTCCGGAGTTTGTTCACATTCGCAGTAAGGATCCATCATCCCACGATCATTTTATGTACAGTACATCTGCCGAGACGACGCGTTTACAGTGCATTCGACCTACATAAGACCTTACACTGTACAATAAAAATGACACTCACCATCCTATCTACTTATATTTCGACTCTGATATCCATTTCTCTCGTTAATTTGATTCCATGTCCAATCCTAGTAACTCGCCGGGGTTTATCATAAGCGACAGTAGAACAGGAGAGATATACCCCGTTTCGAGCATGGCGTATGTGCACGTATCTTAGTCTATCTCTTCAATCCCTCTCCGACCTTCTTTTACTATACAGAGCATCAATGATTGCCTTTGGAACTCTTAGTGGAACTTTAGGAGCAGTCTCAGGGGGTATTCCCTATGCTGTGGAGCGAGCTTGGAAGGCTCCGGTTGTGAGTTGCACATTCTATCCAATCTATGGATCACACGACGGACTTTACAGGGAGCTCGCACTCGACATGCGTTTACAGGAATGAGAATTGGTGGATCGAGGCTTGCGATTCTGTTTGGACTGGCCGGTTTCGCGTACACCCCTATATACTTATGCGTTGGAAAGACGGGACTTAAAGATGAGAATAGGAAACTTGCAGTAAGTGTCATCATGTGCAGTGTAGGATGCATGTACCCTCAAAAATGGTTACCGATGAGTATTGGTTCTCTCGCTTCATCATTGGTCTTACACAATATCATTATGTCGACTGCAGTACGGTTAGTCAACAAGTAGTCTTGCAGAACCCATATGCTGTCTATCTTTTTTGCAATCACGCGCTTTACATGACTTTCCATGCCCTACATTCCTCAACGAGCCTTTGTGCGGCCTGCTGGGAAAGTTATCCTGAGAAAGGCTTGAATGGTATAATTGATCACGAAAGACTCTTTAGGAGGATTGCGGAGTTCCCTTTCTCAAATAAGGCTTAAGGTCTTCAATTCTTTAGACGGTACTTACTGCCTAGTACTGCCAGCTCCAATTTGAATGAAGATTTACATATACCAACGGGGCCATCACACATACAACTTGGAAAAAATTCTCTGGGTATCACTCGAAAACAACGGAAGAGCACATTCAAGTTCACCGTGAATTTAACATCGACAGTGACTCCGAGACTTGACCTGAATGAAGCAAGAATCAAAGACTCCTCAGAGTCCGCTTCATGCACGAACAAAGTTCGGGACAATGTAGGTGAGTCTGTATAATATATACACATGGCCATATCTTTATCGGATATAAGTCTTCTCTTTTCTATCATCATCTGTGGAGTTGATATCCATTGTAGCAATGTATGTCTCTAACCCCTCGTCTCTCATTTTTTTCATCCGCGTAACCCCACTAACTGTGAAAGCGCTTAGCGTTGCGGGTGTGTATCCCTCGAATTTCACCACGCGAAGCTGAGATATGCCATTACCAGACTTCTTCCATCGCGCTTCCACCATTTCCACGAAGCTATCGTCGATAAATTGGATATTGCAAGCGAACCACTCGTGACTGTTGATCGCTTCGATATCGATTGTAAGCGATTCAAGCTTTGGGAGAAGAATTCGTGCCATATCCTTCCTTGACTTTCCATGTGTGCTCAATCGTTGTATAAAGACTTTCAGGAATGTGTCATTCGAAATAACCCACTTGTCAAAAGTGAAATTGAGTTCAGTGAGACTTGCTGTCGATTCCAGGAGGGATAAAACGTCACGATTGAGCACAACTCCCTCTAATCGCAGGACCCGCATATTCGACGCGCATCGGGACCTAGAGAGAAGATCGCTTGAAGCTGGGATCATATCCGAGGGGCACATACGCATGAATGGGGCTTTCAGATGAAGACTTTGGAGATTAGGCAAAGTGAGGCAGCGAATGAGGCGTATATCGGTACACATGAAAGCCTTCAACTTGGTATGCGTGAGAAGCTGTGGTGTGTTCCCAGAGCGAATTGACTCGTACTCGACTCCAAAATCTTCGAACTGAGTATTCTGGCGAAGGATCCGAAGATAGCGAGGCAGGAGATCCATGGATGGATTCCATTGTGACTCGCGAAATCGAAAGATCTGTGTCCAGGGGAGCTGTAACGAACTTGAATCCGAGTTATGGAATTCAATATCCCGAAGTTTCGGTGCAATGCTCAAGATCTGAGGAAAATCATCTAAATCGCCCGCGAAAGTGAGCTTTTCGAGGGATGATAATTGGCCATAGATAGGACGAAGAAGGGATGGGTCAAGAACAGAGATATCTGCCGTTTTCCACCGATTGGAGTGCCCAACAACGGATTTGATCATGGCCTCACTGAGTTGTCGTTCAGAGGGCCAGGATGGTATGCCCAAGTTGCTAGTGTCATTACGAGTTTGTGGATACCCATAGGTAGAAAATAATCCATCATCATCATCAAATCCAGTTGACCAGGAAAAATGAGCGACAACATATAGGGGATGCGATCCGGAACGATTCAAGGCGGTGTTCAGCAGTTGTAGCTGATTTTTGGCAGGGGATTCAATGGCGCTGATAGCGATATTCGACCATAGCTTCGGTAAGGAGAGTGTTATGCTCCTCCATTCTCTTGAAACATGAGATAGCGGCCATACTCCGTTGCTAATCGTGGTGATATATCCTTCCGTCGTGTCACGATGTATGAAAAATATTTCTAAGAGGATCTCAGTTGGAAGGCGATGGATTGGGTTCGGTGTTAAGATTTCTTGGAATTTCGAAACGTTTAACAAAATTCCTTTTTTTGTTAATTCCAGCTCTCGAATTCTAGCTAGAAGTTCTTGAATTTCCTCGTCTATGGCCGGTATATCTTCTTCTGTACTCTTTTTAATGATATCTCGTAAGTGCTGTCGTTGCGCAGTGGACTCTGGAACATCCTTGTTTTGAAGAATATTGAGGAAAGGGGAATAATCAGCAGGGTGCCGGACAACCTCAGGAGATGGCAGTGACATCTTGAATTTTCCTCAAAACAATTATCGAGCAGTATCGAGCGCATAATAGTGGTTCATACCTTTTTCCGGAAGTTTGAAAAGTGGGGTTGCAGGGGTTGAACAGGGCAAGCTGTTGTTGATAGCTTTGAAGCGCTGAACCTCCGACGGTCCAGACACTCGGCTTCATATGAACGGATCCCCAAAAGTTTGCGAGCCGCCGCTTCGCGGCAAGAGCTGCTTGTTCACTTTACCAATATTCTGCGCGCCTGATATAAGCGCCCACTAGGAAAATTTAATTAACTTCAATAAGGAAGCTAATGTGTACCGTAGGCAGATAAGATATTTCTTATACCCCGAAGCTCGCTGGCTATTTGGGAGAATCTATGTGACTGTCTGTATGTTCAAGTGGAATCCAGGATGGTAATTAACAACATTTTCTGCAAGTCGTAAAGTAGCCTTTCTAGCGTGCACAATCCTATTGAATCGGGGCTCGAGCTCAAGAAGGTACGTGCAGTTTATGTGGCAGCAAAATTTTTAGTAGTCTATGGCGGATAGGAGAACAATGGGGCCGAACAGAAGGCCTGAAACGAGGACCAAGCATGGCATCGCGTAAAAGAACAAAGGCGTATGGATGAGAGCGGAGGCCACGAGTATCATAGATGATGTGCCTTCGTGATTCTGCAGCCAAAGGACGTCAGGGGAAATGTCACAAAGAGGATCATAAGTTCAACACACCATTAACTCACACCAGTTACCGACGAATACTCATGCACGAGGAACCAGGGATACGGAGGGGGCAGCTCGCACCGCTATAGAAATACATGGGTAAAATGGATTGTAGCCTGAGGAGAGCCTTACCATTGGAACGACGAGTGGGGGGCAAAGGAGGGAGACCTTCTGCCATGCGCTTGGCGTTGGTAGTGGGCGTTGGCGAAGCAGAGACCGCAGTGGCGATGGTCAAAAGTGCAGCAAAAATGAAAGACAATTTCATGATTGAGGCCAATATTGAGCAAGGATGGAGATCCCGACACCGAAGTGAATGAACGAGGGAGACGCAAACCTGAAGGCCAAGGAGCAAAAAAAAAAAAGATAGCGCGCTTTTAAAGATCCCTGGAATAATTAACACGACATCTTGGTGGCTGTGAGCGAGATCTTGATGCGTGTGTCTTTATCTATTATCCCCAAAAGTGAAGAAAAGATTTCCTCAATGAGACCCCTGCGGTTCCTTCTTTCATTTGATTTTCCTGGGCGGACACAAAAGGGACACATCCCCCCTAGCTTACTCGGCCCTACAGAATCTGGTCAATATTGGGCAGTCACAGTAGATAAACAAGCCGTAACCTTCGCCTTACAACTCCTAGAAGAATGAGGTGCACGTAACTTCTCTTCAATTGCACTTCTCTCTTCTACGCGTATTTTTACCTTAAAGGAAGCGTTCACCTTGAGTTTCAGTACATCCCAATCCGACTCATCTGGTGTAGAAACCATTCATTCTCTTTTACAGTCATCATGCATCGTGCTTTGCATAGTTCTACCGCCAAGGGTTTTCCTTGCAAAGCGAGCAACAAAAAGGGCGGGCCACAAGGGGCCACATTGCCCAGTTGCGAAGGGATGGGGAAAAGCCACGGAGAGTCGCGTCATACAGCGAGGACCGAAGGTCGGTTTTCCTTTCTTCCCGCTTTCAGATTTTGGACCAAGCCGTTTAATTGACCTTCTCCCTCCTTCCCCACACAGATAAGCAAAACAATTTGAATCTTCGCAACCCTTGCATGATAATTCGATAGAGCTGAACAGGCAACCAGGAAGCAATAGGGAATTTCATGTGGTCGATGCTGCGCTCAAGGAACAGCTTATTTAATGTACCTTGTCAGAGCACACTAATTTGGAATTAGGATCATGGTCCAGGCTTACCTTGACCCCTATTATTTGCCTTGCTCGTAGGTTTACAGCTCTAGCATTTTCAAAATTCATCGTCTTGTTTCATCAGCGGTCTGCACCCACTCTGCAGAGTAGTCCAAAGCGTCATAACGTTGGACGGGATAGACACATTTACCAACTTCAACCGCTCTCAAACAATCAGAAGTGTTAGCGTGAGAACCACCTTCCTATACGAGCGGCTCGGCGCTGAGCACTTACAGAGTTGTTTCTGACCCCCTTGATGAGAACTCAGTCGTGCAGCCAGCAGCTCCTCCCAATCTCATCTGCATATAAAGCCAATGCAAGATATATATATTACAGCTACAAAACTCACGAGTACCACTTTTCCCGTAGCTTCTTCCTCATTACTATCGGCCTAGTGATTAAGATAGCGACAGCTAGTCCCATCACAGTTACCACAAGCTGCACCTTATTGAAGCTTTCGTTGAGAATATCGAAAGTATTTGATGGCGCGACTCTGGTGAGGAACAAATCGAGTCCATACGCAAACACTAGCGAAGTTGATTCCAAAAGTGCAGGAGACGTAGTGATCGATCGAATGTGCGCCACCTGGGCATCTATATGAGAAAGACTAGACAGAGCACGGAGAGCCAGCAATCACTTACATCGTAGTTGTGTGAAATCACCTTGCGAGGGTCATCGGGTAGTAACGGATCGTACTGAACGAGGTATTCCTCCTGCTCTTCAGATGAGGGTTTGCGGCCGATTGGACGGCGCGGGTTTAGCAATCTTCGGGAGAAAGATTGAATTTTTCCATTGGCATTCGCAACTATGGAGGTGTCAGCAGAGAGGAACAGGAGTCATGGTGCAAGGTCATACCTATAACGTCTTTACTTGATATTCCGAATTTGGTGGATGTAAGTGTGATGGCAGATATGGCGTGCGGGTAGACAAAAGATTGTTCGTATGTCGTGTATTCCATCATTTTCTCCGAATACGAGCTTAATTCTGAGCTGGAGCAAAATCAAATTGAAGGCCGACAAAAACGACGACAAAACACGCACCTGCAGGTTTTATCATCAATTTGCTTGCCCTCATACAATTCTACGGTCACCACTTTATAGCCCTTGGTATGTCCAATATCTTCGTACTCATTGTCGTAGTAATGGTATATCAGCCAATTTTCCGTGAAGGTTGCTTTGACATTACACACGTTCCCTTCTGTAGGCAACGTTGCTTCGTAGACCACGCTGCCTTTCACGCTATCAACTAGATACAGTCCACAATGAGCGTTTGAGGTTAAAGCGGTGGACGAATGCGGTGTTGTGAGGACCAACACAACGTGAGGGTTGAGGTATTTGTATAACGTGGTTCGATTTCCTAGGACTTTTCCAATGGAAGCAACTGGATCACGGATAGGATTGATGATAGCCTGGACATCATGTCCCTCGGTGAGTGAAAGAGTCCAAGTAGGAAAAGCGAAGTACTCGGATTGACCATTGACATTGGGCTTCGTACTGAATTGGTGTCCTACGAGACGACGATGTCCTTGCGAGGAAGTGATACGTAAAGGAACCGAGAGGGCAGAAGCATTCGAGAAGAGTTCTTGAGACTCAGCGTTGTCAGGGTACAGGTGAACCTATATAGTCAGGAATTGTGAGCACATATTCACCGAAGAAGAGTGAACACACCTTCAGTTCAGAGTCTAGCAGGACGATAACTTTTTTCCCACTGAGTTGTAGCATGTACGTATCATGTATAGACCCGTGCAAGAGTTCAACGAAAGTCGAAGGCTGCAGTATATCTTGTCCCGTTAGAGCATCCAGATGGAATAATAACACATTCTCGGAATAAATGTTCAAATGACAGCCAAATTTGAAAGAGTGAAGGCATACCTCTTCAACTCTGCTTTTCGCAAGGATAACGACTTCGGGACCTGCTTCCGAGTTGATGTCTGCATCCCCAACAGTCTTCATAATGAATAGTTTATCTCCGAAAGGAACCGCGTTTGCAACGGGATCCTGTCCGATTCCAAGAACTCTATTCCATAAAATGTCGCCATTGCTTGTGTCGATACCGTATGCCTTTCCGTACGACGTGCTTACGACCAGAACTTGTCTAAAACCAAAGGCGTCTCTGTATGGGAGTTGTAGAGCAGACGAAGACGGAGCAGAAAAGGTCGCCGAGGAAGTGGCTGATTCGTATGAACCAGTAGCGAAGCGTTTGGCAAAACGAATGATGTAGTTAGGGAGATCCTTGACATCCTTTGCCTGCCTTATAAGTCGTCCCACAAAGCCTTCTCCTGACCGCCCTTCGCCTCCGAGTACTGATAATCGCTCAGGAAGCTCGACGAATTTCGCGGCTTTCAGCTCAGAGAGCCCCTCTTCGCGTGTCCAGATGTGTTTGTCTTGTTCCCAAACCTGGATGGCGCCAGTGGTGGTCGTGAGGAAGAGACGTCCAATCACATCAGTGGCAGATTCAATTGCCACCTTTGAAGACAATATCAGCTAGGAAGGCTTTTGACAAAAGACAGCACTTCTCACATGAGAAATGGACCCATGAGTTTTCGCGTCGAAAGGGAGAGAATATTCAATAACCGGACTTGCCAGTTCAGGCGAGTATATCTCTACAGTGACAACCTACACGAGAGCTTCTTAAGTATGCACCTAATAGATAAAGTAAAGAACAAACCTCCGAGTTCGGTGACCAGTGTAAGCCTGATACATAGGGATGTCCATCTTTACTAAGACCACCAGCATAAGAAACCTCGCTAGTTGGTCCTTCGAAATATCTGACGGGGACCAAATCTCCATCATCACAGGATACAATGTGGCTAGAACCATCTTTCAGAGCGATAAACAAGCCATGAGAACCAAGTCCAATGTCCAGTAGCTTCTTGTACGAGGCATCTTGCAGCACCGTCGTCTTCCCTTTCAATAGAGGCGAGAGTACGAAACATTTGATCTTTCCATTCTCGATCCAAACGATAGTACGAGATAGTACTAGGAAATCGTCGAGTCCGTTGGAGATGTGGGAAGGAATAGTCGACGAGGAAATGAGTTGACCGGTGATTGGAGAAAGCGCTGTAACATGTAGCACGTATGACGCGAAAGAAGACTCGAGTCCGACAACATACAAAGCGTCATCCGATGCAGAGATGGTAGAGTACAGGATCCGAGATCTACACGGAAGATGAGAACACGTAGTAACGAGATACAAGACAGTGGCTTGCCCTTGGTCCCCAGAAGTCCAACTCCAAGATATTGTCCCACCGTTGATGAAGTTGACCGTCGCTCCATTGGTTAATGTATAGATTTCGTTGCTCTGCTTCCCGAATGTGATGAACGCCCCAAGATTGTTCGGCTGTATAAGAAGCCCTGTTTCTGGCTCATGCAAACGTCTCTCAAGTAACATGTTGCCATTGAACACGTTGAACGACCGCAAAGTAGCACCTCCAGGGCCAGATAGGCTTGTAACAACTACTCGTTACAACGCATCAGACATGAATGTAGTGAGTTCCAAATCACGCACCTGAATCTTGCTTTTGAAAGGTCACAATATTGTCTTGAGGCTCGTAAACATATCTCCATTCCACGGAACCATTCAACGGGTTAAGAGCTGCTAGAACATTACTTTTTGTGGCCGTTAATACTACTTTTGAATTTCGTTTGCGTGTTGAGACACTATGGAAGGTTGGGGAAGTATGTATCGTTTCTGTATTCGGAACACCGACGAGTCGTTTGTGCCAGTCGACCACGCCAGCGTCTGATTCATGAAGTGCGAAGGAAGGAGTTAGCCAGAAACTTAGAAGGAGAGTGATTGCATGCAGATGCATAGCAAACCCAGATTAATTTCACTGTTGTAAAAACGCGGCGTCACCACACGTCTCGTAGTCATCGGACCGACGACTCTTCTGACGGCGCCTATTTAGTGTAGACCACGTGCGTTCTGTTTACGCCATCCATTTTTTTCTAGCGTTCAAATTTGACTTTCTTCGAAGCTATCTCCCTCAAGATGGCCTCATCGACCGTATCATGCTCTGTCGTTTTTACGACGCAAACGCCCTACCCTCTTCCTTCCCAAAAATACATGATTCCGACAAGCTGGAAGCGTTTTCACTTGTCGCAACTGATCAATAAAGCTTTGGCATTGGTCAAACCTATACCTTTCGACTTTTTGGTTAAAGGAGAGCTACTTAAAACGAGCTTGGGGGGATGGTGCACTGAGAATAATATTGGGGAGGTAAGTTTAATCGATCGTCTTGAATTGATATCTCGCTCATTGTCCAAGTGATAGGAAGAGACTCTGGAGGTTGAATACATAGAATCGGTAATGCCCCCTCAAAAGATGTCGGATATTCCACATGATGACTGGGTATCGTCTGTCTCTTGTCAAATGGCCGGGTGAGCAATTTTTCGGAAATGTAATCACTCAAGTTTACCTCTCCTTCAGTTATTTCTATACCGCATCTTACGATGGGCATGTCCGATTATTTGACTACTCGCAAAAACCGGTACTCAGCGCGCCGGCTCACTCTGCGCCCATAACCTCCTTGTGCTTAATACCTGAATCAAAATCCATCATCGGAGATGAAGACAAGTCTTCACATCTAATCGCGACCTCTTCACACGATCTATGTGCTCAAATTACTCGCATATCACTGCCATCAGACTCAACATCCAAGTCAGAATCGAAAGCCATTGCGAGATTATATTTACATACTGCCCCAGTCTCCTCAATCGCGTCTAATTCGACTGGAACGCACCTCCTCACTTCGTCATGGGATACTCTAATTGGTGTATGGGACACTACTGTTCCTACATCGGACGAAGTTCCCGAACCTCTTATCAACGAGCGAGAGCGAAAAAAAAGGCGAAAGTTAAACGGAGGAACCACCGAGTCCACTTTCAAACGGAAGGCACCTACTATGGTGTTAAAATCTCATACGGCTCGAGTTTCCCGAGTCGTTTTTGGAAATCCTGGAAGCGAAAGTACGGTGTATAGCTGCGGCTTTGACTCCACCGTACGCTTGTGGGATGTTGAAAATGGTGTTTGCACTCATACAATAGTGAGCATTATGAAATAACATTCATCAGCATATTGAAGCTTTCCTCAGACGTCATCTGAAAAACCTTTCGTGGACATCGCGCTGAACTCAGATGGACACACGGCACTCGCAGCATCGACTGACCGAACAGTCACGCTATATGACGTCCGTGAGGCGTCCTCGAACCACTCAATCTCGACGTCTTCAGGTTCTCTTGTACACACTGCCACCCCTTCGTGTCTTTCGACCGGGGCGACTCCACATCAAGTCTTCACTGGCGCCTATGACGGTGTTGTACGGCTGTGGGATCTTCGTAGTATGAAAAGCGCGATCACCAGTTTCAAAGCTTGGGATGGAATGAAAAAAGTGCTCAGCATTGATTGGAAACGAGGAATGGTGGGTATTGGTGGAGAAGGCGGCTTTGAGGTCTGGAAAGTTGTAGAAGATCTTCATTCGTAGACTGCCCCCTTACGCTCTAGTAGCGTATACGTGATATATATTCAGATTCAGGAGAAATAGTCCGTAAATTTCCCATCTATCAGGTAAATGTATGAGAAATTTTCAGTTTTTCCATTGAAATCCAGTATAGTATTGGGTTTAACAAAATCCTGAACGCATACCACTTGCCCACCAGAGGCCAGATAACGACTCTAACTCATATCCCAAGTAAATCCCTCTGCACTCCACGCCGGCATCTCCGTCTCAAACGTCCCCAAACTCGTCGTATACCTTAATGCATGAAGGAAAATATATAGTTTCTCTGGAACTGGGTCTGGATGCAGCGGGAGGTAACATTCAGGGCAATACGATTGCTTTTCGTTTGGGTCGGCTGCTGGGCCTTGAGGAAACTGCTCTGGACCAGCATTGGCATCAGAGGCGGCGGCAATTAATTCGCCTGCGATGGATACGGCTTCCGGGGTGGTGAGCTGTACAGGCTCAGCAGGATCTGGAATGCGAACGAGAGGTATGAGCTTCGGTTTTGATTTCACAAATGGAGCTGCAGCTGGTCTGAATTTTTCAATTTTATCGTCGGAAGGTGCGGCGAAGGATTCGGTGCCAATTGGAGTCGGGTCTACCCCCTCAAGCGGTGTAGAAACTTCACTCGTTAACTCGCTGAGTAAACAGTCTGCACTGGTAGTGCCTTTGAGTTGACCTGTGGCGGATGTTACCGGGAATTCATCATTGACATCGATGCCCTTCATAGCGGCGTTCAATTGCTCATTGACAAATTCGCCCTTGTTTTTCTGTTTTTTGTTGCCTGGTGGTGGCTTCTTCAAAGCTAAATCCCGAGGGGCTCGTAGTGTGCCCTTGGCACGAAAAATGACGTCTCTCCAACGGCTCCAGTCCTCTGCTTCGTCCTGGATTCATTTATATGAATGCCACTTCCTATTTGAACAAATTGAACTGACCTTCATGTTCCTTAATCTCGTTATAACGCCTACCGCTTCGCTGGACAACGGTACCGGAGATCCCATACCAATATCTTCACCCGTCTCCCTCGGTAGCAATTTGGTAGGAGCTGTTAACACATTCTCTATATCTTCGATGTCATCTTGCGGAGATTCACGAAGTAGAGATTCGGGATTGTCTTGAATATTGGCAAGATGTGGAGGTGGTGCAGGCGCGGTACGTTCGTCACTGGGTATAGTGTCTATTCCTCCTTTACCCATCTTCTCGCCCTGTAATTGGCTGTGAGTACAGGTAATGGCAGATATCGGTTGAAACACTCGCCCAGATTCTTCGATCTCCATACACGGGGTCATTAGAAATAGAATGGCCGAGATATTGAAGGTGAACTCGGAGTTGGTGCGCTAAAGGGTGAGATTCAGTGAAAGATTCAGCACAACCATCGAACACTCTTACAGCGGCCAGTCGTCGGCTTGCAGAGTATCACACTAGTGTCGGTATTCTCATCATACCGGATAAGATTGAAGATGGTTTTAGCATTTCTACCTTCTTCGTGAACAATATTTAGGCCCATTTGACGATCTAAAGACATTTGTAAGTGTATACACTGAATATTTGTAACAGAAACATACGCACCAACCGTTAATAATGGCTGTTCGCAGATTACGTCCCCGCTAGATAGATGGCCAGTCATTATTGGTGATGAAAACTTCAGATTTAAATACTCACTCTGGAAATCGGCCGTTGACTCGTGCCACGTATTCCTTACGCACAGTACCCGATACGAATTCTTTCGTGAGTCTCCGAGCACAATCAGAAGAAGTAGGGAGAATCATCAGGCCAGATGTTAGTCGATCCAACCGATTGACAGCTACACTAAAAGTATGAAGATCGAGAGATTTACAATGTATAGTCCAAACTTACTATAGACCTTTTCGTAACCAAAGTCACTCATCAGGATGGCGACTAGCGTGTTCCGGTGGTATCTTCCCGAGGCATGGACAGGCTAGAGTAACGACACAATGAGGTAGAACGTCAATGGCCGAGACTTGAGATAGACGAACGAACTATGCTTCCGGGTTTATCTACAACGATGAATTCCCTTTCCTTGTCCTCCAATAAAATTCTGATGGGCGTAGCTGTCACGGGTGGCTCATGCCGGTGTACAACATTTCTGCGCAAAGGTATGGATACGACTGGCGATAGAAGAATCGATATAAAACCACCAACTCCATACGATCTCCGTTTTGTATTATGTGATTCGGGCTTGCGACTTGGCCATTGATGGTCGTGACTCCGGATTCTAGCGCATATCTCTAATTGAGCTGGTCAAATTTTTGAGCAGGAAAAAATGGCTTCGTCAACATACATAGTACTCCATGGACCGATCTCGAAACTCTGTTGACACAACTTCCAGTAGTTCCCGTCCTATCCATCTTTGCTTTGCGTAAGTGGTATAAGGGTACCAGTAAGGTGGTATCTTTTTCAATCCTGGACCCGTTGCAGGCATTGTTGAAACTTGACTGCCCAAGCTTGCCATGATCATACAGGAAACTATATGTTGAAATTGTTCCTGAACAGAAATTAATGGCGGGGGGCGAACGACCCGAACGCGGCTGATTATATTTGAGAAATTTGAAGACGCCACCGTGCTCGAGATGGAAGTTCGAGTTCAAGAAAAAAAAGATAACACGTTTCAAGAATAAAATTTGATGTAAAAATTGAATACATAGATTATTATGAATACTGTAGGCTGTATGTAGCTTTGAGGAGTACCAGGGAGTATCGTGTCAAGCGACTACGTATATCCCGTTGTCCAAAGGAGCGTCAGTCGAAAAGGTAGGACACTTTGGGGTGTTCAAGGAGGTTGTGACTGTGCGCCGCAAAAGTAAAATTTGCCTAAATCAACGCTCTTTTCGATACCTTATCTGTGCCACTTGAAAAAACAGCCCCTTAAGAATTTCAATCTTTTGCACACCGTCCAGAAGACTATGGAATACAGCAAGAATCGCTTTACCGTATTGCCTACCTTTGAAACCGTTGACTCAACTTCAACCGACTGTTTACATGCCATTCTTCCCGGTCAGCTGAGTGCCACAAGCTCAAACGCGACGAAGCACGACGATAGATGTCAAGGAAAGGAAAGGATAACCGGCTTGGGTAATGAATTTTCTTCTGAATCAGACTATCAGCGTCCAAAATCTCGCGACTGAGCCTAGCTCCGTACTACACCCTCAATACTTGCTATGTCTCGAATTCCCGTATAAAATCGCTTGAGGCAGCGCAAGCCGACTCAAGCCCAGCCTGGGGTGAAATTATTGCTTCTGGAATCTGGATCTGTGCCAACCATATGGCGTAACTGACCATAGGAATCTCATGAGGACGCTGGCAGCCTTGCAGCCCTTGCCAGCCCAAAATTTCGCAAAACTATCTCCGACGAATAGAGCCTTCGAGCAAGCTTTGCGCGCCGAGGACCCGAAGAGCCAGACGTCTCAAACAGGATTGTGACTTTTGGAGCGGTCCCCAACGGCGTTTATCTGCAGCCATGAAAATTCTTACCAGAGAAATGATGGGTGAGAAATTTCCTCTGGGCCTACTTTTTGTGCGTGCTCCTTACTACTGTTAGCTAGTAGCTTACGGTGCACATAGACAGAGTGATGATAATCCTCCTGCGCCAAATACTGGACAGGTTGAGAGACGACTGCAGTTAAACCAAGATAAAGCAAAATCCAATCGAACTTCGACCTAAATAAAATTGCTGTAAATTCATAACGATAAGCAAGGTACTTTGAGGTACTGCTAAATTCCGCTGTCGCATTGTGACTAGCACTGATCATACCCTGAATGAAGTCTAGTCAACTGTAATAGAATTACATCTCGCTTCTTGTTGTTTTCTACGCGTGAGCGCCTGGCCCAGTGCGTTTTCTATGTATCTTCCTTCGAAATCAAGCTTGTTTAGAGCTGGCTAGTGCATGAATGTGTCTCAGCTTAGAGCCAAACTCTTTGAATATTCAATGTTTACCTGCACCACACTCCGTCAAGTTCAACAACTTCCTCATTCTATCTGTCTGACAAGCCAACTTTGTTCAGCGTGCTAGGCCGAGCCCACACATTACCAGAGCTGCGGAGCCGATCGCACAACGGATTAATTTTTATCGCAAACCAGACCAGGACCAGACATTTTGAAGGTCCGTTCGGCTCCGGATCCATACCCACGAAGGTGTAGTTGTACATAAACTAATCATTCATTTATAGGCAAATCTCCGTTCGCGTGGTTTGGACAGCCTTTCGACGATTAAATCGCATTGACACTTAACTATACTGACGCTACTAGATGGCTGCTAGGCTCTCCGAACGTCACGGTATCCTGATCTCTTTTTTCAGCATATTCACGATTTCCTTGGTAGATGATGAACATAAAGGTCATGCTGTGTACACTGATATATATGACTTACGATTGAAACGCAAGAACAACAGACAGGATACGCCACACCTTTTGGAATTTTCGCGGGTTGACATATACCGATCTACATATGATATTATACCGACTCTGCGTCGGTAGTGATACTATGTGTTCGGAAGGAAAGGGCGGCAGGGTAGAAATGGAGAGACAAAGGTAGACGTCAACTTTCTGCAGTTCGATTACATGATTCTGACGTTTCTACTTGAAATCACATCAGCAGCCGAATGAAGGAACGTCCGTCCAAGCAGAGACTAGGGTATGTTTGAAACCGCAGGATCCTGAGCAGAATAATACAGCATCGCGGATTGAAGAATTCATCCTCCAAGTTCAGGCAATTTTCTAATCGTTTCATTTCTGGAATTTCAAACTCGCCAGCATCCTATTTACGGGTGGCGCCGTGCATACATGTTCTATCTTTTCATTCTGATTTTGGAATCACTCGTAGTGAAGAAACTCTTATAAATACACCGACAGCTATCAAGCCACACGCGAACATCAGAACACGATGAAGCACGGCGCTGTAGCTACTAGTCGGCTCACCGACGGAAAATTGATAACTACACACTAGGGCCTCGGATTCACTGGGCCCGATGCAAACGAAACGTGTCATGATGCTTGGCCCCTCTTTTGTCTGAGGTTTCCTGAGGCCCGAAAGCCCTATAGGAAGAATCTCTGGCTGTTCTGATACCTACCATACACCGAGGTATCAGATATATCGGAACCAAAGGTACGGATTGCTGTAGTAAAGGAACGGGTTCATCTTGTTTCCTTTCACTGGGACGCCGCCGATTGATAAAATTCTAAATGAACCCGAGCACTTGTTCGACTAAAAGTGGTCGAAAAGTCACGGTGGTCTCAAACGCATGTATATCTCATTAGTTCGGTAGGAAGCATATATATATATGCTATCGACATGAACAGGTGCCCGATTTCCCAGACCATTCCCGACCCTCAAATGGGTTCATGCCAATTCAAGATACATATGTGTCTAAGAAAATGGATGTCGACTTATCAACGACTTCTTACACCTACACCTACACAAGGTCCGACGACATTCAGAATTCTAATTCAAGCTGGACTCCGGAATCTTCCGGGATTTGAGACCCTCAGTCAGTAGAAAGAGATGTTTTATTTGGGCCTTAGACAAAAACTCTCGCTCAATGAAGAAGAGGAAGTGACAGTGATGGAACCCGAATGGTAGGAAACAGTTTTCCGAGCGGGGATCCTATGGAATTTTGCGGAAAGAGTCGAATAATAAAATCTGACACGAGATTGGAGCCTGGTAGGGTTAAGTTCGAAGCTGGATCTGATATTATCGGGCTCCCAGTTAGCTGATTCTTAGATGTATTTCTTGGTCTGAACTACATATCACGATGCAGTATCAGGCGCTATTTAGGCGCTTCTATTTTCCCTCTCCTCTTCCATGTTCCACGAACGACGCTTTTTTACTTCTTCATCCACTGTCGGAAAGACATCGACTTCGATATATTGTCATCCATACTAAGAATGATGACGTTGCATAATCGGCTGCTTTTTTCCCGCTTCAGTCAAAGAATTGACTTACAATGTCCTTATTCACACAGGTGGTCGATATATGCTCAAAGATAGAGACTCCTCACTCTTCTTGCTCCTAGTGCGTTGGCAGTTAATTCATCCAACTGTCGATGGACGATATTTTCATGTGCATGTGGCCAATTAATGACTCGACAATCATGCTTTGAGAAATTTTATCAGTCGACCCAATTCGGAAGAGGATTAGTGCCATGTCACCCGAGATTTAGCGACTCCATACCTATGTGGTATAGGTGTAGCCATCTGCAATCTAACTCAGGGAGTATAAAATTGGAAACCTGTGATAGGACAAGACTTTCGCTGACCTTCGTTCCAGCACTCCAGAAGTGACAAGAATCTGTTGTTTATCGTAGGATTGGCAGCTCGCTCGTTGGTCCGCCTCGTCAACGCGTCAAAACTTGGCTCTTCCTCTGCAGCTTCCGAGCTTGGCCAAGGTGGACGCCATCGGGTATTCATCAGTCGGATATCTAAAGGCGAGCAGAAATCAATGTTGACGTTGAACCTCGATTAATTTTTTTTGCAGTAAAATGCTTCATCAAGCAGTGTCCGGTTTTCGTCATACAGCCACACACGCAAGCCCGGTGCTTTCTTGATTTTATTCGCTCAGGCAACGATTCGGCAACAGTCGTCGATGTCTTCCGATGCGATCCCGGAGCAAAACTGTAAACCCACCCTACTACACCGGTCGTTGCAACGCTTACATGGCTGACTCTGTTGAGCTAGAACGTCTGGTGCAGATTTGCCAGATTTCCAGAGATACGGTGCGTGCTCTCAATGGTGCCACTCCTCACGCAATATACTTATCCTGTCGCATTGAGGTATCCAAATCAATAGGAGAGGGGTTCATTCGGCTTGGGTTCCGCCATTGGGTACGTATGTTTAAGGAGAAAGCCAGTCTCTTTGACAGTCATCCTGATCCTTCCTGATCCTACAGATTCCTATGGATTAATCATCAGTTCTTTTTGGTCGCACAAAACGCCGGCTAGACTATCGTACTATATGAACTAATGTCTCAGGTCAGCTAGTAGAGGCTGGTATGGGTACCTGATTACAAGATGATTGGCGTATTCTATCTGGATAAGGTGAATCGGGAACTCGGACTAGAGCTAAGGAACTAAGCCTAGGAACTGCCTTCTACCTTGAAATCGAAGATTTCCATATTGGGAACTCTTTATGAAAATGTATATAAGAAGTTCACAGCGGCCAGCCCGATGAAATCTTGTATGTACTTGTGATTGAATGAATGACGAGTCTCTTTCAAATTACCTCGCTTGTCTGTCCATCTTGTCTCTGTCCACTAGACTTATACGATATTTTATTCACACCGCTTTTACTTTTTTTCCTATAAATCAAAATCGACACTTGTCAAGCTCCCTTCAAACAGATTCAAACAATTTGTATCAGCCACAACGCGGACGCGACTAAGACGCGTTTCCTGGCCTTCAACTTATTCTTCCTTACCCCGCCGTCAATAATGGGCAACTCGCAGTCCAATAACGCTCGAAAAAGCCGGGTTAATTCAGCTCTCAGGCTCCAGCCAAAAGAACAATTAAAAGCGACCAGCCACACTAGTCAAAATCTTCCTTTCCTGCAAATTGATCCGAATCCGAACCTTGTACGGGCTCAAGCCGTTCGCCGTCGACATTCAAGTTTAGCAACTCCGTCTTCGAGTACTACGAGGCCTCTTCGACATCAACGCTCAACGTCTGCGATCCTCTTCTCTCGCTTAGGCAAGTTCGGATGCAATTCTGCAACCGTCTCTGTTCTAAGCAGAGAATCCGAATCCGATTCACCCGACTTGTTCGATGTCCCTCACGTTGAAAATGATAAGGCCCGAGCCATGTATCTTTCACAGTATAGCGATGAACCTCCTACAAGCCCTAGTACGACTACGTTCAGCAAAAACAGCCAACTTACTCCACCGCCGCTGCTTCCGTGTTCACCGCCTTTCCATCTCGCTTATTATACTCCTACAAATGCGGATGGTCGCCAAATCCCAGGCGACTCAGCAGTAGAGGCAGCCTATGATGTGTTCCTGAAGCAATTTCCTCGTGAGTATGACCATTCTCACTTTATTACCTTTATCGAACTAATTTCTTCTAGAGTATCGCCTCACATGGATTCTTGACACCCTTCGACGCACAGACTACACACGCCTCTCGCGAAACTCATCCCAACACGAAGTAGAGACCTACGTCGACTACATGGGTGGCTCGCTCTATCCAGAATCCCTCATCAGGGTCCACACCGAATTTCTGGCTAACAACGTACTAGGTAATACACATTCAATCAGCGCGAGGTGAATTCTGTCGGATCGTATGTTCCAATTTCAACTCTAACTAGGCACCCTCAACTTAGTTCTCAGCTTTCGCTAAAACATGCTGAAGAAGCGAGGAGAGCCGTGCTCGAATTTTTTGATGCTTCGCCTAACTCTGATTTGGACAACGATTCGGATGAGTACACAGTGATATTTACGCCGAACGCGTCAGGGGCACTCAAGCTCGTCGGGGAAGCTTACCAATTCTCAAAAAGTACACTCACTTCTGTCATATCACTCATACTTGAAACTTACTCTACCTCGACAGACAGCACTTTTATCCTCAGCACTGACTCGCACAACAGCGTGAACGGTATCCGCGAATTTGCCAGGCGAGGAGGAGCCAACGTAGTATACGTTCCTGCTGGGGGACAAAAAGGCAAGGAAGGAGCGTTCGATCTAAAGGAGGGTAGGGTACGAGCATCTTTACCTGGTTATATGCGCTTTTCTTGATTTATTTCTGCGTAACACTTCTAGAGGATATTACGAAGAAATAAACCACCACAAGGCACATCCAGTTTGCTCGCATTGACAGGGTTGTCAAATATAACCAACGCCAAATGTCCAGCATTGTATTCCCCTTCAACTTCTTCATCGTCTTCCGCAGAAGATGGATCGATTGTGACATACGCAAGGAGTCTCGGATATCACACCCTCCTCGACGCAGCAGCATTAGCGCCGACCTCGCGAATATCACTTGCACATTTACCTGTCGATGCCCTCGCAGTGTCATTTTACAAAATGTTTGGATTCCCTACGGGTGTCGGAGCGCTTGTTGTTAGTTGTTCCCCCGATTTGTGATGCTCCGCTGAAACTCATGTCCCTCTCCTTTTAGATACGGAAGGGCTTTCTTCGTCAACTCAAGCGAGGTAGGCCATGGTTCGCTGGAGGTACCGTGGATGTTGTGCAGGTTCCTGGTAAAGTCCGTACCATGAAAGGTGTGGGAGAGGAATTCGAAGGGTTTGAGGTAACTACCTTGATTTCTTTTGAATCGTCAATGAGTGCTTACTCTGAATTCGCAGGACGGAACGATCAATTACCTTCTCCTCCCTGCTATAACGTCCGGACTACACCTGCTATCCGCTTACCTCCCGTTTCTTCCTCTCCGCCTTAACTGTCTTTTGCGTTATCTCGTTACAGAACTCGGTAGAATACAACATCGAGATCGAGAAGGGCGGCTGATAAATAAATTCCGAGAAGGGGAGACGGAAGGTGAAGTATGCAAAGTACTTTCACGAGTACCAAAAAAAGTGTTGAAGACTGTGGGAGAAACTGATGAAGAGGCAGGCGCAGTGATTTCCTGCATTTTCTTGGATGTGAGCCCGACCTTTGTCCCTTCACGGCACACGGTACTTACGTTCCGTTTTTCTTTCCTCACGCCTCCAGGAAGCGGGTGAAACTCTCCCTCTTGCATTTATCGCACATTCCGCTGCCCATGAGGGCATTTCCCTTCGAACCGGGTGCATGTGTAACCCCGGCGGAGCTGCTGCCCTTCTGGGAATCCAGGAGAGCATGAAAGACGTGGAAGAGGGCGGAATGATGCGGGACGGAATGACACTGCGGGAATTCGAGGAAGAAGTCGAACGTGAACGCAAGCGGAGGGGAATGCTTCATTCTGCGAATGTCAGTCAACGGGTCTCAGAAGAGCAAAGAGGAAGGACGGAGCTCGGCTTAGTCCGGATCAGTCTTGGACTTGGTTCCGATTGGAGCGATATCTGGCGAATATTGCAGTGGGCGAAACGAATAGGTGATTCGGTCGAGCGAAAGGAGATGTGGCAGAGATGGTTGGGACAGCAGGCAGAGCCAGTAGATGAATGGGAGGAAGTGGAAGGAGGCGCGATTCGACGGAGAGGTGTGATTTCGTGTGTTCCATGCAAGGGCAACGAAGAAGATGCGACATGTGTGCAGCGTATCTCATTGGTAGAAGCATGGGATACAACCATTGGCAGGGCTATCTGATCGACTTTTCTGCTTTATTATTCTTATTACCTATTCGAGGGGACATTATGTATATCATTTCTATACGATGGATGTATTTCAGGAGTGCGAAAGCAACTTTTTCTACTTATATTTCGTGTACATACTGATTCGATTCAAAGGGACGATTTTGATTACAGAGATGAAAAACAAGCCAGAATATATACATATGCCTTATGGATCGATTAGACTTCGGTTTTTGAGATGATGCTAACCTTCAACGGCAACTGGGAACCTTTGTCAAGTTCACCTTCGATCGTGGGCACCATGGCCAACGCAGACTCGCGACGGATTTTAGCCAGCTTGGGCGTAGTCTCTAGCTCGAAGTTCCTAAGGAGGACCACGATGAATGCTTGTAACTCAGTTACGCTGCGTTTGACTATTCTCAGATTGAAAAATGGACGAAAATAACATTTACTCACGCAAACCTCCAGGCAATGCACGAGCGAATACCAGATGCGAAGGTGGCACTACAAAGAAATGGTCAGTCCATAAGAGAGTGCACAAAACGTTGACATACAGGTTTGCATATACTCCAAGAGAAACCTCAGCTTTGACCCGCCCTTCGAGCCAACGGTCAATGTTGAATTCGAACGAATCTGGAAGGAGATAAATTTAATAAACAATTGATGAATGTTCCAGATCACAGAGATACTTGCCTTCGCCAAACACATCCTTGTTCCTTGTCGATAGAACATGTCAAGGTCGGAAAGTGTTCGGATCGATATGAAGTTGACTGACCTATTATATGCTGAAGCCGACCCTATCACCTGTGTACCTTTGGGAATATGTATCTCACTAATGATTTCGCCGGATTTGCCAACTATAGGCTTCAAGAGTGGAAGAACGTCATCTTCGTAAGCGGTCCTGTAGAGATGAATCGCGACTGGATGGTAGCGAAGAGTTTCCTGGAAATTGGAGAATGAATGAGAGCGATGGATGAGTGAAGGGTGAGGTGACTACTTTGGACATAGCGTTTAGTACGGGCATTTCTTCAAAATCTTGCATGGTGAACTCTTCCTCTCCGCGGTCGGCTATTTTTTCCTCGGTAGCCCGAATCTCTGCACGTAGCCTAGCTTGAAGTTGGGGGTTGCGAGCGATCTCTGAAATGAAAAAAGTCAGCGGCAACTACGAACAATGGCTACGTTGCACTTGCCGTATGCTGCCCAGCAAATTGTGTCTGTGAAAATGATGATAAGGATAGGCGACTCTATCGTAACACCAGAACTGACTTGTGATCGTTTCATGACCCCCGAAGATGAGAGTTCTATCGTGAAAGTGGATATGAACAGCGCGGAAGAGGAAGACGGGAATATGATTCACACCTCATTTGTGCTAACAACTCTTCCTCTGTGAGCCGCGATTTCGGGTTCTCCGACAAATTAGATTGAACTGCGTTCGATATCTGTGTAAATCGCGCGATGATTCAGAGCAGGAAGTGGCACACCCAAGAATGTCATGATATCTTTGTTGGGGTTTCCGCCCTTGATATCCTCCGTTTTCTGGGCGATCAGTCCACTAGCGACTTCATTTGCGACGCCGGCCACACGGTGGAGAACCTTCAACTTGGGATTGTGATCGTTGATAAATTCCATGACAGCTGGTGGGACATGGCGGAATAGATCCAGCATCAGGACAGCAATATCAGGCGGGGCACTGAAGGCATTGGCACTATTTGAAACTGGTATCAGTAAACATTGTCCTAGTACTTATACGAAACAGAGATCCTGACGTTAGACTCTCATACAAGTTTGCCAACTCGTTCTCATGATTATTCGTGGAACCAAAGTCATAATCGAATGCAGCTACACGAATGAAAAGGCGTTAAGAAAGTTCTCCAGCTAAACCATAGTGGTCACCTTGTCCGATCGCGTCCAGCGTGGCACGCGATACATATTCCGGGAAGTTGAAGACATGAGATTGGCCACCGGTTCTGGAAATAGTTCCTTTCCATCCAGAACACATCTGATGTATCCTCAGCAAACCTGGATACTAGATGGAGGGGGGAATGCTTACTGCTTCGGCGCAGCTAATGAAGAAAGGAACAAAGTACTTGGTTTCAGGGGCACGGAATCCAGGTAGCATGACTTTACGCTGACGTGTATGTACATCGCCTAAAAACCCATCAATAATGCACAGTCTACATAGCAGACAGATGTTGCAGACGTACCATCCGCCCAAGCCAGTCCCTTTCCAGATGTGAGCCTCGCGATTTCTCTACGGACAGGACTTTTGCGCCATTTATACCCTGATGACTGCAGTACATGCTGCATGTGCAGATTAAGTATTTTCTCAACGAAGAGCTGGGTTTATAAGACTCACCTGAAGAGCTTTGGGATCTGCAACCATGAGTTGATCGGTCTGTTAATGCAAAGAATCAAGATCGGTTCGCGAAACATGAACAGCGAAGGCCACTTACTCCGAAAGACGCTCTGAAGCGAACAACATCCCCATATTTGCGTTGCCACTCGAATTCAGCCTATAAGAATTTTCAACAATCTGCGCCATGAAGACTGGCTTCCACCCTCACCAAGCCCGCTGGTTGCTGCAAGATTTCACGCAAGTTTCCTGATTGGATAGACCTTGTTAGGTTCTGCTTATTGAATGAATTTGGCAAACACACACCTAGCATAAAAGACGTCGGTTCAGGGCCTGGGATATTCGAGAACGGTGATGGCTTGTATATTCTGTAAGCGACGACGAGGGCGACTAGCAGAGCTAGGATGAGCAACGTCGAAGTCTCCATTGCTAGTGAAAATCCAGATCTTAACCACGAAGGAGCTTTCCGCCTTATATATGAAACGGGCCATTTTTATTCGGACGGAAATATTGAGCAGTATTTTGCCTTCATAAGGGAACGATGAGTGTCGAATAAGGTGCATTTGAATAGGGATCTTACTCACAGACAGAGACTAAGCACTGAATTACCCAGAATTAACCTGGGGCCACCATCACCATTTACCTCAATACTCGGGTTAAGCTCCCCTAGGCCGAATCAACTAATAAGCCAGGCCGATTCGGACAACCGTTCCGTCGTCTGAAGAGAGACAACAACAGGGAGAAGGAGGAGAGGAGAGTTGCCATGATCAGCAATTTAACTGGGACCTATGCTACATTTGATTTGTGTCCATGTAAAGTGGGTGAACGTAGTTGACAGTATTAATTCCAGTATTGCAATAACTTGGGAGGGGCCGCTGTCGTACACAGCGTAGAGGAGAAATCCAAGTTGCGACACTCGCGACCCGTGAAACTATCGGACCGGATAGATGTGCCGAAATAGGCCGAATTTGCTTGGACTTTCGATGGTAGATGTAAGCACTGAGTATTGAGTACATACTTGACTGGTATATCTACTCGATTATCGCATAAATGTATCCACTCCTCCTTATCGTTTTTCATTATCTCGCGCCGAGAAAGCTACTTTCAAAGGCATTTGGGAACCCTTTTCCAGCTCCCCCTCGATTGTGGGTGTCATAACAAATGCTGTCTCTCTTCGAATACGTTCCAAGGCTGGTGTAGCTTCGAATTCGAAGTTTCTGATTAGTTCGACGAGGAATGCCTGTAGCTCAAGCACACTGCACCCAGCGTCCTTAAGCAAGGCGAAGAGATAGGTCAGCGATGTAACTCACGCGAATCTCCATCCGATGCAGGATCTGATACCAGCAGAGAATGTTGCACTAGAAAAGTTCAGAATTCATGCGCGCAAGGTAGAGATATCAATCAAGACGTCCTCACAGATTGGCATAGACACCCAGAGAGACATCGTTATTCACATGCCCGGACTCTAACCAGCGGTCTGGATTGAATTCAAAAGAATCTACATTGGGTGTAAATGGTCAAAAGGTGTACGCGACCGGCCAGTCAGCGTAAAGGTGCTCACCATCCCCGAATACATCTTTGTTTCTGCAATACAAGGATTCGAATGAGCATTTCTCTCGTGTTCTTGCAGTGAATCTTGAATATTGTACCTGTTGTATGCCGGTACAGAACCAACAATCCTGGTCCCTTTAGGCACCACGAGTTCGTGAAGGATTTCTCCTGTTGTCGTTATAATCGGCTTCGACAGCGGAAGGATGTCGTCCTCGACCGCAACACGGAAGAGGTGCATAGCTACAGGGTGAAATCGGAGTGTCTCCTAAGAGAAGGAATGAGGGTCTCCATATGTGAGATATAGACTCATGTGAACAATACAAACTTGATACAAACCTTGACTGTAGCACCTAATAGCGGCATAGATTCCAAGTCTTGGGCTGTGAATCTAGTGTCTCCACGTTCCTCAATGTTTTTCTCAACGCTCCGTATTTCTTTCCGAATCCTGCTCTGCAATTCAGGATTGCGTACCAGCTCGAAAAGCGCAAAGGAGAGCGTGGTTGATGATGTTTCGTGGCCGGCAAATAGCAGAACTCTGAAGAACATATTGTTGAAATCATATATCCTGATGGCATTCCGTTACGCACCGCATTTGAGCAAGAAGTTCTTCTTCACTAAGTCGGGCTTTTGGATGTAGGGCTGCGTCTTGATTGGCTTTTACTGTTCATGTCCTGTAAGTCTTTCCCAGCATATATGTAGGAGAATTCATTCACACACCCAGAAGACTCATGATATCTTTCTTGTTCTTGCCCTCTAATAGCAAGTCCGATTTCGTGTCTACGAGATGCCTTGCTGTGGCTTCTGCGAGATGGGCGACTCGGTGTAGCGAAGAAAATCGGGGGTTGTGATTATTGACGAACTCCATCACAGATGTTGGAACATATTGAAAGAGTTCAAGCAGTAATAAAGCAGTTTTAGAAGGTGCACCGAAAGTTTTGGCCCTTAAGGTTTCTTGACCATTGAGATGGTGACCAGCGACACCAACACGAAGACTCACATCAAGCCTTGATAAAGTTTCGAAAGTTCTGTATCCTGATCTTTCGTGGCTCCAAAATCATAATCGAAAGCAGCTGAAGAAAGCGTGTAAGGAAGGAGGCGCGACGAACGAAAGTTCATCAAACCTTGGCCAATGGCGTCCAGAACTGCTCGAGACATCCACTCGGAGACATTAAAGACCTGATGTCGCTCTGAGGAAGCTGATATGATATCAGTCCACCGAGAGCACAGCTAGATCCAAATAGTGAGGGTTTCTACTATACTTCGGAGTCAAAATAACTCACCACGGCAGCGCAGGAGGAGAAAAATGGGAAGAAATTCTTGGCTTCCGGAGCGCTGAATCCAGGAAGCATGATCTTCCGCTGCCGTTTGTGTACATCACCTGCTAGAGTCTTAATACAAAGGTATGGGCCCGGGAGTGGCGTGTTATCCATACCATCAGCCCAAGCGAGTCCCTTCCCGGATGTCAACCTACTAAACTCTCGTCGTTGAGGAGTCTTACGCCATCTATAGCCTGATGTCTGGAAAACTCGCTGTAGAGCTTTAGGGTCGGATATCATAAGGTAGTCACTCTAAGGAGGAAAATTCGGCATCAAACGTGACTACGATAAGAGTCCCACTGACTCCAAAAGAAGCCTTAAAGCGAACGACGTTCCCATAAGTCTCTTGCCACTCGAAATCGGTCTGCCGGACATTTTGTAAGTCAGAATGCACGCGTACACCTTGAGTCTGCCCACCAATCCGACTTGATTCTGAAACAGTTCGCAAATATGACCTAGAGCAATAATATGTCAAATGCGGCAAATTTAAAAGTTGGGAACAAACCAAGAATGAATGAATGTGATTTAGGACCAGGGATGTTCCAAAAGGGAGATCTTTTGTTGACCTTATAAACGATGTAAGCGCCTATAATGAAGCTAACAGTGAGTAGAATGATTGAAAAGCCCATCGCTGTGTCTTTCATTCTAATGCATTCTGCTTTTATACATTTTTGCAGCAATTCGATTGCCGCGTAGAAAAAATTCACATGCTCTCAAAAGAAGCTGCGATAGATATGTAAACGTCACAATAATGGAAAAGAATTAAAACTTGGTCGTATGAACAGTGGTTGAATAATGGTCAAGAAAAGGGAACTGTTACCGTGGGATACCGCTCTGGACACACTCATATTGGCTTGGAGGGATAAGAATTTCCGGCTAACAGAAACAATGAATACACACTTGCAGTTCAGGTCTTGTACAAGTACAGGTGAGCAAATGACGAGAGCTAAATTCCTAGGAGTCGTCATCCGATCGTTTCGCAAAAGCTACCTTCAAAGGCATTTGGGAACCCTTGTCCAGCTCCCCCTCAATTGAGGGTGTCATAAGAAAAGCCGGCTCTCTCCGAATACCATCCAGAGCCGGTGTTGCGGCAAATTCAAAGTTTTTGATAAGTTCGACGAGGAATGCCTGCATTTCAAGCACACTACGTGCGATGTTCTTCATCAACACAATGTCAGGAAGAGCCGCTAAGACTCACGCAAATCTCCAGCCAATGCAAGATCGTATTCCAGCAGAAAAGGTGGCGCTAAGAAGATTTACGAGCCTGTGAAAACATTGACGATGATTGACTCACAGATTCGCATAAACGCCCAAGGATACACTGTTCTTAACATGGCCTGGGTTCAGCCATCGGTCTGGATTGAATGTAAAAGCATCTGCACGGTCAAAAGCGCTGTGAGAAGTAAGAATAAATTTCAGTGCTTCAGCTTTCTCACCACTCCCAAATACATCTTCATGCCTATCGGACTATGAATGAGCCATTCCCCATGCTCCCAAATGGACAATACCTGTTATATGCGGGGATAGATCCTACTATTCTAGTCCCTTTGGGCACCACCACTTCTTGAAGAATTTCTCCTGTCGTGGCCACAATGGGCTTCATCAACGGCAGAACGTCGTCCTCAACAGCGACGCGGAAGAGGTGCACGGCTACAGGATGAAATCGCAGCGTTTCCTAGAAATATTATCAAGTTCGCTGAATGGACAGTGTCAGAACGCCAGAACCTTGACTACAGCATTCAAGAAGGGCATTGATTCCAAGTCTTGCGCTGTGACTTCAACATCTCCACGTTCCGCAATTTTTCTCTCCGTGTTTCGAATCTCTTTCCGAAGCCTGGTCTGCAATTCAGGATTGCGTACTAATTCAAACAGTGCGAAAGTGAGCGACGTTCCAGATGTCTCGTGTCCAGCAAACAACAAAACTCTGAGTCTATTTCTCAGTCATTTCATCTCTGTGAACGTTGATTTATTGCGTACCGCATTTGAGCAAGAAGCTCTTCCTCATTAAGCTGAAGTTTGGGATTTTGAGAAGCTTCCTTATTGGCTTTAACTGCTCTCGCTTGTAAGTGTCTGCAGTGCATAGATGTGATATAGACACGCACCCAAAAGGCTCATGATGTCTTTCTTGTTCTTGCCTTCTAGTAGCAATCCCAACTTCATATCTACAAGATATTTCGCTGTGACATGTGCAAGATTATTAACTCGATGAATGAGGGAAAAGCGCGGATTATGATTGTCAAGGAATTCCATCACGGAAAGAGGAATGTATCGAGACAGATCAAGCATCAATAGAGCCGTTTTAGAAGGAGTGCCGAAAGTCTTTATCCTGAAGGGTGTAGATTATTCACAACGAGTAATGAGACCGGCCACAGGAGTTGGATAAGGCTCACATCAAATTTTGGTAGAGTTTCGAAAGTTCAGTATCTTGATTATTCGTAGCTCCAAAATCATAGTCAAAAGCAGCTGCGGAACGCGCGTCAGGCAAAGAGGCTCGATAAAGTTCATCCTGTGTTCAGCACACCTTGACCAATGGCATCCAACGTAGCTCTAGATATCCAGTCAGCGACATTGAACACCTGGCACTGCTCCGAAGAAGCTAAGAGCATATCGGTCCAGCGGGAACACAACTGCAACTAACCCATGAGAAAGGCCCACGTCACTCAAATCAACATCACTTACTGCAGCAGCACAAGAAGAAAAAAATGGAAGCAAATGCTTGGCCTCGGGAGCACTGAATCCAGGAAGCATGATTTTCCGTTGTCGCTTGTGCACATCACCTGTTGTCAATTTTTGAGGACAACTGAAAGTCCGTGAGCGGAAGTAACGGGATATTCGTACCATCAGCCCAAGCGAGTCCCTTGCCAGCCACTAGCCTGCTGAACTCACGTCTTTGAGGAGTTTTACGCCATCTATAGCCTGATGTCTGAAAAATACGCTGCAATGCTTTCGGATCGGATATCATGAGGTAATCACTCTGAAGAGAAGACAATCAACTGGGATACTTTTAGTCATGGGTACCACTGACTCCAAAAGAACCCTTGAAGCGAACGACGTCTCCATAATTTTCTTGCCATTCGAAATCGGTCTGGTGAATTGTTATATCAGTCCGCAAGGGTAAACGTCGAGATGATCCTACCAATCCCACTTGGTTTTGAAGTAATTCGCAAACGTGACCTAAATGTTCATGTATTTAGTTAGGTGTGTAGAGATGTATTGAAACTTGACAACAGACCAAGAACGAAGGAATTTGACTTGGGACCAGGAATGTTCCAGAAAGGAGAACGTTTCGTGGCCTTGTATAAGATGTAGGCTCCTATAACTATACCGGATAATGCGATGGTCAGAGAATTCATTTTGGTGCAATCCTTGAGGTTGAGGTAGACTTCTTGCTCTTATACTACGCATCTGGAGCAATCCGATCGTAGCGTACAAGGATTCTCATGCTCGAAAAAGAAGGTGCGAAAGACAAATGACAATAGATGGGCAACGTCAGTTTGGAGCTGAAAATAAGTACGATATGTATTGCCATCGGTCTTAAGAAGAAGACAATCCTAGTTATCCCAAGTCAAGAGACGAAGGATATTGTGCATACGTGATAGAGTCATGGATAAACGAAAAGGATGAACATTGTTCCCTCCTCAATCTCCGCCTTTAGGGGCAAAAGTCACTCGCAAAGGAAGTTGACTGCCCTTCTCGAGCTCGCCTTCAATTGTGGGCACCATTACAAGTGCCGCTTCCCGGCGAATCTTGTTTATCTTCGGGGTGGCAGCGAATTCGAAATTACTCAAGAGTTCCACAATAAATGCTTGCAGTTCGATGACACTGGGCGTATGAAAAAATCGAGTAAGTGACGAGACATCAGTAGAAGCAACCACCTTACGCAAATCGCCAACCAATGCATGATCGTATGCCACCTGAAAAAGTAGCGCTGGATAAAGTGTGAACACCTGGCAATGTTTTCGAAAGCTGGAGCTTACAGGTTCGCAAATGGACCCAAGGAAACCCCCTTTTTCACATGGTTTGGCTCTAACCAGCGATAAGGGTTAAATATATGTGCGTCTTGGTAAGAAAATAGCTCAGAAATTTTCAGTATGGTCTTGCATAGAGTTCACCTTCGCCGAACAGCTCTTTATTCCTATGGATTGGGGTTATAGTAAATCTGTACACAGTAGAAAACCCATAGTCATCGCCGACTAACCTGTTGTACGCGGGTATGGAAATAACTGTTCTGGTGCCTTTAGGAACAGGGAGCTCAGTCAAAAGTTCCCCCGTTGTGGTCGTGATGGGAGTCGAAAGCGGAAGAACATCATCTTCATGAGCAACACGAAACATGTGTATGGCCACAGGATGATATCGAAGAAGTTCCTGGCCGATAACTTATTAAAAGAAGAGGTTGGGTAGACTGGATTACTACAGACCTTGACGGTAGCTCCTAGCAGTGGCATCCCTTCCAGATCACGAACGCTGAGCTCAGGATCTCCTCGAGCAGCGGCAACCTTTTCAGTGGCGCGAATTTCTGCGCGAAGTTTTTTCTGTAGCTCCAGGTCCCGTACGAGTTCGTAGAAGAGCCACGATAGAGAGTTGGCCTGTAAGGATTAATCAATTTATATAAAATTCATACCATACTGATCCTTACAGTAGTTTCGTGACCAGCGAGCAATAGTACGCTGTAAATCTTCTGAAAATTTGGCTCTATTTGTCAAGTGGTAAAACATACCGCATCTGCGAAATCAGCTCTGTATCACTGAGCTGCGCCTTGGGATTCTCACCAGCATTTGCTTTCACTAGGTATTCACGTTACAGATAAGTTCATATGGAAACAACACGGACACACCTAACAAGCTCATAATATCGTTCTTGCCTTTATTTTCGAGAAGGGCATTAGATTTTGTCAACACAAGCTCTCGAGCTACCGCATTAGCGATCTTGGTGACTTTATGGACACTAGTAAGTCTTGGACTTGGATTATGATCATTTATGAATTCAGTTATGGGGGTTGGAAGGAACCGAAAGAGCTCGAGGGTCACCAAAGCGCCGGTGGAAGGAGACCCGAATGCTCTCAGCCTATACCATTAACGATCGACAAATTATACCTGGAGATAAGAAAATACAGGACTAACACCATATTCTGATAGGCCTTCCCGAGCTCATTTTCATGATCATCCGTGGCTCCAAAATCGTAGTCAAACGCCGCTAGATGAGCTAGCATGAGCGAACAAAGTGTTACTAATCAGCAGCAATGGTACGAACCTTGGCCGATTGCATCCAAAGTTGCTCTGGAGGTCCACTCCGGGATGTTGAAGATATACGACTGATTGTCCGAAGTGAACAGGATATCACTCCATCGTCTGGAAATCTATATGGCATTCGAGTTGGTACAACGAGACTCCGGACAAAGGAAGATAGGATATCCGCACCGTGGCTGCACATGAAAAGAATAGAGGCAGGAAGTTTTTGGCTTCAGGCGTTCCGAAGCCAGGAAGCATGACCTTTCTTTGCCTTCTATGTGCATTGCCTGTAGAAAACGCGAGAACGTCAGCAAGAATGCAGACATGATAAACAACCATTGACCATCTGCCCAAAGTAGCCCTTTTCCGGATGTCAACCTGCTGAGTTCTTTACGCTCGCGATACTTCCTCCAGCGATAACCAGATGTCATTAAAATGTGCTGGAGAGCTAGAAGGAAAGCAATTGTTGGGAGGCTGTATCTGTTCGGGTAATGCGACGAACTTGCCTTTGGGGTCAGATATGAGCAAGCGATCCATCTGTTCAAAAAATCTCTCAGATTCAAGCCAGGAATGTGATACGACACGAATAATCACCCCAAACGATGCCTTAAACTTGACTACATCTCCGTAAGTTTCTTGCCATGAAAACTCTGTCTATATGTTAAACGATCGAGATCAGTACTTGGATTACAATCACGAAGAATGGACAGGAATGGACTCACCACTCCCGCTTGATTTTGCATCAATTCGCCCAAATTGCCTATGAGCGACATCAGTCTGTTTCAAGAGCAAGAACTAACAGACACACCAAGGAGAAATGATTTCGACACAGGTCCAGGTATGTTGTCTAAAACAGTGGGCCTTGTAGCCTTGTAAATAGCATACACAATCGCGAAGACGACGAGTAGAACTGTCAGTGTTAGCGTTGAGTGTTCCATGTTGGTGTAATAGAATGTGGTTGACAGGCATTTATAGACCTTTTTCACATAATAACCACGAGTAAGGATTGCGATTCCCAGCGCATGCAGATAACCCGAGCGAAATTTGTCGGCCTGAATGAGGTCAGAACAAGGTCAGAAGGCCTTTCGAATGCTTCTTGCGCATTGTAACGGATCGATGTCATTATTTTGGTACAGTAACAAAGCATGCCGGGTATTCAAACGAGGAAAGATCACGGCTCCGGGCCATAAGGTAATGAAGTTTGTCCAAACTGAGTACGATTACCACAGCAGGCGAGAAAGGCCACTTGACCGACACTCTAGATGTAGAGGAAGTTGGGAAGGGAATGGCGGACGATTCAAGCTCGTGAGTGAATTCACCAGATGAGAAAGAGCTACAGCGTTGAACGTGACGGCAAGCTAGCTTTTCAATGGCTCTTTGGTTCTTTACGCGGAACTTGAATATTTGAACTCTGGCCTTAAGCTTGAGCTTGAATACAGAAAATATCGTGAGCAGGTTGCTGGCAGGTTGCGAGTGAAATGGGGTGGTCGTTGGCGACGTCGGGCCGGAATTCAGCCACGCAAACTTGAAACGCTCAAAATTCTGTCAATCATTCCCCCAGCTTTTTTGTTGAACATGTCTGCTCTGATTAAAACGATTCTCCCAACAGGAAAACTGCGCGCAAAGCTGGAAGGAAATGATATCCCTGCAGGGTTCAGACTACCGGAACTCGAAATAGTACTGAAGGATGCGGCTGAAGGTTATTGAGTATTGGTGAGATTCTATTGCACTTATTTTCGTATTTGACCAAGGATTCAATTCTAGTCACAACAATGATGCGCTCACCACCATCTTCAACTGAGGGAAGAACAAGAACAGGAGAATCCACAGGCATTTTGCCTGACGCTTTGGTTTACAACACCTTGTTACTTCAATTATTCAAATTTAGTTATTTCTGTGAAGTAAGAGGACGGGATGTTCTGCTCAGTTAGGATGATTAAGTAAACCGAACAACGTTTACAGTCCCTCTGAAAATTCTACCTGAATGTATCTGGGCCTTGGAATGGTTTATCCGTGCACTCACGGATGGATCAGAGCTTCAGTTCCGGACATTTGGCCATATTCTTCCTCATCAGTCTGCGAATCAAGCTCTGTACTTCATGGTGAGCCCCACTTACATCATCATTAATACGTTCTCCATGAGCTCCACATTGCGCATCTTAAAAGCCAGAGAATAAATGTAAGAACTCAGTCGTACAGTAAGGTGGGTAAAATGACTGAGGTATTCCATGATAAGACGAGATATAAGTATGGAAACGAATAGGAGGTGATCAGAGATAAGGTCGTGGTCAACACAGAAAAGGAAACAGGCAGGTATCGGTATACTGCGCATCAAGGCGCACGGGTCAACTCCAACACTCCCCCAGACACGAGCGCCTAGATGATGTTGAGCTCGGAGAGATAGCGATGATGAGCATCACGAGCAAGTGGTTTGGTGAAAAGATCGGCAGGGTTGGCGTTTCCACGGATGAACTCCACATCGATATCCCCTGCTTTGACAAGTTCTCGGATGTAGTGTTCGCGAATGTCGATGTGCTTGACCTTTCCATGGTTACGTGTGTTGGAAGTAAGAGCTACAGCACCTCGATTATCACCCCTCAATCTCCCCAGCTTCTCCTGGGGCAATCCAATCTCATCCATCCAGGAGTAGATCCACTTCATCTGCTGCGCAGCACGAGTAAGGGAGACATATTCAGCCTCCACAGTGGATAATGCAACTGTAGCTTGACGTTTTGAGCTCCAGCATACAGGGCCTCCAGCCATGAGGAAGACATATCCGGAAGTCGAACGTTTGGTATCCCGACAACCACCGTAATCGGCATCAACGAAACCAATGGGTCGAAGTGGTTCATGCTTGGAGTAGGTCAAGCCATAGTAGAGGGTGGATTTGATATAGCCGATGACGTGCATGAGGGCCTTCCAGTGCGCCAAACCGGGATTGGATTGGAATCTTGTGAGAACACTGACTGGGTATGCAAGATCAGGTCGAGTGGCGATTTGTGCCCACATAACTGATCCCAGGACACGGCGATATGGCAAGGCGTCCATCTCTCAACGTTCGGCATCAGTGGTGGGGGACATGTCGTTGTCGAGGAGGATTCCGACAGGAAAAGGAGTGGATCAGGGAGTGATGTGCTCGAGACCGAATCGTTCGATGACATTTTCGAAGTATGGGCGCTGGGAAAGACGTATCGTACCGGCGTCTTGATCCTGATCAACCACCATCCCCAGGAAATACCTATTGTCCCCCACATCTTTAGTTTCCCATTCGCCGTCCAACTCCTGCTTCCGACGTTCCGCCTCTGCACGATTGGATGATGCTCCCCAGACATTGTCTGTGTATGTGTCAGTTAAGGTGAATGATCCGTCCTCCGACCACTTTACTCGAACACAGGGATCAGCGCGGGAGGTGTAATAGCCCAGTTCGTGGTAAGTTTTCGAGAGGGTTTCATACCAATTGTGAGCCCCTTGCATCATCCCATAGATGGTATGCACCAGCTTACAAACCATGTCCTCTTTCCCAGGAATGACATATCCAGGCGGTTGACACATATATATGTCCTCCTTGGTCTCGCTGTTCAGATACGCCGAAACGAAGTCAACCTGCCAAAGATGAAGCCCAAGGTTCGCAGCAACTGCAGCCGACATCCGAACAGACTCCAAGCGCATAACTGCAGCCCAAGTCTTGTTGTAGTCGAGGCCCAGCTGCTGGGTGTATCCCTTCCCAACCAAATGAGCCTTGTCACGGATGGCTTCGCCTTCACCATTCCACTTGATGTCATACACCCACATGCAATCCATGACATTGACCCCCAGTGGTTTCTCTACGAGATCCAGGTATGTTTCTTCATAAGTGTATCGTATTCAGTGTCCATTGCTTTTGACCAACGAGAAGAATCGGTGTGCATTGCTTCACCATACGAGCGAGGGATTCCATGAGAGGATTTCGACTTTGCCATACACGCAATGTAATCATCTATCTCCACGGAGAGCTGGGCCATGGCTGCGCGTGGTCGCAGGGTCTCTTCGGCCCAATCTTCACCTCGGGTACATGCATCAGCTTCGGACTGAACATACTCATGCGATTCCCTAGCAGCGGTGGTTTCAATGATGTGGCGAGTGGATCTGCGAGGCTCGGATGGGATTGGTGCAGTGGAAGTAGGGATGGTACTTGGTGAGTCAGGATTGGTGTCAGACGGGGTAGTTGGCGTAGTAGAAGTGGTCTTTGTGGTAGGATCAGAATCGAGTGCAAAGACTTCATCATTATCTTCATCTATCTCCCCCGCACTCAATGATGTTCGCTTCGGACGGCCTTCTTCGAAGACAACATCGCGAGACACGAAGACACGGCTCGAGGAGCGATCAATGAGTTTGTAATTCCCTCCAGCTGTGTAGCCAAGGAATGTGCATTTGACTGATCGATCATCGAGCTTACTCCCACCATTGACCTGAACGCCATTCACCGTCGGAACTTTGGCCCAACACACAGAACCAAAGACTCGGAGGTGGGAGACGTCCTGTCGCTTCTTAGTGAAAGCTTCAGCAGGGATAGTGGAGGGATGACGTGTCGCAGGAATCAAATTGCGCGTGTAGATGGACATAGCAGCGGCCTCACACCAGAATTGATGGGGTAGACCTGAGTCTCGGAGAAGTGCCCGCGTGTCTTCAATGGTGGTTCGAATGGCCCTCTCGGCAAGTCCATTCTGCGCGGAGGAATGTGGTGCAGTGAGTTCCAATTTTATTCCATGCTCCTTGCAATACTCCTTCCACTTCGATCCTGCGAATGCTCCATCGACCCAGAAAGCACGAATCTTGCGACCGGTCTGGGTTTTGGCCATGGCGCGATATTCATCAAATGCTGCTAGTGTCATGTCGTCTGACTTATCCGCCAAGAACGCTGCGTATTTGAAAGACGTCCCGCTAACGAGCTTGCCTCGTTTTTGTGTGAAAGAGAAAGGAAGTAATCTAATGGGCACTCCAACCAACCAATCTAATACACAATATGCGAGTTCACTGCTATCAAATTTATTTAATAGCAAGGGGTAGTGTTGGCAAAGGTTCCGCAAAGCTTTGAGAGCTAAGTAAGAAGCTTTAATCAATCAATTTGAATCGTTCTAAGGATTCGATATATTCCTTTGATCAAGGTAGATTCAGCACGATTCGTGCTTTGGTTTGTATTGATTTGGGTATATCAAGAATTGGGGGTTTGAATCAAAGTAAATTAAAACCGAAACACACAGACCCCTACGGAGGGCTAGAACTATGTGCTGGCACAACCACACAGCGTGATTTGCCCTTAAGACCAACGACTGATCCTAAGTTCAAAGAATACCCAACAACTGGATATACTTCTCGCAGTCACAAGGAGCAGAACACGACATTCCTATACTCACAAGTGCCGGGCCCGAATGGCTGCTAGCGAAGAGGTTTCAGTCTGGCGGGAGTGTGTCTTTCCTTTTTACGGATTAGCACTGCAACGTCGTCCCAAAATCACTTGTATTCCAGATACATTGGATCGCTATTTATACATACAGAATATAGAGTCGCACAGTACAATTAATTTAATACAATAAACGTTCGGAACCGCAAGGAAACTTCTACACTCGGTCTGATACCATTTAATTTGAATCTACATGTCCTTATTTGGTCCATAATGGTTCCAAGATTCAAGTATACCTCCAAACATAGGTAGGTACTTCGTTATTCATTTAATTTAATTGTTTTGGAGAATGACTCAAATGGTGTTCAACTGTCATTGCTGTTCAACACTTACTTCGATCATTTGTCACCTCGTCCGGAGGCAAATCAGCTCTCCTCGATTCTAATCCTATCAATCTGATTCATCTGGATTAAACTAATTGCTTCTCTCTTTCAACAGACACCCAATGTGCCTATACTCTATCAAGGGAGTTATGCATAGTATTCATTTGATTGCATTGTTCAATATTTTCTACGTCAGGACTCTTTGACATTCATTTGATATGTCTTCGGAGCCTCACAGTACTTCGATCGTTCTTCTAGTCATTTTCCTCAACCATGCAACTTGATTGGTCTATTAGACTAAATCGCAGTCTTTTAGATTAATGCATGATCTCGTTCTAGAAGGAGTATTTGATAACTCCTGAGTTCTAGAAAGTCATTTCGAGTCAATCCTTGGCTCATGGTCACTTGAGTAAGTTCTTCCAAACTCCTGCCAGTGTAAGGTCCAATAAGAATACCCTTGGTATGTCATACGTGAATAGTCATCCTTCGGATGTAGTCCGGGTCTGGTATAATCCTGCTTGACAAACAGGTAGACTGCTATCCGAAGGTAGTATCGGGGATGGGTAAACTGACCAACTTGTGGTAGTATGGGTATATGGTCCCTTCAACTTATTAGACTGATTCAGTATTGACTTTGACTGTCAATCTGGGTCTCAATTACAGTCCTCTCGATACAAATCTATACATGAAAATGTCACAATTCACAGCATAGACGTCTGGCCAAAATTTAGGCGTGTCACCGCTATTGACGATAGGCATCAGATATACCTTTCCACCCGAAGACCTTGTGCGAGATGGACCCCAGAGATCAACCGAAACAAGGTCGAGCGGTTCAACATCTGGATCAGTGGGAACATCAAAGGGACGACATGTCTGGCACGCAAGGATGCAGGATTCACACTTTCCCTCCAACTTGTGACTCGTTACTGCCCCCTTCAGTCCGTCGACCATGTTCTCTCGTTCCATGCGCTCGATAGTCTCTGTACTCGCATGAACGAAACGGCGGTGCCATTGTTCGATGTCAGTTGGGCTACTTCGTGAAGATAGTGCCGCATGATGGTGAGGGCCTGACGTCTGACCTGGAGCTTCCTCAGCATCAAGTATGTACATCCCATCGCGTCCTCGACCATGGAATAACTCCGTCCCATCTTTTCTCTTCACCACCGCAGCATTTCCACCGAATGTCGTAAAGAATCCGGCTTTATCGAGGGCGCTAATGGATATAAGATTGGCAGCAAGAGATGGTGCGAGGAAGGCGTTCTTGAAGGTGATTCTGATAAGTTTTCCCTTCACGCGAAATAGCTTAACCGCCGTGCCCTTCCCTAGAATCTTGAACGATCCAGTACCTTTGATGGCAGAGGCTCCCGGGTCATAAGAGCCATACTCGAAGTCGGTGAAGTCCTCTCGATGCTTCATGAAGTGGTTGCTAGCACCCAAGTCCATGAAGTTCAGAGTAATGGTTGGCTTCTTGGCAGCGAAGGTGGTGGTTATGAAGGCACAACCAGATATGGGTATGTCACACATGAAATCCTCCACTTCTTCCTCATCTCCAGAGTCCCCTACTAACTCAAACTCTGAGCAGGAATCCCTGGCATCAGTTCCGATGTTTGTACCCCAAAAGGTACGGGTTCCGTTCCATTCGCCAAACAAAAGGAGCTGGGCGCTCATCAATTTCCTCGATAGGAACTTGATTGAAATGACGACGCGGTTCAACAACCTCCTCAACAATGATCTCCTGATGAGCTTTGGGATCATGGCCACCAGCACAAGCCGCCATGACGAAATGCTCGACATGGGAGGTAGTGGTGTTGGCTTTGGGGTTAGTGCTGGAAGACCCGGACGTGGTGGTAGAAACATTGGCTCTGGGGTTACGACGAGCTCAGCCAAAATTAGGTGGGAACTGTCCCTCTTTTTCTCCACCCTCCCAGTAGCAGTCGGACCATCCATGACTGGATTTATTGATGGCCTTGCATTTGGGATTCTTGCAGGGAGTATTGGAGTCATGAGATGACATAGCAGCAAGCGCTAGACTGGTGTCTGGGATAGAGGATACGGCAGATTCAAGATCTCCATACAGAGTGTATGCATGTGTCGAGAGAAGTGCAACAATTCCTGTGGATGATGAGATGCCGTATAGAGTCAGGATCAAGGGAATCCAGGTAGGCGATAGGGGAATCGAGCGGATAAGAATACCACAGTAGGTCTTGTCATCTATGGCTATGTCACTGAGATCGTTGACGTTCGCCAACCTAGTGCGCATAGTCTTGATGTGATCGCTCATCTTTGTACCCTCCTTGTACTTCGTCGCATCGAGTAGTCGCTTGGCCTCAGACAAAGCCATCTCTGTCTTGTTACCGTGCACCTTCTCGATGGCATCCCAGACTTCTTTAGACATGCCATTGTCATCTATTCCCATTCCTCGAGGATCCGCAACATTCAAGATGATCGTCAAACGAGCCACTCCATCGCGGAAATCCCATTCCTCGAGCGAAGGAAGCTTCGAGTATACAGGAGTAACAGGGGAATATATTGTGAGTTGGGTGTCTGAGGGAGGACTTGGGCGAGGTATTGATCCGTCGATATAACCCCACAGTCCCTTCCCGGTGAGTAAAGCTTTAAGCTGTAGTTTCCATGACGCTAGGTTTGTCCCCGCAAACTGATGTTCTGCAGATAGAACATGCATGGATGGTATGCTGGACGACATAGAGGTAATTCGTCGAGGTGTAGTGTGTATGTGTGTGTTTAATGTGAGCCGTTTTCTTGCTGCGTTCTCTTGTGACTGATTTAGTGGTTACGGGGCCACATAACCTAAAAGCCAGAGAATAAATGTAAGAACTCAGTCGTACAGCAAGGTGGGTAAAACGACTGTATTGGAGTCTCGTAGTTTACCTAAAAGCCAGAGAATAAATGTAAGAACTACGAGAGTCATGTAAGTAAGTATAACAGAACAAGTAAGTAAAAAGGACATACCTCAGTCGTACAGCAAGGTGGGTAAAACGACTGAGGTATTCCATGATAAGACGAGATATAAGTATGGAAACGAATAGGAGGTGATCAGAGATAAGGTCGTGGTCAACACAGAAAAGGAAACAGGCGGGTATTGGTATACTGCGCATCAAGGCGCACGGGTCAACTCCAACACATCTTTAGTCGTCAAATGCGCGATTCAAAGCTGCCTCGCATCTATTGTGCGTTTTTAGACACCTCCTACTTTCATTAAGAGCTCAATGGGTCAGGAATCAGCAAACCGGAGCTCGACGAACCTTTGGAAGCATTGCGACATCTTCGCGCAGCAATGGACGCAGACCAGGAACAGATAGGCGATACAGGAGACATGTGGAAGGAAAACCCGTATGTTAAATCGAATCATTTGATATGAGCTACTAAGAATCGCGTGTAGTGGCTTATTCTTCATGCACTCCGTAGCTCTTGCTTGGTCAAGAACGGACGATGACAAAGCCAAGGAAACCCTTTCTGGTATCATCAATGACAAGAATATTGACAAGGGCTCTCAAGGCATGATCTATCTTGTCAAGAGCAAAATCTATCTATCTCAGGTTCTTCGACGGCTTGGAGAAGAGCAAGATGCGCAATCACAGTATGTTTCTAAATATTGTCGACTGGTTCTTTGTAATCCAATAACAATGGGCAGTGAGCAATGACTCATCAAGTGGCTCAAGAAGAATCCTCACCGTTTGCCCGACTCAACGCTCGTGGAGATATTCACCGCAGATACCAACATTAAGGAAGACCCTATACTTACTGGTCTGGGTGGCGAAAAGTGGCTGAACAATCGCCGCTATACCCACAAAACTAATGTACGCCTAACCAGAGTCTGTCGGCACTGTCAAGCACGTGAACCTCAAGTCTGTCAGGTTGTAAATACTCAGTTGGATGTAGAAACAACTATATTAGGTACCTGTCAGGTTGTAAATACTATATGTGTTGTAAGTATACTATATGTATGTGGGTAGGATGGGGCTCACCTCAGTTGGATGTAGAAACAACTGAGGGAGCCTTTGTCCGCCGTTCGCAGGTGGCTGATAAACTGTATAGTAGTGTGTATGTAATCGAGCGGAAGCAAAATGTGGACTGTGCGTACGCCGGGCGGAGGGAGTCTAACACCCCCCCTGCTCCGCACGATACAGTCCTAATAACCCAACCATCTTTGCATGGGTCGTCCCGTTCAGGGCTTTAGTGAATATGTCCGCAACATTCATGCCTGTCCTAATTTCCGAGACTTTCACAGTCCCGCTCGCGACTTTCTCCCTTATGTAGTGTTCCCGGAGGTCAATATGTTTGACCAGAGCATGTCGCTTAGAGTTTTCCATTAGACTAATAGATCCGAAGTTATCCCCCAGTAGAGTGACGGGTCCCTCCCGGGTTAGGTCAACCTCTGCAAGGAAGGATTGTAGCCAGACCGCCTGCTGGCACGTCCGAGACAGCGCGATGTATTCCGCCTCCGTAGAAGATAGCGCAGCTGAAGGTTGGCGTTTGGAACTCCAGGAGACGGGAGAGCCGGCCATGAAGAAGACATAGCCAGAGGTAGACCTGCGGGTATCCATGCACCCCGCATGGTCCGAGTCGGAGTAGCCCTTCGGTCTTAGACCCAAGCCTGGAGTATGTTCTTGTCTGGCTACGGGTGCCTCGTAGGTGATAGCGTAGTCGCAGGACCACAGGAGGTAACCCGCGAGCCATTCGACACACTCCCAGTGGGACCTGCCGGGATGGAGCTGATATCTCGCAAGGAGTCCGGCTGCGCAGGAGATGTCGGCACGAGTGCACGTCTGGCACCAGAGTATGGAGCCCACGAATTCGCAGTATGGTTTGCCGGTTATGAACTGCAGATCGTCGTCGGGGAGCGGGGTGGGTGCTTCGCAGAGTTTGACGTTAGGAGGGAGGGGTGTATGGTGCAGGAGCTGGAAGTGTTCGAGCATCTGGAGGATATAGGCTTTCTGGGAAATGGTGATAGACTTCGTAGTCGGGTCTTGCTGTATGTTCATGCCTAGTAGGACGTGGGATGTAACTTCACTAGACTCCCACCGTTTTGCTAGGTCGTTCACTGCTCGCAACCTCCCAGCCTCCGTGGATGTTCCTCCGCACACGTCGTCCCCATATGTGCTGGTCAGGGTGTATTCGGCGCCATCTCGACGGTAGCGAATGCAGGGGTCGGCTCTGGACGTGGTATATCCGTCATCACGGTATCCGGCAGCGAGGGTCTCCTGCCAATCATGGCTACCTTGCATGGTGCCATAGATTGACTTCCTAAGCTTGCATACTTTGTCTTCGTCACCTGGGCAGATGAACCCATCTGGTTGCCGCATATACACGTCGTGTGAGATGGGGGAATTGAGGAAAGCGGCCGTGAAATCTACTTGGAAGAGGGAGAGCCAGAGGGTAGCAATAATAGCCAGCACGATCTGCACCGACTCCATACGGGCAACAGCTCCATATGTCTTGTCGTAGTCCTGGCCTTGGATTTGTGTGTAGCCCTGCGCTACCCATCGCGCTTTGCATTTGAGCACCTCCCCGCCCGGTCCCCATTTTATGGCGTACGTCCACCTTCCACCCGTGAGGTTTGCATCTGGTGGTAGATGCACCAGTTCCCAGCAGCCTTTTGCAACGAGGGTGTCGTACTCTGCCTTCATGGGTGGAAGCCAGATTTCCGGAGCTTTCATCGCCTGTTTGAAGGTGGACGGTAACGAGCTTGCCTCGTTTTTGTGTGAAAGAGAAAGGAAGGAATCTAATGGGCACTCCAACCAACCAATCTAATACACAATATGCGAGTTCACTGCTATCAAATTTATTTAATAGCAAGGGGTAGCGTTGGCAAAGGTTCCGCAAAGCTTTGAGAGCTAAGTACGAAGCTTTGATTAATCAATTTGAATCGTTCTAAGGATTCGATATATTCCTTTGATCAAGGTAGATTCAGCACGATTTGTGCTTTGGTTTGTATTGATTTGGGTATATCAAGAATTGGGGGTTTGAATCAAAGTAAATTAAAACCGAAACACACAGACCCCTACAGAGGGCTAGAACTATGTGCTGGCACAACCACACAGCGTGATTTGCCCTTAAGACCAACGACTGATCCTAAGTTCGAAGAATACCCAACAACTGGATATACTTCTCGCAGTCACAAGGAGCAGAACACGACATTCCTATACTCACAAGTGCCGGGCCCGAATGGCTGCTAGCGAAGAGGTTTCAGTCTGGCGGGAGTGTGTCTTTCCTTTTTACGGATTAGCACTGCAACGTCGTCCCAAAATCACTTGTATTCCAGATACATCGGATCGCTATTTATACATACAGAATATAGAGTCGCATAGTACAATTAATTTAATACAATAAACGTTCGGAACCGCAAGGAAACTTCTACACTCAATCAGATACCATTTAATTTGAATCTACATGTCCTTATTTGGTCCATATTGGTTCCAAGATTCTAGTATACCTCCAAACATAGGTAGGTACTTCAATATTCATTTAATTTAATTGTTTTTGGAGGATGACTCGAATGGTGTTCAACTGTCATTGCTGTTCAACACTTACTTCGATCGTTTGTCACCTCGTCCGGAGGCAAATCAGCTCTCCTCGATTCTAATCCTATCAATCTGATTCATCTGGATTAAACTAATTGCTTCTCTCTTTCAATAGACACCCATTGTGCCTATACTCAATCAAGGGAGTTACACATAGTATTCATTTAATTGCATTCTTCAATATTTTCTACGTCAGGACTCTTTGACATTCATTTGATATGTCTTCGGAGCCTCGCAGTACTTCGATCGTTCTTCTAGTCATTTTCCTTAACCATGCAACTTGATTGGTCTATTAGACTAAATCGCAGTCTTTTAGATTAATGCATGATCTTGTTCTAGAAGGAGTATTTGATCATTCCTGAGTTCTAGAAAGTCATTTCGAGTCAATCCTCGGTTCATGGTCACTTGAGTAAGTTCTTCCAAACTCCTGCCAGTGTAAGGTCCAATAAGAATACCCTTGGTATGTCATACTTGAATGGTCATCCTTCGGATGTAGTCCGAGTCTGGTATAATCCTGCTTGACAAACAGGTAGACTGCTATCCGTAGGTAGTATCGGGGATGGGTAAACTGACCAACTTGTGGTAGTATGGGTATATGGTCCCTTCAACTTATTAGACTGATTCAGTATTGACTTTGACTGTCAATCTGGGTCTCAATTACAGTCCTCTCGATACAAATCTATACGTGAAAATGTCACAATTCACAATATAGACGTCTAGCCAAAATTTAGGCGTGTCAACGGGACCCAGGTGTCGCTAGTAGCCGACGCGAAAGCCCAGGGGTTTGCAGCTATCAGAGCGAGTGTTTGGCCAGCTGGCGGCGAGTCGGTTGCCCACTCCTCTCTGTTGGCCTGTGCATCCTGTTCCCGCTCCTCTAGGGCTTGGTTTTCAATGGTGATGCGCGAAGGGGTGCGTATGCGGCTACTCCGTCACAGTGGTGCTGGGGGGGAATCGGAATTATGAGAAGGTAGTGGTGGAGAAGAGTCGGAAGTGGGTCCGGGTAACCGTGGTTCGTTGCCTTCTTGATCTGCAAGCTGTTGATCAGTGGGTCCATTGGTGGGTCCAGCTGGTTCTAGGTCACCTGCAGGTTGGCTTCCTCCCAGTTCGTTATCATCGGTCTCAGGTGAGAATTCCCTGGAGCGATGAGCTTTGCCTTCCTCGAATCTAACATTCCTTGATTCCATGAAGGTACGGCTGGGTTGGTGCCACAGCCGGTATCCTCTGCGGCCCATGTACCCTATTAGCTGGCACTCGACGGCTTGGCGCGCCAGTTTCCCCTCGGTTCTGACTTCAGGGAGTGTGGCCCATGCTCGGCAACCAAACGGTCGTAAATGCGATACATCCTGGCGTTTATTCAACCAGTACTCGATGGGAACGCGGTCAGGAAACCGTGCTGTTGGCACAAAATTATCCACATACGTGAAGGTGGCACAGCCTCTGCCCAGAACGATCGGGGGAGGCCTGATTCTTCGAGGAAGGTACGTACTCCCTCGATAACAGTCCTGTTCCCTCTTTCAGCCATCCCGTTAGCAGAAGATGAGTATGGGGTTATCTTCTCGATGACGATCCCCCAGTCGGCACAATAGGCTTCCATCAGGTCATTGTCGAATTCGCCTCCACCATCAACCCGTATTATCCTAATCCTCTTCCCGGTTTGGTTCTTGGCCATCGTTCGGTACTTATGAAATTCCTTCACTGACGTCTCCTTCCATTTGTCCTTGAGAAATGCAGGGACTCGCACCGATGACACCCCGTCGGAGAAAAGCATCATGTACCTTGCACCCCCGATGCTCTGGGTGGTGGCTGGTCCCCAGAGATCGATGTGGACTCTCTCAAGGACCTCCGTTTCGTGGGTGAGCTTCTCGTCAAATGGTCTACGCGTCGCCTTCCCATACAGGCAGTCGATGCACATTCCGGCTGACCTTTTTGACTTGATTTGTAGACCGTCCACCAAGCCCTGACTCTCCATTCGCAGGATCCTTGGTATGGCTACATGCCCCAGGCGTCGGTGCCAGGTATGTATGTCGGCTGGTTTCTCGTGGGACCTTGCTGAATTAGCTAGCGTCTTGCCTAGGATCTCCACTTCATACATTTTGGTCTCCCCTCTCCCCATCATCACTACCAGTCCCTCAGGGTTCTTGACACTCAGTACTCCATTGCCCCACTCCCCTTTGAAGGCTCGTTGGTCAAGGGATGACAAGGAAATTAGGTTATGTCCAAACTCAGGTGTGTGCTTTACATTCAGGAGTCGGATTCGCCGTGCTACCTCTCCAACTCTGGTCAGGAACTCGACGGTTCCTACGCCATATATCTTGAATCTTCCGGCGTCCCCGGCTAGCGCGCTGTTCCCGCTTTGCCCTTGTACTTGGCTGTATTCCACAAAGTCGGACCTGTTCACCCAGCAGTGTTCGGTCGCTCCGGAATCGATGAATGTTCGGGTGTATGAGGTCTTTACAGGTGCATAGAGGAGTGTATTGCTTCGGCGTGCTGCACATACTTGTGGGCCTGGTACTACGTAGTGTTTATGTACGTCTTCACTCCCATTCCCTTTCTTTGTCCCCTGATGCTCCCACCCTCTCAAAAAGGTATGATCATTGCTGCCGAGGGATCTGTCAGTTGGGGTCGATCTTTGGCGGGGAGTACTGGATGGCAACGTACTTGCACTGTCTCTGGTAGTGTCGGCTGACAGGACATATGTCTCCAGGGGCGTCGCGGTTGTGTTTGTCGTGCTAGCTGTGGCTGCTACCGCGTTTCCGGGGTTCTGGTACCTATTCGGTTCGTTGTTCTTATTGAACCTCCAGCCGTTAGGTCCTTTACCCTCTGCACCCCCTCCCTTTGCCCAGCACTTTTGGGTGGTGTGGCCGACCTTCCTGCAGTTGGGGTTTGCGCAGATCGGCCTGCTCTTGTCTGGGGCCTGTGCACTTGCTATGTGCGTCGCCAGTAATGCCTTCACTTTCTTCTCCTCTCGCTCCTCTTCCGTTCGCCTCTTCTCTTTCTGTAGCCAGATACCTTGGAGATGGATAAAGGCCTCGCTGCTTGTTTTTCCAGGGAGGTGCCTAATGTCGGCATCCCAGTCCTTAGGAAGTGATGCGAGGACAATTACGCGGAATTGTCCATCTGTTGTCACTGCGCCAGCATTTGTGGCCTTCCTGAGTAGGTTTCGCATGGTTCTTTTGTGCTCCTCCATTGTCTCTTCAGGGTATGCATATCGGTGAGCTCGGAGGTTGCTGTCGTGGAATAGTAGGAGTTCTTCCGATTTTTGTTTGAATTGTTTGACCAGCTCCTCCCAGATTACGGATGCGGTTTCGGTGTAGTCTACGCCTAGCCTGGTTGGTGTAGTTGTGGTGGTTGTTCCCTCTGGGGAGGTTACAGTTACTGCGGGCTTTGTGTCGCTGGGCTTGGGTATGGTCCCATGTAGGTACCCTTGTAGCCCTTTTGATTCAACTGCGAGACTGTCATATGCATGCAATTCACCCTATACGCTTCCCGGCCCGGCCCGGAGCGGCCGGACTTCGGAATAATTACCTTGTGACTTATTTATTATTCCGAGCTTTCATCGAGGTCTTATGACTACTGTATTTGGGATGTATATAAGCTAGAATACTTTGTACATTGTAGTCAAGCTTGAAATCAAGTGTACCATCTTATCCCAGTCTTTAATATCTTCTTTACCCTTTGCTTCCGGACTCCCAGATCATCAGGAACCCCATTTAGGCTGCTCATCCCAATCTTGCACTCTTGCCATAATTCCCGGGGACACCAACAGTGTGTGAAGGGTGTTGCTAATAGCTTCACCGACGTCCCACTTCCAGTGTGTACTACAGGCCAATACTCAGTTCCGGACCTCGGAATTATCCCGGGCCATTCCTGGGCCAGATCCGGCCTCAGAACCTCTATAGCTATTGACTTGTAGGCACGATCTTGTCAGAGACTAACTTCTCTCTTGTACGGCCACCAGTTATCCTCCCCCTCGAGTGCTAAACCCGTGGGGAATCGTTGGACATTCGGCATGTTCGATGACGATGACATCGTGGTTCAGGGGCTCTGTATGGATGTAAGTTTATTTTTGTTGCTCTTCTAGATAGCGAGTCTCATAATCTGTCAGGTTGTAAATACTCAGTTGGATGTAGAAACAACTATATTAGGTACCTGTCAGGTTGTAAATACTATATGTGTTGTAAGTATACTATATGTATGTGGGTAGGATGGGGCTCACCTCAGTTGGATGTAGAAACAACTGAGGGAGCCTTTGTCCGCCGTTCGCAGGTGGCTGATAAACTGTATAGTAGTGTGTATGTAATCGAGCGGAAGCAAAATGTGGACTGTGCGTACGCCGGGCAGAGGGAGTCTAACAAAGTCAAGTTGTCTCAATGTAGTCACTGTCGGCATATCTTCTACTGGTGCGTTTCGTATGCTCATCACCAATTCACCTCCCTTATCATAGTTCTCCGTTTTCGAGATCTACAACATATTTGACCCAAGCCTCGGGGGTTAATCAGAAAAGCTTACAAGTTAGTGGCTTCAGAACTCCGTGCCCGTTCATTCTTTCTCATGGGTCACATCTCTTACAGAGAACACGCAACCGAGTTGAAAAGAATCGAGAACCAAGCTCCGCACAAAGCCCACCTCGCAAGTGATTGGTATACATGGAGGGTTGCTCCCGTCCCAGCAAACATAGTCTGCCTTGTTCATGCGCTCGGCTTCATCGCGATCCCTCACGGTCCCGTTCACATATCGTTTTCAAGCAAATTGAATACGTTCCCAGTGCTAAAAGCTGCCAAAATAAATTCAAGGTCGTAGGCGCAGTTGTGTACAAACTGGATAACGTCTGGCAGGATATCGAATATCGAAGCCGCAATGGCCCTGAACAAAGGCGTGGGTAAGAAGTACATCAAGGAGATGTTTGAGGAATTCGACCATAGTTTTGGAAAGGATATACTGCCAATGTTGGACTTGATGTTTGGCGCGGGAGGTATTCAGACGTATCTTGGTATCCATGAATGATCATCTTATACTCGATGCTGATTATGACTTCCTCAATTCTGCTATCTTCCTGTGTCCATGCAGAGGAAATTAGCAAGGCCCAAATGGAGGGTTATACCTACGATCCAAATTGGAAAGACTCGCTAAATAGCGGGAATGAACCGATCAGGTCTCCCAAGTTACCCAGGGCAAGTGTACAAGATTCCGAAAAGATTTTCTAGATCAATATGCACCAATAATCTATGCTTCTTTATTCAAAATTTCTATAGCTTAATAACGCGTCTTCGTCAAGAACAGCCGTGTGTTTCCGTGTGTGCGGCTCCGGCATCAATGTATGATAATGATGATTATTTGATATAGTTGGTTGAAAAAATGAGGTGTAACTTGAAGGGGTAAGTGTTCGTACGCGACGCTTTGACTCGTGAGAACCACCGAGTCTTCGTTGCTGTCATCCACGTATACATATGTACTCCGCCATATGGGACTGCAGGAAAGACATGCTAGCGATTTTGGATGAAGCAGTGGGGAGACCACACTGTGCGGCATGCTTCATGCGGCCCACCCTCGACTGGGTAAAGGCCACTCCGGTTGAATAGAGTCTGCGGCGTTATCTATCGCATGCATGCCTCTACGCATGCCTGACCATCTATGTGAGTTGAAAGCTAAGGTCAATACATTATCCAGTAATCGCTGCGCCCTGCTTATCAAGCCACCTTTGGTAACCAGCTTCCCAATTACCCATTCCTTATCCTTCTTATCCTCGTGGATACCTTCTCGATTTCTTTTCGGAAAGTGGTGTCGAGGGAAGATTCAGGGGAACCCTTCGGTTGTACGGATAGTTCCAAATTGATTCTTCCAGGTCAACAAGTGATGACAGTGCAGGATGTTCTTTGACCTGCCCGTTTATCGTTGTGCAAGCCACAATTCGTAAACATCGATTCCTCTACTGGACACTGAACAAACTCGGATCCGACATTCATCATTCTTGGAGGCCTTCCTTCAGGACGCGGATGAAGCTATCTCCACACTCATTCCAGTTTGAACCAGGTCTGAACCGATAAGTTCAGCGTTCGCGCCACAATAACGTGCACGACAGAAACATTTTATGCTATTTTATGCTGTTAAGCAGGCCTAGGCGCGACCCCAATTTATTCCAATCCTGTTCGCCGCTGAATTGTTGTCTTCTGTTGTCTCCCGATGAGCCTGGAGCCTGAAGATTAGAGTCAGACTGGAGTCAGACAAGAATCAGGTACTTAAATTCGATAAAAGAGATTCAACATCGCTTACTGCACTTGGCGCGTTCTCAGGCACAAGTCTTCAGCTCTTCATAATTTTATGGGCTATCATGGGACTAAACCACTCTCGAACTCCCTTGAACCATAAAGGAATGATCAATACATAATTATAGAAGAATCATGAAATCACTCTGTCGCTAAAAAGCATATCATAATCGATAAAAATGGGACGGGGTTTATTGGCCGATATCGATAAATATTGCTGATCCGGTGCTGCAGGAGGCTTTATGCATTATGTATGTTCAAAGACTTCATCGCTCCGATGAGAGGAATTTTCTCAATCTGCTTTACCCTACGCCGCGTCATCGTTTCAGCTCTTCTATCCCGTTTATTTCCCGCATTCAAAGGACTGAGGGGCCTTCACATAACTGCGAAGTTCGACCCACCGAAATTCGATCGGGTTGCCAAATCTCGGGTCATACAAACTTTGATAAAACGGACACATATCTGCCTCATGGGAAGTGCTCGGTCGGCAATAAATGGACGAGTATGTATCACTCTTTTTCCTTTTTACCCTAAAGATATACGCCTCAAATACCTCATTAACCGACGTTTCTTTTGACAGAGGACATTTCTCTAATAACCCTGCAAACTGTCAGAAGATAAAGATGATAGACAGACCTATTCGAGAAAGAGTGTTTTTCCTTGGTGACCACGACTTTCATCAAGTGAGTTGCCTGTATACTTCAAATAGCTTCCTGTCTGATCTTTGGCTGTGCTTTAGTCGTCGTACAAAACAACCAACGCTCATCGTAGGCCCGTAAGCATGATAACTGTCATGCACTCGAACGAAAATCCATCCTCTCCTATGCCGTCTCCCATACGCCGTCACAGCGTCCATCGTCCATTGCGATCTTCACCGCTTGCGGGGCCCGCGCTTTCCAGCGAGGGTCTAGTGATACCGGATGAGGATGTTCAAAGGAGGTGCAAGCCAAACAGGATTTCGTCGAGTCCTGAACTTCCATCAACATCCTCATCCTCAATATACCCGGCAGATATTGATCATCTCCCTCTTCTAGCAATCACCACCAGGCCAAGGTTACATCAACGAAACTCGTCACCAAACTACCTGTCCGTCCCGTCCGTCTCCCTGACGAAGTCTCCTTCTGCTCCTTCCCTTCATATGCCCTCAACACCCTCCCCTTTTTCAACGAGTCCAAAACTCTCACTTCGACCGCCCTATATAGAAAGTATTACGTCCTCAACATCCTCAGCTCCACGGTCAGCCCCCGTCGTGGCCGGGGATTGGCTTGTCACCAATACGTATGCAGAGACGCCTCGATTCAGTAGGCTTAATATGGGGTCCAATGTTGTGATGCCCGTACCCGCAAAGGAATATCGCAGGAGGTCAATTGCTAGCGTAAGGTCGATATTAAATATTTCCAGTCATGCGTCTAGCCCGCCTGGACTAGTGCGGAGTCCAAGTGGATCCAGTGGCGTTAGGAGTGAGGAGGCTGCCTCTACCTTTTCTGAGACTCTTCGGAGGGTTGATTCAAGGAAAAGCTTATCTTCGTTAGCTGGCAAAGTGCGCCGACGAGCTAGCACTTTCCTGTCTATCAAATCTGAGTCGTCAGAGGGTAAGAGTGTCGAGAGTGCTCACAGCTTACTCCAATCAAGCAGCGTCACTTCTCTTTCTTCGGTAGCCGATAACTCTGATAACGACTTCCTCCTTTCCCCATCTCTTCCACCTCGATCTCCTCGCTCTGCCCGTAGCCGGGGAAGCTCTAAATCGGACTGTACGATCATTGATGAAGAAGCTGAGGATGATATGCCGGTTACCCCTGATACGCAACCTTCGCCAGAAAAGAGGAAAGAGCATAAACGGGGAACGTTCCTTCTCAAATTTCGTCGGATAGTCGGTGCACACCGTCTCATGCGTCCGCAAGTTTCGGATGTTTCATAATTTCTTATCTTTCATGCTAGAGAGATAGATAGATAGATAGATTGTTACTCGGCCCCACCACGTTAATGGTGTGGTCCCCTAAACGGAACGGCCGGTCTCAACGAGCGAACGACAGCGAGCGCAACCCACAAGGAGAAGGTAGACTGACGCCCGGACGTTGAGGCAGAGGAAATAGATAGAGGTACATGAGAGGGTAATAAAGTATATCCGATCGATAGTTTTTCGTCATAGCTCCCATCCAATTCTTGGTGTGTAAAGGCCTTCCATATCACAACTACTTCATGAATAAATCGCGCAACCCGACGTACTGTACTCCAATTGAATATAAAAGCCTTGAGGTAATACAGAGATTCAACATTGGTGAAAGTCCGAGTTGTTGGTAGGGGGATGAACACGGCGACATCAACGAGGAATTCGTTCCTTAAAGTAGTGATTGCGGCAATTGCAGTGCACTGTAAAAGGACGTGTTGTGGGGATTCAGGTTGCAGCGGTGAAAGACAAGCACGACACCGTTTCGAATGGTTTTCATCGAGGTTGAGTGAGTGAATACGAGCTGGGGAAGAGTGGAAAGTGATGGGCACCATATCCCCACATAGTAGACGGGTGAGTGAGAGACGGTGATGGGATTTGTATACATGCGTGAGGTAGTGGCGGAGGGTACGGGTAATGAGTTTGTTGGGTCCTGTCTTCTGTGGTTCAAGGCGGTGTTGTAAGAGAGCAAGTCGGTTGCTGTAGTCAATCTCGGTTTGTAAGCGCGAATTTGTTTCGGCTGTGATGGACTTGATGAGCGCGAGTATGCTTTCCTCGGAGATGATGGGGAGAGGTGGGAGAGAGAGAGAGCAGCCCGGTAGATGTTGTATCACCCAGTCCAGGTCGGACAGCCAACATGGAATTCCCGAGGCACGCATGTTGTGGTTTTCATGAAGGGCCAGGCTTGCGTAGTGATTCCGAGGGAGATTGATGAGGTAGATGAGGTAGCGCAATGCTAGGATGACTCGCCGAGCACGGATAGGCATGATCCCCGTCTCGGTGAAAAGAGGTGTTGTCATGGACCGACGAGAGAGGCCCAGTAAGCGACGAAGGCAAAGAAGTTGGACCTGTTCTAACATGGAAATAAGGAGGTTGTCCGTGTCGATAATAACCTCACAACCATTGATGAGGTGGCAGTCGACAAGGGCAGAGTAAAGTTGCTTTGCAATGGAAGGGTCGAGTCGTTGATGTCCGATGATGAGCTCGCAACCAGAGATGCCTCCGGCGGCTGTAACGGCTGCATCGCGTTTGGTAGTGTAGTGAGCTGCAAAGAGGTGGCGGTGTGACGATTGAAACTGTATGCCCACATAAGTGACAGCATCCTTGAACGGTAGGGCCGAGCCAGCTAGCCACAGGGTGGGTAGGGTGGGAGGTAGGTAACCAAACAGCATAACCCAGGATTTACCCGCGCTAACAGTGAGGTTGTTGTTGTGGCAATAGTGTTCGAAGGTAGTGAGGTGGCGTTGGAGGCTAAGGGCAGACCGGGTGATGAGAACCATGTCATCGGCATGTTCGAGGTGTGAGATGACAACTCCGAGGAGCTCAAGGTCATCAGGGTCATGCCAGAGATGGAAAGTGGATAGGAATATGTTCCAGAGTGTTGGAGAGGAAGGGTCCCCCATAAGTACTCCGCACATTGCCTGGAAATAGGCAGACAAGCTTCCGTCATGTGAGATCACATATGTCATCTGTTTGTAGAGCGAACGGAGCCAGTCAAAGTATTGACCGGTGAGTCCTAGACTGGCGAGCTTAATCCATAGAGAGCTCTGATTTGTGGAGGGGAAAGCATTAGATATATCCACAAATGCAGCGAAGAGGGTGTTCCCAGAAGCACGTGCTTTCTCAATGAGGGTGCGCAAAATGAATGCATTATTGTTAGTACGATATCCTGATCGGAAACCATTCTGCGAGGGGGGAATGACCTGAGCTTGTTCCAGTGCATGACTGAGTTTGAGGTGAATGAGCAGGGAAGCAAATTTCAGGACACAGCTCTCGAGTGCAATTGCACGGTAGTTGTTTGCATCTGAAGGGTCCTTCCCTGGCTTGGGTACAGCAATGATTATAGCGATTAGCCAAGAGGACGGAAATTCATTGCAACGGAAGGCTCGAGAGAATAAAGAGGCAAGGAGATTGTTAGGAATCCCCATCAGTTGGGAATAAGTTGCCGCATCCACCCCAGTGGCATCAGAGTGAGTGGTACGTTTAAGGTAGGCCTTGACAGAACCGACATCATGTTCAGTAACGGCAAGGTTGAAGTTGGGATGGGAGGATTGGGGGGATGGGAAGGGGATCTCATTTGCCGATGCATCCAGGTGTTCTAATATTCGAGGGTCAAATGAAGTTGATGTAGTGTCGGGTGGATTCATGCGAGGAATGAAGCAGTCAGTGAGTTGAGAGATGGTGACCTTTGGAGTAGTTCGGTCAGGTTTGCGTAGTGACTTGTAATGATTCCAGAAGGCAGCGCCGCCTGCCTCGGCGGCGTTACGTAGTTTTAGCAGTGCTTTGTCTTCAAGTAGCCGTCGATAGGAACGGCGGCGGTGCCCAACAGTGAATTCATCAGTGAGGATGCGTTGAGAGTTGGGGAGCTTCGGATGGGATCGGGGATCAGGTAGCAGCGTGGAAACTTTTGGGATAAAAGTAGGGTGAGCGGGGTGAAAAGTGGGTGGGGAGGGTAGCGCAATGAAGTCAAGGTCAGAGAAGGGAGCAGGTGGAGGGAGCGAGGCACCCTGTTTGGCAAGCAAATCGGCAGCATCATTGTGGGCATTCCCAGTATGAGACCGAACATGGGTGAGTACAATTGTGGAAGGGCGGGATGCGATCCACAATGCAATTGCTTTCAGGAGATCGCCATTGGGGCAGTCCCAGTTGCATTGATAGTTGTCACCAGCACCATAGACAATAGACTGAATTGTATAAGTAGAGTCCGAGAAGAGTTCCAGGCGGCGAGTTGGTGTTGAGCGCTGAATAGCAGCCAAAATAGCATAAAGTTCTGCTCAGTTGTTTCGTTGGGGTCCAACAACGCGTGCCGCGAGGTTGTGAGGGTTGCTGGGACCATAATACACGCCCAAGCCAGCGCGTGCAGAGGCGGAGTTAGCTGCTAGGCATGAGCCATCAGTATAGATTTTCAGAGGTTGAGTGTATACGTTTGGTTGAGCGTGGCCATAGACTTGAAGCAGGAGGTCTATGAGAGTAGGGGGGTCGGCCGATAAGATCCGCATCTGGAGGAGGTCAATGTCAGAGGTACAGGGGGCGAAAATTTGTGGTCGGCGACGAGGTGCCGCAGTTTGTTGGTGTGGTTGGGGCCCTGGGAGAATGAAGTCCCAGTAGAGATAGGCATGGTCCGACCATTTGGTCTCCAAACTTATAGTGAAGTCAGAGATGAAGTAGGAGGTGAGGGATGAGGATAAGAGGTAGTCAATAACTGAGGGGAGAGTGATAAGTTGACCGAGGCTGTCGCGGCGTTTTTGAAAAGAGGTCCAGCCATTGTTGGGATCAGGTGAAGCGGAGTCGGAGTGAATAGTGAGTTCGAGTTCTGCACATAGCTGTAATAGACGACGACCGCGTGTAGAAACCACAGAGTCAGGCGAGAATCGGGTGGGGTGGGTGGGGTAGGGGAGGACATGGCCTGTTCGGGCGTTGAAATCACCAGCAACAACAAATGGGATATCCAGGGCAACTGCGAGGCGAATGCATTGAGCCAAAGAGTCCCAGGGATGGAGCTCAGCCCATTCTGTCCAGTCAGTACGAGAAGATTCAGGGAGAATGTATACATTGAAGAAGACCACTGCATTGATTTCCACTGCCAGGATATCTGGGCCACAGAGGTCAAGCCTAACGCGACATTGGAGGCCGTCACGGACTAGCGTAGCTACCCCACCCCATGGATTCTCGATGTCAGTGTGTAGGGTCCGGCGATTACGTGTGTAAGCAGTAAATCCACAGGGACAGCGAATTGTCGAGTGGTGTTGTAGTCGTGTCTCCTGAAGGAGGATAATATCAAATTTATTCATGAGGTCAAGGAACTCAGAGCAGAGGTAGTTAAGAAGGTAACGGCCATTTATATTCCAACATAGAACGCGCATTTTTCGAATTTGTTGGACAGAGGAAGACATAGTTAAGGTAGAAAGGGGAGCAGAGGGAGAAAAGCAAGAAATGGGAGAGGAGAGTGAATGAGGCATGGATGGTAGTACAGAGGAGGAAGAGGAGGGCAGTACAGATGGTGTTACATAAGAGTAGGGTACAGTAATGTTCGATGTCATAGCCAGGAGCACATAATCAGAAGGAGAGGGGGAGAGGAATAGGTTGGAAGAAGTATCGCCAGTCCGTTCCACGCCCCCGCACCGCCGTCAATGAGTGCTGTCCCTGTGAGCAATGACATTGGTTAAGCCAGGTACGGAGGTGTGGTGGGTATTCCAAGCGGCGAGGAACTCCTCGATGCCTTCCTTAGAGAAAGTGAGGCGGAGTCGATAGGGACCTAGACGAGTTATATAACCGACCCGTGGGAGCAGCACCCGCGCCGCGGCATCGAAGTCGGTAGACCAGGTATTGTACATTTCGAAAATGTAGTCAATAGTGGTGGGGAGAGGCTCCCAGTTGGGTGGAAGGTCAATGGTGACAGTGTGAGCAGAGCGAGCATCATAGCGATGACGCTTAGGATCCCTATTGTTGGCATCTACATCGTCGGCACGTCGTTTACCCGCCTTGATTGAAGAACCAATGGTCGTTTGGGGGGCACCGACGTTGGTCGATGGGGAGTTGTCGGCAGGGATCAGGGGTCCTGGTTGCGTCGTTGAGGGTCCATTCCGCAAACGGGCCAGCAGGGAGGGTGAGGAAGGTAGAGGGGAAGAGGAAGGGATTCGTGATGAGTGAGGGGCAGTTTTGGAAAGCGTGAACAGGTGATTGTTGGGGCGAGAAGGTAGGTGCAGAGGTGAAGGCCCATGAGGGGGAGTGACAGGGGTAGAGGCATTGAGCATGTCCTCCATGGAGGATAGAAGGGTGTTGATAGTGTCGATGGGCAGGAGAGAGGTTAGGCGTGTGACGAGGTTCGGTTCTAAGCGATTGAGTTCCGTAGAAACAATATTAGTTATTTCCTCCCGTAGAGAATTTGAGATTATCTTGTCCAACTCCGCCCTGGTATCGTTCAGGAGAGAGTATATGGGAAGAAGGAGATTTATTACACGGCATGGTTCAAGGACTGAATGGATGAGTAACGAACCATTTGTCATAACGGCCGGTCAGTAACGTTTATTAATAACTTACGGTCACCTTTTCTTGCGGTAGAATGCGTACGACAAGGACTTTCAACATCTTGTAATTATAATTTTGGATCAGCCTCTCGAAGGCTTTGGATACTTTCACTGTTGCGTCAATATACTTACGTAGAACTGCATTTCTTTTGCATACATGGATAAGTTGTTTCTCAATCTAGGTATCTTCTTCTACTTCTTCTACCTTATACCAACGTATTCTATCTCAGTGTAGGGTGTTTAGAATACCAAACTTGTTTCTCTTGCCCATATCCTGCGCTTAGTGCTAGGAGGGGCTGATCCAATATCGGATGAGGTGGTAGTAGTGTTGACCGTAGTGCCCGGTTGAGTCGTTATATTAACTGCCGAAGATGAATCTAGATCAGTACTATCTGCAGTATCCCCAGAGGACGAATCGGGATTCCCCGTCGTCGACGTCGAATTGGTGCTGGTGCCAGAAGAACTATCGGAGTCGGGGTCCGGGGTCGTACCATTTCCAGAAACTGCTGGTTCAGATGCGGAATCGTCGAACGTCCATGTAACACCAGAGATACGTCCCACCGATAAATCTGATAGTGCTTCAAATCCGGTAGGCGTGAAATCCAGATCATACATCGCACAACCGGTGCATCTATCCGCAACGGTTACGGTTACGGACTTCCCTTGATCTGCGCAATGGTAAGTAGTTTGAATTAGGGAACCCATAGAAGTGACATACAATGAGCGGTGAGCTTTTTCCCGCAAACCGGGTTGCTTTTGCCACAGCTATTAATACACCGTTCATAAAGGATGTTAATACCGAACCTACTTGTTTGGATTAGCTGTTGCTCCACTAGAACATACAAAAGAGGGATGAGCAAGAGCCTCTATGAATGAACTCGCGACTTACGGGTAAGTATCATAGAAAAAATGCGATAGAGCAACGATAAGGTCAGAGTCCGTGTATGTTTTCCCTGTGAACGACAGTTATATCGGCGGGCTATTCAATGTGAAAGTATGTTGTACCACAGGAGGTCAGGCCAGTATCGTAGTAAGTTCCTAAGCTCGAAATTTAGCAACTTGTTCATTGAAGTTCTGATAACCAATTAGACAGACCTTGGCCAGTACCACCGGTAAAGTCAGTGGCACGAGGAATAACGGGACGGGCAGACACAAGAGCGAACAAGCAGAGCGTTACGGAAAGAGTCAACGAAGAGAGCATCTTTAAGAGAACAGAAGCAGATAGATTAATCGAGCTTAGGGACACTTGAAGGATCTTCTGCGAAGTACGACCTGCGTACACTATGAAGGAGGTCAGAGGCCAGCCAACTTAAGGTATTTACAAGCTGGTAACACTCGTTTTATACACCTTCGGCGGCTGGGCGTGGTGACACGTTTTTCAATGTCATACACGGAAACTGGAGACCGAGCCTCGAAATGTAAAGATGAAACTAATAGTAAGACCATTCTCCTTTGAGTAAAGCATTTTCTGGTTCGTGTTTGGAAACTCCGGTGTCAGAACAGCGGCATGAAAATCGTGGGGTAATTGCATGACACTACAATGGCAATGATGAAAGGAGATGACTAGATTGAAGCTCACAGCGCCGTCTGCACTTCCTCGCACTGCTAGATAAAACATCTGCCCTTTCACGAAACTTGCTACAACAGAGTCAGCCATAGATATATATTAAAGACAACCACAGCACAAATAGGGTACGGATCCTCCGATGAGTTGAATATACGAATTAACGACGTGTGAAGGTCAGACGTGACGCTTCCGAACGGTTGTTGCCTGCGTATATCATGTCTAGGACAAGCAGTCGTCGATTAGGCCTTGGGAACGAGCACGGAAAAAGGAGAATCAGACGCACTAATAGGTGATGTATACGAATGAACCATGAGATTCACAGATGAATAAACATTATGTCTGGAAAGATTAGCTTCTGTAAGAGAGCCAATTCCACCCAATTCCACGTCGTCTCCGCGTTTACGGTTCGGGCGGATCGTTGAGGAATGGGGCAGTTCACTGAGAGGATATTCCTCCCTTTCCATCGCAGCTATTTTATCCTCTGAGTTGAAAGAGACCTCGTGGCTCTCTGGAGAAAAGTCGTGCAATGAGTAGTTCGTTTTAACAGCCAAAGAATCATGGAAGCGAGAATATGATGCTGGAGGCTCCGATATCGACATTGATGTCCCGAAATCTGTTCCACGAATTTCTATCGCACTTCCTTGAGACCTGAGTCGCTTTCTTTCTCTGGATGCATCGCGCGCAGCGATCTCGCTTTCCACAGAACGAGGGAAGAAAATCTGAGTGATCATATCATCAGGTGATCACTCTAAAAACAAGATTTCTCATTCACTCACGATGAGGGTGATTCCGGAGGATATCATGCAACCTACAGCTGCAATGAAAGTAAGGAAATCTAGAAGTGGGATGATTGGTTGACGTTTTACGGAAATGGGATTAAAATGCATTACCCGTCCAGAATGGGTTTTCATTAATGTGTTGATGTGGTCGAGCACCATCAACCCCTAGAACTAGCAGCGGAACAGTAAATAAGTATCGACACAAGACCCGGACGGTCTAGACAATTCAAAAGGCTTCAGCTTCGATCGACGGCAAAGGCAGATGATAGATGGAAGCGTACATTTAGCTCGTGAAATTTGGTGAGTCTTATGACGGTGGCATTATCAGCTCCTTCCGATTTCTATGCAGAAATAAGCAATGTGTATACAGATATGAAGGGAGCAGCCAACCAGCTTATGCAAGAATGACGGGAAGGTCCACCTATGCAATCATTGAAATTCGTGAATAATCAGGAGCTACAGTGGGGGTCAAAGACGACATACAATATAGGCATGAACCATATTGTGAGGGACAGACTTCCCAGGCTACCGGCGAGGAAAGTGAATGCTTCGTTCTGGGACATCAAACGTCATATACTTGAGCCATAAGGTCTTTTTATATTCGAAGGACATCTTCTGCTTACTGTCAGCGGGTTACTGCGGGTGAAGATTGTAACCAGAGGCATGTATAGGACAGCGACGCAAGAGCCCACTATCCACGTTCGAAAATAATAACTGTGGAACCAGTCTTGTTGGCCACCTTGCGCATTGACGAGGAAAAGCCAGAAGCATAATTCTGTGATTCGGGATCAGAATCTTTCGGATCTCTCCACATTCGATTCGACGTGCCTTCCAAATGAGTGACCCTAGGAAAAAATACACCGGATTAGAGCTCTGTGAGATGGGCAGCTGGTACCGCCACGTACATTTCGAGAGCCCACGCCATTGTGAAGCAGAGGGTCAAAGGGAAGATAGCAGATTTCGATAGAGGTGCCCATAGCTGATACGGTGTTGGTACCACTATCAGAACGGAGTGAGATATCATATTATGTTGATGGACATAGAAACTCACCTCCTTCCAGCTCCAAGTAAACATATCCTTCCTTGTATTTTATGATCGCAAATCCCACTGAGTACGTTATAATTAACGGTATGCTCAGTAGATACGAGTACTTGAAAGCAGGCCAGATCAGAGCAGGCAATTCTTCATTGAGCGAAGAGATTTACGGTCATAATTCTTTTGAAAGCCCCAGAATAAGGGCCGTTGTTCCACCTACGATGAGGAGTCAAGGACTGAAGGTGGATCGAGAACAAGTCTAAACACACTTGAGACATTTGAATTTATCGAACGCGTAGAGGTGGTATACGAGGAAAATACCGAGCTGTTAAGGATCGGATTACTACTACCGAAAGTAACAGCAGTAGGGCAAATCGAAGGCGTACCATGCAAGAAAGGATTGCCCATATGAGATAACTCGAGGGAGACGTGTGGGACATGACTTAACGGCGACGAAGCAAAAGGAAGGGGGTCAAGTCTCGAACCGGCGAGATAGATAGTTGGAATTAAAGTATCTATCAGACCGTCAAATCGCACGCCAGAGCGAAAGTGTCAGCAGGGGAAGTTGATGTTCGTGGTATTGGTGGAACTTGAAAACTTTTATGTATCAATTATATGATAGGATCCATTTTGCCACATGAACGCTCCCCCGAGAGCGGTGTTAGTGTTTGATTGTTTAGCAACACATACCGAAGTCCGACGTCTGAAGCTCCTTGAAGCGGAAATTTGAATTTGGTTCGGTCACGGTGCCATGCGCTTTCTCTGATGAACACAGCTTGTTTCAATAAAACAAATTATTTTAAGACTGATGATTCGGTAGGTCCTAGGGAATGGTTGGTATACTGGTTTTGACTAGAATCTTTCTAGAGTATTTTTGACACTAAATAGGCCTGTATGTAGCCTTTAGAGGTGGATCGCGAATGAGGCCTGAGGGAAGTGACATCGCGAATAAACCGGCGGGAAATTGCACGTGGTAAAGAAAGATTCGACAAATCATGAAAATTCAGCTTTGACATCTACGATCTTCATGCCTGCGCCTTTAATTTTAAGTGAAGAGAAGGACGAGATATTGCTCTCATGCAGATACGGAGAGCTCGAAGATGTCCAAGGCTACGTTGAAAAATTTGGCGCAGAGTCTCTGGCTCAAATTCGCGATGATAATGGGAACACTATCCTACATATGATTAGTGGGAATGGCCATACCGGTGAGCGGCTGGATCTTTAGTTGATCTTTTTTTTCTTTCTTTCCATCGATCATGGGAACTGAATACAATAAGGTAACCCATAGATCTCCTCAAATACCTACTACCTCTCATACCTCCATCACTTTTATCAACACCAAATGACGCTGGTTCGACACCACTTCATTGGGCAGCGCTAAATTCCCATCTATCCATCGCAAAAGAGCTTGTGCTCTTCCCTTCAGGCCCCGGTGTGGATCTGATAGATATAAAAAATTCTGCAGGGCATTCGCCGCTTGCGGAAGCGGAGCTCGCCGGATGGCAGGAAGGTGCGAAGTGGTTAGTTGAGGTGATGAACTTGGAGGCTGTCGCGGTAGCGGAGGAGAATGGGGCCGAGGATGTGGGTGATTCGGACACAGTAGATCCGCATCAAGATGTCCAAGTGGAAATAGAGGACGCCGATGGACAGATAGCGAAAATGACCATCAGTGGGTCAACTATCGGTGGATAGAGTTACGAACGTCTACGAGGATATGCTGTTCCTTCGATTCTATTCTCTTTGTGAGTCAAATCTACATCCGATCTGAAACAGCTCTGACTTTTTCATTTGCGCTGTAGTACTACCCCCGTCATTCGATGTTTGCTGTCTAATCCCAAAGCCTAATCATCGACTCGGCTCCTTCGTCTTTTTTGACACAACTTGAACTGTTACGATCTTATATTTCACTTCATCGCTGCAGCAATCTTTTCATTTTATGTTATGAAAGCCTACACGATAAGTATCTTTTGTATGTATAAAATCGTTGATTGCTATGAAATTGTGATATACTTAGCTTATCCCATATCTAGCGTTGCTTACGCTCCAGTTTAGCTGGACGGTGAACGTTGAAGGCTTGAACTGATGACCTAGAAGCCGAAAAGACTTGGGATGCCGCAGTGAACATTGTTCTCTGCTTTGACCGCGGTGCGATGCTTGACAGCTCGAACGTCCCAGCTATCACTGAATTCTACTGACCTTGGAGTTGCGCTATACTTAACTTACCCCATATCTAGCGTGTTTGGGCTGTTATTGTACAGGTTGAAGCTAAGGCTCAGCCTTAGAAGCTGAATGACACTTAGAATGCCGTATTGGATAACATTTGTTCCGGGTACATATGTTTTTTGCTTTGGTTCCAGATGCTTGATAGCTTGAACGTCCAATTATCACTGTCAGTAGTGGGGATCTAAATTCTAATGGCCACATCACATTTCATTCATGATAGGATAGCGAACATCCATTCTGAGCGTTAGGGTAGCGACAGGACATACTAAAATTTGAGAGATTCCAAAACTTCCTGGATGCATTCCGTACTGAGTTGCGATCGAATCAGGACCAAGGACTTACAACCAGTGAAGGCCGCAGTACTCGCTGGAAAAGTCACACTTCTGCATCTGTGCTGGGAACCTGGTACTCTGTCCCGTACTGGAAGTTCCGTTAATGCAGCAGATACAAAAACTTAGGTATAGTTATATTTGAGTCAAGATCCGTAAGTCTTTACTAAGTAATTGGTCTATAGGCTCAGATAGGCTCTTGCCAAATGTCGCAGGTTTTTCGTGAAGAATGCGG